CCACCACCACCACCACCACCACCACCACATCTTTGGCGCCCGTCGGGGCAACATCTGCACAACCATCATCATCATCACCATCATCGCCATCGCTGCAGGACCACGACATGGCAGTCTCCGCAGTACCTTCTGCACCACTTGATGTAGCTGCCACCGGCACAGCAGCCGCTCCACTCAAGTCCGTCAGCCCCATCGCCTCCGCTACACTCCCACCCAATGCTGCCGACGCCTCGCGCCTGAATCTGCCTCTCCTCGGCACCATGTCGCCCGACGAGGCGCAGCGCTTCGGTCTCGGCCACCTTCACAACATCGGGCCCGGTGCTTCCTACAGCTCGCCCCCACAGCCTTTCCGACCGCCCACCACCTCACCACAGCCTTTCCAGTCCAAGCCGACTCCTACAGCCCCATCGCCCGTGGTCAAGCCAACCGACGTAACCCCGGCTCCCGCTCCCGCAGCATCTGCGGCCACATCCGCCACATCTGCATCCCCCACGCCAGCAGCACCATCCCACAAGCAGCCACCAGTCGTGCCAGGCATGGGCACCCTCCCGCCCAACGTCTCGGCCTCCACCAGCTCCTCCGAACCTCCACGCGCGATACCCACCAACAAGAACAACCCCGCCTTCCTCAACAAACTCCGCAGCATGGTCGACGACCCCAACACCGACGAGCTCATCCGCTGGTCGCCCGACGGCGCCTCCTTCTTCGTCCCCAACCACGTCCGCTTCGGCGACGAGGTGCTCCCACGCTTCTTCAAGCACAACCGCTTCTCCTCCTTTGTTCGCCAGCTCAACATGTACGGCTTCCACAAGGTGCCTCACCTCCAGCAGGGCGCCCTCAAACACGACTCGCCCCAGGAATCCGAGCTCTGGGAGTTCTCCAACCCGCACTTCCACCGCGACCATCCAGACTGGCTCGCCAAAGTGCAGCGCAAAAAGGGCCCGCGCGACGACAAGGACAACCAGGCAGAGCGCGAGCCCAGCGCCGCCACCACCACCGGTCAGGAGCTCATGCATGCAGGCGCCCTCATGCGCACCGACTTTGGCGCCAAGGACACTACAGCCGAAGGCGGCGCACTCCAGCTCGCCAGCGTGCTCAACGCCATCAACGCCATCAAAAACGCCCAGACCAGCATCAGCTCCGACCTCCGCCACCTGCAGAACTCCAACCAGAATCTGTGGCAGGAGGCTGTCGAGAGTCGGCAGCGCGCAAAGCGGCAGCAGGAGACCATCAACAAGATCCTCCGCTTCCTCGCAGGCGTGTTTGGCAACCAGGACGATCCAGAGACGCCCGTGCAAGGCAAGAAGGGCGTCTCCGCCAAGGGCCGCGGCGGCGCTGGCGGCAGGAGGGTCGGCGTGCGTCCGCAGGCGCGCAACAAGGGTCGCCTCATGATCGAGGACGGCAAGTCGTCGCCCGTGCGCGGTCTCGAGGGCCTCGAACTGCCCGCGGACGAGGACGAGATCGAAGAGATGCCATCCCATCTGCGCTTCCAAGAAGCCAGCAGCACCGATTCGCCCAAGGGCAACAGCCCCTCCACCAACCAGGGCGGCTCGCGCTTCACCCAGATCGGCTCGCCGCCCAGCCACTCGATGGCAGCAGCCGATCTCAGCGGACACCTCAACGAGGCCGTCTCCACGCCCGGCGGCTCGCGCAGGCTCTCGTCGCACGCGAGCAACCAGGTTCTCAACGCGCTCGCGTCCGGCGAGGGCAACGCGTGGCTCGCGAGTCTCTTTGGCGCCAGCCTTGCCAACCAGGGGTCCAAGTCGACTGGGCCAGCGTCCGGAGGAGGGCTGAAGCTCGACCCGCACATGGTGGCTGCGCTGCAGCAGGCGCTTGCGAGCGCAGGCAGCGGCGCACAGCCAGGCTCGTCGAACGAGGGCAGCAACGACTACTTTGGTGCCGGCACCACCGATGCCGCCGATCTCTCGTCGCGCTTTTCGACGTTCCCCAACTCGTCCGCAAGCAGCAAGGGCAGCGCATCGCAGCCGGTCGACACTTCGAGCACGGCGCAGGGGTTGGGTTTGGATGCGGACGCGCTTGCCAGGATTGCGGGGATCTCACAGGCGCTCGTCCAGTCACCCGCACGTCAGAATTTTGGCACGGCAGCGGGTGGGTATGTCACATCGCCCACCAAGAGCTCTGGTGCAGGTGCGCCGCTCGATGGTGGCGACGATGGCAGCAACCAGCAGCTTGCGTTGTCGCTGTCGCGTGCGACGCGCGATCTGAACAACACCTCGCAGGACGTCGACCACGTACAGAACAGCATCAACTCGCTCATCGAAGGTCTGCAGACCAACCCGAACCTGCTGGGCAGTCTGACGAGTCAGCCACCGGCCGCTGCGGATGTCCCCGCCAGTGGTACAGCGTGGCAGCAACCTGTTGACGCCAATGCGTTTGGGGCTGGGATGCTTGGCACTGCGCCGTTTGATGCGGTGTATGGGTCCGGCACCACCCCTCCACCCTCTTCAGCGGTTGCGGGAGCGGCGGCGGGGGGGATCGAGTCGGACTTTGATGTGGACTCGTTTTTGAGCCAGTTTGTCGACTCGTCCCAGGCGCCAGGCGGCGGCGTGGCGAGTCCGAGCAACCAGACGTTCGGCGAGTCGCCCTCGTTTGCATTTTCACCTGCGACGACGGCTGCGTTTTTGCATGGCGCGGCAGGTCCACCCGTGGGAGAGGCGATTTATGCGGCAGAGACGGGGAGTGCGGATTCCAGCGCGGGAGGGACGCCGGAAAAGGGCGTGGCGGGAAAGAAGAGGAAGCCGTCGACGACTACGCCTGCAGCAGCGGTTCAGGATGTAGACATGGCACCTAGGCCAAACAAGAAGTCGGCGGCGAAGAAGTAAGCCAGCAGTAGTGGCGGTGAAGACAATGCAGTCAGTGTCTGACCGACAGTCTTTGTGTGTGTGTGGGAGAGTGGAGCAGGTGCGTGAGGGCCTTGGGCCAGCAGGGTGCGCTCGCGGATAAGAAGATGAACCCCCTCACATACAGGGGGAGCGGTGGAAGAGGTAGGCACCGCGCGCAAAGGGCGCAGAAGGGATGCCGAGGCGATAAAGTAGCTCGGCCTAGATTCTTCTCAGGGACAATCGCAATGCCGTCGCACATCGGAAAAAACTGAGCTGTGTATTTTTATACAGAGGCTCTACTGTAATCCTTGACACAGAGGCTGATTTAGGATACCGCACAGCCTCTAACCAAGCTGTGTATCAACTGCAGCTCACACACAGCCTATATATCACCCTCTGCGGTATCCACACAGATTTCATTCTTTTCCGATGTGTCGGCGAGCAGTGAGTGTGAGAGTGGCGAAGGTGGCATGTAGCGCGATCATCGACGGCGACGACGACATGTCGTGCAGGTCGCAGAAGGTCGATACGATCAAGTAGCCCCGGTGTGGTTGCAGTGGCGACAAATGGCGAGGCTTCGGCGTGGAGCCCAGAGGTTGGAGCTGCGTCGCCGAACAATACCCACGCAGCACACACTGCTCTGTCGAGGCTGGATGGCATCGATACCGCGCGACGCTCTGGGTGGGTCTACAGCATCCGGTCCAATGCTGCGTGCTTGGCGCTTGCAACTGCAGATGTGAGGCTGCGACCCCACACCCAACTCGCGCAAGTCGGGCGCAACTCAGCCCCTTGGCTCCAGCTCGTCGAGTCCCAATGCGCATCGGCTCTGTATACAGTGCGCAGCTGCGATCAAACTTCAGTCACAGGGCGAATACGCTCCCAGCGAAGAACAAAGACATGCGGCGGTACAGATGCGCGTGTGTTTGACTCAAGCCCCAATGGGTCGACGTGCTGGCGATTTGCACAAACAGCGGGTGAGAGCCATAAGCACCCCGTACGCTCTCGCTCCCAAAGCCAGCGACCACATGGTCAAGTTGCAGCATCGGTGCCCAAGAGATGCAGCAGCATGCTAGGATGAACACGGTCCGCCGCATCGCAGTGTGTCATAAAGCCAGTGCGGCCTCGACGTAGCTCTTGCGCAAGCCAAAGACCTGCTCGATAAGTTTGGTCGTGCGCGCAACAGTCCAATGCCCACTTTGAAACGTGTGTGGCTCAAAGATGCGTTCCCGTCGGCGATCTCAAAAAACAAGGACAAGATCGACACCTCACAGACTTCTCCGCTCGAGTGCGTGCCGTCCGTAGACTAAGCACGCTTTTGGTCGAGTAGTCACGACGAAACCGTAGCACTATTGGGATTGAGCATGTTCTATCAATACAGAGCACTTGTCTAGACCGTCGCCGTCTCGGGCTTCCGCTCGGCGGCGTCAAAGCGGCCGAATCCGCGCGTCCTAAACAGGATCTCGTCCATATCCAGCGGACCCTTGTACCACTTTCGGCCATGCGCCATCCAAGCCGCGCCGCTCATGATGGCGACAATGGCGACGACGACAATGGTGTAGTTCATGTTGGTGGACGTGGTGGGCAGTTCGGGCGGGAAGAGGAAGAAGACGTTGGTAAACAACACGAATGCGATGGCAAACACATTGATCGGCAACCCCAACCTGCCCAGGTCAAAGTGTCGTTTGCCTTCCGCACCCGCATTGTCGGTATCCAACACCTTCCTACCCCTAATGAGCAGTAGGACAATCGGAACGATGTATGAGAATTGGAGTAGCACGACGCTGGAGCTGAGGATGGCGTTGAGCGCCGACGAGGAGCCGAGATAGATGCATCCAAAGACGATGACCCAGACGGTGGTGAGTACGAGGGCTGGGATGGGCACCTCGTTTGTGGCCGAGATGCGCTGCAGAAGGTTGGAGAACGGCAGGCCGCGATCGCGTGCAAATGCCTGGCTCATGCGCGACGAGGTGGTCAGCAGCGCTGTAGCGGTGAAGGCCATGCTGCACACGGGGAAGATGAGCAGACAAACTGCACCGGCCTTGTTGCCGACGGCCTGGTAGATGATCTCCAACAGCGCGCCCGCCGACGACTCGATCACCGCGTCAAAGTCGCGCAGCACAAACAGAAACACCATGAGCACGATAAACGTCGACGAAGCCCCGATGGCCACTGCCAAGATCATGGCTCGCGGCGCATTGATGGCCGGCCTGTCGATCTCGTCGACCAGATGCGTTGCACCATCCGACCCGATCAGCGAGAAGGCCGCCTGAAGCAAGCCCAAAATCCACGCCACGCCGTTGTTCCATCCGGTCTGGTTGACGTACTTGCCAAAGACGAATTTGGCGTCCTGGTAGTCTGGGGTGGCGCGGGCAAGGCAGGTGATCATGATCACCACGGCGCCGACGAGGCTCCAAATCATGGCTGCGCGGTTGAGCGAGTCGAGGATGCGCACGCCGAACGCATTGATCACCCACGCGCCCAGGCTGAATGCCACATACACTAGGAAGATGTGCCACGGCTGGCTCTCGTAGTTCGGATGCAGCAGCGCAATGATCCCGACGATAAACTGACCCGCGAGACTCGATGCGGTGGCGGTCAAAGCCACCCATCCAGCCACAGCCGTCCATCCGGTAAAGTAGGCGATGACGTATCGGTATCGTGCGGGGGCGAGGCAGAAGCTCCAGTGATACTGACCTCCCGTCGTCGGGTAGACGTGGCAGATCTCGGCCATGGATAGTGCGGTTGCCATGACGCCGACAAAGGCAACGAGCATACCCCACAGTGCCACCGAGGGCCCGCCGCTGATGAGCGCGATCGACATGGAGGCCGAGGCGGCCGTCCAGCTGTTCAGGATGCAGTAGCACAGGCCGATGAGAGCGAGCGTCGAAAAGTGCGTCTTGTCGATCACCGTAATGGCGCCCGTGGCCGAGGCCGCCGGCGACTCGGCGGTGGAGCCAAGGTGCTTGGAGGATGCGCGCGCTTCCGGGTGCGCACGGTAGTCGTGCAGCGTCTGCGTCTGCTGCTGCGCGCGCTTCTCGTTGGCCAGATTCGCCGCAGCCCCAGCTTCAGCCCCAGCGGGACCGGCAGGAGCGGGTTTGGAGCTCGACATGATTTCGTGGAGCGGATGGACCAGAGTGAGGAAGATGGGAAGGATGTCGATGCCCGGGAGGGCAAGGGGGCGAGGGATATATGGGGAGGATGACGTCCGAGTCACGGCACGCTCACGAGGGCAGCCACTCGGCAAGCAAGGCGCTAGGATACTGATACGGGCCTTGCGGGTCCAATCAGCGACATGCCCAGCTTACCCCGCACCTACAGGGTCTCTGTGTATCTTCCACAGAGAGGAAGAATACGAGCCCGCAAGAGGTCGTAGGCCCGCAAAGAGACCACACACAAAAAAAAAGCAGATACGCAGCCGAGGTTCCCGCGGGCCACAAAGGAAAAAAAATGACCTCAACGACGGCATGTCAACTCCGCCCGTGCTGCACGCCGCCAGCCAACCGCCGCTTGCTGTCACCCTTCCGAAATCGCTTCCGCACTCTCATGAGCATGGCGACGATCGATGTGTCTTTTCGGTTCTACCTTGAATGCAGGTATCGCAGCGTGTGGGCCCAGACGACACAGCGCGGCGACATGAAGCGTGTGGACCACGGCTCTCGATACCGACATCCCCAGTGCAAACGAAGGGCGAGCCAGTCGGCTCGGGCATTTTTTTCTTCGGAATGCATAAACATCTGCCGCTGCCACCTCTTTTTTTTTTCTCCCCCGGCAGAATCCCCATCGTCTTGTCTGTGTCCGGATCGTTTCCCCAACGCATCGATGGCATGGCTTGGCGACGGCATGGCTTGGCGATGCTCGCACCTGCATGTCGAAGAGCCTTCGCGGAGAGAGCCGAGTACTTATCATCCACAACCCCTGCATGGCCGAAATGACCAGTGCGGGCCGGGGAGGGCGGAGCCATGTGACCGGGAAGATATGGAGTCGCAAACAAAAGCGACACCGGCGACGCTCAGCGATGCCCAGTGATGCTCAGTGAAGCTGGAGCCCAGAGAACCCGAAGCGCTTGGTCTGGAGCCCAGGGAGCAAGGTTTCGAGATGCGAGCGCGGCTGCACCCTCCTGCACGCCTTCCTGCGGTTCCAAAGAGTGTTGAGTTGTGCCGAAGCTAGCCGCCTCGCCAAAGAGAAGCTCAAGATTTGCCGAAATTTTGCGGACCGTTCACGATGTTAGACTGTGTTCATTCTCCGATAAGAGGAAATCGGGGTCAAATCAGCGATGGGCAGAAAAAGTGGAGTGCACGCACCTACACCGACTGGACCATCGACCCACAGACTCGCTGCACACGGCTTTGCAACCAACCACGATTGCTGTTACCCCTCGCCCACGACCATGTCGAACTACGAGGACGATATCGAGCCGATTGCTGATCCGGGCGATGCGCCCTCGTCGTCGCTCGGCAAACGTGCGCGTGCAGACGCTGAGGCTGCTGCTGCCGATGCTTCGGATGCGCTATCGCGCCTCTCACCCGAGCCGGACGAGGACCTGGACGTGTCGGAGGGCAAGCATCCGGTGTGGCTGGTCAAGATCCCCAAGTTTCTTCTGCAGGCATGGAGCGCGATTCGTACCGACGATCTGCGTCTGGGTACGGTGCGCGTGTACGATCCGGACCATACGGGCCACCAGCGCATGGAGCTTCTGCTGCCCGACCCACCCGCACCGGCGGTGCCCACCGAACCGGGCAAGCCGCGCAATCCGCGGTACGATACGGTCCCGCGCGCGTACGACTTGAAGCTCACGTCGGACAGCGCGTCGACGATCAAGCGCAACATCTACGCCTTTCGCGAGCAGCTGCAGGATGTGGATCCGGTTGCGGGACCGTCGAAGAAGGAAGAGAGCGATTCGTCCGACGACGAAGGACGCACCAAGAAGCGCGGTAAGACGCGGCGCATCACGGCGCTGTGCGGGACAGTGACCAACGAGGCGGCGCTTCAACCGCAGATTCGCAGTGCAGACACCAAGCCGAGCACGGCGAGTCTGGGGGGTGCCCCCATCTCGGACGCGTATCGCGAGCTGCTGCGGCGTCGGCGCGAGGAAGCATCCAAGCCGAAGCGCACGATCAAGATGCTCGACTCCGCCGATGCCGGGCGGCACAACATGCTCGTTGCCGGCGTCGGCGCGGGGCTGCACTCGCAGAAGTCGCGCTTCAATGCGGCGATTGCGACGAAACCCAAGGCGGCGGGGGCGGGGACGGAGAAGTTCGCGCGCATGCCCAAGAACGAGCTGCTCGATTTGCTGTTTTCGCTCTTCGAGCGCTGGCAGTACTGGTCGCTCAAGAAGCTGCGCACCGAAACGCAGCAGCCCGAATCGTATCTGCGCGAGACACTCACGGGCATCGCCGACCTGCATAAGCGCGGTCCCTACGTGGGCAACTGGAGCCTCAAACCCGAATACGCCAACATGCGCAAAAACGAACCCGCCCCCGCTGCCTCCTCGTCCGCACCAGCTCAAAGCCACAATCAAGAAGAGGACCTGGGCGAAAATGACACCTCGGACGATGACGACGACGACGAAGAGGATTTCGACGATGTAGTCTAGTCTCACATTCACACTTCTTTTGGACCAGCGGCGCTGCGGATGTCGTGTGTGTGTGTGGGTAAAGCGTGTGGGATTGCAAAAGCACGCTTGCTTTCGATTTTTGTGGGGGGAAGGGGTGGGGGTGTGCTAACAGTTCTTTCCAGCAGCAGGCAGAACTTCTGCCTGGCCCAGTGGCTGTGGGTTGTAGGACGCCTGTGCGTTTGACCCTGTGAGTCCGGGGAAGGAGGCATCGAGAGTAACGCTTGGCAGGTCAAAGTCGCCCAGCGGCGTCTCTGCCAAATAGAGCCTCCTCAGCGCGTCTTCTGCGGCCCTGAACTCGGCCATGCGGATGGAACTTCCACTTGCCTCGCCGATCTTGGTTGCGCCCGAGTAGACACCCACAACAAACACGGGGCTGATGCTAAGCCTGCCGCTCTCGGCGATCATGCGACTCTGCGGCGCGGGCTTGTTGTACTTTGCGCACGTCGAGGCGAGCGCCAGCTTGGGATTGTTGAACTTGAGCAAGGGCGCGAGGTTGAGCTGGCGGTGCAGGAAGTGGTTGGTGACAAACGTGCGTGCGCCCGCGAGGCCGTGTTCCTGAAACACGACGGCGACGAGCGCGCGCATCGCATCGGCCGCAACGTCCTTGCTGAGCAGCGCGCGCATGGGGCCTGCCGACGACGACGACGCATCCGACGAGGCGGAGCGCTTGGGTGCGGCACCGCGTCCGTTGCGCTTGTGCACGAGGTTGGTCGAGGTCGGGATGCGTGCCTCCTTGTTCCAGCGCAGGATGCCTTGACCCGCGAGGCCGAGTTCGGCTGCGACATCGGCGAGCGTGACGGGTCCGACGTACGCCGAGACGGCCGCCTTGAGCACGCGGGTGGGCAGGTTGGGGAAGCGCAGATGCAGATGCTCGGTGGCAAGCATGCCGAGCAGCGAGTTGCCGACGGTAGCCAGCGCAGCATGGTGGTCCACTGCGCCCGACGAGGGGACGGCAAGGAACTGTGCCGCGTCGAGCGCAGTCGCGCCGTGCTTCTTGGCCAAGCCGGACGCCGCCGCCGAGGGTTCGAGCTGCAGATGCGCCGCGGCGTTGATCTTGTCGACGAGCGCCTGGAACGAGGGGTGGGTGCACGCCTGGTGCACGAGGCGGATGCGGCGCTCGCGGGCTTCGACGTCGAGCGACGACGGAAGCAGGCCCAATCTCGCCGTCAGCGCAGCAAATGCAGAGAGCGGCGGCGGACGCACGGCAGCAAACAGCTCGGGTTCGGCTCGTGCGAGGCGCGGCAGGTGCGCATTGGGTGTTGGGTCGTGTACGTAGCTCGTCGACGAGACGGGTGCTGCTTCGGTGGCTGGTGCGGCGGCGGCGACGGTGGTGGACGCAGCGCGTGCATGCGCCGGTCGAGTAGCTCTCGAGAGCGCCTGCTTGGATGTGGATGCCGAGGGTGTATGTGCGAGGGGCCGCATGGCGTGCGAGAGCGAACGGTTGGCCGCCATATTTTCAAGAGCCGGTAAATGCGAGGCGCAGCTGTGGGCGACTGCTGCAGTTGAGGCCGGGGCAGGTGTGTGCGAGAGGTGGAATGCGGAAGATGGGAGGTAGAAGGTGGTGATCAGGATGGTGAGTGCTCCAGCTCAACTCTTCCGACCGCCAAACCTCGAAAAGGCGCTGGTCGTCTGGCTTTCCACTTTTGCTTTTCTTCCTGAAAATTCCCGGAGCGCTCCTTTGGCTCCTTTGGCTCCTTTGGCTCAGCTCGGATGACCAAACTGCCATCGCGCTCTGCAAGCCCGAAAAAAAGCAAAAGGAAGAAAAAAGCGCCCGACTCGCTTCACGTGATGCTGCCACCCACGCTCTACCGCACGATACAGAGCCATCCTCACTCGCTCTCACTCCACCTGCACCCTTCGCCTAGTCGACGCACGAAGCACTCGAACCTTCATCCCCACAATCTCGACCGTCTATCCCTGCGCATTGAAAGCTCACACCGGTCGCGTGCAGACCACCACACCATGGCGGCTCGTAGAGCGCCCGCGCGCATGCCGCATGGCCGTTCACCACCACTCAATGCCGCCGAGGTGCAACACCAGCACCAGGCAGCGCAGGCAGCGCAGGCAGCCCAATCAGCACAGCAGTCCCAGCCGCAGGATGCGCTGTCGGTGCTGCTCGTCACCGCGGGCTACGACCACACCATCCGCTTCTGGGAGGCATGGTCGGGCATCTGCTCGCGCACCATCCAGCATCCGGACTCGCAGGTCAACCGACTCTCCATCAGCCCCGACAAGCGCTTCCTCGCTGCAGCCGCCAACACGCACATCCGACTGTACGACTGCTCGATAGCCTCGCCCGCGAGCATTGCTGCGGCCAACGGCGGAGGCGCCAACGCCAATGTCGGCGCTCCAGCACAGCCCATCGCCACACTCGAGGGGCATCAGGGCAACGTGACGGGCATCGCGTGGCATTGCGACATGCAGTGGCTCGTCTCCGGCGGCGAAGATGGCTTGCTCAAGATCTGGGATCTGCGCACATCCAGAGCCACGCGCATCTACGATCACAGAGGACCCGTGAACGATGTGGTCGTGCATCCGAACCAGGGAGAGCTCGTGAGCTGCGACCAGAACGGCAGCGTCAAAGTGTGGGATCTGGGGCAGAATGGATGCAGCCACGAACTGGTGCCCGAAGAAGGTGTTCCCATCCGATCCGTCACCGTTGCTGCGGATGGAAGCTGCCTCGTTGCGGGCAACAATACCGGCAAGGTGTACGTTTGGAGATTCGTCAACGGCTCCTACGAGCCACACCAGCAGATCGCGCCGCCTTCGCCAGCAGCCGCAGGAGACTTTACAGAGCTTCAGCCGGTTACCACGTTCCAGGCGCACGAAAAGTACCTCACGCGTGTGCTGCTCAGTCCCGACGTCCGACACTTGGCGACGTGTTCGGCAGATGCGACGGTCAAGATCTGGTCGACGTCGCGCTACGAGTTTGCGCTCGAAAAGACGCTCGTGGGTCACCAGCGCTGGGTGTGGGATGCGGCGTTCAGTGCCGACTCGGCCTACCTCGTCACGGCCTCGTCCGACCATGTGGCACGGCTGTGGGAGCTGGCGTCGGGCGAGACGGTGCGCCAATACAACGGACACCACCGCGCTGCCGTGTGCGTCGCACTCAACGACGCCTCTCTCGGCGGTCCATAAGCGTTCAATACAAAGATACCAGTTCGATCACCCCGCCATTGTGAGGGGCATGAGTGTGAGTGGGAATTTTGAGTCGAGGGTTAGAGCGGCGGAATTTCGCGCACTGACTCTGTCCTTCTCGCCACCAACATCGGCGTGCTTAGGGAAATGGCAAGATGGGTGGGGCATCGATGTCGGCGTCGCTTCTGGGGCTGAAAGCGGAGCTGGAGCGGACGAGAGCGTCGGCCTCTACCCCGCGCAGCCGTTCCTCCACCTCGAAGCCGGTCAAGAGTGCAGCCACGCAGGGCTCGCGGAAGCGACAGCAAGATGAGGTTTCGCACGATCAAGTGCGGCTTAGTCTGGAGCGCAAGGCACGCACATATGCACAACTCTCATCCGGCAAATACGCGGGCGTTTCGGACGCTGCACTGCTCGAAAGTAGCATCGACTGGACGCGCAAACTCCACGAGGACCAGTCATCGCCGCCGCCCGAAAGCACCGACAACGACGCAGATCCGATGGTGGAGTACATGGACGAATTCGGTCGTACTCGGGTCTCGCATCTCAGCGAAATCCCACGCCATCTCCTACCCCAGCAGGAAGAAGAGGAGGAGGAGGAAAATGTGATCTACGGACCGGCGCAGAGCTTTCCTGTCTACAATCCAACGCCTCGAGTTGCACAGAAGAAGTTCGATGCGGCGGAGGAGTTGCGGTATCGCGGCGCAGCATTCTACCGCTTCTCAACCGACCAGCTGCAGCGAGAACGACAGATGAACGAGCTCGCACAGCAACATGCACACACCCACGCGATACGAAGCACCGCTCAGCGCAAAGGCGGAATGTCATTGCTCAAGACAAGACTCGCTGAACGAGCGCACAAGGTGCACGATGAACGCCTACGCATCCTAGGCCCCGCAGCGGTCCACCAAAGAAGCCAGCGCATCCAACAGGCTAGACTCGCTGCACTCCTACCACCCACCTAACAACTCAATTCATACAGTGTCACGGGTCTTGCAGAGTCAGGTTTGGGCTGTGAACATTGCGGCTTAGTCTTCGGACACAAAAGTGCCTGCTGCGAGATCGCGCATGACGAAAACGTCCATCTCGGTCCTCATCTCGGCAACCGTGAGCATCTGAAGCACCGTCTGCAGCCTGGACCAGCTCTCGCGTTCCCACTCGGACAGCAATCCCACGGTATCCTGCTTGACATCGCTCCTCTCGACCTTGCGTAGCAGCGGCAGCTGTCTGCGCATCTCGTCGTTCCTCCTCTGACTGATCCTCGCCAGACTCTGGTACAGATGGTCCAGCAGCCACGCACGGCACTTTGCCTCGTCGACAAACCACAGAAAGAACGTCTTGGCCGGATCACGATCCTTGGTCTTGGGCACCTCCTGCAGCCCCAACAGCGACGCATGGAAGAGTCGACTGCACAGATCGCGCGTCTCGGAAATCGACACCAAGGCGAGCTTCGAGATGTGCTTCTCCTCCAACTTGCCCTTGTCGCGCAGGATATTCATGATGCGAATCGCCGCCCCGCCAAATTTGTCCTCCACCACGTTGCGCAGCAGATCGCGCCGCATGCGCTCCGCCACATTGGCAAACTCGACCGTGAGCGACGAGGCCACCTTGGACCCACCGGCGGTCTTGGTGGTGCTGTCCGACGCCGGCGCCATGAGCCGACTCGTCTTGGACTTGCCCGAGACGTCTTCGGCGTGCGAAAAGATGGCGCAGTACTCGGCGAGGAACTCCTGCCTGGTAGGCAGCGCCGCCTTGTCCTTGCCAAACGAGCGCCGGTCAAAGCCCTTCTGCAGCGACAGCTCCGAGGGCAGCTTGTGCGCGAGCGTGGTGATCGAGATGGGTGCGCTGCGCACGTCGCGCACCGAGCGGCGCATCGACGAGTCGCCCGCATGGATGAGCTGGCGGAACACCTCGGCGGCGGTGTTGTTGTACTTTTCGCGCACGGCGTCGACCATGATCTCGTCGCGCACGTGCACGTCGAAGCGGTCGTAGTGCACGCGCAGCCACACGCTCGGATCAATCTCGTAGTCGTCGGCCGGATCGAAGCCTTCCGCCGTGCCCGCGGCCGGATGCACGCCGTTGAGGCCGTTCCTGTCCTTGACCTTGTCCTTGGCCTTCTTGTCCTTGGAGCTGCTCGACGATTTGGAGCGCTTCGACTTGGACGCGGCGCTGGCGAGCGCGATGGCACTCTGCTTCTTGCGCACCAGGCCACGCCGTGTCTCGCGGTGGTCGGCAGCGGCGAGGCCGTCGGGACCGAGGCTGACGCTGGTGGCGGCGAAATCCCAGTCGGCGTCGCGCTCGTCGGCGATCTGGACGCGCACCTCTTCGCGGATGCGCTGCAGGTCCTTGGGCGTGGGGATGCCGCGCAGCTCGCGCCGGCGTTTGGCTTCGTACTTGATCTCCTTGTCGCGCGGGGACACGTACTGGTGCACCGAGCTCGGACGCAGGTAGGTGCGGAAGAGCATGACGGTGAGCGCGCGCGCCACCTCGGCCTGCACACCCGCCAGCTCGTCATCGGCCTTGCGCTTGTGCGAGCCGTTGGCGGTTCCGTTGGGTGGCTCGCCGTTGACCGCTGCATCTGGCGGCACGGATGCCGAGGCGTTCTGCTGTGTGTGCATCTCGGAAGCGACGCGGTCGATGATGTCGCTCGCCTGGAGCTTGCCGTGCTGGAGGACGAGCTTGACGATGCGCGCCGAAGTGTCGCCTAGCTCGTCTTCCGCGATGCCAATGTATCTGCCGAAGCGCGGACGGAGCAGAACGTCGTTGATGTTGATCTCGAAGAACTCCTGCGAAGGATCTGCGATGTCCGGGTCGGTGGAGCTGTGCCAGGCGCAGCCGTGCTGGATGAGCGTTAGGATGGTCTGTTCGATGAGCAGCTTTGGTACGGGAACGGGCGCGTTGGGATCGCCGGTGTTGTAGCTCGTGCTGGCACCGGCGATGGGAGCCGAGACGAGCGTGGACTTGGTGTGGGTGGTGGAGGCATTGGTAAAAGGGTCGGTAGGCCCGCGGTTGGTGCGAGTGGGTGCCTGGTTGAGGAAGCGCTGGATCTCGCGGATGGTGAGACGGCCTCGTTTGAGGAGCAATGCACCGATGCGCGCGGCGATGGGACCAAAGTGCACGAGCAACACGTGCTCGCACAGCTTGATCTTTTGGGGCGAGTGTGCGGTGGACGACATGCCGGCGACGTGAGACTAGGGGGTGGGTGGGGGCTGGGTATCAGCAAGGAGCGGTCGAGGGTTGTGATGCGGCTTCACGACTCCATGCTGGCAGCAGACACACGGTAGGGCCGCAGCCTGTGACTACTGATGTGGGTGAAGGTGGTGGTGGGAGTAGAGTTGTCTCGAGCAGAGAAGGGACAGGGATTCGAGGATTCGATCGCGCTTTTTGGCTGCCAAAGGCTGAGAAAGGCTGCCAAAAGCTGAGAAAGGCTGCGGTGCGGTGCGGTCTCATTTTTTTGCTGCATCCTTTTCTTCGTGGAGGCGAAGCCCACCCATCGGCATCTTGACCACACTCCATCGGGCGATCTACTGCCTTCGAATCTCGCCGAGAAGAAAGAGGGTCCTCTTCTCCACTTCCGCTTGAACGTCTTGCTGCGGCTGCTGCGAACCACCAGCACCACTCTCCTTGGCTGCGCAGACCATGTCGGCCGCACCCACAGACGCAACCGAGGGCGCCATCAACCCCTCCTCCGCAACCCAACAGCCCGAGCTAGCATCAACGGCCCAGCCAGCCCAGCAGAGTAACGACACTATGCTCGCATCTTCCTCCGGTCCAATCCGCACGGCCGTGCGCAGCGTTGCCACATCAGCCGCAGCCTCGACGTCCACACGTCCACTCTCGGGCATCTTTGGCATCAACAAGCCGAGCGGGCCTACGTCCATGTCGCTGCTGGACGAGCTCAAGCCTCTGTTTGCCAGCTCTCCGCTCTTCGCCGATGCAGACGGCAAGCGTGCGGATGACAACCGCAAGCGCGGCAAGTTTGGCAGGGGGAAAGGGCGGGGCAAGTGGGCAGGCGGAGTGGCAGGAGCGCCCAAGATCGGTCAGGGCGGTACACTCGACCCTCTCGCCGATGGTGTTCTGGTCGTCGGTGTAGGAAGCGGCACCAAGCAGCTGCAGAAGTACCTCGACTGCACAAAGGAGTATCGTACCACCGGGCTACTCGGATCAGCAACCACGTCGTACGACTCGCAAGACCCTGTCCTCACCCGTAAGCCATACGACCATGTTGCGCCTCAGACGATTGCGGATCTTCTTCCCCGATTCACTGGGACGGTGTTGCAGATCCCACCGCTCTACTCGGCGGTGCGCATTGACGGCAAGAGGCTGTTCGAGTATGCGCGTGCAAACCTGCCTTTGCCAAGGCCAATTGAACCGAGAAAGGTTACCGTGCACGAACTCAGGCTGGTCGACTGGCTCGAGGCGGGCACGCATGGGTTCAAGGAACCGGATCGCGAAGTGCCCGACGAAGACAAAGCACTCGTGGGCAGAGTCCTCGACATGGCTGGCCGAAAGGAAGGTCAAACCGACACGGTCAAAGAAGATCCCACCCAACCGGAGCAGCAGCCTGCACAGTGGAAGAAGCTTCCCACTTCCAAGGACGCCAAGGCTCAGGAGGGTGAGGCAGGTCCACCGGCTTTTGTACTGGAAATGACCGTGTCGTCGGGAACGTACGTGCGCTCGATTGTACACGATCTGGCCATCGCAGCCGAATCGGCAGCACATGTGCAGACGCTCACGCGCACGCGCCAGGGCGAATGGTCCATCGACTCAACCCCCGCCGATGCCGGTTCGCAGCTGATACCGGGTAACTGCATCGAGTGGAAGGTCTTCGCCGACGCCATCGCCGACATGCAGCGCGAAAAGGCAGACGCCTCCTACCGCTCGCCTCGCGACCAAGACGGCCTGCGCGCCTGGGAGCGCCAACTGCTCAACACCATCGTCCCCGTCTAGATCCTCACACGCCAGCTGCAATGTACACCACACCATAGAGATGCAAAGCACAACCTCATTCAAACCAAAGCAGTGTACGACAAAGATTACGCCGCGGCTTTCACAAGTGGCTCTCGAGCCAGCTGTACACAAAGAACAGAAGGAATCGGGTCAGCTGCGTCGCTCGGCAAGCAGTAAGAGCAGGTTTGGTGCGACGTACCCAATCACATATTCGGCCACGATGACCTTGTCCTGGCCGGGCTCGTTGAGCAAGTCGTGATAGTAGCCGTCGAAGAGCTTGAGCGTCTTGTCGCTCGCCTTGACGCGGTCGATGAGCATCTGCGAGCCCTTGTGGCTGGTCACCAGATCGGCGGTTCCGTGGATGGCGAGCAGCGGCTTGGACTCGGGCCAGTGCTGGTACGCCTTTTCGACAATGTCCATGCCGCCCTGCAGCGGGCCCTGAATAGCCTTGAGGTACACCTTTTTCTCCGAGAGCGGGTCGTTTTCAAAGTTGCTGGCGACCACGGGGTCTCGCGAGATGTTTTTGCCCAACAGATCGACGCTCCAGTGCATCTCGGGGATGAGCGAGAGGATCTTGGTGGCGCCCCACACGACGAACCAGGGCGGCGGCTTGGTGAGCGTGAGCCAGGGAGCGCAGGCGACGACACCGGCGACCATGTCCTTGGCCTCCTGCGACGGCGCGTTGGCGGCGTGCTGCTGCTTCCACTCGTCGCTGCGCGTGTGGAAGGCGGTGACGATGCCGCCGCCCATGCTGTGTCCGAGCAGGAAGATGGGCACCTTGTTGGCGCCCCATCGCTCGTCGAGGCGCTGGCGCGTGGTGCGGATGACGTGCTCCAGATCCTGGAACTGCTGCGGCCACGTCGTGTTGCCGTAGTTCTTGACGGGCTCCGACGAGGAGCGGCAGGTGTTGCCCCAGCCACGCTGGTCAAAGCCCAGGATCTCGTGGCCCTTGCTCGGCCACAGCTTGAAGATGTTGCGGTAGCGGTCGACGTACTCGACAAAGCCGTGCACAAAGATGGTCGTCGACTTGGGCTGCACCTCCTGGCCCGCCTCGGTCGGGTAGAAGCGCTTGGCCCAGAAACGCATCTTGTCCGAGTAGTCGGTGTCGATCCAGAACTGCTCCGACTCGCCCGCGTTGGGCACGTCGAGCACGGGCGGCACGGTGGGCTGCTTCTTGGACACGGTCATGATGGGCCGCGCGGGATGGATGCTGAGTTCGGGGAGCGATGATGGTGGGAGGGAGGAGGTTGAAAACGGCATTCAGCCAGGAGCGACAAGCTATTCTCCTGTCCAGTTGCGGTGCTGCGCATTCACTCGCATTCACTCGCATGTGGAGCAACACCACCTCCAAAAAGTAGGCCGGAATTGCCGAGACCGGTCCCAGGCGTTTGGGCAGCGCCGCAAGCGGAATTTCTTCAGAACGCCTCTAAATCCACACGGTCGGGCGATCCGAGCGACAGGGTGTCACTTTGCTGATCCTCGACGGACACCTTGCATCCGACGCAGATCCTCCCGTCGCGGGTGTTGCTGTCGGCGATGCCGGCGATCTCGGCGTAGTGCTATGACTCAGCGTTGCCAGGCTGCTGCTGCTTGCAGGTGGGTCGCAAGAGCATGCCAGCTGTGTGCCCATCCTTCCGGCGAGCAGGTCATGGCTGTCGGAAGCTTCCGATTCTTCGCATACAGGTCCGCTCGCAGCGATGTCACGAACGAACGGGACGAACGGTGTCAAAATTGAGTGTTATCTGTATCCAATACTTGCCCCATGACTCTATAACGGCCTCCTTAGCTCAGCGGTAGAGCACTTCACTAGTAATGAAGAGGTCAGTCGTTCGAGTCGGCTAGGAGGCACTCCCTTTTTGCACTCGGTACGCGTGAAAGATCAACTTTTTGTGCCCTAAAAGATGCAAGAACTGGGGCACGCAACACTTCGTACGCGATTGCTCTTCCTTGAGTGCTTGTGACGGCTGGACAATCATGAACATCAGAAAGCAAATTGTGGCGTTGGGTATGTATCGAGATACAACAACGATCTATGGGTATAAAGAGATAGCAGAGTGACTGGCCTTCTATCTGATCTAGCAACTAGAGACACGCACCTTGCGGCCTGCGCTGAGGAGCGCACACGTCTGCTCGTATTCTGCAAACCAGGACCATCCCTTGAAGTAGCTGGGGCTGGGCGGTTTTGCAACTCTGTACTTGAGAGCACGTAGCGAGTTGCTGAACGGCAGTTCGAGGCAGTGCATGTGCAGATGGTCGACGCTTCGGAACGGCGGAATGTGAAAGCCGAATCTACGCTCCACCGGAGTCGATCCCTTTGACGCACCGTCGAGGCCACCCTTCTGGGACTGCACCTGTGACTGCAAGAGGTCGAGTGCTCTGGTGCCAAAGGCATGCATTCGGCGGACGAGGTCGGTGTCGTGCGGGCCGAGGCTCTGGACGTTGGCGATGTGCGTGCGTGGGATGACCTGCAGATGGACTGCTGCAGCTGGCGAGCGATCGCGGAAGCAGATCAGCTCGGCGTCTTCGAGGATGATCTTGAAGCGGTCCGGCGTGACGTTGCAAAAGGCGCACTTGGCCGGATTGACGCTGTCGACTGCGCGGCGGCCAGCGGGAACGTCCGAGTCGGTGTCGGGCAAAGGCGCCGACCCGCTACGCCGACCAAAGCAGCTGCTGAAGAGGGAACTCATCCCCACGCTCCGTTCTTCCGCAGCAATGTGCAGCGAGTCGATGCTTGAAGGAGGTGAGGAGAAGCAAGCTGCAGCACTCAGGGTCCAACGTGAGGGCAGCTTTGTGGAGGCTCGTCCACTCGCGCGAGAAGCGCCAAAAGAAGCCTCGCTGACCGCAGCCTTTTTTCTGCGTTTGCTGATCAGAGAGAGACGGCGCGAAGAAATCGCTCGCTTGATCAGCGTGGCCCGAGCCGTGTCCACCTCCCCTCCCGACCACAACCATCCGCGACCAAAGGTAAGTTTTCTTCTTGCTACTGCACGATCGCAACGGCTCGGTGCACACTCGAATGATGATTGGATTCTGCCTGGCACCAGTCGTAAAAAGCAATATATTGCCGACAACACCGATAGCAGTGGAGGCCTTTACGCTATTATCCTCCCTTAATCTGATACCGCACCCCCCGCTGCCCAAGCACCGAGCCGCAGATCCACGTTGCAGTCCACGCTGAACAAGAGTCGAAGCTCATGCTGACCACCAACGTTTTCATCTCCTCTTTGCTTGTCGCCCCGCGTCTTGTAGCTCTCTTGGCCTTGTCTCCTGTGTGTTCCTGCTTTTGTACTTTTCTACCAGCGCCTTTGAGAATAGCTTTTGGCTGCAAAACATGCTAGGCAACACGAGCGTTCGCTCGCTCGCGCGCGCACGAGCCCAAGTCTGCCAGTGAGTCCCAGGTCCCTCTTCCCTTCTGCGGTGTGTGAACTGTGCGCTGAGATGCTGCTGCTTTTCACGATCCAGGCCGTGTACGGCAGCAGTTCGATCCTTTGCGTCGACGTCCGAGGTGCGACTCGATTCGTCAGCGCGGTCGGGGCATGGGAGCGAGACGGGGCCGTCGTCGGTGCACGCGTCCGAGATCGAGCACTTTAGTCGGCTTTCGTCGCAGTGGTGGGACGAGCATGGCGAGTTTGGTCTGCTGCACGCCATGAACCCGGCGCGCATCCAGTTCATGCGCGAGAAGCTCGACGAGGTATGGGGATACGAGCTTGCGCTTCAACAAGTCGCCCCGACCACCTCCTCCGTTCCTGCTTCGTCGTCGTCGGCACGGAATCCGCTTTCGAATCTGGGCAAGACGCGGTTTCTTTCGGGACTGGATGTTGCGGACATCGGGTGCGGGGGTGGGTTGCTCAGCGAGTCGCTAGCCCGGCTGGGTGCACGCACAACAGGCGTGGATGCGAGTGCGAGCAACATCGGTATTGCCACCACACATGCCTCTCGAGACCCCCTTCTCTCCCGCCCTCACCCGCTTGGTGGATCCTCTCTCAACTATCTCCATACGACCGCCGAGCAGCTGGTGGCGGAAGGACGACAGTTCGACGTCGTCTGTGCGATGGAGGTGCTCGAACACGTGAATGGTCCTGCGGACTTTATGCGCTCGCTCGATCGCCTGCTCAAGCCCGGTGGCCATTTGTTCATGTCGACCATTGCGCGCACACCGCTCTCGTGGTTCCTCACCATCTTTATGGCCGAAGACGTCCTGCGCCTCGTCACCCCCGGCACCCACACCCACAGTCAGTACATCAACCCCGACGAACTCAAGGGCTTCGTTCAGAACGATCTCAAGTGGTTCGGAAAAGGGTCCAAGTTGCCACAACGAATGCACTTCGAGGTCAGAGGAACCGCTTATCTTCCTTGGAAAGGTACCTGGAGTCTGGCAGCACCAGAAACCGCTCTTCCAGCAACTCAGTGCAACTACTTCTTCTGGGCTCGTAAGCCTCTCAATCCCTAAACACTGCAATCGAAACTTGATCATCGCAAGTAAATGCTGTGTAAAATGGTTGTGCAATTGATAGCTGATGTTGACACTAGAAGGCCGTGGAAACGCCCGAGCGGCGGCGGTGAGGAAGTTCGTTGCCTGATTGACGGGGTTACGATCGAACCACCTGCGATCTGGGGCAGCTTGGTTCGGCTTCCATGTGCGTTGAGGGGTGGGCCCATACCTGTTAACTTTGCTAACAGGTTATGAGCCCAAGCGTCAACGCCAACGCAAGCGAAACCAACTCTACCACGGGATGTCTTGCTTCGGCTCCCGTTTCCATTGAGGTCTGGGCTCATACCTGATAGAATTTCCATCAGGTTATGAGCCCAAGCGTCAACGAAAACACAAGCGAAAGCCAAGACTCGAGCCGGAAGTAAACTCGCTTCGGCTTCCACTTGCGTTGAGGCGTGGACCCATACCTATAAGGTTTCCTTATAGGTTATGAGCCCAAGCGCCAACGCAGATGCAAGCGAGAGCAAGTTACCCAACCAGATCGCAGGCACATCAACCGCCAAAATTCCGCCGCATGACCACCCGTCTTGGATCCAGGATCGACGGGGATTAGAGCTTGAACTGATTCGCGGTGGTCGGTTTTGCCGCCGCACCATTCGCGCCCTTTTTGGCCTTCTTGCCCGATCCTGCACCAACAGCATTGGGCTCCTTGCCGATCACCGAGACGCCACGGTTGCCAACGAGCTTCTTGAGTGCCTGCTGCTTCTCCTCCTTGTCGTTGACCTTCTTTGCCCTGACCAGTCCAGACATCTCGAGAGCCTTCTGCGTATCCTGAATCCTGTCGTTCCTCTTCCTCTTTTCGGCACGAAGCTTGTTGTGCAGCCTCTGCTTTTCCTCTGGCGTCATTTCGGACTTGGCACCTTCCATGGCAGTCGAGTGCTTGGCACGCTCGTACACCTCTTCCGGTGCCAACATTGTGCTACTCGACGCCGTTGCCGGCAGAGCCGATTCGATCGCCACCGAGGGAGCATTGGTGATGGTTTGGATCGTTGCCTTCGGAGCACGCGGGGTAAAGTGCGCATTCGAGAGCGCATCGAGCTTGTTGAAAATATCGTCGTAGAGCTGCGTGATCTCTTCGTGCTCCTTGGCCAATTTCGCGTCTGCTTCGGCCACAGGTGCCCCCTCGTCGCCATCGGCCCCACCTCGTGCGGCTTGATACTCTTCCTCGTACAGCTCGGCGAGACTCTTTGCGCTTTTGCTGTCGGAAAGCTCAAGCAGGCGCGAGGGGAGGAACGGCAGGGCTTCGAGTTCGCGCCGGCGGATGACGTCGTCAAAGTTGCGCTCGAGAATGCGTCGCTTGATGAGCTGTTCGAGCGACTCGGTCATCTCCTCTGTCACCTGCGGAACCACCTTGGCGGCACGTTCGAATTCGAGGTCCTGCTCGAGAAGGCTGTCCTGCGGACGTGCGCGTGAGCCAGCCTCGCCCATGAGCGTCCACTCCTTCTTGGCGACATTCTCGTCCTCAAGCCGCGCGATCTCCTCCTGCAGAGCGGCGACGCGCTTCTCGTGCGTCGAGAGCTTGTCCTGCGCATCATCCTCGTCGTCGCTGTCGGCAAAGAGATCACCAGCCACGCGGCGAGCGGTCTTGGCACCCTGGCCGTCGTCGCTGCCAGCTTGGCTGCCTTCAGACTCGTCTTCGGACATGTCGGCACGATCTTGGTCTTCTTCGTCGTCCTCCTCGTCGTCGCTGGCATGGCGTCCGATGGAAGATGTCTCGGACTCGACTTCGTCCATGTCCATATCTTCATCGTCGTCGTCTTGGCCGCTGCGCTCCTCGTCGTCGTCGTCGTCGTCCTCGTCAAAGTCGCGCGCGGCGTCGACGTCGTCGGAGGAGGCGCCGATCATGCGGAGCATCTCCGGGGTGAGGTCGTCTGCGGACTTTTTGCGCGGCTTGATGCGGCGGTACTCGATGGTGTCGTTGAAGCGGATGCTGCGCTTGCGGTCGGGCTCCTCGTGCACACGCACCGTCGGCTCACCAGACTCGGACTCTTGCTCGCTCTGTTCGTCATCATGGTCGTCGGCCTGCTCGTCGGCGGCGGCGTCCTGGGTGGCGAATCGGGCGGAGGCCTTCCTCTTGCCGAACTTTTTGTTGAAGCGTTCTGCCTTGGCGGGGGGCAAGAAGAAGTCGGCGTAGTGTGCATCGGCAGCATCTACGGCGGCTGCTTCTGCGGCCTCGCCTGCGTCTGCATCATCGTCGTCGTCGTCCATGTCTTGGTCGCCAGCAAGCGGCTTGTAGAAGTCGACCTGGTTGTCGAGGTCCTCTTCTTCGCTCTCGTCGGCGGGGTCGGCTTCCTCCTCGGCGTCCTGCTCGTCGAGCTGCTTGTTGAGGTCGTCTATGGAGAAGAAGTCGTCGTCGAGAGTGGGATGACGCTTTGCGGGGCGGGTGGCAGCCTCTCCTGGACGATCGAGGTCTTGGAGGAGGGATTCGGGAATGTCAGAGGCACGAGCGCGCTTGCCACGTTTGTTTGGTGATTGCTCTTGCTCTTCTTCGGACTCGATGTCGTCTTCATCGTCCGAGCCTTGTTGCTCAAATTCATCCTCGTCGTCGTCGTCATGGCCGACTTGGGAGCGCAGACGTGGGAGCATGCCCATCTCCTGCTCCTCTCTGCGACGGAGCTGCTCGGCCTCTGTCTTGAGTGGCTCGTAAAAGACTTCGGTGGGGTCGCCGTCGCTGATGTCGGAAGCACCTGCGTAGGGCGAACCCTCCTCGTCCGAGTCTTGGTCATCGTCATCGTCGTCGCCCTGCTCTTGTGCAAGCTCTGCGAGGAACTGCTCACGGAGGGCTGGGTCGATGCCGAGCGCGCGGAGGTCTGCGTCGCTAAGCTGGCTGAGCTTGACGCGCTCTTCCTCCGGGTCGAATTCCTCGTCATCTTCTTGCCCGTCGGAGTCGTCCTCGTCGTCGTCGTCGTCGTCGTCGTCGCTGGACTCATCGTCATGGGCGTGCTTGCGAGTGCGAGAGGGACCTGCACGGCTGTTGTCGTCCTCATCTTCCTCGTCTTCTTCCTCTTCGCGGATGAGGCCCTGTGCAAAGTAGCGTTCTACGAGGCGAGACATCTGGGAAGCCTTGAGGTCGAGCTGCTCCCAGAGCTGGCGTGAGTCCATGCCTTGAATGATGAGCTCATCGAGCGGCGTGGCTTCAAAGACAGGAGCAGCGGCGGGTGCAGCCTGTCCGCGTTTTCGCTTGCCGCCGGAGCGGGAGGCACGCTGGTCGGGAGCAGCCGAGTTGGGAGCGATGGTGTTGATGAAGGAGCAGATGGCGGGTACGGCGTTCTTCTCGGAACGGACGGCATGGTCGAAAAGCTGCTTGAGTGCGGAGACAGAGAGCTGAGAGAGCGAGGTATCTGGGTTGGCGAGTCGCTCTGGGTTCGTGGCGATGAGTTCGGCCAGTTCATGAGCCTTGCTGAGCTGCGGCAGGGAGGTGGAAGTCGATGGCTCTGATGGTTGTGATGGTGATTGGGCGGTGGTGGCCGGCGCTGATGCCTTTGCACCCTTGCGCGGTGAGGATGGCATGGTGTGGCCGACAGTGCAGAGCGATCGTTCGGTCGCTGAATATGTGCGGCTAGGGATGTGATGGTGGGGCCATGAAGCGAAGGAGGGTGGGTGCGGAAAGGGTCGTTGGAAGAACAAGGGACGGCCTGAGTGTGGAACAGAAAGTGCATCTGCAGCCGACTCCTTCCCAAAATTTTCGGGACAAATTGAGGCAGCTTACTAAGGCTTTGCTGATAGAAGCCCAGTCGAGTGGCATTTTTTGAGACACAACTGTAGGGAGACAGGATCTAACGATCCATCAATTTGTTCGTATTCCGTCGACTCAATTTGTGCGTCATGAATGTCTCGGCGCGGGGCATCATTGGAGGGCAGCTGTTGGTTGGCTGCTGGACGACGAGAGAGAGAGTACATGGCGTCGCAGCTCGCATGGCAAGCGAGAAACCAGAGCACTGGCGCCCTTTCCGCCAGAACAACGCAATCCACCAGAGCCTTGGCCTGGAGGAGCCAAGGTGGACCGCGTGCAGATGGCGCTGCGAGATGGCTCGAGCCGAGATCCACCAAACCACGCCCGCGCCCGCTCGCATGGAAGCTTTGTCGAGAGAGTCGGAGTGAGCGCTGCATGATTTGAGCCCTTTCGGCCAAAAAAGACACGAAAAAGAAAACGAGAAAGGAAAGTGGAAAGTCGAAAATGGATTCCCGTTCGGGAGAGTCGGAGTGTGGATTGCGCTTTGCCTTTTTTTAAATAATTGTCTGTGCTCGGCGCACACACACACACACACACATCCGCCTATCTGACAACCTTCCCCTTCGACCACCATCCACGCCAACGTTTGGTCCCGCGTAGGCTCCGTCGAGCTTGTCCCCACCGAGCCTGCATCGCGCTCCGTGCCATCCGCACAACATGCCCGCGCAAACAAACGGCGCAGGGCCCAGCCGCTCCGCCAGTCGCTCCGGCGGCCTCAGCGGCAAGTTTTCCTTGTCCAACCTCTCCATCAAGAGCGCAGACGCTCGCAACGGTGCGCGCACTCCAAAGAGCCCACACCGCCCTTTCCTCAGCAATCCAGGACCCAGATCCACCAACGGACGCACCTCCAACCTCTCCACCTCCTCCATCGCCAAATCCACCGATGGCAACAACATCGCGCAGCTCTACGCCGTCTTTGGCCTCCCCAAGGACCCCGCCGTCTGGACCCTCGCCGAAGAAGACTCCACCAATGGCGTACACCACATCGAGAGCGCAGTCGGCCGCTTCTGGCGTCCAGAGGCCCTCGGCTGCTCCATCTGCCCACCCATCAACCCCGTCGAAGAAGTCCCAAAGACGCCCCTCTCGCCCCGAAGCCCTTCCGACAAGAAGGACACCAAATCCTCAGCTTGGGGCTCCAACGATGAGAAGGACGGATCCAACCCAAAGTTCATCGAGATGGCAGACGGTCGCGGCGGCATCGAGCGCGCAGAGACCGCACGCGTCCTCTCCAAGGCCCTCAAGCTCTCCTTTACCCGCGAGATCGAGATCTCCACCGGCCCAATCCACTTCCCGCCCTCCTCCACCTCTCACACCTTCTCCTTTAGCGTACCTACCGTCAAGTCGTCCGCTTCCGGCGGCGCAGCACGCCCCTCCACCGACGTGCGCAAGGCCGGCGCCCCCTTCTCCGTCAGCGCCGCCAACGTCCACAACACGCGCTCCTTCTCCGCCGTCGGCGAAGGCTTCGGCCTCGAGGGCGTCTCCTCCCGTCTCCCCGCAGGCGCAGGCGGCTCCGGCGACGACACCCCCGGCGTAGCCACCTTCTACGGCTCCGTCCTCACCGTATGGTCCGCCGCAGACGACAAGCGTGCAAAAGCCATCCGCAAGGAACTCGGCCGCCTCGCAAAGGCGCGCGCCACCGCTCGCACCGCCGCCACCAACAAGAACGTCAACAACGACGGCGAGGACATCGAAGACGACGCCGAACTCACCAGCGCGCTCGGACACTCGATCCTTCCGGACAACAACGCCTTCTTCATGCCTTACGCCATCTGCATCGTCTCCCGATACCCCATCTACAACCTCCTCGCCGACTGGAACAAGGCCGCCTGGTTCAAGTACAGCCGCAACATCGAAATGCACAACAAGCTCATGGCCGCCATCCTCCGCCATCCCGCTCCGCGCATCGGCGAGACCTTCCGCCTCCCTTCGCCCGACGAGGACCTCGCCTTCGTCTGCACCTTCCCCGGCGCACTCGACTGGGGCAGGGGCCTCCTCGGCATCGACTTTTCCATGTGGCCCCTCTTCAAGGCGCTCTCCATCGACAACGTGCTCACCATCTGCGAGATCGCCCTCGCACCAGCAGGTCGCATCCTCTTCATGTCGCGTCACCCCGCCCTCATGGGCATGGCCGTCGAGACGGTCAAGTACCTCGTCGAGCTCTGCGGCTGGAAGGGCGTCGCACACCAAAATTGCCACGCCAGAGACGTGCGCATCTACCTCGAGGACCCCGGCTCCTGGCTCATCGCCATCAACACCGAGCTGCGCAGCATCATCAAGCCGCCCAAGGAGGTCTGCATCGTCGACCTCGACATCAACTTTGTCAACTGTCCGCGCCCGCCCCTCAAGGCGCCCTCCAAGGGCGCCGCCAGAGACAGGAAGCGCAGAAAACTCATCGCCGCCCTCGGCTTCTCCTCCGCCGACTACACCATCCCGCGCGAGTACGTCGAGGCCTTCCCCAGCGGCCGCTTCCGCCCGCTCAGCAAGGTCGAGTCCACCTCGCGCGACGTCGCCTACGAGCGCCTCGAGACGCCCCAGTGGTGGGACCAGGGCGCGCTCGTCGGCGCCTTTGACCACGTACTTCACGAAGGCACCAAGCCCAGCTTCCTCAAAAAGGTGCTCCGCATGCGCACCGACAAGCAGGCCGTGGCATCCGAGACCGAACAGGCCGCCGTCCTGGCGCTGCGCAAGCGCGCCAGCACCTTTGTCGACGCGCGCGACGGTCTCGAGAACAAGATCGGCAGGCTCAACAAGCGACTCGCCTTCCTCATGAGCGAGGGCGAGATGTGGCGTCAGCAGTTTGACAAGATCCAGCAGCTCGTCGACCGCCTCACGCGCGAGGCGGGCGACCTGCGCGCCAAACTCGACAAGGAGCGCCGCGAGTCGCGCAGGCTCAGCTCGACGCTCCAGCAGCGCGATCTCGAATACGTCCAGGCGCAGATCCAGCTCAAGGAGACCGAGCAGGCTCGCGAAAAGGCACAGGGCGAGCTGCTCCGCATGCGCACCGCCATGGAGAACCTCGAGTCGGAGCGAGAGGCCATGATGGACGAGATCCGCAACGTCCTCTCCACCTCGGGCGACGACTTTGGCATGGCTTCGCTCGGCAATCTGCAGAGCATGACCCAGAACTACACCCGACTCGACGGCGCCGGCTCGCCCGCAGCTAGCGACGCCAGCCACAACACCGAGATGCACATTATGAAATCGCGCGCGCTCGCCGAGCAGCGCATCTCCATGGGTCAGCCGCGTACCCCCAGCCGCCTCAACAAAGGTTCCGTCGCGCCGTCGGAAGACGCGCATGCCAATGGCGCCCAGCCCAACGCGTCGGCGTCCAACCACTTCCCCGACGAGCAGATGAACAATGAGATCCAGAAGCGCACCACGGCGGTGACGGATCAGATCGCCAAAATCCAGCAGCAGCTCGAGTCGACGCTCACCCAGCTCGAGGGCCGACGCTCGGTCACGTTGGAGCGCAGCCGCCGCCTGTCGTCCTCGTCGTCCGTGGGCAGCCACCGCTTTGATGCCGCCTCGAGTGTGGGTCACCACAATGCGGTTGCCTCCAGCATTGGGCATGGGGATGACGGGCTGTACGCTCACCGACCGTCCGAGGAGGTCGAGACGATGAACGGTGAGCGCGCTGCAGTGCCACGACGCCAGCGCACGGTGTCTTCGACGAATCACGCGTCGACACAGCGCTCCAACCAGCTGGCTCGGCCTACGCCCGTGCTGACGCCCAAGAGCCCTGCGCGCGGCCAGCGCGAATCGTTGGTCTCGTCCACCGCACCGCACACCGACAACAGCTCGCTCGAGGCGAATGGACACGACACCTCGTCGCCACCCAGCGAGCCTCAGCCTGCCGAGGTCACCAAAGACGCAGCACCAGTGGCCACTGCTGCTACAGCGGGTGCTGCGGCAGCGATCGTCGGTGCGGCTGCCTCGCCTGCTGCGCTCGGCAGCAGCAAGCAAGAGGTCAAACTAGCTGAGATTGAGGCTGCGGGCGACCGCAGCAAGGATCTGCCCGACGTACCTGCGGACTTGAGCAGTGCCGATGTCGACGCCTCGAAGCTCGACGAGCCCGACGCCACTGATGATGAAGACGGGGATGCGCTCAACATGTTTGACGAGCCCGAAGATTTCCGCCCCAAGACGCCACCTGCAACGGTGACGTACTACGAGTTCCCCGGCACCTCTTCCAAGGTGACGCTCAACCTGGTAGGGTCTCATCCGTTGTGGGGCCACCTGGCGTGGAACGCTAGTTTCATCATGGCGGACTTCCTCTGCGCGCACGCTCTCACACTCACCAAGGGTAAGCGTGTGCTGGAGTTGGGTGCTGCAGCTGGATTGCCAAGTATCGTCTGCAACTGGGCGTCTGCATCGCACGTAGTCGCGACCGACTACCCCGACAAGGCCCTTATCGACAACCTCACGCGCAACATTGTCGAAAACTGTCAGGACGAAGCGAGCCCACTGCGGGGAGCGGGGGAGACGTTTGTAGAGGGCTATATTTGGGGTCGGGATGCAACGCCGCTTCTGGAAAAGGCCGGTGGCAAGTTTGACTTGATCCTCATGTCGGATTTGGTCTTTAACCATCAAGCCCATCCGGCACTGTTGGATACCTGCGATGCGTGTTTGTCGGATGCAGTAGCGGACGAAGGCGTAGCGACCCCTTGCGTGCTGGTCTTCTTTACCCACCACAGGCCGCATTTGGCGTACAAGGATATGCAGTTCTTCGACATGGCCGAAGTCAAGGGCTGGAAGTTCGAAAAGCTCGGAGAGTGGTTCAAGCAGCCAATGTTCCCACAGGATCCGGGTGACGAGGTCGTGCGATCCACCATCCATGGATTCAGGCTCTGGAGAGCATAGAGACCAATACAATTCGTTCTTGCTTCGGTCTTGGCTTGCTCAACTCGTGTGTGTGTGTTGCGACTGTGTTGCAAAGCTGGATGCCCGCCGCTGTTGACCGGCTCGCCAACTGTCGAGCCCCGAGCGTCTCCCACGACCAAGTTGACGGTGTTGCAGTTGATGACGATGTTCCCGGGCAGATCACCGCTTCCAACCATGATGACGTTGGCCGAAAAGGGATACGAGAATCTGTCAACAGGGGAAACGAGTAGCAAGCCAAAGGGTCGAAGCCGGATGACTGGGACAAAAGGCCGGGCTGGAAGACGAGGATATGGACCAGAACCGTGAAATGGGGTTGAGGATCGAATGGGGAAAGCGAAGCTGGAATGGGAGAGGGATGGAAGTTGGGGTAAGAGACAGGAGCGGAGGGTCAGACACGTCGCCATATGTAGCAAGTGGAAATGCGGGAAGGTTCCAGCGGCGGCTGAGTTGCGGGATCTCACCTATCCGCTCGTCCTTCTCCGCACGCAGTGTGCCTCGTCCAACGTGAAGTCGGCAGCTCCAACCCAAACTCTAAAGCAGTGCAGTGTTCTGTCTTATCTCCACCGTCCTTGTCTTTGGTGTTGATGAGCGTGTGACAAGTCAATGTGATTGCCTCGACTTTGAGTCTGGCTCCGCTGCACGCCGGCTCCGCTCGAAGCCGGCCGCAAAACTTAAACGTTTGCGGCTCTCCGGATGCGCCTTCAGTTGCCGCAATTCGAGCCGGTCAATGCGGGTGCGGATCACCAACAAGTCCGGCGCGGCCTCGAGAACAAGACCGGCAGGCTCAACAAGCGGTTCGTCTCCCTCATGGGCGAGGGCGAGATGTGGCGTCAGCAGTTGGACAAGACCCAGCAGCGCGATCTCGAGTACGTCCAGGCGCAGACCCAGCTCAGGGAGACCGTGCAGGCTCGCAAAAGGGCCCAGGGCGAGCTGCTCCGCATGCGCACCGCCGTGGAGAGCTCGAGAGCCCGACCGCCCTTCGTCAGTGTGAGCGCGTGGGCGCAGAGAAAGTCCGCCAAGAGGGGTAAGCGGGCGTGCGGCTATTCCTGACCCTTGTGCGACTGGATCGGTGGAATACGCAAGACAGTCGTCCTGTCCGGGCCACGTCGCCAAACGACACTTGCTAACGCACGATCACAAGTCAGGTTCACACTGAACCTCGCACTCTTTCACACTCTGCTCGCGCTCACTCTTGTACACACTCGATCGAGATCCGAATCACTGGTATCATTCGGCAGCACGTAATACAAGATTGTTTAGGCCATGGAAGGGTCGACGCGCTTCTCGCCGGCGCCGACCAAGTTGTTGTCGAGCTTGACGAGGGGTTCGGGGCGAGTGACACCCTTCTGCCTGAGGATGGTGGTCTTGAACCAGTAGGGGAGGGTCTTTGTGTTCTGGTGCTTGATGAACTTTGCGTGAGGCACGCTGAAGACCGCATCGAGTTCCTCGAGCGTGTACCTGGCGGTTTCGGGTACAAAGAGCCAGATGAGCACAAAGGCGCATACGTTGAGACCGGCATAGAAGCCGAATGCGCCCGTGGGCGTCATGACACGAAGCATACGCGGGAAGGTGATACTGAGCACAGCTGCCCAGAACAGACAGGTGGCCACCGCCCAAGCCATACCCTGCTCACGCTGAGCAAGCGGGAATACTTCGGCCGAGTATGTGAATGGAACGGGACCCTCACCGACCGAGTACACGGCGGCAAAGAGGTAGACGAACAGGGCGACGAGTCCAATGCGCGTCTTGTTGGTCTCGCCCGGGATGAGGAAGCAAAGACCGGCAGCCAGGAGCGTCCACGCCATCTGTGGGAAGGTAGAGAGCAGCAGGCTTCGTCGACCAAACGTGTCGATGGTGACAAGCGCAGGGAAGGCAAACAGGAAGTTGACCGCTCCGAATCCGACCGAGGCGTACAGAGCCTCCTTGGAGCTGAAGCCTCCCTCCTTGAAGATGGTCGACGAATAGAAGGCCACGATGTTGATACCGCACATTTGCTAGAATTCAAAGCCACGAGAGAAAATCATCAGTATCGGTCGCAGCAAGGAAAGGCAAGGGTCCGAAGCAGGAAGGACTTACCTGAGCGAGCATGACCACGGTAGCACCGACAGTGGCACGGCGAACACGAGGGATCGTAAAGAGCTCCATGAAGCGGGCGACGTAGTTTTCGCCGCGGATGATCTTGGCCTCCTCGAGAAGATTGACGTGGATGTAGTAGAGATCCCTGTAGGCCTGGAGCTTGTTGTGTCGGAGGCGGATGAGCGAGCGGAGCGCCTGCGGGTATCGGTTCTTCTTCATGAGCCAGCGGGGCGACTCGGGGCAGAAGTAGATGAGGATGGCAAGCGGCAGCGCGGGAATGAAGGCGGATCCGAGCTGCAGACGCCACGAGATGTCGCCCGTGTCCGCGACGACGACATTTGCGATGAAGCCGAGGAAAATACCAAAAGCCTGAAGGAACAAAAAAAAAATATGAGAAGAAAGTATACTTTGTGTCAGACCATGGTCGTCACTTCATGAAGGAGTGTCATACGACACTCCTGATGGTGTAGAAACAATGAACTTACAGTCCAAAGCTGCCAGCCCATTACGAGGGCACCACGGATCTGTGCGGGCGAGTTCTCGGCTGCGAAGACGGGGACGGTGGATCCCTTGGCTCCCATGCCGATTCCGAGGAGCAGACGGACGATGAAGAGCTCCCACCAGTTCTTGGTGAAGCCCGAAGCGATGGGAGTGACGACGAGGATGACGGCGGTGATAAAGATGCATCCTCGGCGGCCGAAGAGGTTGTTGAGCGGGTCCGAAAGCCAGCAGCCGATCATGGCACTGGCGATGTAAGGGGCGGCGTTGACGATACCAACGATCCACTGGTTCCTCTCTGCAAGTGCGGCCGAGACGTAGCCGGGAGCGCCAGGGGCGATGCCTTCGGAGGCGGCCTCGGGAATGTTGAAGGCGACGGGGAAGCTGAGGTTGGCACCGTTGGAGCCGGTCTGATCCCAGCCCTGAGTGGCTGCGCCGATGGAGCAGGTGAAGATGGTCATGTAGAGGAGGAAGGGGTGGGACCACTTGTGCGAGTACTCGTGTGCGATGGCGTCCTTCTCGTCCTGAGGGAGCTCCTCGATGGACTGAAAGTCAGCGGGACGCTGGGCGAGCAAGGCGCCGCGCTGAAGACCCTCGAGATGGTCGGTGAGGCCCTTTTCCTGCGCAAAGATCTCGACGTCGCGCATGAGCTGGGCCTTGGGGATGCCGGCGAGCGGGTTGTTGACCATGGACTCGTCCAGGACGGCCTGGGGAACGGGGACGAGCGAGTCATCATTGGAGCTGGCATCGTCGGTGGCGAGGCGGTCGGCGGTGACCTTTTCCTCGGAGGGAGAGCGTTTCTCGTCGAGAGCCGACATGTTGGAAGGGATGCGGGGAACGCGGGGGTTGTCGTAGTGGATTGGAGCTGCAGAGCGAGCGGGGGGGTTATATACGCGGCTGCATGGGTGGTCGAAGTCGGGGAAAGCGCGCGTTGGCGAATGCGGGGAGGGGGAGGTGCCCCACAAGTCATGCGTGGCTGCAGCTAAGCCCCCACGCTGTTGCTGTTGCGATGGAGCGAGGGAGGGAGGGGGTGAGGCGGAGCAAAAAAAGGGCTCGGTTGACTGACTCACTAGCCGAGGTTCAAGGGCCCCCACACGGCGTTGGCCATCTGCCACCTACGACACACGATTGGCTGCGGCGAGCCATGTTGCACTGCCAGCCTCCTCGGCAGCAGCCCCACCCGAGCACCACATGCAACAGTCTCACTTGCTCGACGGCTTGAATGCGCTCGACCATCTCAGCAGGCACGGTGCACCAACAATGGGAGAGCGAACCCTTTCAATGCTATGCAGACCCTGTGCGGAAGGCGAAGAAGCGAGGTTGACCGGCTCTATTGCAGAAGTGGGGGCTCGTGTGGCCACCCTCCAAGAGCCGTCGTCGAGTCGAGTCGAGTCGAACGCGAACGCGGAGTTGGGATGTCGAGGAGCGCGTAGAGGGTCGGACGGAGTTGAATTTGTCAACGGCACTTCCGTTGGAAGCGCCAAAGGGAGCGTCGGTGGGGCCAAGGGTTTCCCCACGCCCTGTGCTCATGAAGCACGGCAGTTGACTCGGAGGCAGTGGAAGCGAGCCTCGAGATGGGCCAAGTTCGGACCATCCAAACCCTTGGCTGCTCCTACAGGCTGCTGCATTGTTGCGCGCGGGTGCAGCTCCCCTTTTGTGCGAAGAGCCCTTTTTGCGGAGAGCAGCCGCGTACAGCCTCTCTCTGTGCGGAGAAAATTCGGCATGTCGGAAAATAGAAAATCGAGGCGAGCAGGCAGAGAAGCAGCCAAACACGGCTCAGGCCGATCCCCGCAACTCGCCGCGGGCGGACTTTTAAAAACGGATTCGTCGGCTACACCACTTTTCGGCCGCTTCGCCGATGGGAAACCAAAGCGCTTCGCACCTGGTCGCAGCTCGGAATAGCCAGTCCATCGAGCTGGTTCAGTCAACTCCCGCAAGCGAACACTACCACGTACAAGGACGTAGGATGGAATGATGGCGCACGCGACATTGTCCAAGGGCGCTGATGGAGGTCGAGGAGCGGCACCGTAGGAGGCCGCTGTAGAACCCACTCGGCGACGTCGGCAGGCTAAGTCCGCTCCAACGGCGCAGCGATCAGCCGAATCATGAACACAATCCACGGCAGCTTCGCCGCACCTCTTTTGTAAGCCGGTGAGATTGCGGTGCGTAGCCGAATTTCACGCCGAGCTTGGCCGCAGCGCCTCTGTTCATGGCTGCGCTTAAGCGAGCTGCGCGCGTCAAACCTCTCGTCCCCTTTGCTCATACACCGCGACGCCTTCAGCGGCCCCGCGCCTCTCTCGTCACACGAGACCCTCTTGTCCCAGTGAATGCCACATGTCTCTGCCCGTTGGCGCGTTCCTGCTCGTCCAGCCTAAAGCTCTTGTGCAGGGTTCCTCCCCGTTCACATCCCCCCCGCAATGATCACTCGGCCCCTCCGAGATCTCGAGACGTTGAGCTGTCCCGCGCGTCGACGGGCTTCCAAAGAGTGCCAAGACCTCGCCGTGATCAAGTGACCTGGAGTAGAAATTCGATCCAGTCCTTCTCGCCGCGCCACAGCGTCAGTGCATTTCGTACCGAGACGAGCGTGGTTCAGCGTGGCCGACGACGAGAAGCTGTCGGCGTCTTTGCGGGGCGCAAGGCTCTGCCACACCTCTGTACCAATCTTGCCGAGGTTCACCCGTTCAAGCCCACGCTGCGAGGAACCGTGTGCGCTGTGCTCGAAGATGATGATCCTGCACTTTGCCCCGTGTCGGCCATCGGCGAGGTAAATTCGCCGGTGCGGCTTGAGTCCCCCCTCACTGGTCTACCCGTCCGGACATGGCTTTGAAGAAGGGATGCAGTGAGCCTCCTCCATGATGCCGTTGCCGATGCCGAACCTGGCTGCGTCTTGCACGGCAGGTACGAACCGGCTGCCGGCCAAGAGTCTCCACCACGACGGAGTCGAAAGCAGCCTCGGAAGATCGCCTCACCACCGCCTTGGCGTCGCCGGTCAACCGCACGCACGTCGACGGAGTTGCAACCAGCGTCGGAAAATGCACCAGAGCGGCAAATGGCCTTGATAGTTCGCAGATCGACCCGATGCACCTTGTAAAAATGGAGCCCGATCGAATCGCCCTTTCCAGCTAGCAAAATCGGCGCTCGCTGGCACTCCTGCGAAAAAGTGGGCCCAGAACGAAAATTCGGAAGCCGGACACACGCGCGTGCGTGCACCCGCCGCTGCCAACCGCGCATGAAGCGGCGCTCGACATCTTGGAGCTCCACCATTCCGGACCAACGACACCCACACGACGTAAGACAAGGCACCACTTTGCCTTTTCTCATATCGTCCTGCAGTAAGGCCACCGCCACGGCCGCACGATGAACAGCAAGGCGGCACAGGAGCGCCAGCAGCGCATCCTGCTCGACCTCGTTCGGCAGCCGGGCAACGATGTGTGCGCCGACTGCAAGGGCCGCGCGCCGCGATGGGCAAGCTGGAACCTGGGCATCTTTATCTGCGTGCAGTGCGCCGGCGTTCACCGCAAGATGGGCGTGCACATCTCCAAGGTCAAGTCGATCACGCTCGACACGTGGACGCGCGAGCAGGTGGACCGCATGAAGGAGATGGGCAACCTCAAGAGCAACCGCATCTTTAACCCCGACGAGATGCGCAACCGACCACCCACGAATATGGAGGAGAGCGAGCGCGATAGTGAGCTCGAAAAGTACATCCGCCGCAAGTACGAGTTCCGCAGGTTCATGGAGGGTCGTCCACCGCCAGTGCCCACCAAGGACGCCACGTTCTTGACCTCGCCGCCTGCATCGTCCGGGCGGTCAAGATCGCCAGTACCGGGGGTGTCGGAGCAGCGCAATCTGGCACAGGGCAGCAGCATTGCACGATCGCGCACGGCTCCGATCCCATCGACGTGGAGCGAGGCTCAAAGGAGAGTGGGTGCCAATGCGCCGCCGCTTCCGTCGTCGAGCACCAAGGCGTTTGCACTCCCCACACCCGCGGCCTCTTCACAGCCCACGCTGCAGCTTCCGAATGGAGCTGTGCCCCAACGAACATCGAGCGCGCTCGACGGCCGCAACGGCAGCAGCAGCGCTGCCTCGCGGCCGGTGGGTGGAGCGAGTGCGCAATCGAGCGTGTTTCACGATCTCATCTCGCTGGGCGAGCCGTCTTCAACGCCGTCTACGCAGCAGCCTGCACTGCAGATGAATCCATGGGCGGCGATGCAAGCTCAGCAGCAAGCGGTCCTGAGCGCACCAGCGATCCAAGAACCTTCTGGCAACTTTTGGTCTGCTTCCAGCAGCGGTGGTGGAGTGTCGCCTGCATCGCCGTTTGGACTAAGTCCTTCCGGGGCCACGTCGTTGGGTGCCATGCGGGCTATGCCACAGCATGCCAATACGCTGCCGGTTGCGACGCAGCCACATGCCATGGGTGGCGTTTCTCCCGGCATGCTGAGTCCCGGCGGGATGTTTCCGCAGTACCAGCAGCAGCGCAGTGCGAGTTTGGGCAGCATGGCATTTTCCACCTCGCCCATCGCCTCGCCCGGGTATGCGTCGAGCAATCCGTTCAATACGATGCAGTATGCCTCGACGGTACCGCAGCAACAATCGCAACAACTGGGACAGGCTGCATTTGGACAACAGACGATGGCCACGCCGTTCTATGGCCAGCAGGTACAACAGCAACCACAACAGCAGCAACAGCAGCAACAGCAGCAACAGCAAGGTCAATTTGGACAGTTTCAGTCGTCGATGATGCCGAATGCATATGCGCAGTCGCAGCAGCAACCGTTCATGCAGCAAAATACCCAGCACTCGACGCAGTTTGGCAACATGTGGTAGCGGTGCAATTGCGATATAGGAACAATTCTCATACAAAGCTTGTTGCGCGATGAGCCGACTGTGGTGGTGAGCAGGGGGTGATGTTCGGCATCTTGCATCCGCATATATCTCGAGACGCGGACTTCAGGTTCCGGCTTGTACGGGTGCGAGCCAAATGCGACTGTGGATGGAGTGAGGCAAAAGATGTCCGCGGAGAATTGGTGTGGCGCACGAAGATTGGTGAGCATGACGAGAACGATCTGACAACAAGGGTGCGGCGACAAATTGCCGAGGCGAAAGCGTCGAGATCGGTGGCAAGCCTAAAACATTTTTTACCCCACATTTTTTCTCGGAGGGAGAAAACAAGGTCAGGCTGGGATGGGAGGCATTCTAACGCTCGGCTAGAGGCGCCGCAAGCGAAGCGCTACTCGCGGCGCGCAGGACATTGCAAGACAGAAGGACGGCGGAGCGTGCATGCGTGTGATTGGAGGCATGACAACCTCGGTCGGAGCGGAGGCGCCGTTGAAGCCCCGGACAAGCGCGAGGATCGTGGTGATGTGGCTGGTGATTCTTCCCGCTGCCAACCCAGTGTGCTGGTTGTCAATGATCCTCCCGGGGCGTGGCGCGGCGGGAGGGAGGTGTGATCGTTGCAAGTGTGCAGGAGAAGCGGCTGCTCGCACGGCTCCAGTCACTCTCGCTTGGATTTTCGCATCGCGAGGGAGGAGGAAGTGAGACACTGCGCAAGTGCCTCGACCAACCACATGCATGAGCTTGCTAAAAAGTGTGGGGTCGGCTGCATGTCGACGCAGCATGCATCGCCACCCGCTCTCCACCTCACACGCTTCGAATGCCTAGTCAATCACAGTCTGCGAGGTGATTTCTTCATCTGGCCTGTGCTATCGGCACTCGTCCGAACGATCCAATTGCAATTGATTATGGACCTCCGGCTTGCGCGTGTGCGAGGGAGGAGACCATGTGATTTCTCGAGGGGACTGGCGAGGGAGAAAGAAAAAAGCGAGCGCCATCGATAAGGTTGTTGGCTGCACGTCCAAGGCAACTGGAGCCGCGTCATTTCGGCCCTTTTCTTGTCTCTCTCGTTTTACCCCGCCTCGGTCAGGGCACTTGGACAGCAGCCCACCTGACCGCCAACGGTGGGGTCTGGACCTGCGTTGCGGTGCCACAGCCAGTGCGCAGTCGAGTCTCCGCGGCCACACGCGAATCCGCAGAGGCTCGAAAAGAGGGACCCTTGCCTTTCGCATGCATGCTCAGCTTGGGTGCCGTGCGTGCGAGCGTGCGTGCGTGCGTGCGTACTGTAAATTACTTGCCGCTGGACTGTGCATCCTCAGCCGTGGCTCGAGAGGCAGCTGGCAAAGCAGCGCTGCTTCGGCTTCTTCCCCACACTTTGGCTGGCCTTCTGCATCTCGGCTGCTGCCACTGCGATTGTGCCCCACCAGAGCCGTCTTACGCCCTCGAGTGCAAAGCAGAAGTGAAAAGATCCCTTGTCCTCACGCTCAGTGAAGCGGTACACGCCCTCCATCCCCCTTCCCTTCTCTCCTTGGCTCAGCCCCAGTCTGGCCATATCGTTGCCTTTCTACCACCACCACCACCATCCTCGCCCGCACAGCCATCGTCGTTCATCTGACAGCCTGGTTGCCTACTCTCCCTTTCTATCTCAACGTCGACCGTACCCTTCGCTGAACCCCCGTGCGCCCGCTTGCCCAGCGCCATCGTGCAGCAGCGTCTGCCCAAAGCCTGAATCTATCGCCGTCCACGTCCGACGACCCAGGGGCCGTGCGCCCCGGATCGCTCGCTCAACGAATCGCAACCACCCAAGCGCGCCACTCGCCGCTTCGCTCAAGTCTCACATCATAAGCCCACGCGCTCACCGTTGATCTGCTGGACACGATCGCCCATGGCTTCGCCAACTGCAATTCCTAACCCCGAAAAGTCTGCCCACTACCGCCACAAGCCTTCGACCGTGGCGCCCGTCGACCTCTCGAGCGAGATCCGCACCAGCGAAGGTCAGAGGCTCTCGTTTTCGCCTCCCGTCTCGTACTACTCGCGCTCCTCGGCTCCCGCCACGGGCCTGCGCATTCCTACGGGCATGACTTCCACCATGGGGCCCTCGAGCCCCACCAACCGCTTCTCCATGGGCTTCAGCCCCACCGCATCCAAGAACGACGACGCGCGCATGTCGCCTCCGCAGTGCCACACGCGCGCGCGCTCCCAGACCACCATCGGCGCAGGCACCATCGCCTCGAGCACCGAGCCTTGGGATGCCGGCCGCATCGACACGCGATCGTCGGCGCTGAGCGACTCGGTGGGCTCGCAGTCGTCGTCGTTTGTGTCTGCCTCGGACCTGTCGTTTTCACGTTCGCCTACGAGCCCCACCAGCTCGCTCTCTTCGTCGGCGGCCGCGGGCTACTCGCTGGGCCGAGTGCCGTCGCTGCCGCTGGGTGCATCGTACGAGCAGGCGCAGAAGCGATTCAACAGCGGCAGCTGGGGCCAAAAGATGGGCTGGATGGGCTCCATGCGCTCCAACCCGCTCTCGCCCACGCTCACGCGCACCAGCATCGACGAGGGCAGTGCCGTGGGCGACGCCAACGCCAACACCAACGGTCCCATGGGCGGTCTGCTGCGACGCTTTAGCCTGAGCGGCAACTCGTACCGCGCGCCTTCCACTTCGGTGTCGTCGAATGCACCGGTGGCGCCTGCGTTCGAGACGGCGCCGAATGCGGCGGCCATCCCGCGATCGGCGTCGCCCAAGACGATCCCCGTGACGCGCGACTCGGGCGTGTGCTTTTCGGAGCGCATGGACGAGCCCAAGCCCGTGGCGCGCGGCAGGCAGCCGAGCTTCAGCGGCAACACCAAGCGCAAGCCCAGCCCCATGGGCGAGCGTCTCCTCATGGGCCACTTTAACGCGCACTGAGCTGGCCTGCCCTCATGCGCAGCTCTCCGTCTGGTTCGGCCGGCTTGCACTCGTGTATACGTATCCGGTTTCGGTTTGGTCCTTGGCTCGTCTTGTTGGTTTTGGTGTTGCGGGTCTCATGTGTCGCGCGCGCGCAAGGTCTCCCCGTGTTTCCTGCTGGGTATTGGCATTTGTTTGGATTCTCTGCAATCGAGTTTGATTTCAGCAGCAATTTGTGCGGAGAGCTTTGAAAGATTACGCACAGTGTCGATCGCAAGTGCTGGACGACCGGCGGCTCGATCGGACGTGCTGCTGCTGCATGAGTCAAGGTCGCCGGCAATCTTACTTGTGCGAACCGCAAGACGAGGAGCGTGGGGGAGTGACGCTTGGTTGCACGAGCAGCCTGCACGACCACCTCCAAGCGAGACCAGGCTTTGAGGTGCAGATTTTGGGCGCAAGATTTCGAGGGGAATAAGAATTTCCAGCCCAGAAATAGCGCTCCAACGGCGACCAACGATTGTTGCGGGGGGAAAAGGCGAGCATCGCTCTCTTTTGTCAAACCTCCACTCCGTGCTCCCGGTGCACAGGCGACTCTGCTGGCAAAAGTGGGCGAATAACCCAACCCAAAAACCCACCCGGCGCGCTGCAGCTCCACATGTCCCACACGCACCACTCACTCACTCTCCCTCGGCGTCATCATTCGAACACCACCATCCTCCCCTTGTTCGGAAGATTGACCACCACCACCACCACCACCATCCATAGCTCACACGCATTACGTATTGACGTGCGCTGGCGTCCGTCCGCCCTCATCCTCTTTCTTTCCGCCCTCTCGACATCGTCTCTGCTCCGCATGCACAATCGTTCGTGCCCAACCTAGCGGCCTCTGTCTCAGGGCATGGCGCTCCACCAGCTCTTCACCTTGGCGTTTGCGCTCCACCTCGAGCCCTTGCCCACGCTCGACTACGCCACTGTGCCCTACGTCAAGGACCCCGCACACAGCTCCGAATCGCTCCACGAGACCGACAACCTCCGCGTCGGCGCCAACACCAAGCTCGAGCCCATCCACACGCGCCATCTTCCGCACTCGGTCGACACGCTCTCTTTCCTCCTCAACCATACCCGAGCCGTCGACGCCGTCGAGCCCTTTGCAAAGCTCATCGAGCTGCTCGATGATGCAGACGACGATCCAGAGTTTCGCAACCTGCGCGACTTTTTCGATGCCCGCTACAACCAAGACGGATCCTTGACCGGCGCTGACAAGGAGCCCCGTCGTCGCATCCGCAGCGTATCGCGAGCCGCTTCCACCAAGCAGCCTGGTCGGCGCCCCAGCCAGCCTACAGACGCGCGCAAGTCGTCGTTTGCAACCAGCCTCGGTGGCGCTAGCGCGCTCAAACTCAGCTGGCTCCGACGCAGCAACAACCCCGGCTCCCAGAATCACGATGCCTCGGACGACGAAGACTCGCACTCGAGGGTATCCAGTAGCGGCCACACAGCCCATCCCCCACCACCCACCGCTCCCTACATCCGCCTGGCCAAACCCAAGCCCTCGTCGTCTCCCGCCAGCTCCACCTCGTCGTCCTCGCACCGCGACGCCGAATCGTCTGCCACCATCACGTTCCGTGTTCGCCTAGATCTTCACGCAGTAGGCCTCGCTCCACCGCCGCCCAAGCCACGGTCCCAACGACACTCGGACGCAAGCGCGCTTAGCTTGCAGCGCACCAGCTCCGCCAAGTCCGCAACCTCGTCCGATTGGAGACGACGCAGACCACGCAATTCGAGCCTCTCCAGTGGCGGCGCCGCCTTGAGGCCCGTCACCAGCCCGGACAGCCTCGCCTCGTTCGGCGCCGTCTCCTCGATCGCCAACGGCCTCTCGGATCAGCAGCTGGCTTCCATCTCCACCGCACAAGACGCGCAGACAGCCGCAAAGAGAGGCCTCAGTCTTCCACCCGAAGCCATCGACACCAACCTTCCCAGCATCACAGAGGGTACCGTCTCGAGCCCCACACAGCTTACCGGCCACAGCGAGAGCGTCAGCCCCACCACACCGCAGCAGCCTGCCTCGCCAACTACACCCACCAAGCCCGCGCGCCGCCCCTCGATGATGGCCAAGATCCTCGAATTTGGTCGCAAAAAGTCGTTCCTCGATCGGTCTACCGGCGATGCGCACGAAGATGCGGCCGACTCGAAAGCCAGTCCACATGCCTCGGATGCTACGACACGCCGTTCGAGCTTCCGCTCGGGATTCCGCCAGCAGACGGCGGACCAGACACCTTGCAACGACGAAGCGATCGACCTGGACGAGTACGACGATGATGCGGCGGTGCGTGCTCAGATGATGCGCAGCAGTGCCAATGGTGTCAGCGCGCAGAGCCGGCGTCGCTCATCGGCAGGCAGCTCCACTCGCGATGCAGCCTTCCTCAGGCATGCTCCGCACGATCTGCGTCCCGTGCAGGAGGGCGGCATGCTCGACCTCACCACCGTCTCGTCGCGCTCCAGTATCGGCACCTCGTTGTCCGATGCCATCCCGGAAGACTCTGCCACGGGCACCTTCTCGGCAGAGCGCACGAGCAAGTCGCCCTCCCGCACGCGGCAGGCGGCGGCTTTGAACGAAGGTCACGACTTTTTGTCGCTCTTCCGCGCCGCGTCGATCCTGGGCCTCAAGTCGATCGACGATGATGATGTCCCTTCGAACACCCCTAACGGCGATGATCTGTCCACGCCTGGACTCGACGGTGAGCTGCGATCGCCACGTCCCACTCCGACGCAGTTCGAAACGAGCAGCGCCAATTCGCCCTCGATCCGCACGCCGCAGGTACATCCAAAGCGTACCTCGCTTCCCGGCACCCCGGGGCGCTCGGTAAGGTCGCTCGACCTCGACCGATCGCCTCGACCGCCGTCGTCGGGTACCAACCCCATCGACGCCAACTTTAAGCTGGGTGCCTCACTGGCCAACAAGAGCGGCGGCGACGAGGACGAGGCGTGGTGGCCGTGTGGTGATGTGGACCCGCTGCCGATCAGCATCTCGAGTGCGTTCGGCCAGGCGCTGGGGTGGGAGGGCATCATGCACCTGTGCTACGGCAAGGGTAGCCGTGCCGAAGAGGACGGCAAGTACGTCGCGCTTGGCAAGGCTGCGGCGCTGGATCAGGCGACCAAGGTGCAGGAGCGCAACGTGCTTGCGTGGCGCACGGGCGTTGCTAGCGCTGGCACTTCGCCGCCCAAGCCCGAGGCTCCGATGTCGATCCACGAGCTCGGGGCGGCGGATGCTGCAGTGCTGGACGGCAACTTTGCACAGAAGCTCAACTTGGACTCTGCACATGCGCTGCCGGATACGACCAAGACGTCGGCGGTGCTGGAGCGGTTACAGGCCAAGACGCCACAGCGATCCACGACCGAGCCGCCCGCCGGTAGGAACGAGTGGCAGCAGGCGTCGCTGCTGTTTGGAACGCGCGTCAATCATGCGCGCACGTGGGAGCACTGGCGTCTGCTGTTCAAGAGCATCAAGGGCTGGATGGACGAGTACGAGAAGACGCGCGTGCGCTCGGGTTTGGCGCGCGAGATTGGGCTTGATCGACCCGTCGATCCACCGGCGCGCGATGAAGACGGTGATGCAAGCGTCCTCCTCGCCGCACCGATCGACATTGAGGGAGGGTCCGAGTTGCATGTGCCGGTCGTAGGTTCGCCACCATCGCATGCGCACGTGCTCAAGCTCGCACGCGACAAGGTGGACGTCTCGACGATATCGCGCGTGCTGGGAACATCGCTTAGCGTTCCACCGTGCGTGTTGGCGGACGCAACCAACCGCGCACACGGATTCCGTCGTCGAACCGGCATCCCGGAAGGACTTCCACTCGGTCCTGGCGACGAGGAGGCGATCGAATATACGTGGTCGCGCAAACAGCTTTCGGTCGAACACTTTGCAACCGCGCTCACCATCAGTACCGACAGCGCCCTGCACTACTTTGCCCAGCTCAGTGCGGGCAATTGGTTGCATCGGTCGGCATGGGAGTTGGACTACCTCGAAATGTGCGTCTTCAAATCGCCGCTCGTGGCGGATCGATTCCCACCCCCGGGTGAAGCGGTTGTAGAAGCTTCCCAGTCGTACAGGGCGCGAGAGGGCGAGGAGGATCGGTCGAGACTGTGTCCGAATCCGGACGAGCGCGGCGCGTGGGATCCCGATACCTGGAAGACGTGGCTGGCGGGGATCAGGGAGGGCGATATCATTGTGCCGGCCGTGGCGTGGCAGGCGTGGTGGACACTCATCTCGGTGCTCAACGGCGCGGATCGTTCGGGCAGAGCGTATGATCTGCAGGTCAAGACCATGGACGAGCCATTTGAGGCCCTCACCGATCTCAATGCCGTGTATCTCTAGATGCATTCCAGCCCCGTATCGCAATGCCATGTTCAGCATCGCCTCAACAGATGGCATTGAACCACTGACCCGCATGTCGGTGAGTTGCTGTGAGCGGAAGAATAGTGGCATGTTGCATTTGCGGTCAAGTACGCAGGTGAGCCGTGTACAAGTGGTGGGGGCGAGACTAGTCTTCGGCGGGTGCAGCGCCGGGTGCGCCTGCGGCCGCCTTTTTGGCCGTCTTCTTGTCCTCCTCGATGGCGATGTTCTTTTCCGACGGACCGCCCTCGGCGTCGGAGGGGAGTTCGTGGAACGGCTTCGTGCGCGAAAGGATCAGATCGCGCACGTCGTCTGCCACATCGCCCTGCACGACGATCTCGTCGATTCCCGGGTTCTGCACGCTCTTGCTCACCGATGCACCCGTTGCAAAGCGCGAAGACAACCTACACCCTCCAGAAAAGAACAATCAGCATCTCATGCAGTCTACATCAAAGAATGGTTGGAGGAAGNGGGGGGACTTACGCTTTTGCTACGACTTTGAGCGCAGGAAGCGGCGGCGAAAAGAGGTGGAGACCGATGATGCTCGTGGTGACTTTGCGCTTGGTGCGCGCCTCCTTCTTGAGCACGATGCGCGAGGCGGCCATCTGGGCGCGTTCGCGCTCCTCCTTGGCGACGGTCTTGCGCTCCTTCTTGGCAGCCTCGCGCTCGAGATCCTCGGCCTGCTTGGTGGTGAGGTTAGCCAGGTTGGACGAGATCGCCTCTTCGGACCACAGCTGCGAGTAGAGCGCCGGCTGGTGCTCCTGCAGCCACGAACGGCACTTGGAGGGCGAGGGGCCAAACTCGCAGTACTCGGGCGGGAAGGTGCAGACGGCACAGTAGACCACCTCGCGCGGCTGAGGGCCGGTGGGAACCGAAGGTCCAGCTTCGTTTTCGATGTCAGCCATCTTGATAGATCGTCAGAAGATGTACGGAGACAAGGTGGAGTGGAGCGGAAGGGAGGCAAGAGCAAGAGGTCGATGGCAAAGTGCCGTGTCGGCGGCCAATTCTTCTCGCACGACACCACCCGAAAAAAACTCCACAAGGATCACAAATCGGGTCGGGTTGGTCCGATGGAACTCGATCCAAGCTAGACCGCCGGGGTAGCTGCGTGGACGGCGGTGCAGGTTTTGACAGTCCGCCGCAGATCTTGGACGGGCCTCGCCCTTTGCTGCAGGCTGAAAGCCCGCTTCAGCACGTCGGTCACCGGCACTGCCATGCTCGACTTGCATCCATCCATCGCTACCCCTTCTGCTTTCCCTCTCATACACCACCAAGTTGACATATACGAGGACTCTTCTCCTTTCTCCCGGATCGCCTACGGAACCTGGGACCCCCTTCGGATAGACAGATAGACACCTCCTCCGGCTGGACAGTGCCGCGTGTGCATCCGCAACCATGGACGAGCTCGTTCGCTTTGTCAAGCAGCACCGCCGCCAGATCACGCGTTTCGCCAAGAAGGCGTTCACGTGGTGGAAAAAGAACCAGGGCGGAGGACAGCAGCAAGGCGGTGGCGGCGGTGGTGGTGGCTCGTACGGCGGCTCTTACGGCCAACAAGGTGGTCAGCAGGGCGGCCATCAAGGAGGCTACGGCGGTTATGCTGGTGCAGCTGCAGGAGGCTATGCAGGAGCGGCTGGAGCAGGCGCTGGGTACGACCATCCGCCACCGCAAGGCTCGTACGGTGTGCCACAGCAGCAGCACGGTGCGCCGACGCAGGGCCCGCACTACAAGTACTCTGCGGACAACCAGGTGAACCAGCACGATGCCAACTACATGAATCTGCGCAACCAGGCGCGCTCCGAGGGCGACAAGATGGCGCAGTGCTTCGATCAGTCGCACAAGGCGTATGCGCAGGGCGACGGCGCACGCGCCAAGCAGCTCAGCAACGAGGGCAACGCGCACAAGGCCAACATGGAACGCCTCAACCGCCAGGCGGCCGACTGGATCTTTATGGCCAACAACGAGGACTCGCCGCAGGGCACCGTGGATCTCCACGGTCTCTACACGTCCGAGGCGCTCGAGCGAACCGAACAGGCAGTGCGCAATGGCCAGTCCCAGGGCTGGAACGAGCTGCGCATCATTGTCGGAAAGGGACTGCACAGCAAGGACCACCGCCAGCACATTGCGCCCGCCGTCGAAAAGATGATGCGCGACTACCGCCTCGAGGCGCACCTCGACCCAAGGAACGCCGGCGTGCTCGTCGTCAACCTGCGCGGAAACGGCCAGGGCGGCGCCAACTTTACGCGCGACCTCGCCAAGCAGACCACCGGCAACGAGGACGAGTGCGTCATCATGTAGGCCCGTCTCGCAGACTCTCTGGCGCATGATGAGACCAAAGCGACTCGCTTGCTCCGTCTAGACTCGGTGTAATCACATACCCTTCCACCTGGATACCAAGGATCATCCTCTGCGGTGCATGCCGAGCTCTTGTGTGTGACCCGCTTGTCGAGTGAGGTCGGTCTGGAGGAGCTCTGCCACCATCAACCAGGCACAAGCCGTGGTTTTCGACGGAATATAATTTGTGAAGTCCACTACGTGCTAACAGCGAGCGATTTTCTCGAGCGCCGGCCAACGCGCTGCCAAGCAAGAAAGAGCAACACGGCCCCGCCCCTGTGCAGCATCACACATGCATGATTCAGCCTGTCACGACCACGGTGCCTCTTCCCGTGCCTCCGAGGTTCGATTCAAGCTCGAGACTAACTTTGTCGCCGCTTCGCGTTTCCGAGCTACCACCACCTCACTCACTCCTTCTCTTGGATCCCTGCTCTCACACTCGTTTTGCCTCGGCAATGCTCCGTCGCATCTGCATCTAAAGCGCTCGGGCCATGGCAGCCCCAAGCTGCACACCAAACACGCTTCAACGAGGAGAAACCTCGGCCTAGGCATCTAGCTCGACCGCCAATATGGAGTACATCGCGGCGCAGGACGACGCACATCCAGGCGCGCCGCTCAGCGTCGCCGCAGCCATCGCACTCGGCCTGGTGGCCAGCTTCATCCAGAGTCTCGGGCTAACCATCCAGCGCAAGTCGCATCTCCAGAACGAATCGCTGCCACCCGCACGACGCTCCACGGAATGGAAGCGCCCACTGTGGCTCGTCGGCTTCGTCATCTTCCTGGTCGCCAACGTCGGCGGAACGGTGTTTCAGATCGGCGCACTCCCCATCGTCATGCTCGCGCCGCTCGGAGCCGTCAGTCTGCTCTACAATGCCGTACTCGCGCGCTTCCTGCTCAACGACCTCCTCTCCAAGTACATGGTGATGGGCACCGCGCTCATCGCCTCCGGCGCTGTCTTGATCGGCTACTTTGGCGTCGTCCCCTCGCCTCCACACAGCCTCGACGAGCTGCTCGACCTGTACGCGCGCCCGACGTTTGTCGCGTTTGCCACCATCTTCACCTTTCTCTTTGTGGGCGTACTCACCGTGTCGCATCTCGCTGACTGGCAGCTTCACACGCGCATGTACCGCAACTCGCTCCCCAGCCGACCGCAGAAGCCCAAGCATCGCACCAGTCACGGACTGCGCGGCCGTCTGCGAAGGCGGTGGTCCGCTCCCACTCTAGCACCCGTCGCCGAGGTCAACGAGAGCAGCTCCGGTATCGCCACCCCCGTGCTCGCCGGGCGCGACGAGATCAATCGCCGCTCGACCGTCGGGCTCACCGCTTCTCCGCAGAGCGTCGTGTACGGCCGCACCATTGTCGCCACACCCATCCCGCCACTCGCTGCAGCCCCCGTCGGTGCACGCGACACCAACGGCGACGTCTCGTCGGCGTCGAGCGTCCACAAACAGGCAGATACCAACGCTGCCTCGAAGCGCGACTATGGATCGCTTGGCAGGAGCGACTACGCCAACGCGCGCAAGCGCAAGAAGAGCATCGACGTGCCGCGTCTCGAGCTCAGGGAAGCAGAGCAGCGCGTCGACGCTGAGACGGTGCGCCAGACCAAGCTCGGTCTCGCCGTCGCCTACGGCGGTGCAAGCGGTACGCTTTCGGGCGCGTGCCTGCTGCTCGCCAAGTCGGGCGTGGAGCTGCTCATGCTCACGTTCGCCGGCCAGAATCAGTTTGGCCGCTGGCAGAGCTGGCTGCTCATCGGCATCCTCCTCGCCGCAGCGCTGCTCCAGCTCTGGTACCTCAACAAGGCGCTCAAGCTCGCAGATCCCACACTCGTGTGTCCGCTGGCATTCTGCTTTTACAACACCTCGAGCATCGCGCTCGGCCTCGTCTACTTTGACCAGATCGGCGCGCTGGCGTGGTACGATCTCGTGCTCGTCGCCGTCGGCACGGCCGTGCTGCTGGCGGGTGTGTGGACCGTGAGTCTGCACGGCAACGACGATCCGTGCGACGACGATCCAGAGACGCAGCCCCTGCTGGCGTCGCCCGCGTCGTCGGTGCGCTCGCGCCCGTCTTTCGACGCCGACTACGAAGGTTTGCTGGCGGCCAACGGCGCTGGGTTGGTAGGCCCACATCTGCCTCCGGTCTCAGTGTCGCCGCACTCGTCGTCGTTTGTAGACCACAATGTGGCGCCCCTGACGAGTCCCGAGGAAGCAGCCCTCACTCTGCCCGCCGCCGAAGGCCAGCTAGCGGACAGCGGCGCACCTAGGGTCGCGCCTCGCTTGGGTGCAACGCCTGCTCGGCGACGCTTTGGCTCGAGTGGTGCGCATGCTCAGCGGCGCCCCACGATCACGCTCGAGTTTCCGCTGCGCGACGACATCTTTTCGCCCAAGCACGACGCAGCCTCGCCGGCGCCACACGATGTCGAGGCGGATGCGGGGCCAAGCTCGTCGCCTCCGCGCAGTCGCCGGGCCGAGGCGTCGCCCGAGGAGCACGACTCGCACGGCAGAAGACAGGGCTCGCTGTACAATACCATTCTCGAGCACGGCCTGTCGATCGGCATCAGTCCGAGCTCGCCCGGCTTCCATCTGCAGCCGCGCTCGCCGTCGCTGTCGCGCGTCAACTCCAACTGGCAGCGGCCCACGCGCCATCCGCAGCGCAGCATGTCGGAAGCCGATGCGCCCTCGACGCTCACGGGACACGGGCGCCGGGGCCAGCAGGGAAGCGAGGACTCGGTGGTTAGCAACGTGGGTGGCGAGGCGCAGGATGAGGATGCGGCGAGTTCTGGGTTTGGGATTGCGCTGGATCAGCTCGATCTGAGTCGTAGGCTCGAGGCGGTGGGACTGAGTGCGGGCGCCAGGTGGTGGAAGCGCTTGAAACCGCGTTGGACGCGATCGCGGCAGGTAGAGTCCGTCGCAGAAGAGACGGACGCAGACGTTTCAGACCGTACCGTCATTATCACCAGCAACAGCAACGGTAGCCTCATGGCCGTGCAGCCCGACGACCATCAGCCAACTCAAGGACTCGGCCTCGACCTTTCACAGAGCCGCGAGTCATCCACCTGACCCACCGCACGCGTGCGTCCACACGATGCATGCTTTGTCTTGTACCACAGCGATACCCAATGTTTGGCAGTGCGATGTGGGAATTGCTTTAAAAGCTGCCAGCGTTGACGAGGAAGAGGTCGCGCTCGTTGGACTTGATCCACTTTGTGAGCGTGTTGGCAATCGCCACGATGGCGGATTTCGACAGCTGCGGATTGACGCAGAGGTAGAGCTCAAAGGGTGCCGTGATCCAGCCAAGCACCTGTTCGTGGTGGCTCTTGAGCAGTTGCATCTTCATCCTGGTATCCGTGGTGAGTTTTGGATTTGCAGATGTTGAAGAGGCGAGACCGAGGGCAGAGGCGATCTGGGTCGTTGGCTCGGGTGATGACGAGGGGATGGGGTTGTGGATGTTGTGGTGGACGAGGGCGTAGAGGGTGAAGAGACGTTTGCGGTGCGGGGCGCAGGTGCTGTACGGCTCGGGCAGTAGGGGTGAGGTTAGTTGGATCGTGCTGTTGCTGCGGTAGACAAAGTGTCGCAGCCCCGCCAGCCCGAGCTCGGTGCAGGTATAGGCGGAAACGCGCGGCCCACCTTGGTCCAGATTGAGCGGATCCAATAGATGCCTACATAGCACGAGAATGTGTCGCTGGAAAGACGTCATCCATGCATCCCCCTCCCCACCCTCATGTCTTGTTTTCGATTTGCCCTTCCTAGCCTCTACGGGAGTCTTGGCACTTGAAGAGGTGGCAGGTTTGGCAACGAGCGACGAGATCCAGTTCGACACGGTAGGAAACGCATCCTTGTCGGCGGTGACCACAATCACTGCCAGCTCGGAGCTCGTCATGCGCTCTCCTTGCTTGTTGCCTGACGTCCAGCTTTCGGGATCGAGGAACTTGACGTAGGCATGCACGAATCCCTGCGGCGCAAACTTGGGCATGCTAAACGGCATCCACACCTCGGCCTCTCCATCCCCGGACGTCTTGATCGACCTACTGCCCATGACGGTATTTGTGAGTAGCAGAAGATCGATCGGATGCACCGAGTGCTTGCGCGGCCTAAGCAGCGTCACGATCCTTCCGTTGGCAACCAGCAGCACGTAGAGCAAATCCTTGGGTCTGCACACCTGTCCATCCGCTTTGCCTTCTTCAGCTACGGGCGGCTGGAGTGTAGCGGTCAGCTGGTCGCGCAAGTTGGGCACGGTGATACGGATCGGCTGCAAAGCCTGGAGCCACCACTGATGGCCACACGCCCAGTCGGACATGTTTGCATCGTCATTGTTGGCGTTGAGCTGGTTGACCAGGTAGTCAAAGATGCCCTCGGTGCCTTCGAGCAGCCGCCTCAGATCAAAGTTGGGCATGCGCGCGAATAGGCGTGTGAGCTGACTGGCCGAAACGAGACTGACGACCTGCAGGTAGAGATACTCGAGGTGCTGGCGCAGCGTTGACGGCTCTTCGCTCCAGCTCGACACGCACACGAGGTAGAGCGGCGCGCGAAGCAGAAAGACGATGAGCAAATCGCCCTGCCGGATGAAGCGCAGCTTGTCCGAGTCCTCGTCGGCGAAGATGGAGATGAGCGCCTGCATCACGCCGACCTGCGTCGTGCTGCTCTCGTCTTCTTCGTCGCTGTCAGCGCAAGGCAAGCCGCTGGCAGCATCGTCGGGTTGTTGCGGAGGTGTGGATTGCTGCCGCCGCTTTTCGCGATGCCGTCGACGCCGTGCGAGCGATGCATGCGAGATGTAGATCGGCTTGCCCGCCGACGAGAGGATGTAGTACTTGCGGTCCGGATACCGCTCTGCCTCCACATTCGAAGCTGATGTATCGGCGAGGTTGGGTTCTGCTGGTCGGATGTCGTCACTCGACGGCAGACCGGCATGGTCTGGCAGCGTCTCTGCCTGGTCCTCGGGAGCGGCAGCATGCTTCGCCACACGGGCGGCTACGTCGACGCTATTGCTGCGACTGCGACGACTGGAGGATGCCCGACTGACCGAAAGCTGCGACAGCCTCGATCGCACACTGTGGCCGTGCGAGGCTCTGTCCGCTGCAGCCTTGTCGTTGACGCGATGCAGCACGTCGAGCGCATGGATGCTCGAGCTCGCGGTGATGCCGACGGCTTCCGGCTCGTCATCTCCTCCTGCATTCTGAAAAGCACCTTCTCCCGATGCAGCGTCCGATGCTGAGGCTGATGTGCTGACCTGTACCTTGGAATCCTCGTCGAGATCTGCTAGATGCGCATCGGCGGGAGGTTGCGGGGTGGACGCTCGGAAGGCCAAGTCCGGAAGCGGGGTGGACGCCCTGGTGGACGCGGAGCTGTGCGTGGAGGCAGCGTGGGAGCGCGACCCGGAGTCGGCGGCAGTGCTGGTGTTGGCGCCGACGGTGATGCGGGAGGAAGTGGTTGAGGTGGAGGCGGCTGACGTCCAGGATCTGGCGAGAAGCGCTGTGGGGCGTGCGGGCGTGGTGGATTTGGAGCTGGTGCGAGAGGAGCTCGAGACTTGCCGGCTGCCCTCAGCGGCCGCTTCTGGCTCGGAGGGAGAGGGCGGCGACTGCGCCATGACCAGTAGGGCGCTCGGTCGAAAGATATGGAGAGAGATGGTGGGAGGGTAAGGACGTTCGAGAAGCAGTCGCGCGCGCGCGTGTGTGAGCCATGAAAGAGTCGCCTCCACACCAACACTTTTTGGCGGTCCATGCCCGCTCCTTCTGCCGCTTCTTTACCGAACCAATTCCACCTTCCAAGCCTGTCTTCGCATCACGTCCTTGCGTTCCACCAACAAGGCTCGTCCAGCATGTCGCAAGCTTCGTCAACGCAGCCGCTCTATGCGGTCGCCGATTTCTGCCGTAAGTGTAGACGCGTTTCCAAGCACAACAACCCTACGGGTACTGAATGCCAATGATGTGCTTTCTCGTATCGCAGTGATCCCAATGGGCACTCCCACCACCTCGGTCGGCGAGTACATCACCGAGTGCCAGCGCGTGCTCGAAGATATGAAGGACGAAGGCATCCGCTACGAAGTGCAGTAGGTATCAAAACGCCAATCATCGTTGCGCTTGTCATGCTGATCCACCCGATGTTGTCTCACAGCGGATACGGTACCAACCTCGAGGGCCTCTTCCCCGTCGTGAGCAAGGCGATCGAGCGATGCCACGAGGCAGTCCATCGACTCGGCGCGCAAAGGATCGCGACGGACATCCGCATCGGTACCCGCACCGACAAGCCGCCGCCGACATCCGCAGGGCCCACCGAGAACCAGCGCAAGAAGCAGAGCGTGCTCAACCGCCTAATGCAGGAATGATCGGATCGCTCGCACCCGCATCCGCTTCAGCACACCATCGGTTGAGACCGTGACAGCTGGCCTATCGAGATCAAATGCTGCAAAGTGGGTATGGAGTGAAAGGATTGGTAGGAAGGCGCGGAGAACTGTCCGATTGTTAGTTGACGAACGATCTAAATGAGCAGCGCGTTTTTTTCGACTGAGCTTTTCGCCTTTACGCCTCCACCCAGCGCGGGCGCTTCACGCGACGCGTTAAATTCAAGGGTCCCGCCAGCGCCACTTTTGGCCACTCGCTCTGAAGCCCGGAGATGAGCTGTTTGGCAGCTGCGGTCTCGAGCACCTTCCTCCACCACCAGTCTCACCCGACGACCACCACATCAGCCTTTGCTGAAGCTACACAATGTCGGGACTCATGTACGAAGGTCCGTCGACGTCCGAGAAGCCGGATCTCGGCCTGGACAATGTCGCCGAGAGTTCCTTCTGCCAGTTCTTCCGCTCCATGCCCCCAAGCACGCCCGGAACGCTGCGCCTCTTTGACCGCTCCGACTTCTTCTCGGCCCACGGCGACGACGCCATCCTCATCGCCAACCTCGTATTCAAGACACACTCCGCGCTCAAGTACCTCGGCAGCGGCGGCAAGGACAAGGGTCTGCCCTCCATCACACTCAGCGTCGCGGCGGCCAAAAACTTTCTTCGCGAGGCGCTCACTTCGCGTCAGATGCGCGTCGAGATCTGGAGCAACGCCGGCGGCAAGCGCAACAACCAGTGGACCATGCTCAAGCACGCCTCCCCCGGCAACCTCACCCAGCTGGAAGACATGATCTTTGTCAACGCCGACATCGTCAGCGCACCCATCGTCATGGCGCTCAAGATGACCACCCGCGACGGCATCAAGACCGTCGGCGCGGCGTTTGCCGATGCCACCAATCGCGAGCTGTGCGTCGCAGAGTACGCAGAGAACGACCTCTTCTCCAACACAGAGTCGCTCATGATCCAGCTCGGCGTCAAGGAGTGCATCCTCCCCAAGGACGACAAGGGCGCCGACCTCGACCTCACAAAGCTGCGCGCCGTCATCGAGCGCTGCGGCGTCGTCATGTTCGACAACCGTCGCGCCGACTTTTCGGCCAAAAACATCGAGCAGGACCTCCGCCGTCTGCTCAAGGACGAGTCGGCCGGAATCACCATCCCCGAGCTCGACCTCAAGGTCGCCATGGCCGCAGCAGCTGCGCTCGTCTCCTACCTCGCTTTGCTCACCGACGAGCACAACTTTGGCCAGTATACCATCCGCACACACGACCTCTCCCAGTACCTGCGTCTCGACAACTCGGCACTGCGCGCCCTCAACCTCTTCCCCGAGCCGGGTCAGACGGGCTCGAGCAAGAACACCAGCGTCTTTGGCTTGCTCAACCGTTGCCGCACCGGCCAGGGCCAGCGTCTGCTCGGCCAGTGGCTCAAGCAGCCCCTCGTCAATGTCCACGCCATCCAGCAGAGGCAGGACCTCGTGGAGCTCTTCGTGCGAGACAACAGCTCGCGTCAAAACGTCCAGTCCGACTTTCTCAAACTCATGCCAGACATGCATCGCATCAGCAAGCGCTTCCAAAAGGGTGTCGCCACGCTCGAGGACGTCGTGCGTGTCTACCAGGCCGTGCTCCGCCTGCCTGGCTTGATCCAGACGCTCGCCGACATGGACACGCCATCCGAGGCGCACCAGCTCTTGCTCGATTCCACCTACATCGAGCCCCTCAAACTGCACGAAGCGGCGCTCGCCAAGTTTATCGAGCTCGTCGAGGCAACGCTCGATCTCAACGAGCTCACGCACCACAACTTTGTCATCAAGCCCGACTTTGACGACAATCTGCGTCAGATCAAGGAGGCGCTCGACGACACGCGCGACAAGCTCGACGAGCAGCACCGCGCAGCAGGCAAGGAGCTTCGCATGGACACCGAAAAGAAGCTGCATCTGGAGAACCACCACGTGTACGGATACTGCCTCCGCGTCACGCGCACCGACGCCAGCCTCGTCCGCAACAAGAAGGGCTACTCGGACATCGCCACCGTCAAGGGCGGCCTCTACTTTACCAACGAAGCGCTGCGCGACCTCTCGACCGATTTCAAGGACCTCTCGGAGCGCTACAACCGCTCGCAGAGCGGGCTCGTCAAGGAGGTCATCCAGATCGCATCGTCGTACTGCCCGCCGCTCGAAAAGCTCAACGTGGTGCTCGCGCATCTCGACGTCATTGTCAGCTTTGCACATGTCTCCGAGAGCGCGCCCGTGCCGTACGTCAAGCCAAGAGTGAGCGAAAAGGGCACCAATGCCGACCTCGAGCTGCGCGAAGCCAGACATCCTTGCCTCGAGGTGATGGACGACGTCAACTTCATCCCCAACGACACCGAGATGGTGCGCGGTGCGTCCGAGTTCCTCGTCATCACGGGCCCCAACATGGGCGGCAAGTCGACCTACATTCGTCAGGTGGGCATCATGGCGCTCATGGCTCAGGTGGGCTGCTTTGTGCCTGCCGCCGAAGGAGCGAGGCTGCCCGTGTTTGACTGCATCCTCGCGCGTGTGGGTGCGGGTGATAGCCAGCTCAAGGGCGTCAGTACGTTTATGGCCGAGATGCTCGAGACGGCCACCATCCTCAAAACAGCCACGGCGGACTCGCTCATCATCATCGACGAGCTCGGACGCGGCACGTCGACCTACGATGGCTTTGGCCTGGCGTGGGCGATCAGCGAGTGGATCGCCACCAATGTGCGCTGCAAATGTCTATTTGCCACGCACTTCCACGAGCTGACCAACCTGGCGAGCCAGCAGGCGCACGTGCGCAACCTGCACGTCGTCGCGCACGTCGAACAGCGTAAAGGCGGCTCGCGACAGGACCGCGACATTACGCTCCTCTACAAGGTCGAGCCGGGCATCAGCGATCAGAGTCTGGGTATCAATGTCGCCGAGCTCGCCAACTTTCCGCCCTCGGTCATCGCACTCGCAAAGAGAAAGGCCGAGGAACTCGAGGACTACGACGAAGACGACGCACAGGCAGCTGGCGGCGTGCTCGACAGCCTGCCCGAGGACGAGACCAAGCAGGGGGCCGCGCTCATCGACGAGTTCCTCACCACCTGGGCTAGCCGCACCAAGCACCTCGAGCAGGACGCAAAGAGGCGCAGGCACGCAGACACCGACGAGGAACTGCAGGAACTCAGAAAGGTCGTCGACGAGTTCCGCCCTCGCATCGAGGCCAACGCGTGGGCCGCCAAGGTGCTCGAGAGCTTTTGAGTGCATCAATCCACACTCGATTCACTAAGTTAAGCGAAGCGCGCGGTTTGTGCCTGAGTACAAGAAGAGTCTCGAACGGGACCATTGAGTGGAAAGAGGGGAAGCATGGTCAATGCATGAGGGGTCGCACGTTGCACGTTGGGGGGGCAGCGGATGCTCGGGTCTCCGTTCGCAGAGATAGCGAGCCATGTGCGAGGGTGTCACAGGGTCGGACTTGTGCGAGGCTAGGACAGAGTGCGGAAGGTGCGGTTCCGCGCAGGCCGCGCGCCGTGCAACGGTGAACGTGGGCCGGCTTGGGCCGAGCGGAGGCTGACTGTTTTGGCAAGTGGCGGAAGTTGAATTTGCATCCGACGGTCCAAGCGAGTTGCGGCGCTAAGCGAGGCTGAAGAAAAAGGTTGGCACTGCGCCCAAACGCCCGCCTGTCCAACTCGGCGAGCCGCGCTCCGAACGCCGCTTCTTCGTGTTGATCTGCCAAGCCCCCTCCTCCTCCCCCACCGCGGGTCTGGGAGATTAGACGCAAGGCTTCATGCGCGATAGCACAAACGTGCAATCCCATTCGTGCCCACACAAAACGTTGCCTCTGCCTGCAGCACCGTGCCCGACACAAGACCCCGTCCCTCGCTTCCAGAGTGAAGAAAAATCCATAGCCGAAGCTGAAGCCCCCTCCAGACCCTCCTCGACGGCTGGAAGATATAAGACCGTCCATCTCAATGCTTTGCTTTCTTCGCCTGCCCCCTACGCAAAGTCTCTTCCTCTCTCCTGCTTGACCAGAATGAAATTCGCCACTGCCACTCTCGCCGTGCTCGCTGCCGCCGGCACCGTCTCGGCTGACAACTGGCTCGACCAGCTCGGCAACTCCTTCAAGAACAAGGGCCAGGAGATCGCTGCTTGCGCTAAGGCTTCCAGCCAGCTTTCGTGCAACGCAAAGTACGACATTCCCGCAAGCTCCTCCGCCAACTGCTGCTTTAATGGCGCCCTCGTTGACGGAGGAAAGCAGAGCGGTCTCATTCTCAGCACGTCCTTCTGGACTACGACCGCGGCCGATCCCGCCAACAACGGACCCAAGGATTCCACCACCATACACGGCTTGTGGCCAGATTGCGAGTGCCTGATTCGGTGCAGAAAGCAGACTTCTACATGTATACTGACCATCACTCTTCGTTCCCGTGAATACGGACCCTTTTTTTTTTTCTTTTCTTTTTTTTTTTTGGCTCATATACAAACCATCATCTTTCTTCTCTTGGATCATACACAACTCATCTTCGTCTCCTACAGACTGCGATGCGACATACCCTGCTTTTTGTAGTGCTGTCAGCGGTATCCCGGAGTACACGGGCGCCCAGATCGTCGATGTGATGGCCAAGTACGACCCCGCACTCAAAGCTTACTATGACAAGTACTTCAAGGACCTCAACGGCGACGCGCCTAGCTTCCTCGAGCACGAGTACAACAAGCACGGCACGTGCTACACTACCATGCGCCCCAGCTGCCAGCCCAAGCTGCCTTGGATCAGCCAGGCCGACTTTGCCGTGCTCAACTACTTCCGCCAGATCGCACACAAGTTCGCCGAACTCCCCACGTACGACATCCTCAAGGCCGCCGGTATCGTCCCGGACGCCAACAAGACCTACCAGCTCGCCGATGTTCAAGCCGCTCTCAAGGAGGCCCATGGCGCTACACCTTTCGTAGGCTGCAACAAGAAGGGCGAGATGAACGAGTTTTGGTACTTTAATTTTGTGCAAGGCAGCGTTAACTTCGGTCGCTACGAGCCTACCGAGTCGACGACCAAGTCTACATGCCCCGCTACCCTCAAGTACCTCCCGAAGCCTTGATATCATAGATCTTGGAGGAATACACGGCGATTTCCGTTTGAATGCCTTGTATACCTAGCCGTGCAGTCATCGACATCGGAACTTCCAATGATCGTGGCCACTTGCCCTCGTCTGATCATATCCGTGCCGGTTGATGTGAGTGGGGTCAATAAAAACGGGAAGTGCACATCCGACTGTGACTATTTGGCACGCCGCCGCCCCTCTCAAGACGGCCACGGCGGACTCGCTCATCATCATCGACGAGCTCGGACGCGGTACCTCGACGTACGATGGCTTTGGCCTGGCGTGGGCGATCAGCGAGTGGATCGCCACCAATGTGCGCTGCAAGTGTCTATTTGCCACGCACTTCCACGAGCTAACCAACCTGGCGAGCCAGCAGGCGCACGTGCGGACGGCCTGCACAATCTGCGGAAACGTAAGGCCAACGCTCTCGACGGGCCCTCGCGGTGGTCGCTAGCGGCCGGAATCGAGCAGATCGAGAGGTCAGACGAAGCTGCGGAAGCGGGACGCAGCTGCGATGTCGTAGGCGGAACCGTCGAGCCAGTGGCGTCCGAGGAGATGGTGTCGAGGCCCGGCGGGTTGTCGTTGTTCCTTCGTGATCACGCGTGACAATTGTCTCGTTGCCAGCGCGTACGTGGACCGATAAGATGCCATCGATGCCAGCTCGACCACCGCACAGAGCGTATAAGGCTCCGATTCCAGCGGGAGAGCGAGGCTTCCCGCAAAGAAGCTTCCTTGACGGTGAACGTCAACGCTGACGGGATCGCCTCCTTAGTGGTGGAGCATGGCAGCGAGAAAACCGCTGGCACAGGTTTCGACGAGGGCGAAAAGGTTCAACAGCTTCAACAAGGCCAAGTCTACGGACGGAAGCTACCTCGGCTTGCAGGTCGTACAGCGCAAAATTCGGCTCAAGGTCCTCGGCGTCACTTGTGTCTTCAAAGTCGTCGAGACCGCAGCTCGGTGCTACGACCTCATCTGCCGACTGACGTTTGCAAATCAGCTCGACGGCGTTGAGGGCGTCTTGAATGACCTTCTGGGACAAGACCGCTATGTCGCCTGCAAGCTGGTGCGCGAGCACGGCGTCGAGGTTTGGCGCATCTGTCGCGCGTTTGCCGTGATCACGCGGAATGACTGCCAGACGTCCGACCCAGTGCAGATAGCAAGGTATGAGGTCCTCGAAAGTGACCGTGAGATTGGCACCATGCTTGAGACGCCAAAGATTGTAGTAGATGGCGCACTCAATCTCGCCATGAACATCCAGAGACGTTTTGAAACGGAAACACTGGCCGTTTGCGATGAGATGAGCAGTCCAACCCCCTTGGACCGGGCAGACTCTTCGATACTCGGAATAACAATCCACTTCCTTTTTGGTGAGGAAGTTGACCACCTCTTGGACCTTGGCCTCATCCGCGAGAGCTACTTGATAGTCCGCGAGTTTGTCTGGCCGATTGAGCAGGGCACCGACGCCATGCTGATACAAGGCGGCAAGATCGTACAGCTCGATGGCCAGATCCTCGCCGAGACCCAGTGCAGGTTGTCTGCAAAGTTGTCCGTCGGGACCCGGTTCTTGTGGTCAACCATGTGTCGATTGACCGGGTCGGGCGACGGACTCTGGGAGGCGACGTGGCGGGCCATCGCATGCAGACCGCATTTGATGCGCGGAGGGGCTCCACCGCGCTCGTACACGACGCAGATGGCATTGCGGAGCAACACCTCGTTGCGCGTGTCGATGCGCGCGCAAACAATCCCGCGGCTATCATGCACCTCGTAGGTGCTGATGCCGGTTCTCTCGTCGCGATCGACGATCACTACCTTGGCAGCACCCGACTTGAGTCGGGGAACCGAAAAAGGAAGCAGTCCGGGGAGAGCGTCATTCGGGAGCGGCTTGGGAGAGACAGGCTCCGGCGTCTGTGAGCGAGATCGAAAAGGGGGAGCGGCCGGTGGCAGCGGCAGGCGACGGAGCCGTTGGGACTGCAGACAATGGTGGGGTTCCGGCCTGACCCGCCCGGCACCTGCATCCGGGGCACGCCCGCATGCACGCCCTGGAGGTGATGCTACATGCGCCCGCTCAGGGGTGCGACGCATTTACGGTACCTCTTGCTCGCACGCATTTGCTCACTCGCCTATACAATAGACACACCATCTCGATAATTCCTACCCAAATCAATACATTTTCCTTCGCACCAACTATCTTTGCCGTGTGTCGCCTGGCATCCGCGTCCTAGCGCAACCGTCGCCTAGCATCAGCGCCCAAATGCAACCGTCGCAGAATCCTTCAGCCAATACCCTTGCACTGGGCAGACTCCTCGATACTCGGACCACTAATTGGATTCTTTCACATCAGGGAATCAGATCACCTCTTTGACCTTGGCCTCATCCGCAAGAGCCACTTGGTAGTTCTGGAGTTTTTCTGGCCGACTGAGAAGTGCGTCAGCGCCATGCTGATAGCTCTCAACCTTTCCCCTGCTTGCTGTAATGTCTAGCCAGACATCGTCGTCGACCAGCACCTCGATTTTCTCGCTGCCATGCTCCGCCACAAGCATGCCATCCCTTCGGCGTTGATGTTCACCGTCAAAGAACCTTTTTTGCGGGACACTTCCCTCCCCCGCTGGAGCTGGAGTCTTTGGCGCTCCTCGGCTGCTTTGGCAGCTGCATCGAGAGCAGCTTTCCGTTCCTCGGCAAGATCCATCTGTGCGTCCGAAAGACCACTTTAGTCCGCTCGAAAACCTGGCCGTGCCTTGTGAAGACTGACAATGTTGCAGTCGTCCGGTGTGATCAAGGCAAATGTGCGACAGATGCGCCAAACCTCGACGCACGACGCCGAGAGTTCAGCTGCACCCGAACGACCGGTGTGTTGTTCCGCGCGTCCGACGGCGGACGGCGTGCGGAGCTTGACGTAATAACAGCGCGTGCGGAGTCGCCCGCGCGTGCGGTGCGGAACGAGAACCAGCCTCCGGTCGACGGCGGCCATGGCGTCGAATTGGACAAGGCCGCTGTCACCCGCTTCCGCACCTGTTCCGCTCGAGCCCCGGTCGTCAGCGGGTGCGGCAAACGGTTGAGGTCCGCTTTCGCCGCCGCAGGTTCTGTTGACGCCTGCCTCCGCCAGCGGCTACCGCGACGGTCGGTCGATCGTTTCCGCATTCCGCTTTCGCATCGTCTGCCGGTCGTCAATCGCCAACCGTGACTTTGTAAATAAATTAATTCTAATGGAACGGCGGGACCTTGCAACAGTTCGGCGGCCATCATCCTAACCATATCGAAGGCTAGAGGCTAAGACGGTCGTTGATTCAAGCAGTCAGAACGGATATGGATGGGATTGGCAGAGCGTGATTTGCAGTTCTAAGTACAAGTCGCTAGCCCGAAACGAGACGAAATTTTAGGCGGTGATGGTGAAGGCGTGCGAGAGGTACGACTCGTAGTCGCTCTCGAGCTTGCCCTCGGTGAGCACGCGCTGGGCGCGGAGAAGCACCTTGTAAGTACCCGGGGTGAGGGTGGTGCTTCCGTTCTGCGGCAGCTGGAGCTGCGGGGTGATGAGCTGGACGTTGTACGAGTAGTCAGCCAGCTGACCGGTCGCACTGTTCCTGCCGCTGTAGTAGCCATTGGCGAGCATGCCCACCGTCTTGACGTCGGCAAAGCCAGCACCCGCGACGGGCTTGGGAGCCGGAGCGGGCTCACCGCCGTGACCGGGCTTGGGACCGGGCTTGGGCTTGGGGCCGTTGCCAGGCTTGGGCGCGGGAGGCTTGGGGCCACCAGGCACAGGCATGGGCTGAGGCGTCTTCTGACCGTTGAGCTGACGACGGTGGATGAACCTCCTGTGGTTGGCAGCTGCACTCTGGGCGGCCGAGCCATCGACGTTGTAAGTGGGCTTGAAGTCGGTGGTGGCGTTGACAAGGTCGATCTGCAGGTAAGGCGTACCGTAGTTGAGGCGGTACACAAACTGCGGCCAGTTGGCAACGTTGCTCAGGCTGTAGCTGGTGTTGTCCGACTCGATAAACGTGTTGCCATCAGCCGAGGCGAGAACGGGCAGTCCCACGCCAAACAGCTCCGAAGTGTTGTCAAGGATCTGCGTCTTGGACGTGTCGGCTTTGTAGCCACCGTAGGCGATGTTGGCAGCGCTGTAGTCCTTGGACTGGGGCTCGAGGTGGATGAAGCCCGAGTAGAAGGGCAGCTTGTCCGTGCGCACACCCTCAGGCGGCGTGAAGGTCGCCGTGAACTTGGCAGTGCCCTTGGGCGGCACGACGAGGTTGGTCTTGCTGAACTTGACGCTGGCGTAGTTGGTGCTCAGCGGCACGGGGGCGAGGTTGAAGAAGATCGAGTCGTCCTCCTGCGACTGGGCGGTGCCGACGGGGAGGTGCGAGAGCTTATACGCCAGCGGCTTGCTGCCCAGGTTCTTGACCGTGATGGTCTGCGAGCCGTTGAAGTGCACCGTGTCGTTGAGCTCGATCACCGAGGGGCTGAGCGTGATCTGCTGGTACAGCGCCTTGTTGACGTCCACCAGACCAGTACCCTGCTTGGCGACGGTCTCGTACAGGTTGCTCGTTGTGTCGTTCATGAGTGGGGCGGCAGTGTTGGAGAAGATGCTGTTGAGCGCATCGGGCGAGAACTTTCCACGCGCGGCCTGGAAGACGGCGATGGAGCCCGACATGAACGGCGTGGCCATCGAGGTACCGGAGAGGATAGCGTACGCACCCTTCTTGATCGGGTAGGTCGAGAGGATGTTGCCGCCGGGAGCCGAGGTGGTGGGCGAGTCGAGACGGTTCTCGTAGGTGGGGCCGTAGGTCGAGAAGGAGCTCATGAGGCCACCGGTGGCAGTGTCCTTGATGGTGGCGATCTGCGAGTTGCTAAAGTCGAGCGAGACCTTGACGCCGTTGTTGATCTGCTGCTTGAGGTAGAGGCCGTCGTCGCGGGTGAGCGAGGCAGCCTGCTGACCGGCAACGTCGGTCTCGACGTAGGTGATGGAAGCCGCCGAGTTGTACACAAGCACGTACTTGCCGCCCTTTGCTGCGATGTTTTGGAACTTTGTGGCAAAGAGACAAGTGCCACGTCCGACCAGGACGACCTTGTTCGACAGATCGGGTGTCGAGTCCGGAAGGGGAGAGCAGACGTCGTCGGTAACAGTGAGGCTGGACGAAGTCGGGTACACCTCGAGCGTCTTGGACTGGCCATCGGCAAAGGTGAAGGGCGATCCCTTGAGCACGGTGACGGTCTTGCGGTCGAGAGTGTTGGGGACAATGGCGGCCGAGATACCGGTGAGGTCGGTGTTCTGGACCGAGCCGACGCTCATGACGAGATCACCGCTGGCAGGCGACGAAGCGTAAGCCATACCGTAGGCACCCGAGTTGGACTGAGCAATAGCGAGAGGAGTTCCGAGACTGGCGATACGCGAGGCGACGGCCGACGAGGGAGCCTCGCTCCAGCCACCGGGGCCACCGAGCGAGAGACTGAGCACGTCGTTTCCGTCAAAGTAGGCACGCTGCAGCGCGGCGATGATGATGTCGTCCGGAGTGCTGCCCTGGCAGCCAAAGACACGGTAGGCACGGATCTTGGCATGGGGAGCAACACCAGTGAAGCCGAGGGTGGTGTCGTTGGCAGCGACGGTACCGGCGACGTGGGTGCCGTGACCGTTGCAGTCGAAGGGGTCGGCGCTAGCGACGGGAGTGTTGGTACCGTTGAAGGCATCGTCGACGAAGGCGTATCCGCCAATGACGAGGCAGCCAGCGCCGAAGCAGGGCTTGTTGCCCGGCTTGCCGCCGAGACCAGGGTGGGTGTAGTCGATACCAGTGTCAATAATACCGACGGTCTGGCCCTTGCCCAGGAAGCCCTTGGCATGGACCTTGTCGACACCAGTCATGACGTGGGGGGAGAAGGTGTCGGTGTAGCCCTGCTCGGCGTTCTTGGGCTCGTCGCGGCGCTTCTTGCGGCTAGCGGGGCCAGCGGCGGCAGCGCCATCCTTGCCGGTGGCAGCCTTGACGAACTCGTCCGAGACAGTGGTAGGCTCGTAAGCGGGGATCGAGTAGAGCGTGGTGCGGTAGACCTTCTTGACACCCGGGGCGGATGCGAGCGACTGGTAGTCGTCGTCGCTGTCGAGGATGACCGACATGCCGACAAAGGTGGCGGGGTCGTTGTACTCGAAGCGCGTCTTGTACGACTTGCCGCGCTTGGCGAGGTGGTCGTGCACCTCGGCATGCGGGTTGTCGCGCTTGCCGCCCTTGGACGACGACGACTCGAGCTCGACGATGTAGCCGCGCGGCACGTAGTTTGCCTTCTCGAGCTGGGCGACCTTGCCCCTGCTGTTCCTGAGCGTGGCAGGAGCGTTGGGAGCGGTAGCAGGACCGGCGATGGGCTTGGGACCGGCGACGACAGCCGGGTTGTTGGCGGCCTCGACGCCGCTGAGAAGCAGCAGACCGGCACTGGCGGCCGCCGCAGCGAGCGAAAGGAACTTCATCTCTCGGCTTTTCTAGTAGCGCGAACTTTACTGGCGCTGTGAATGTAAAGAGAGTGTTGCAGACAGAGGGAGCGTGGTACGTGGCCGGAAGCCGCTGCGTGTGGAACGAACGACAGAGGCACACGAGCTGGGTGGGGAGGGAAGGAGGGAAGGGTAGGGAAACGGACTGAGGAGGGGGAGGGGGTTGCACAACCGGGATGGGGTTAGGAGACAGAGTCCAAGAGGAAGGGATCATAGCGTCTTCTTATATGCCATTGGTGTGCTTAGACTAGTGAGTGCGCAGGCACCTGGTGTGATACACAACGGTGGCTGCTCGCTGTAGAGAGCGTGAGAGAGAAGCTCGGGGCGCGAGGGCCCGCTTTTTGCTTTGCCGGCAATCAAGTGCAACAAGGCAACGATGGCTAGAAGATAGAAGCCACATGGCGGAAGTGGGCTGGCATGGAAGAGGGTGTTCCGAGCCAAGCGAGGGTTCGAAGGAACACGGAGCAGCCGAGCGGAGTGGGGAAAAGGAGCCGACAGTGCTGTCGAGCTTGGGTGCGCGCCAAGCTCGAGTTCTTCTTGCTGCTCGGCGACCGAGCTGAGCGCTTGAGAAGGAAGGTCAAGGAGGTGTGCAGCTTGACAGCACAAGCGAGACCAACACTGCAAGTTGACGCGCGCCTAGTGAGACAGGCAAAAGAGACTCACGGCGGTGATCCTTGTTGCCTTGTGATTAGCCGCGTCTTAGTCGGTGCGGCTGAAGGCTAACCCAGAAGCTGAGCAGCGAGGTCGAAGAGCTAAGGCTGGGACGAACTAAACTTAGACTCGCAAAACGGGCCGGACCGGCAAAGGCTCAAGTGGGAGATTGGATTGCACCATTCGCGAAACAATGGACAGAAGAACGGTCAATTCATTGCATCGTGGACTGACGACGATTGCACGCGAGATGCACAGCCGGGGTGTTTGCAGCGGGTTGGGGGAGCAGGCAAGATAATGCAGAGCGACGCTCAGCTGACCTCGGCGTCCAGTATGTCGCATCGACGCCATCCGACGCGCGTACACTTTGGTCGGTTGTCTTTTGTAACGCTGTCGCTGTTCCGGCGGGCATTATGCTCCCGGATGAATTTCATTATCGAGGCCAAGCGGGTCTTCGGACAAGTCGGGGTCGCGCAAGGACCTCCGTACGCAAGCGCCATCGCGTACGTGCAAGCGACACGAGGGGGGGAGAGGGGTCTTTCTGGACCGGCCATGTAATGACGGCTATCAAAGTGATGCTCTGCTGGCAGTTGCTCGCTAACGCACCGAAGATCTGCCAAGCCCGCGGCTATGATGAAGCGCAGCTTGCCAGCGAGCGACTCGGCCAAAGGGCGGCACGATATTGAGTTTATGCAGGCTGCTGTCGGAAGCCGATCAACCGACGGAGCGGCGCTATTGAGCAAGAGCTTCGCTTATGCATCTGCTACCATCCTTCTTCGCGCGCAGCCGCGCCGATGCTAAGTTGCCTTTTCGAGATTCCGAGTCAATATGCAGTATCATAGCGACGCCGACTTGGATGCGCATCGTGTCATTCTGTCGCTGCAAATGGTACGTATATTTCCCGGAGAGCAGAGTATGAGTCTCTTAGACATAGCAAAGGCTGCAGCGAAAGCGTTGCGGAGAAGGCGGCATGGAAATGACCGGGACGATTGATTGATGGGGTATCGGACAGGCGACTTCCGAGCATGGGCTGCAGCGAGATAAGAAGGGAAAAAGAACAAATGCACGCGAGCGCTCGTTGGCACTTTTGGAAGTGGGGGCCGTGGCGTAGAGCTGTTGCACAGTCGCCCAGTGCTGGGTCCCCCGCAGCTCGGAGCTTGGATTTCGGTTGACGCCCGTCAAAATGAGCTACTGCACCTCCTGCATCTCGCCTAGGCCGCTAGCTTCAATGCACCGAAGATCTCGACCTGCCTCTGCTGGCAACTCGGCGGCTCCTGCAACGTTGATTTTGTTGACTTCATCATGGCTCTTGATGCAAGTGCTTTCCGCCGCAACGCTTAGCCCCGCTGCACAGGGTTTCGGCGCGACCAGGCGAGTTTCCACCGCCCTCGTTCTCAGCAATCAAGTTGGCCCACTTGTACCACTTGATCTCTGTCTGGCTCTGCGATGCGGTTGGTCGGCGTCGGCTTCAAGCGTTCGGTGCACCGACGCTTCCTATTGGCTGGCTGTTGCTGCATGCAGAGGGTGTGGCGACTCGACTGGCTCCCGGTGGCGTGACCAGCACAACTCGACATCTCGGTGATGAAGAAGCATGCTCGCGTGCCGCTGTGTGGGGTCGCCCGATCGGGCGATCCCTGTGCCACTGTAAATTTTTCTGCCGATATCGAGACCTTAATTTCTCGACGTCTTTTTGTCGCCTTCAATTTTTGGTATATTTCTGTCGATGAGTGGGAACAAGCCATGCTTGGTTGCTTGGCATGGGGACCACCTCAGCGTCCATATGATGCTTTGGATTAGCTGTCCACAGCAAGTAGACTGCGAGTGAAGTCGTTCGGCTGGTACAGAGCCTGGGCATTCGCCAGGATCAGCCTGAAACGGTTGAAAAATAAGCACAAGAGAAGTAAGAAAAAAAAATGGAAAAAGAAGAACTGCAGCACCTAGGATTCCCGCGTGGTCCCCCACCGCAGTACTGACTAGGCGATACCTTGCTTAACTTCGCAGATCGGACGGGATGCGGTGCTTTCAAGGTTCTATGGCCGCAGATGTTAGGAACTCGCGCGTTGCTTTCTATATATATTCGTACGTTGAAGTGCCGTTCATTGACTCTTTCGAGGCTGGCCTGCAGCGTTCACACGGCGTTCTCACAGTCTGCCAAGCAAAGAGTGCAAGGTCATGATTGATTCTATTCCAGCTCGGCATGAATTATGCAAGAGGCACCGAAAGGTCGGCGTCGATCTGCTGCAAGAGCGCGTCCATCTTGTCGGCGGGCACGACGGCGACGCGGCCAAAGAGCGGAGCCTCGAAGCTGTCGGCGGCATCGGCAGGCGGTGGGAAGCGGAAGGTGAGCGCGTGGCTGGCCATCTTTGCGATGGCGACGTCCTCTGGGTGGAAGAGGCCGAGCTCCTCGTCGGATGCTCCGTTGAGGGCCATGCCGTCCGAAATGGCACGTGTCTTGGGAGCGTCCTTCTTGGCGCCCGCCTTCTTTGCTTCTCTGCGTGCGAGCTTGGCCTTCCTCTTGCGCGCGCCCGCGAGGCCAGAGGGTTCGTCGTCGTCGTCCTCGTCCATCGCCTCGTCGTCAGAGAAGGCATCTGCCGAAAAGACGCGCGAGAAGAAGAGGAAGTGCGACGGAGTCGGAGCCGAGGTGGACGCGAGCGATGCACGCATCTCTTCGAGCAGCATCTTGTACAGAGGCGGAGCCACTTGGGGAGGCATGTTGACCATGCGCTCGTGCAGCACCGCCACGATGGGTGCGTTGGTCGACGTGCTCGATGCTGCGCTCTTGAGAAGGTCGTGAACAGACTTGGTGGATGGCTTGGAAGACACTTCGAGCAAGTACTTGACCAGACTGTTGGTGGCCTCGGAGCCCTCGGACTTTGCGCTGGAAAGCGTGATGGACGAGACAAAGGCGTACGGATCCTGGTCCTCGTCGCCGACGACCTTGATGGTGGTGCCGATGCCTTGGGATGTGGACGTCTTGACGATCTGATCCGCCAACGCAGACAGGTCGAGCTTGGTGTTGTGCGTGTAGAAGAGCTGCTGCAAGAGACGCTTCAGAGCCTGGAAGTCGATCTCCTCGGGCGCGCGAAAGTCAAAGTCGACGTTGATAAAGTCGGGCTCCTCGGAGCCATCCGAGTCGTAGTCGGAACCGTCGGCGCGAGGCTCCTCGTCCTCTGCCTTGCGTTTTGTGTCGATCGGCATGTTATGCTGTGTGTCTGCGGAGTTGGTGGTGATGCTGGTGCTACGTTGAGCAAGCTGCAGGTCTTCGCGTTCCCACAAAAAAGTTCGGTTCCACGTCTCGGAACTCGGGACTCAATTTCAGTGTGGAGAAAGAAGCCACAAGCTTGATTCGGCCGACAAGCAGCCAACTCTGCCGCTTGTACGGCACGAAGCTCTGCAGAAAGGCACGGTGTTTCGGGTCTGTGCACGTCGAGCGACCGCAGTGCTCAGAATGGAAGAGCTCACAGCAGTATCCTCAGCTGACGCTGGCGGTATTGGCGGAGCGTAGTGCCTTTCTCGACGAAGAGGGGCCTGCTTTTTCTGTGGATTTGGCGGGTCCAAGCTTTGGGCGCCCTCTAGCCGAGAGCCCCGAGCGTTGAGCAGAGGCTCATGGCACCAAAGAGGCAGCGCAGCGCATCTGCCTCGCCCAGCCTCGCGCGACCGAGCAAGAGGGCGTGCGGGACGCGAAATCGGACTCAGTTGATTTCATGTGGGTCCGATCCAACAAAGCTCGTCCGCAACGCTGATCCGACCGCACTCCACACCCGCATCTCTCTATTTCTGATTGCGTGTCTGTCTCGCCTGCCCATCCTCGCCATCTCGTCTTCCCATCAACACGCCACTCTGCACCTACAAACCCACATCTTTTACAGCGCATTGCACCTCCTCACAAACATCGCCTCACACCTCAAAGCGAGCTGCCTTGATCCGCTCCCACACCACGGGTCGAGACAAGGACGGTCGCAGATATCAGCATCAGCGCGCGTTACCAATCCCCTTCTTCCGCCATCGGTCTCGATCGTTCAAGTGCCTGTAGCTGCTTCGTCTTCATCAGTCGTAGCACACCAGCACGCCATGTCTGCACCGATACCGCAGCCAATTCAGGATAGCGCTATGACGCCCGACGAGTCGATGCGCGACGACTCGTCCGCACGCAAGTACAACAAGACCTCGCATCTGCAGAAGCGCTCGCAGCAGGAGCCGTATGCCGTCGATCCTGCAGCATCAGCTTCCGCAGCCCAGATTGCTGCCAGCGTAGATGCAGGCCAGCCGTACGATCCCGTCGCCGAATATCGCCGCGGCCGTGCGCTCACTGCAGACAACCTCGAGCGCATCCCCAACGCAGACCAGCTTGCTCCAGGCATTCGCCTCCCCGGACGAGTGATCGATCCGCACGGTGCGGATACCGACATGCAGACCTCGTCGGATGCCGATGAGGGCGCACAGAGCCTCGAGACCGGTCACACGAGCGTCGGCGCGTTCGGTGAAGGCGGAGCGCCCGTCCCAGGCGTGCCTCCCGAGCTCGACCCACGAACGCCGTCGTTCCGACCGCACAGTCCAGGCGAGGCGTCGGTGTTCTCGGTGGCAGTGCAGCCTCCAGCTTCGCCCAAGGCGAGCATCCTCGAACCTTCCGAACCCGCCAGCCCGTTTGTCGAGTCCACACCCTCTCGGAGCGCCACCGACAGGTACGGCGTTCCCGTGAGCAGCGCCTCGGCTACCGCAGGCTCATCGTCCTACTCGGTATCGGCACGCGGCTCTTCTCCACCACTCTCCGCCGGCTACTCGGCTTCCGAGGCATTCAACTCGGCCATGAGGCTCGGACCGGGGCCGAGCATGCTGGGTCGCAACGTCGCCAGCGTGGCACCGTCGGAAGCGGGCAGTGTCTCATCGACTGGAACGGGCGGTGGACCAGGTAGCACGGGTACTGCCGACGATCAGGAGGTGGCGTTGCGTGCGGCGTATATCGAGCGACAGAGGATGCGCGAGCGCGAGCTCATGGGTGGCGAAGCCGGCGTGGGCGGCACTACGATCCCCACATTCGCACTGCCTGCGCGCGGCACCACCCCGCTCGCCTTTGCACCGGGCCTGTCGGCACGACTCGGGGGTGGACCGACAGGCAGTCCTGCTTTTGACAATGTCAGCAGGGCAGGAAGCACCGCAGCGACCACGGGCACCAGCACGCCTCCGCTCAGTCCGACGGGCAGCGAGATTCCCTATGCGGTCGCTTCGCCCTCGCGCCGTGGCAGCGTCGACAGCACCGAGACGCTCGGCAGCATGCGCGCACCGCCCAGCGTCCAGGGCTTCGAGCTCGGCAGCGGCATCGAGTCGAGACGCATGAGCCGCGGCGGCTCCTCGGCCGGATTTGCAGACGCCGCCTACGACACCGGACGCCGCGGCAGCGAAGGCGCCTTCATATCCAACGCCATGGACGAGGACGTGCAGGAATCGGCGCCCGCACCGTCGCTGCACACCGAGCCCGAAGCGCTCTGATTTGTCCCCCCTCTCTTTCAAAGAAAATATGACAACCACAGGTGTCGGCACATGCGCAATCGAGCCAACGTCCACGCGAATCGCAGAGCGAGGCCCAGTTCGGCCTGTGTGATGAGGTTGATTGCTCTGATTTGGCCGTTTCAGTCGCTTAGGCGGTAGAAGGTGGCTTGGTCGGCGCGCTGAGTTGCACAGCCTGCTTTTCCGACAGCGCGGGCGATTGCTTTGGCCGTGTCGACTGGGAGAGTAGCGAGAGGCCGATGTTCCACAGGATGCCGACGGCCGACACGAAGGGCACACGATATCTGCACCGCAGCGAGAGGAGAGACGGGTCAGAAAGACAGCAGGGCTCGCACTGAAGCGGAGCTGTACGTACTTGAGTGGCATGTATCGGAAGTTGACCAGCTGGACGAGCGGCCAGATCTGCCAGTTGGCGAGCAGCGCGGGAATGTACATCTCGCCGAATTTGGCCTGCACACCTTCAAGCGAGCCGCGCTCCATGGCGCCCATGGCTCCCGTGAACAGCGCCAGTCCAATGGGTGCGCTGCGAGCACCAATATATGTTCGTTAGCTTATATGGACCGTGGCAGGCGATGGAGACTGCAGGGTTGGACTTACAAGAAGATCTGGTCCATGGCGACTCGATTGCCGAGCGCACGGAGGCTCACTTTGCCCAGAGCGCCAGCAGCTGCCGTGGCGGCGGGGGCAGCACGCAGAGGAAAGCGGAACTCGAGGAAGCGATTCCATTCGGCGAGCAAGGGTGCCATGCCGACGTTGAACGCAAGGAAGCGGCCTGAGCGCGACCAGTCCCATCCTGAATCGGTGACTGCAGATGGTGGTGGTTGTGTCGAGGTTGTGTCTGATGACGTCCGGGATCGCTGCTGCTGCTCGAGCGACTGCGCCTGGCTGATGCGTTCGAGCGATTGCGCTGCTGCGTCGGCGAGCACACCCAGCGTGCCGTTGGTCACCGCGAGAGTGACCCACGGCCGCCGTTCGAAGTTGCGCGCGTAGAACGAGCTGAAGGCTTGGCGATACGACATGGCTGCAGAGTGGTGGCGAGACGGCAGGTAGCTATCTATCAAAGTCACGGACACTCGGCGAAGAAGTGGGGCGTGCCCAGCATCAAGCAGCGTGTGGAGGCATGACTGAGATCCGAGGCATGACTGAGATTCGGTGCCCTTTTTTGGGCCCAGTGCGTGGTCTGAGCGGGCGACCCTGGCAAGCCTCGACCCATTCCTCTGCATCCAACTCATCGCTCTGAATCACACCTCTCCGCCTCCTTCTGCTGGCCGCCTTCTGCCCGAGATCGAGTGCGAAACAGCAACACGTCGGAAGGGTTCGCCGCTTGGCTGTCTTGGGGTGCCCGCGCCTCGCGTTTGAGCCGACAAAACGTCGCTGTTTCGGCCTCTCCGACTTCTGGGCGTGACTTTCGGTCCGTGCCGCCTCCCCGTCCTGGCGCCCGCCGCCGAGCAAATCCATACGGCCGTCATGGCACCCAAACGCAAGTCTCAGGCCGATGTGCCCACTCCCACTGGCAGCGGGGACAGCTCCAGCCGTATCGCGCACTGGCTCATGAAGGCCGAGCCAGACACGCGCCTCGAGCGCGGCCACGACGTGGCCTTCTCGATCGACCACCTGGCCGCCTGCAAGACCACCAAATGGGACGGCGTTCGCAATCCAGAAGCACGCACCATCATGAAGGAAAGGATGCGCACCGGCGACGACGTGCTCTTCTACCATTCCAACACCAAGATCCCCGGCGTGGCCGGTCTGGCACGCATCTGCTCCCAAAGCTATCCCGACCCCTCAGCATTCGATTCCAATCATCCCTATCACGATCCAAAGAGCGATAAGGAGAGTCCAAAGTGGTGGCTCGTCGACGTCGAGTTTGTCGAGAAACTCGATACGCTCGTTCCGCTCGGCTTGCTTCAGAAGATCGCCGGCAAGGGCGCCGACAACAAGCCGCTGACAAAAGAGGAGCGCAACGACGTCGACTATCTCTCCGACGAGGAAGTTCAGGCAATCAAGGATATGGCGCTGCTCAATCGCGGAAGACTCAGTGTACAGCCCGTGGAACAGCGCGCTTACGACGCCATCCTTGCACTCAGTAGGAACCGAGGCTGGGATCACTGGCCAGGAAAGTGGAACCCGCGCGCCGCAGCTTCAGCAAAGCCAACACCGGCTGCCAAGACGAAGCCCGAGCAGGACGGTGCATCCGAGCCTGCAAAGCAAGACCGCAAGCCCAAGGCTGCGTCTGTCTCGTCCAAGCCAAGCGCCTCCAAGAAGGCCAAAACCGAGCCTGACACCGAACTCCCCACCGAAGGACTGAGAAGATCCTCACGACGACGCAATGCCTAGTTCCCCTTTGCTGCCACGGCAGAAGCAATACACTCCGCAGGTCACGGTCGTCTTTGTTCCAATTAGATCTAGAGCGCCATTTGCAATGTAACCATACTCGACTCGGCCACAACTGCCGTCTTCTCGCGTTCGAAACGTTGGACCAGCATTAGGAAATTAGGAAAGATGTGCGTTCGCCAACGAACCCGTTCCTCCACTGAGCAAGGAGGAGGGGTTGATACGGGAGCGCGGATATGCCGTGTCGTTAGTCTCCCCCAATTCTCCGTCCGGCTCGGCGCGACGCCCCGAAGGACGCACACGCAGAGCAGGGGCATCAATGAAACCGAACATCTTTGATCCGACCGCGAGGTCGCAAAGAGCAGTCTCTGCCGAAGAGGGGTGGTAGAAGCGTGTGTGGGAGGAAGGGAAGGGATCGAGCGGGGGAGGGGGTGTTGGGAATGGGGATGGGTTTACCTCAGCGGTCTCGAGTGTCGGAGAGCATTGAACGTCGGTACAGGCAGATACGATGCGCAGGTCAGGTCGAGGATGCGAGCAGAGACAATCAAGGATGTCAGATGCGTTCGAGAATGGTCAGGTCGGCATTGTTGCAAGACAAAGGTGGTGGTTCAGGACAAAGGAGGTTAGGCTCTGACCAGCGAATGCATTTCTTCCAAATCTGCTGCGGAGCATTCTCGAGTCCCTCTTTTTTTCGCGTGCACCGTCCCCCGATTCACCGATCCGCCTGCCTTCGCACCGTCGCTGCTTCCCACGCCCTCGGTCCTCGTCCTGCCTCGACTGCTGGTAAATTCGCAGAACTGACTCAAAGTGATCTGGCACCCTCATCGCAACACGCACAGAGAGCAGGAACTGAGATGCGTTTCATTGCTGTCCCTGAGCATTCGATTTAGGGTGCCGGGGGAACAGAATATAGTTTTGTGCCGACTGCTTCGGTATCTCGAGGCAGCTGCGACGGGGAAAGGGCGAGCGTTGCCGCTCAGGCCGCAAATCTGCGACCCGTGTGGATGAGGTGGGGGAAGAGTGTGCTAGTGATATGCATACAAAGCCGCGCGGAAATGTCCGCACGGCTTGGCTAGACGACGACGGTAGCCATCAAGCAGTGAGAAAAGGGGCGAGCGAAAGAGGAGTGCGCCAACATGCGGCGACGGGAGTGCAATGGACGACAACTGACATGCCACGTGCAACGACAGCAAAAGCTGCGCACAGGCAAATCAGAGACGACGACCACGGCGACCACCCTTTCTGCGGGTCGAGTCGGTGGGGACGGGGGTGACGTCCTCAATGCGGCCAATGCGCATGCCGGCACGGGCGAGCGCACGGAGGGCGGCCTGGGCACCGGGGCCGGGGGTCTTGGTGCCGGTACCACCAGTGGCACGCAGCTTGATGTGGAGAGCGGTGATGCCGACCTCCTTGCATCGGACGGCGCAGTCCTGAGCGGCAAGCATAGCAGCGTAGGGCGACGACTCGTCACGGTCGGCCTTGACCTTCATACCACCTGTGAAGCGGAGAAGCAGAAGATGCGCAGGTTAGAAAACAAGATTCGCAGGATGTCAAGACAATACGACGCTGCAGGGTCTGCTGTGCCTCAATCCGGTTGGTCGCATGAGACAGTTTTCAAAGAGATCGTAATGCCAAATCGTTGCAGCGATGCGATATTGTTGGCGTTTCTGTGCTGCTTGTGACTTTGCGAGGCGTCCTTGTTCGATGCGCGAGTATTGCGGTGCCATGGCGTCCGAGGAACCGAAGTTGAATGCTTTCGTCGTTGCGAGTGGTGATTCGCCGGATTGATGCATGCAGAGTACAATGTCGTGAAGAGTGGACTTACCAGTAACGCGGGTGACGGTTTCCTTGCCCGACATATCGGTGACGTGGACGAAGGTGTCGTTGAACGAGGCGAAGATGCTGTTGGTGGGTAATGCCAAGATGGTGACAAGAGTATGAGTATGTCTGTCGTACTTGCTACGATGATTTGCCGAGCACGTCGCAATGTCCAATTGAATCATCCTGCCCTCCTCCATTCTCCAGGTCGCCTGACATGCTAGCTGATACTGTGACCATCCAGGCACGCACATCCTTAAACGCTGATGACAATGGATGCTTGTCTCTGTGCTTCCAAGGTGCCGAGCTCTTTCCACTGCGTTTCCTGTCTGTCCGCTGTGAAAGGGTTGCCATCGACATTCGCTTCTGCGCGAGACTGATCCAATGCACGTCCCACAACTGCTATGCTCCTGTGCTGATGAAGTGATCCTCCAAATGGGCGGTGTGCTGGAACTTCCGATGCATGTGATCCCTCCAATACTGCTGTGCGGGTATGCTGCGACGTGCCGATGTGGCATGATGTGATGGCTGGAGTACTTACTGAGCAACGCCGAAGACGAGCTCGCCCTCACCAACGTTGGGGCCGAGGGAAACCTCTTGAGCAGCAGCACGGACCTTAGGAGCCATCTATGCGATCGGTGTAGTAGGTTGGATGCGGTGTTGTGGTGGTGCGAGAACAAGGTCGATGATGGTCGATGCAGAGGTGTAGATTCGAATTGGAACGAAGGGTCGAGATAAAGGCAAAAGTTTCGGATGGATTAGAATCTTGCGTTCGTAGTGTGGATGGTCGATGCCTTGCAGTGTACAGCTGTGGTGTATGCTGCAATGCCGTTGGTGTCGCGGATATGCTTACCTTGATGTATGTGTGGTTGGTGTTCAGAGACGACGATGAGCACGCTGCGCGATGGTGAAGCCTTGCCTCGCTCTCCGCACCGTGGCGCCGACCCGCGGGCTCAAGTTGCTCACAAGCGCCTGCCCGCCGCTCAACGACCGGGTCCCACAGCTGCCTCGAATCGAGTCCACTTGGCTAAGACCCCATCTGCCGGTTTGCCTGCGTAGATCCCAAGGCCAGCCGGCACCGCGCTAGGCAGCCTGATTTGCTGGAACTGCAATCTCGACCAGTCTCCCGTCCACGCGCTCAGTCTCTGCTGTGGCTCAAATTTCCGAAATTCAAGTCACGTGTCCCATTTCTGCCGGATTAGAAGCTCGGCCGAGGTCCAAGATGGTCGCGAGCACAGCGCGCCGGGCTGGCTGAAAATCGCACACCCTGGCCAAGACGGCTCCGGGGCCTGAAGCAAGTCTTGCAGTTGAGAAGACTCGAGGCGTGCAAGAGCGTACAGGCAGCTGGAGTCGGAATCAGCTGCGTGGAGCTGGCAACGCTCGAACATGCGGGTGTGCGGGCGGGCGGACGGCGGCGCTGTGCGGAGGCCACCAAGGCGCGTTGCTCGCCATCGAATCCTCCTTCTGTTTCTACAGGAACACCTCACCACATACAGAGATCCGTCAAGATGGTAAGCATCAGCACAAACGACACCAATGCAGCCGTTCGATTCAGCACAAATCGTAAAGCAGCAGCCGCAGCAGCCGACGTAGAACCCATCAGCATATCGTCGGGGATGGCCGGCGTAACCGACGCAGACGAGACATTCAGCACACACCATATGTCGAATGCCGCCTAGACAGATACGACACCGGCAAGGAGCATGGCAGGCGCAGAATGTCGTAGAGCGGTTGCCAGAATAGCGTCGACTGGCGTGATGGACATTCGAACATGGAGTCCACATGTCTGGCCGACTTACACTCAGACGGATTGCCCATCATTTCGGTGCAAGCTTCATCAGCTCACACGACAAGAACGGCTATAACCTGGTGCCGTCGCCCAATCGCCAAAGTCGCATCAGCCTTGCCACGGTCTCAGATATCCGACAGCACCCACCTTTAAGCATCGAATGGAAGCGGTCAGCTGGATGATGACGGACAGGTGGCCGGCTGGATGACAACCAGCAAGCCAAGGAAAAGGATCGCTGTATGGATCTGGCAGCGCCATTGTCTCCGATCCACTTGATATACGCAACGGCTGCATTGGGACGACATTCTGCACATCGACTGTATCAGCATGTTGACCACATTTCCGTCTCGCGTTCTCACGACAACAGCCCCAGCAGATTACCGACATCAAGAAGTTCCTTGAGATTGCTCGCAGAAAGGACGCCTCGGCGGCCCGCGTCAAGAGCACCACCCGTGCCGACGGCAAGCAGGTCACCAAGTTCAAGATCCGCTGCTCGCGCTTCCTCTACACCCTCTCGGTCGACGACAAGCAGAAGGCTGAGAAGCTCAAGCAGTCGCTTCCCCCTGGTCTTAACGTTGTCGAGATCGGCAAGCCCGTCAAGGGCCGCAAGTAAACGCTCCCCGGGCCTTTTTACTTTCGACTCGGTCTCCGACAACCTCTTCTCCAGCATGATCCGACACTTTTACTTTTTCACCGCCAGCGCTAGGCAACTCTCTTTGCCGTGAACACGCACAGTCTTCCATTCAGGACACTCAAAACGTTACGGCCCAGCTTTTCACCGGCGCAGGCCCGATCGCTCGTTCGCATCCTCCTACACCACCATCACCCCAAAATAACCTCCAAGGGCGCGTGTGCTCCGACAGGAAACCCGCCCTTTGTAACATGCAGGTGTATGGCAGGCTCGATGTCCGCAGGCACCGGGCTGATCATGTCGTCACACAAGCACATCTTTGACCGCGGTCAAGAATAACACTCCGTTTAAGCAGAACTCAGGCTCGGGGCGTGGCACGACAAAGTGCAGCGAGGTTTTGAGAGAAGACGGGACATGCAGGGCAGCAAAGGTGAGGAAACGAATGCAATTGAGATGGAGCGTAAAATAGAGAGTGAATGGAATGCTGATGGCATGGATGGCCGGAAGAATGCGAAGATGATGTTGTGATGAAGACCGAACTAAATGGGACTATGCTATGCTTTGCTTCGAAGCGACTTTAGAGTCTATTGGGTTCATGCCCTCTTTGACTTTTGCTTCTTGATGACGACGGTATCGGTGTAACCGACGAGTTGGGGTTTGGCAAAACTGGTGACTTCGATCTGATACTTTCCGGGCTTGACATTCGCGGGTACAGTCCAATCGAACCTTCCGCACTTTTCACCCGTGCCCATATCGTTGCACTTCTTGTTCGAGAATCCATGAACGCTTCCAACCTTATCGGTGACAGTGTATGTCTTGAGACCGGATGTACCGTCGGCAGGAGCAAGCTCGATGCGCAAGCCACCTTTGGGTGCGTTGAGCCAGTTGATGTAGACGCCTTCGTTTTGGTGCCAGATCACCTGGCACTGGTAGTGATCGCACGAGGGGTAGTTGACATACAACTCCTTTCCGCGAGGATCATCGTTCGATGCTTGACCCGCAACGAACGGAAGTGCAAGCGCAGTCAGCGCTGCAACGAGGGAGGTGATTCGAACCATAGTGCGATAATGCGAGATAGACAGAACGTGTGTAGTGGTGATGAGGAGAAGTATCGAGAAGGACAAGGTCTAGATGTAGGCGAGAAGGACGACGAGGCACACAGGGACAACAGTGCACTCCAGGGTCGACTGTATGCACAGCAGGAGGCCTGACCGCAAACAGCATGTGCCTGTATCAACCCACTTCCTCCTTCCCCCACGATCCCCACTCGTGACACACACACGCGTCCAACGACATGCAGCTCCCTTCGGCATTGACATAGGCAACCCGACCACACTGCAGTGGCACTGATCTATTGTTGTTCAAAGGCGCCGCTGTGCTCAAACGTGTTGATCGCGGGAGGCACCTGAAACGCCGACAATGGAGCGTCGGAGCGCCGGAGCACCGCAACACGCGTCCACACACGCACCGAACCCCTCCGGAGCCTTCGGTTGCATGAACGACCTCGCTTTTAGCCGAGCGTCGATCCCCTGTCACTCCCACGCCTGTGTTTTCTTTTTCCGCTCACGCCCCAAAAAGGCAGCGATGCAGGAGAACACGCTTACATTCGGCACCCCAAGCGATGCATGGCAAGACGCCGCTACAGCTCGGTCTCTACATGCTGCGACCTTCTGTCCTGGAGGTCAAACTTGTTCTTGAGCCCAGCACCTGCCGATTTGGCCGTCTGCCCGACCCAGTCGAGCGTACGCACGGGCTTGTACTGCTTGATGCCCTTGTGCTGGCGGTGCAGCTCGTCCTTTTCCGCCTTCCACTCGGCGAATTTCTGCTTGAGCGAGCGCGAGCGCTCCACGCCGCTCCCATCGGGCGTGTCCAGATCCGCGCTGCTCGACGAGCCTCGTGCTTCCCCGCCTTCCTCTCCGACGGTTGGGTCACCATTCGCCTTTGACGCCTTGGCTCGCGGCTCCCGGTTGTCCTCGTTGTCCGAGTCGGAGGAGTACGCCTCGCCAGGTTCAGACTCCCGGTCGGCCTCGTCGACGTCTTCCAAGTAGCCGTCCTCGTTGAGGCGCGCATTGGCAAAGTCGCCCGACACGCTCCTCAGCCCCAGCGCGGTGCACACCCGCCATGCGTCCATGACGATCTTGGCGCCCGGGTTGTTGTCGAACTTGGTGTGAATCTTGCCCAGCCCCGACTTGAACTGCATCTTGACGTGGAGATACCCGATGCGCTCCACGCCGAGCGCCTCGGCCTCGGCCTCGTTCTTGTAGTTGTGGTAGTTTTGTCGCAGGCGGTGGAAGTCGTTGCCCGGCAAAGGTCGCCAGATGGGCAGGCGCATGTCGGCCACGTCATCGTCGAGCATATCCTGCATCCAGATGATGCTCATCAGGATCGTCTTGCGCTTGCCAAGCGCGCCGAGAGCACGGAACTCAATCACGTACGGCGCCGCGTATCTTCTGCGCGCAGGCACCTTGTACGGAAACTCGGCCTCGTCCAAGCGCCACTCGACTGCGTCTTTTGACTCTCTGTCGACGTACCTAGCGCGGTTGGCCGCGATCTTGGCGCTGCCTGCCAGCGTCGAGGCGCGTAGCGCCACGAGATGCACATCGTGAGCGGACGCACCTTTGGCCTCGTCAAAGTCGGTCGCCACGGGCGAAGAGAGCAGGCGGACCGTGCCGATATTCCAACCGAGCTTCTTCCTTGCGCGGCTGGCGTGCTGGATCGGGCGGAAAAGCAGCGACAGCCGGATGCGGCCGTGGCCGACACCGCCGGCGAGAGGGAAGAACTGCGTAACTTGCGAGCTCTGCTTGAAGAGCTCGGACAGCTTGATCGGCACCACGCCCAGGATGGCGTCGGCTTCGCGTACTCGGAAATCATATACGACGACCATGACGAGCGTGCGCCTCCAGTCGCGGATGAAGCGCTCGGTTCCGGCATTGTAGAAAGGATTCGAGTTGAGCGCCTTGGTTCGTGTCTGGAAGACGATTTCATCGTTCAGAATGATGCGAGCGTAGGCAGACGGAGCCTCGTCTGGGTCGTTCTCGGTTTCGGCGGCTTCAACGTCCTGACCAGGCTCGTTCTGGCGTCGGGGTCGCTTGGAGCGGTGATGGTCGGTGACCTCGAGTCCCGCGATCTGATGAATCTGCAACGACAGGATACCCGATGGCAGGCGAGGGTCCGGAGGCTCAAAGTCGACAGCAGTAGCTTGGTGGCGAGTCTGTTTCTTGCGCTCCTCGTCAATTGCTGCTTGGGAGAGAGGACTGTCATTCTCGATCGTACCGTCTTCGAGCTCGCGTCCGTCACGCTCGGGCTCACTGTCGATTTCGACGTCCGGTTCTTCATCGCCAGCAGGATCACTGTGATCGTCGCTTCGATTTGTGCGGTCCGCAGCCTTGGCATCTTCCGGCTTTCTCGTGCTGGGAGCTTTGGAGAAGAAGCCCAAGCTCCAAGAGACCGTGCCCTGCTTGGTCCTTTCGCGGTCCAAGCCCGTGAGCGTGTCTCGTCGCCTGTAGAGCCGGTTGGGATGCTTCGCAAGATCCACCAAGGGAACTTCGGCACAGCCGAGCATGTCGTCGGCCGAGAAGCGGTCCGAGTCCCAAAGCGCGATGGAGACCTTGTCTTGCGAGTCGAGATGCTCCCTCGTGACCAAGATCACATGTCGCTCCTCCCAGCGCGGCGAAAGCTCGCTCAGCACGACGCGTGTGCTGTAAAGGATCTTGCCGACCTTGGCGAGGCTGAGGGTGCAGTAGGGATCCGAGCCACCGCGCAGGTCCTGTGCCTCGAGATCCTCGGCCGAGTGGATGTAGACGACGACGACACCGAGCGCATTGACTTCTCGCTTGATGTTATCGCCCATAAGCATCTCTCCAACGTCCATGGTGAGTGACGAGGGCATGACGAACTCGCCGACGGCAGCGTCGATGGAGCTCTCGATGAAGCTCGACAGGAAAGGAATGTGCGACGTGTTGATGTGCAGAGGGACCACCTCGATGCCGACGCGGGGCAAGCCACAGAAGGTGAAGGTGACATTTTTGACAAAGGGCGGGTCGGAGGTGAGCTGGACGCGCGCGCGAACGACGCCGACGAAGCCTTTGATCTCGACCCAGACAGGAAGGGGCAGCATGAGCAGCTTGCGGGCTCCGATCCAGAACTTGATGAGGAGGTGTGCATTTCGACCCTTTGCACCGACGGTGCTCGAGGTGGGCCGAGCGCGGTAGACGAAGGCGAGCTCGAGATTGACGTACTGCTCGCCGGTCCCCGCTTCTTCCTGTCTCTTGGCTTCGCGTTCGATGATGCTTCCCGTGTGATGGTTGCCAGTGTCGCTACCGTCCTCGTGAGGCGCACTTCCTAGATCCCTTTGTTGTTCCTTGACATGCTTGCGCATGTCCTGCTTGAGGCTCTCGACATGGTCCTCGGGAAGGATGCGAAGTCCTGTGATGCGAACGGGGGTGGAGCCTTGGGCGAGGTCTTCCACCTTGACCGAATGGATGAAACCAGGAATGGAAGCCTGCATGACATCTTCCAGAGTGCCTCCGAGAGTGGAGAAGAGCTCGGGGTTCATGACGGACCACAGCGAGTCGAGAATGGCGTTGAGCCATTCGGCACCCTCGGAGATTCCCTGATTGTAGCTGTCGTCGCCCTCGCCCTGGGCTTGAGTGTCAAAGGCTCGTGTCTGCTCGCCTCGCAGTCGCTCCTGGTGCCATCTTTGATCCTCTGCGCCGGACAATAGCGTGCGCCATGCCCACCACAGCATCCACGCATTGAGCGCGACACTGATGAGTGGTGATATCCAGCCTAGACCGGTCAGCAGGGCCCAGGTAGCAAAGACGGGGAGCAGACCGGGATGGATCTTTGAGACCGAGTCCGGCAGTGGCTGAGCAGGAGGGAATGCCTGCGACGTGACGTTGTCGGCGAGGCGAGAGCGAAGGACGTTTTCTCGGCCGGCGGCATCACCGGCATCGGCCATGCGCAGCGTGCGGCGGTACTCGCGCTTGCCGATATCGTGAACCCAAGTAGTCTGTCCGGTGATGGGGTCCTGCACCTGACGAGGCTTGCGACTGCGCTTGTAGGCCTTGTCGACCTCTTCGGGCCGTCGATGTGCCTGCTTGCCGCTCTCGCCGACTTGGCGCTCGTCGGGCTCGGCCTGGAGCGACAAGTCTTTGTCGTCGGCGAGGTCTTGGCCGTTCTCCTTTGAATGCTTGGAACCAGATAAGAGGCTGGACATGCGCTTCTTGGTTGACTTCTTGCTGGATGCCTCTTCACCTTGCGCCGTCGGATTGCTGCTCAGCGTTCCCTCGTCGGCAGGCTGGGTGCGCGCCAGGTGGGCGTCGAGCTGAGCGGGCGCATCCTGGCCATTGTCGGTTTCGTCCGAGTCCGACTCGGAGTCGGGATCGTTGCGCTTTGCAATCACTTCCGAGAGTCCCTTTTTGAAGAACCTCTGTATGGAAGGGATGGGCGACGACTCGGAATAGTAGTCGCGATGCCGGTGATGAATGCCCTCGGGACGATCCGACATTTTGCCCACGCCTGCTGGATCCACAGGTCAGACCTATCGACAGCTTGGATGGTGGTGGAGACCAAGCACGCTCGACTGTCGTTTGGGCGCTCAGTCAAAACGAGCACGGCGAGGTGCAGCGAGGTCATCGCATGTCATCCGATGGACAAGGGCTTCCGAGGACACAATAGCCGCGAGTCGGCATGCCAAGAAGCAATCATTCTCGACGGCGGCGTCTCTGGAATGGAACCGCGCTGCAGCAAAGCACGCAAACGGGCAGAGCGACTCGGTCTTGGCTTGCTGAGTGCGCATGGACCCTGAAGCCGACGCCTCTTCGGATGCTGCCGACCGTATCCACCTTCCCGCTCGAAGCCTCTCTACTCGGTCACCCTCCCGCAGTCCCACGCTATCCTTCTTTCTTCTCACTAAGCTCAAGCATTCGCGACTTGGCAACAGTAGCAGGAGGCTGCGTGTCTGCCTCTGTGAAAGGGCAAGAGAAGGCCGAGTTCGGGCGACATCCGAAGACGCCGCGAAAGTCGAGCTTCGCGTTGCAGCTGCCGGTACGGGCGCAGTGATGTCATGCATTGCAGGCGCTAAGCCACCCGCAGACAGGCGAAATATCCGCTGCTGAAGCCGGCTGAACTTGCTCTGCGCTTTTTTTCCTCTCCTGGTTTCTATCGGTCTGACATGTGCTAAAAAGGATGCGGAGAGTGAGTGCCGATTTCCGAAAAGGTCCTTGCATCTTCTCCACATGCAAGGCCGACCAACACCAGGCTAGCATCAGCCACACCACCTGCTTCGCATCGCCCAAGATGTCTCACAATCACTCTCATTCCGGTCCATGTGGGCACGACCATCACCACGACGACGATTCTCACGTCAAGCCAGGCGAAGTAAGTCCTTCCCACCCCTCTACCCCACCAGGTCTTTGGGGCGTTTGCTGACGAGTTGCCCGTGTGCATCGAGACCGTAGGGAGATCAGGATCTTCTGTACAGCAGTATCGATCGCGACCGCATCACCACGCTCAACGAAACCGTATCTGGCTCAGGATCAGCTATCATCAAGACGTGGGATAAGCGCAACGATCCCGAACCCGAACTCATCTCCGACGCAGACGACCAACTCATCCTCCACATCCCCTTCACCTCGCCCGTCAAACTATCCACCTTCCTCCTACGTCCCTCCTCCAACCCCGACAACACACCACGAACCATCAAACTCTACAAGAACTTGCCAGAATCGGTCATCAACTTTGACGACATCCCATCCCTACCCGCTTCCAAAGTCACCACCACGCTCGACTCAATCCCAACAGTAAGCGATACTTCAGAGGTGATCGCGTTTCCTCTTCAGCAAGTCAAATGGTCAAACACAGACTCGATCACCATCTTTGTCGAACAAAGCTTGGGCGGCAACAACACTGGACTCACTTTTGTTGGATTCAAGGGCAAGTCTACCGGCATCAACAGACAGGCCCCACAGAATATCGTCTACGAATCAGCTCCCCAACTCAAAGACCACAAGGTCGGCTCCGACTCCCTCGCTGCCTCCCACGGCTTCGGCCATTGAATCACCCCACATTGCTCCCGAATCTATCGCTTACAACACGCGTGTGCAGAGGCACCGGGTAAGCATGTCCTTGTTTCTAAAGTGTAGTAAGCATGTGTGTGTGCGTGTTTTGGTATTTACAGTGGTCAGGCTCTCGCCTGAGGACACGAGTACAATCATTGGTTCGACGAGAGCGACGCCGCACGACCGGTGCTATCGGACGCGGGGATGGCGAGGTTGGTCATCGAGATGGAGCGGTTGCCTGTGGGCGAGCCGCGATTCGACTGTCCCACGGGCGGCGCCACGAGCGGCGTCATCGAGGCGGCAAAGTGCTTGGGCGTCTCGGGTCGCGGCAGCGGCGTCATGGTGCCTGGCGTCGACGGCACGGATCGGTTGTGCTTCATGTGTGCCTGGATCAGGTGACCCGCGCACAGCGCGCCCATCAGCGACAGCTCGCCCGCCATCACCGACGCCGCAATGATGCGCGCCAATCTCTGCGCATTCGCACCGGGCGTCGTCGCGTGCGCACCCGCAATGCCCATCATCTCGAGCATCGAGCGCTGCGGCGGCAGTACCGTACCACCACCCACCGTGCCCACCTCGATGCTCGGCATCGACACCGTGATGAGCAGGTCCTGGTCGTCGTTGATCGCCTCCATGAGCGTGATGCAGTTCGACGACTCGACGTTCTGCGCCGGGTCCTGTCCCGTCGCCAGATAGATGGCCGTCAGAATGTTGGCCGCGTGTGCGTTGAAGCCACCCACGGATCCAGCCATGGCCGACCCGATGAGGTTCTTCTTGGTGTTGAGATTGACCAGATCGCGCACCGTGCACTTGAGCACCGACTTCACCACGCTGCCAGGCACCACCGCCTCGGCAACTACACTCTTGCCGCGGCCCTCGATCCAGTTGATCGCCGCCGGCTTCTTATCCGTGCAGTAGTTGCCCGAGAGGGAAAGGACCTTCATCTCTGGGAAGTACTCCTCGGTCATCAAGCTGAGCGCCTTCTCGACGCCCTTGGAGATCATGTTCATGCCCATCGCATCACCCGTCGAGGTGGCGAATCGCACGTACAGCGTGCGGCCCGCCAGCACGCAGCGCAGCGACGACAGTCGCGCAAATCGAGACGTCGAGTCGAAAGCGGCCTTGATGGTCGAAGCACCGTCCTGTGAGTCGATCCATCGCTTCGCCTTGGCGGCCTGCACGACGCTGGGGAACTCGAGCGCGGGTCCGCGCGTCATGGCATCCTGCGTCAGCACGGTCGTCACTCCTCCGCCAGCGTTGAGTGCCTTGCAGCCTCGCGAGGTGGAAGCGACCAGCGTGCCCTCAGTGGTAGCCATGGGAATGGGCATCACCTGTCCGTCAATGTTGAGAGGGCCCGCGATGCCGACGGGGATGGGCATGTAGCCGACCACGTTCTCGCAGCATGCGCCCATCACCTTGGCGTAGTCGTAGTCGCGGTGAGGCAGAAGCGAGCTCTCGAGCGTCTTGGTGTGCGAGGCACGCGAGACGAGCGCACGACGCACGCGCACAGCACGTTCGTGGTCCTGCAGCACCTTTTCCAGAGCGTAGGCGGCGATCTTGCCATTCTGGCTGAGCGTGACGATCTCCTCGTCGGTGAGGAAGAAGACGCCAGCGCCGCCCGCGTAGATGTCGACAAGCTCCTCCAGGGGTCGCACGACGGTCTCGCCGTTGGGTGCAACGTAGGTGGCATCCTGCAGGCGGATCTGCTGTGCTCGGTCCTCTTGCGCGGCAACGGCGCCTTGGCCTTCGGAGCTAGGCGCGACGTTCGACTTCTTGACGGCATCCATGGCATCGGGCTTAATCGCTCCGGCGGGGACAGCGTTGACACCCTCAGTCGACTGCGACGAGGCAGCGATCTTGTCGCTCTCGCGCGCCAGCTTGTTGAGCGGGGCCGAGGCGGCAGTGGCGGACATTTGGGCGAGTCGCTGGTGGTAGTCGTTGAGGCCGTCTGCGCTCTTGCCACGCACGGGAGCGACGGGCTTGCCGTTCTCGCGCGAGCTCCATCGTCGTCGCACGCGCTCACCATGCTCTTCGATGGCCTTGGCCTCGCTGTCCAGATGAGCGCCGATGAATCGAGCGGCGGCGTAGGCGGCGGCACCGGCCGCGTTGCCCTCGGAGAGGGCGGCGTTACCCGTGGCGATGCCCTTGAGCAAGTAGGCGTTGAGGAAGATGCTGATACCGAGAGCGAGCGACATCCACTTGCTGATAACAGGGTCACCGACAATGACGGTCCAGCCGCTCATGAGGCTGTCCAGGACGGCGAGCGACGAGCTGCTTCGACCGACCGGGACGGGACGCACGCCTGCCGAGGTGATCTGTGCATAGACTCCGGATGCGTTGAGAGCTGCACTTGCAAGCGGGCTGCGCGACGCCGAGACGGACTCGTTGGCCTCGAGCAGCACAAGGATGGTGGGCTCCGAGATGTGCGCAACCAGGTCGACGTTGGCGGGGTGAGACAGGGAAAGCTGGGCAAGGAGAGGCGCGATGGACGACGAGGCGGCGGGACCAAAGATGGGCGACTGCTCTACGACGACCTGGTAAGGCGAGGGCTCGAAGGTGGCATGGTGACGGCTGATGGCAGACTGCCTTGTGAGCGTCGAGATGAGGTTGAACGAGTGCATCACAAGGAAGCAAGTGACGAGGAGGATCTTGAGGCGGCCGAGCGGGTTCTCCGACTTGCGACGCTTCTCCGAGGGAGCGTAGCCGAAGACGGTCTTGAAGATCTTTTGCCAGAGCGGACGCTGGGAAGGCGTGGGGCTGGGCTCGCGGGAGGCAGAGCTGTCGGAGAGCGGGCTGGTAGGTGGCGAATCCGAGTCGAGGCTAAGGTCGGCGCTGAGCTTGGGCTTGCGGAGGCCGCGCTTGACCTTGATGCGGTGCACCTCGACCATGATGGTGAGGATGGAGACGTAGAAGGCAAAGAGGAAGATGCAGTCGAAGAGCAGGATGAGAGCGGCGAGCTGGCAGAACTCGCGAAGGCCGCTGACGCCGCTGGTGGCGCCTACGGCCATGACGGCGATCTCGATGAGGTAGTCGCGGATGATGGGAACGCCGACGCGGTTGACGGCGGAGACGACGATCTCATGCGCGGGCGTCGGGGTGGGTTCGGCCCAGCGCAGGCTGTCCTCGTTCTTGAGACGCTCGGTGAGGGCGCGCACGAAGGACTCCTCGCGGGAGACGGCGGCGGCGCCGTTGGTGGCTGCGGTGGGGGTCTTGCCGAGCGTGCCGATGTCGGGCTTGGAGGCGTGATCAAGGTTGCTGAGGATGAGCTCGGAGCGCTCCTTGGAGGTGAGAGCGTTGGCGGAGGGGGTGATGTCGGGGTGGGTGAAGATGGCGCGGGTGAGCAGGTAGGGTTTCTCGAAGCCGACGAGGATGACAAGGAAGGGTAGGGCCTCGGAGAGGCAGATGGGATCGACAGTGACGCCGAGGAGGTAGGCAAAGGTGATGGCGAGAAGGAAGGCGAGGATGGACGACATGAGGACGGAAGCGCCGAGCCAAAAGTTGCTGCCAAACTTGCGCATGGAGAGGAAGAGGTTGACAAAGGTGCCGTGCATGAGGATGTAGGCCGAGAGCATGACAAAGATGTCGGCCGAGTCTGCCTTCCTGAGGAGAGCCCAGAAGCGGACGACGAGCGCCTTGACGGCGTAGGCCATCCAACGGATGCGCTGGATCTCTTCTGCGTTGCCGGCGCGCTTGCCCTTGAGGTTGTTGGGAGCGTAGGGGTTGAATTCGCCGTCGGGCACGAGCGGGACGACGCGGAGGCCGTCGTAGAGGTCGTCGATCTCGGCGACGGAAGCCTTGGCTACGGCACCGGCTGGGCGGGGCACGGACTTGATGGCGGATGCGAGCGAGTTGGAGAGCAGCGAGGGGTCGACGACCTTGGCGAGGAATTCGTTGCGCAGAGTCTGGTCGGCGGCGCCGTTGGTGGAGGCGGCGGGATCAGCGAAGGTGCTGCCAAAGACGTAGGCGGAATGCTGCGAGTCCTTGTCGGAAACGAGGTTCGGGGTGACGTCTTGGCCGACGAGGCTGTGGGCGAGGTTGGCCGAGAGCGTGGGGAGGATGGCCTGTTCGATCTGAGCGGACATGTAGGATTCCCTGGCGCTGGTCACAACGACGGGCTCGACGAAGAAAGTGGGCGAAGAAGCATCGAAGAGAGCGGTGGTGTCGTCGAGGCCTTGCAGTGTGCGCTTCTGAGCGAGGTGGCTGAGCGGTTGCCAGAGGTTGGCGTCGCCGGCCTTGCGAACAAAGACGGTGTCGACATGGCTGGACACGGCGGGGTTGAGAGAAGACGACTTGGGTTGGGAGTGCTTTTTGCCTGCGCCGGCCCACTTGAAGAGACCAGAGGAGGTGGAGCTGGAAGCGAGGCTGGTGGCCTCGATCGAGATGGGCTCGAAGAAGTTGGAATGTGTGACCGCATGGAGGAGCTGGAAGTAGGCGAGCGTGACGACGATGAAGATGGTGACGATGACCTCGATGGGGTTCTGGGACGCCTGCCTTGCGAGCCTGCGGAGCATAACCTTGGGCAAGGAGAGCGGCTGGGCTGCGAGGCCGATGGAAGAGGTGCCGCTGCTGTACGAGGAAGCCGATGCGCTCGACATGGTGAGGGAGGGCGGCAAGGCAAACTGCCTCTTGCGAGTGGACAGGCCTAGAGATGGGAGAAAGGGCGCAGGATGCAAGGATCGACGTGGGTCGGATCAGAGGAGGAGCCAATTTACAAGGTGTCGAGCGACGAGACTGGAGACCGAAGAGGAGATGGAAGCGTTGAGCCAGGACGATGCGTCGTACAGCCAAGAGAGAAGCAAGCCAAGTTGAGAGGGCCTGTGAATGGAGCCAGCAAGCGAATGCGGCCGCGTATCAGATGGACGGTGTTGAGCCCGACCTTCTGGTGTGAAAGTTGAAGACGAAGAAGAGAGCGCGAGAAGAAAAGAGCGCGGTGGCGAGGAAGCGAGCGAGCCTGGTTTGATGGGGAGAGCAGACGACCCTTCTTGCGATTCCCCCTTTTGCGTCTGGAGGATGCGATGCGAAGGATGGGAGTTGCTCACCTGGATTAGGTGAAGGGGATGGTGGGGGAGTTGCGAATAGCGAAGGGGCGAGGAGATCAGGAAGCTGTCAGGCGGGTCAGTCGAGATGCGGCGTATCGATGTGCAGCAGCTTGTCGGCCAACGCAACGCCCGCCCACGCCTGCGAAAAGGGCCAAACGGAAACGGCGCAGACAGACGGGGTGTGCGTGCGTGTGTGCGTGCGTTCTAGCGCGCGAAGGAAAGCGGCGGCAGCGTGGGGCGTAACTGTGACTGCAGGCCGGTCTAGCGGTCGAAAATCACACACTCTCGTTGTGCTGCCAGGCGGAGAAACCAACAGCTGCTGGAGGGAGAGCCGCCGCCCAGGAAGAACCGGTCAAGAGACCAGGGCCAGCCGTAAAACCTGCCTATAGAAGGGATCGTCGAGCGGCAGCGGGGCGAATTGGGATTGGCTAACGCGCCCGCGCCCTCCTCTGCTGCTGCTGCCGCTGCTGCTGCGGGCGAGCGAAGAAATCCAATCCCAGAAAAAGCAAAAAAGGCAGTGCGGCAGGTTGCAAAGGCAGAGTCAGCTCGGCAACCGCCGCTACAAAGCCAAATTCCATGCCGCGCTGAAAAGCCGATTCATTTTCCCCCAAAATTTCGCGCTTGTCGCCAGCTGCTGCCCTGATCACATCCATGATCCGCACCGACGTTCGCTTTCTTTTTTTGAGATTTCTGTACTTTTTGTTGGAACTTTTTCGGCTGGAAGCGTGTCGTGCGGACGGGTGCGTGTGCGTGTCGAAAGCGCGTTCGCGTGGGGGCGGAGGCGGAGGCGCAGCTCACAGCGTTGGCCAGAGTGGGGCCACTTTGGCTCGTCACACACACGCGCCAGCCTGAGTGTGAGTTGCGTGTCGAAGGACTGCAGGGCGCTGGAATTTGAATTGCCACCAGCACTGCCAATTTCGGGGCGAAACTGTCGCTTCACCTTCCTCTCCGACTGAAACCCGCAGCCAACAGCCTTACTCTCTCGCCTTGACTGCGCAGAGCCGTGAATAGATCGCTGGGCAGACTCATCCGAAGCGGAGCGACCACGCGAGCAAGTGCAGGCTCCCACAAAACTGGACAGGCAAGGGGCTTCTGAAACCGCAGCCTTTTGCGCTTCCGGTCGAGCTTGGTCCGATACCGGCTCGAAAAGGGTTCAGCGCTTCGGCATTTCGCCGAGCCTTGTCAGTTGATCCCGCAAACACCGTACGAGAGCCAGCCCCCCAGCCCCCGCATAGCATGGACTCCATGTGGCGTGTTTGGCCATCCTTGCCGACCACAATCAGTCCACTTGCTATGCCGCACACTCCGCACTCGAACTCATTCACACAATGTCGGAGCCATGCTACGTAGTCAAAAAGAGGTGGCGTGAATTGCTGAGGACGAACCAGAGTTGTGTCGTCATATCGTACGTCGTAGAGATCGACGTTGTTTTTTTGGTTGAATCTTGTCGACGTCGGGCATCATCGACGGCCTGCCTTGCCTTTGCCCTTGCTCTTGCCCTTGGTCGAGGACGGTGTGGAGGAGCCGCCCTGGATGAAGCGCACGATCTCGTCGAGCGACTTGTTGGCGTTGGCGGGCGCTCCGCCTGGAGCTGCACCCGCAATGGCGCCCGTCGTAGCGGCACCGTTGGCACTGGCGTTGGCGCCCACACGACGTGCGTTGGGCAGACCAAACGCACCCTGTCGTGCCTCGCGCGCGCTCGCCTCCTTCTCCAGCTTGGCCACACGCACCGCCGAAGCGGCGAGGTTGAGGCAGAACGTCTCGCTCTCCTTGGTCTGCGCATCCTCCTTGCCCAGTCGCGCCTCGAACACGCGCCACGCCTCCTTCTCCACCGTCAGCGCCGTCTTGAGATCGCCCACCAGCGTGTGCGCCTGGCTCAGCTCGTGCGCCAGGTTCGCCGTGTGGATGCTGTCCGCCCCAAACAGCCGCAGCGCAAGCTGGTGCGCAGACTCGTACACCCGCAGACTCGCCTCGAACAGCTTCGCGTTCTGCAGCGTCAGCGCCACATTGGAAAGCACATTGATGCAGTCCGGGTGCTCCTCGCCGTACAACAGGCTCCACAGCTCCAGCACGCGGCGCTGGCACAGCAGCGACTCGCGCGTGTTGCCCGCAGAACGTTCCAGCACCGCCAGATTCATGTACTGGTTGAGCGTCTCCGGGTGGTCCAGACCCAGCGTTCGCTCCGACACCGTCACCGCCTGCCTCTGGTAGCGCACCGCATTCGCCATGCTCACCTGCTCGTTCACCGCAGGCAGATCCGCCTCGCTCACCTCCTTGTTCTCCGCCTTGGCCTGGTTGAGAATCTCGGCGCGCTCCATCGCTGCAACGCCCGCAAGGTGGTGCACAATCGTGGCAAACAGCGCGTAGCATCGAGCCACCTCCGGATGCACGAGCCCGTACACCTGCTCGTGGAAGCTCACGCCCTCCAGCAGCAGCTCCAGCCCCAGATCGCGATCGCCCCGGCTGATCGACAGTCGGCCAGCGTCAAACGCCTCTTCGGCCAGCGTGCTCTTGGGCGTCGAGTCCTTGACGATCGGCACCAGGTTCAGCACATCCTCCGGCTCGAAGCTCGTGATGCGAGCGGCCTGGGCGGGCTTCTTGTCGGCCGAACCAGCTGTCTTCTTGCTGCCATTCAGCTCGCCGTTGCTGCCCTTCTTCTTGTTCTTGTTCTTCTTGCCCGATCCAGCAGCGCCGTTCTCCTTGGCGCTGCCGTTGGCCTGCGCCTCGCCGTGCGAGTCGTCAGTCAGCGCCCCATCCGCTTCGACCAGCTTGCCTTCCAGAACGTAGTCCTGCAGCTTGAGCTGCACACCAGCGCGCAGCGCAACCTCACGCAGCAGCTGGGGTCGGCGCAGCTCCTGCTCAAAGAACGACAGAGGCAGCTCAAAGCGATAGCGCTTGCGGATCTCCTCGACGAGCTTCTGCTTGAGCGACTCGGGTGTCAGCTTGGTCCACTCCGCCTCCCTCTCATCCGAAAGCGGCGAGCTCGTGGGCTGCGACTGAGGTGCCGCGTTGACCTTGTCGCCGACCAGGCAGTTGAGGAAGTGCGACACGCACGCAGCCACGTTGACCTGCTCCACGTCGCGCACAAGGCCGCGCAGTACGCGCTTGCTTGCACGCAGCACCATCTCGTGCAGCACCGTGCTTCGGAAGGCGTGCAGGAAGCCCTCGTGGCCTGGACCCGCCTTGCTGATGAGCTCCTGGTCGAGCTCACCCTTGGCCTCGGGTGTGCACAGACGCGCAACGTATCCGAGGTAGCGGATGTTGATACCACGCGCGTGCATCTGGCGGCTGAGCGCACCACCATCGGCGGCAGTGAACAGACCAGCAGCCACGTCGGTCACGAAGCGTGGGATGGCCACCTTGCGCAGGAAGTCCGATGCCTGACGCACGGCGGCGATGCTCGCGTCGCTCTCGTCGGTGATGGGCGTGATGACCTTGGAGCCATCCTCGACGCTTGGGTCGGCCACCTTGAACTCGACAAACGCGTCCGGGTTGAAGGTCAGCTTGAACTCGGACGAGTCGAGGCGCTCGGGCTCCTCCTCGGCCTCGGCCTTGTCGGCGTCAGCGCCCTCCTCCTTGGCCTCCTCCTTGGCCTCCTCCTTGGCCTCCTCCTTGCCCTCGACAGCCTTGGCCTCGCTAGCCTTGGCCGCCTTGGCCTCCTGTCGCTCGGCGAGCTTGGCGCGAGCCCACTTGCGGAACTCGCTGTCCCAGTAGATCTCGAGCAGTTCGGGGCGGAGAAGCGTCATGCGGTGCGGGTAGCGCGCCTTGCCGTCCGACGACGATGACTCGCTTCCGTGAATAGCGCCTGCAATGTCGTTCTCGAGCCAGTTGATGTCGACCGGGTTGAGACGCGCCAAGTCGAGCACGTAGCGACGACCGTCGGCGCCTCGAAGACCCTTGGAGTCGACGCTGAGCCAGAGCGGGTGGGTGCGGCCGTTGGCATCCTCGACATCGTGCTCGCTGAGGTGCAGCGTCTGGGCGACCTGGCGGAAGAGCTTGTGGAAAGCAGCATTGTCGCGGATGACCTCGGGGCCTTCCACACCGCCGTACACCACCTGCGTGTCGTCGTTGAGGTCGCCACGCGGAGACTTGGCAGCAGCAGTCTTGTCGTCGGTGGGCTCCTCAGCCTTGGGCTCTTCCTTTGCGGCCTCAACTTCCTGAGCTTTGTTGGCATCGCCATCTTCGAGCTCGGCGTCGGCGTCGTCTCGGCGTCGGAAGAGACCGGGGACGACGCTCTGCGCGACCCAGCGCTCGCCCTTCCAGTCGACGACGATGGTGCCGAGCAGGCAGAGGCCGGAGACGTCGAGGCTGTTGAGCGTCTTGACGCCCTGGATGTCCTTGCCGACGGCGACGTGGGCGGCCTCATCGCCACCCATGTGAGGGTAGAGGTCGACGCCGTCTGCGCCCTTGGAGATGAAGAGGTTGTTGACGATGAACATCTGAGCGTCGCGCTTGTCCATGGGGTTCATGGCCTGCACCTCGCCGGCGGCCACCTTAGGGATGGCGCGCGCGGCGGCCTGAGTGAACTCGGAGTAGATGCGGTTGAGAACGCGGTCGCGCATGAGTCGTTCTGGCAGCGTGGTGCGAGGCAGCTCTCGGGCGGACTGCAGCTCATCGTTCCAGTCGCGCGTGCCCTCGAGCGTATCGGCGGAGGAGGCACCAGTGAGCAGGAAGGCGGCCTGGGAGCGGAGCGGGTCCGGGTTGTGCGGGTGTTGGCGAGCGAGCCAAGGAATGGCGGGCAACGAGTTGGTGACGGGCACGGCGGAAAAGTAGTCGCGCGACGATAGCGGGTCGTTGAAGAGCCTGGCGAAGCTTGCGAGGAAGAGGGGCGAGAAGCCGCAGAGGAGGTCGAAGAGCGAGCACGAGGCAAAGTCCTGGCCCGAGGCGCGCGGGCTGGGGTCAAAGCGAGCACCCGAGGATTTGTTGACGTAGAAGCCGTGGGTGGAGGCGGTGATGAAGATGACCTCGCCCTCGAGGGTGCCGACCTGGAGATAGAGGAGGTGGCCGTTGAGCTTGCAGTGCTGAGGAGGCGGGTTCCACGATGCGAGGGAGAGCTGGCGGAGGCACAGAGGCAGCTGGCGAGGACGACGAGCAACGGCGGGGATGAGGTCGACGGCAGTTACCGCAGGCCAGCCGGCCCAGTCGATGAAGGGAAGCTGGGATTCGGTGGAGGCTGCCTCGGCGGTGGCATCAGTGCCCTTCTTGGAGGCGTTGCGGCCGTTTGCGTTTTGGCGAGACGAGTCGTGCTGCCACTCTTCCGGGTTCCTGATGGCGTCTTGAACGCTGAGAGCCGCGTCGACACCGATGGCGCTGGGGTCGGCGGCGCCACCGCTGAGGAGGTCGCGGAGGCGCTGGACGTGGGCGCGTGCATCGGCCTCGTTGAAAGGGACGTGGGTGACGTAGAGCTCGCGCTGGTCCTTGGGAACATCCTGGAAGACTTCGCGCAGCTCGGTCCACTCGGACACACGCTCACCCAGCGCCACCTTGGCGCCCTTGGCGGCGGGGGCAGCGCCTGGCTGGGGCTTGCGGAAGCAGAAGGCACCGAGCCAGTATCCCTCGGGGCTGTCTGTGATGGTGACGCGGAGATCGTTGAGCGTCTCCTGGGGCGTCACAGCCACCTTGAGCGGCGAAGGCGTCTCGGGAAGACCATTTTGGGAGGCGGCGGCCGAGGGGATGAGAGGACGCTTGGGGAGGTAAAGGTTGATGTCGAAGGGCTGGAGCGACTCGTCGACCTCCGCAACCTCGGCAGCGGGAGGCTGCGACGGCGCCTCGGCGGGCTGCTCTTGGGCCATGTCGCTGGCTGTGGCCGTGCGTAACAAAGACGACGACGAGAGCAAAGGGCGACGGATCGAGTTTGCTCTAGTGTACGGGTGAGTCCAACAGAGGAACCAGAAGAAGAGAAAGAGGTTTCGAGTCGATAGACTGGAACCTGTCAAGGCGATGGAGGTTAGAGACGTCGAGTCGACTGTGCGAAGGGTTGAGAAGCACTGGAGAGTCTCTGCCGAGTGCTGGTTGGCTGGTTCGGGCGCACGAGCTTCGTGCGCTCACTGCATCTTCTCGTCCGCCAGAAGCTCACCCGAAAGCAAAAAATGTGGTCAGCTGTCACCGGCCCGGCCAGAAAATCGGCAACGAAGCCTTCCTTTCCCCTTCCTGCCAATTGCCAATCACAAGTTCCAGCTCCCATCCTTTTGCTCATTCAACAAGTTGCTTGCGCCGCCATTCCGACCTTCGCCTTCTCTGTGTTGCTTTGCTGAAGCTGTTGAGGCTCGTTGGATTTTTGAAGCCTTCTGGCTTCCACTTCTTCCAAAAGCACCCGTCCCCCACCGGCCGTGTGGAGTCAGACCCCTGCTTACCAAAAAAGCCTTTCCGCAAGCAGACGGAAACAATAAATAAAAAATGAAAAAGCGGGTCTGCCCATCGCAGTGGGCAGTGGTGAAAAAAAAATGAAAGAACAGCAATTCAGGCGTAGAAATCGGATGAAAAATACAAAAAAGACTGGTTGCAAATCAGATCGGAAAACCCACCCGATGCCTCAGCTGCAGCCAATGAGAGTCGAGTGGGGTTCAGCTTCATAACCTCGCCCCGTCCTCTCGCTGGATCTAGAGACCGACTTGAAGGATGGTGTTCCATACCGAGCTATCAAGGGCGTGACTGGCGCATCTCACCGGTACAAGCGTCTGTGAGCCGGTCAAAGCCAGTCAATTCGAGTCGGAAGAAGAAGCTGGCCGGAGTCTTCCGAAATGCCAGACGGTCGGACCCGCGTGACCGCGCCAACCGCGCGCCCAAAAAATAAAAAATGTTAGACCCCATTGTGCCCGACTTCCGCGCACGCACAGGCCGCCAAACAAGGCCGAGTGGAGGAGGAGGCTGCATGGACCCTTGCTGAGAGGAACCACCATCACAGCATCGCCATCACAGCATCTCAAGCGCAGCGCGAGAGCACAGTAGCGCAGCGCTTGCCACGCTACGCGCTCGTCCGAAGCACGCTCTCGGATCATGGACCGCTTCAAGCAGATCGATGCCAGCAACTCGTCCATCGGTGCGCTCCTCTTCCACGACGAGGAAGTAGTCAGTCTGCAGGATGGCATCGGCCTCTACGATGGCAAGGAGAAGGCTCTCCACCAGAGCAACGGAACCGTCTACCTCACCTCGCATCGTCTTTTGTACGTCGACGACCTCGAGCCACATCGCCACTCCTGCAGCCTCGATCTGTCGTACGTCAAGCAGAGCGAGTACTACGCCGGCTTTCTCAAGAGCAGCCCCAAGATCACCCTCACGCTCGCCAAGGTCGAGTCCACCGACGATGACTCTAGTAGCGCCCTGCACCTAGATACGAACAACGCGCACAGGACATCGGCGCCGCGACGACCGAGCCCGCTGTCATCCCAGGCTGACTTGCAACCGGCCAACACGACAACAGGCCGAGACTGGAGAGTCGGCGCAACGGCTGCAGACTCTTCAGCAGCCGCTGTCACGGGGCCGAACTGGGTCTGTGCCATCTGCGGCTTCAGCAATGCTGCCGGCCGCTCGTCGTGTGAGCTGTGCGGTGTCACAAAGGAGCCCGCCCGACCCACCCCAACAAGGACCCCCGTACCGGAACGCCCGCGCCCTTCGGAACGACTCTCATTCTCTAATGATGGCAGAGACTCCCCCGCACCCAATCCTTCCACCTCGTCCTCCGCATCTGGAATCACTACCGAACAAGGCGGCCTCGCCTGCGATGTGTGCACCTTCCTCAACCACCCGTCCATGGACAAATGCGAGATGTGCGGTTCCAGTCTCGGTAACAGCTGGCCAGAGCGTCCCTCCACCTCCTCCCTCTCTACCTCTCGAAAGAGCACCGATGCTGATGTCGCGTCACTCCGCGCCAGCTCGGCTCCAAGTAGAGCATCCACGCCCGCATCAATCTCGCTACCGCCGCTCACCGACTCGGTCAAGCTCAGCTTCCGCAAAGGTGGCGATAAAGCCTTCTACAGTCTGCTCAAGTCGACACTCAAGGGCAAAGCGTGGGCTGCGTCCAGTAGCACTGCGACGTCGTCTGCAAACGATGCCAGGGCGGTGCGCGTCTCTGCGGGTATGGTCGATCTCGACGGCCGTTCAGCTGCGCTCAAGCGCGTCGGCATCGACGGCATCCTCTCTTCGGTCGACTCGACAAGCCGTGCGCAGAACGACGACATGCACGGCGCGCTCAAGGACCTCGAAGCGCTCATGCGCAAGGCCAAGCAGATGGTAGAATTCGCAGAGGCGCTCAATGCCAAACTCACAAAGCAGGAGCAGGCCGCCGCGGCGGCTCAAGCGGCAGGTCGGCCCGAGGGGGCCGCCAAGCCCGATCAGGAAGCCGCCACACTCATTCGCTCCTCGCTCGTCCAGCTTGGCCTGCCAACACCGGCAGTCACTGCCGACATGGCGCGAGACCAGGAGGAGTACCACCGTGAACTAGCGCGTGAGCTAGCCGGACTTCTTCTTGGCAATCCGTCCGGAGGTCAGAGACAGGGCCTCATGGGTGCGGGAAGGATCGCAGCCAAAGGCAAGGGCAAGGAAAGTCTGCCCCGCGTGTCGGAAGACGAGCTCAAGGGCCGTGGGCTTTTGGGTCTCGACGAGGTGTGGTGCGTCTGGAACCGCGCACGTGGAGTCGCACTCATCCCGCCACAAGCACTACGTTCAGCAGCCGCCTTCTTGCCAGACATCACCTCGCCCTCGGTGCGCATCAAGACGTTCAAGTCGGGCCTCTCGGTGCTCCATACGCCCCGGTACAGCGACGATGCGTTTGCATCGCGCATCTTGCATCTGCTCGACGCTCTCGAGTGGGAGCACAGGATGAAGCGCATCGAACAGGCTCAAGCTCTCACCATCTCGGACCGTAGATCCGGTGCAGCGCCAATCGCAGATGCACCAGACGGCACAAAACCAGCACGACTGCAAGAAGAAGTTAGCTACGGCGATAACCTCTCGCCGTGGGGCGCGGGCGCCTCGATCCTCGAGATTGCCGAGAAGGAGGACGTGCCCATCCTGCTGATTAACGAGATGATGGAGATGATCGAGGCACAGACGGGCATGGTCGTGCGCGACGATGGTGGGCCAAATGGCACAAGGTGGTTCGTCAATCACTTTGCCAGGCTGTAGACAGCCCAGCACCGCAGATGCTAATGGAAAAGGTCATCGTCTGCACGCGTCACCGACTTCGGCTTATGTCGTGAGCAGAGTAGAAGCACGGAGCCGATGCGTCTGCGGGGCGATCGACCCTCGAGTGGCTGCGTGGGCGCACAGAGTGTGAGCGGTATGACCTATACATTGTTGCTATGCACCATGGGCGGCGGGCGCATGCGTTGATTATCCACAATACCGGCACAATGGTGATGCTGTTCCTGCTTTCTTTGTCCGCCGTTCAAGTGGGCTCGCGCAGCCTTGGCAGTCATGGTCACGCGCCAAGATACTCGCGGGCTGCACTGACCGGGGACCCAGCTCGCACCGGCAACCCTCGATATCGGCCTCTGGAGCGGCTTTCCCCCAAAACGCCTCCGACTTGCACAATGCGTTGGTGGGCAGTCGTTCCCCGTACAATGGAGCATTGTCATGGTGGTGAGCGACCGACCAGAGCGGGTGCGGGTACCCCGGACCGCCCGCCTGTGATATCCGGTATCGGCTCGCACGATACAGCGACCGGGCCGCTCCAAACGTGCGCTTGGCGTAAAGTGGGGCCTTCCTGCATTGTAGATAGATAGACGGAAGGACTGAGATCTTGGTCTTTACCGTTGAAGCTGAGCCTCGGATCAGATTGGCACTTCATCTGAGGCGCTGTGTAGGGCGCACATTACGAAGCGCCAGTCTGTCATCACCAAGACCAGAGTCGACAGTCAAGCATGACTTGCCCCTGCAGCTTGGTGTGGCGCCGATGTGCAAGGTCACGATCGGGTGGCTCCCGAGAGAAAAGGGCCTTTGTTCTGAGCACCATTTTCTTCTTTGCATTGCGTCAATGGTGAGCATCACGATCCGAGCGGCCAACCTTGATCTGACCCGCGCGATAAGATCGCCAAGAAAGCTTGAGCTTGTCTGTGCCGATGTTGAGCGAGCCACAACCGAGGCGCAAGCTAAGGGCGTCCGAACCTGAGGCATGCAGATGCCGACGGAAGCGGCGCTGGGACAAGAGCGTCGAGACCGGCAAATGCTCGGGTCTTGATGGACGCTGCGGAGCCTAACCGCGTAGCTTCATGACAACACCCGCCCAAGCCGCCTGGATTGGTCCGTAGAATCCAGCACAGCCGCTTGGATCTTTTGGAGGCTCCCTCAAAGGCTAGTTCACGATGGCTTCCAGTGGCACCCGCTCGCCGGCCAATTGCTCGCCGACGATGGGGATGGTGGGTCGCGAAAATTGCAGCGACGCGTGACGATTGCGTGTGCGAATGTGGGGTCGCTGAACACCCCTTTGTGCCTGGATTGCGCCATCGTCCATTGCAAGTAGCTTCACCTTCTATCCCGTCCGGACCGCCCGACGTTTTCTTGCTCACAAACCCAAATGCCTGGCGGTCATGACATCATAGTTGTCATCGATATCCGTTCAGGCGAGCAGTCGGATGGTGTATGATCGGGCGGCGAACCCAGGTCATCGGAGCCTGAGCCAATCTGCATCTACCCGACGGCATGTAGCCCACTTCATTTCGCGCGCCGGCTCAGGCAGATGGAGACGAGTGTTGCGCAGCCGCGCATCCGAAGCTTCATTTGCCTCCGCAGTGGGTTGGCTGCACGCCTCGCAGCAGTAGTCTCGCCGCAAACAGTACCAAAGCGGCGGGCTCGCCACAGCAGACAGAATGGCCATGTTGCCACTCGCATGCACGCAGGTGGGGTGCAGCATTCGAGAGGGGCAGGGTTCATTGTGCCGCTACGCACGCAACGTGGAGGGTGATTCGCACCCGGAGATAGCGCAATCTCGGATGGAGCTATGCAAGGAACCAGATGGACTCATGTCGCGGGGCAGTATCGCGAATCATCGTGGTCCCGCAACATCCTTGACGCACTTGCTTGAAAGGTACATATACAGCCGCGTTATTCCCACAGTCGGACAGCTTTCCCCAGGACAGGATCATACAAACACGCAAAGCATCCACTTCCTTTTCCCAAGCCACCACCGCTCCTACCTGCCTTGACGACCATAAAGCTCCTCTCCCAAATCATCTCCATCCCCTGCTCCAACTTCCTCGAAGCACGCTTCTCAAGCTCCTGCTGGTTAGCGTATCTCTCCTCTGCTATCCTCGCAGTTTCCCTCACGATTCCTTGCTCCAGTGCCGGTCACGTTGCCAAGTAGCTTCGAACAATCTGCTCTTTGCGAAGCCGAATTCCCCACCTGCCCCACAAAGACCGTTCATCCTAAACGCCACACGCCACGCTTCGACATGAAGTTCTCCCTCGCCGCTATCTTTGGCCTGGCCATGATGCTTTCGCACACCGTGCTGAGCGCCCCGATTCCGAGCCCCAAGCCTATCGAGGACATCCTGCCCTACCAGTTCCCGGACGCTGCCAACGGACAGATCATTGCGTCGGGAGACAGCGCTTCGGCCATCCCCGCACTGCTGGCGGCCGGCTTCAACCCTAACGACAACTCGCGTCTCCACGGCAACTGAAGCTCTCGACGCCTGTAACGGCCCAGCTCCCCCGCTGTACCTTGACCGCACATCCCGTCCGGTCTTTGGGATCGGGCTCGCGCTTCCTCCGACGATTTACGAACTTGTCTTTGTTTTTGCACTGTCTCCTGCTCCTCATGTCTGTCTAGTGGTTCGTTTGCATGTCTTGCCCCGAGTGTTGTACGTTTTTCATGTTCTGGAAATGTTGTTGTCAATCTCATGATGGCTTGTACAGCTTGGGTGTCATGCGCGTTGGTAGACTTTTTCGCCTGTGAGCCATGTCTGGAGGATCTTGGTTCGGAGGATGGTCTGCTCCTTGTCTCCCTCTCCGTGCTCGCTGAAGAGGTCCGTGTCGAGGACGACAAAGTCGGCGCTCTTTCCCTTCTCGAGCGTGCCGGACCACGATTCAGCCTTGCAGCTGTGGGCGGCACCGTACGTTGCAGCAGCGACGGCCATTGCCAGTGGCAGCGCGAATTGCGGCGTCGTCTTTTCGGTCATCTCGGGCTCGCGGCCCGATCGTCTCGTGACGGCAGTGTACAAGTTGGGCAGGATCCAGTGGTGGGCCGTCGGAGCGTCGGAGCCGAGCGCGATGGGTGCGCCGGACTCGACAAACTCTCGGAAGGCAAACGCCCTCGAGCATCGGCCTTCGTTGTACTTGTCGCCGAGGTTCTTGCACCAGCCCTCCATGATGCTTGGGTCGCAGTGCACGCCCTGGATGCTGGCGGTGATGCCGAGCCTGCCGAGCTTCTCTACGTCCTCGGGGTCGGTGAGCTCGAGATGCTCGATGCGATGGCGCCTGTCGCGGATCGAGACGCCCTTCGCTGCAAGCTGTTCGCCGAGCGATGCAATGGCCTCCACAGCCGTGTGGACGGCAAGATCGCCGATGGCGTGAATGGCCACCTGCAGATCGAGCGAGTCCGCACACTGGACAGTGGCCGAAAGCAGCGGCAGGGGCCACATGACTTCGGCGTTGGTCTTGTTGTAGTAGGGCTCCTTGAGCGCCGCCGTGCAGCTGTCGATGACGCCGTCGCAGACGAGCTTGATGCCGACTACACGGAACCACTCGTCGTTGTGCTGCTGGCTGAGTTCGTGGGCGTGGCGCACCTGCTTGAGGCATTCTTCCAGGTCGGATTCGGGGCGCACCAGCCAGTGCGCAGCAACGCGGATGGGCAGACGGCCGTTCATCTTCTTCTTGATGCGCAGGATGCAGTCGAGCGAGAGCGGGTCGAGCGCCATGTCGATGCCACCGGTGAAGCCGCTCTGGTGGTACGAGTCGCACGCGCGGAGGAAGCTCGTCTCCTGCTCGGCCTTGGTTGCTAGGTTGGCGAGCTTGGGCCAGACAAAGAGGATGTTGGCCATCTCGAGCAGCAGGCCCGATGCTTTGCCCGTGGCTGGGTCGCGGACGATCTCGCCGCCTTCAGGATTGGGCGTGTCGTCGGTGATGCCAAGCTCGCGCAGTGCTGCCGTGTTGCACCAGTGCGAGTGGAGATCAAACGACTCGACGTAGACGGGACGGTCTGGCACCACCTCGTCGAGCCAGGACGCGAGCGCTTTGCCGTCGGTCGAGTTCTGCATCCAGACGCTTGCGAGGATGCGTGGCGCATCGGGCTTGGCCTCTGCGGCGGCTTTGATGGTTTGCTGGATCTGGGCGAGATTCTTGCACTTGCCCACGTCGATCTTGTCGAGCGAGTTGCCAAAGTTGAGCAAGTGCGTGTGGCCGTCGATGAAGCCGGGCACCACGAGTTTGCCGCCGCCGAGGTCGATGTTCTCTGCGTTCTCGGCGAGCTCTGCGGGGAGGCTGGCGAGGCTGCCGACGTAGGCGAGCTTACCGTCCTGCACTGCGATGCATTCTGCGAAGCGGTCCTTTATCGCCGAAGCGTCCGAGTAGTCCTGCTTGAGGAGAGAGGCAGGCGCAAGCTCTTCGGCTTGCGCTGTAAAGAAGAGGGCGTTCTTGAAGAGCTTGACTGTCATTGCGAGAGAGCCTTTCTGGGTTGCAGCAGCGTAAAAGGGAAAGCGGTTCAGATAAGCCGGGTCACATCTATATACCTGTGCTGGGTCGGAAGATGACACCAAGACTGAGCGCTTTCCGCGCCTGTTGCGCAGACGTGTGCCTATCTGTGCTGCCAAGGCCGAACGAGAGCTCGTCAAGATGCGAGAGCAGGCTTGCTAGCCGCGGAAGAATGTCGCGCGAGCATGCCAGGTCAGGGCTTCAGGGTCCAAGATGAGCTCGTTAAGGGCCACGAAGGCTTGGGAGGGCCTCTGGAAGAGCGCCCGGCCCGCCCTTCCTGACAGCGGCAAGCGCGGCTAAGCCTTGTCGAGAATCAGAGCTGTTAGTTTGACGATTCAGCATGATTGATTTTCGAAAATAGAAGCTGCGGGACGGCGTCGCAGCAGAGATGCAGACCTCTGGGCTCCGGCACTAGAATGCACAGCCCGAGCCGGCTTGGCTGCAACACAAATCTAAGCGACATCGCCCTGGCCAGTGCCAAATTTGGAGCTTTTGAGGCAGACGTGGCCGGCTCAGCCCGCTTGGACCCCTATCGTATTGCTCTTCATCCTCCGGCCTCTCTTTCTCGCCCTCATTTTGTCGCCACCAACAACAACGTCGATACCACCGCCAATTGAGCGAGGCAGGAGTCAAAGCTACCTCACGCGCTTGCGCAGCGCCTCCCATCACATTCTTCTCTACTTCTCGTCCGCGCTCGTCCGCCGCCGCGCAAGACGCAGCAGCCCGACTGCAACATGGCTCCTCGAGACCACCAGCAGGTCCCCGAACTCTCGTATCTCCCCACCTACACCCAGACCAGGCCGCCTCCGGACTCTGGACCGCCGCCTGTATACGCCAATGTCATCCGCAAGGTCTACCCGTACTCGCTGCGTCCCGTGCTGCTCGTCACGACCTTCTGCACCTTCCTCTACCTCCTCCTCGTCGCCATCTCCAACTTCAAGGACCTCGGCCACTCGGGCAACAATGCCGTCATGAACATCATCGACGCCGTGACAGGCGCTCTGCTCCTGGCCGCTGCCCTCATCGAGGTTGTCGGCTTCATCGCATCGTTCAAGCTCAACCTCAAGTTCGCCTTGCTCTACTCGCGCCTCGCCGTGCCGGCGTTCCTCATGGTGATCGCATGCGAGATCCTCAGCATCTTCGTCCACTACTCGTACAAGACGCGCGTCATCGAGGACTGCATCACCAGGAACACCGGCGCCGTTGCTCCTGGTTCGTCCGGATGGGGTTGGTTCGGTTCGGGCGGCTCCAGCAATACCACCATGTCGGCCGAGGACGCCAAAAACTACTGCAATTCCTCGTGGAGGAACGACTCCACCTGGGAGATTGTCTGGCTCGTCGTCACCATCCTCCTCGGTGTCCCGTTTGTCATGTTCAGCTTCGCCTTTGTGCGCCAGCTGCGCAATCCGGACTCGGTTCGCGTGCGCGAGTCCGGCGGCGGCTGGTGGGGCCGTCGCAACACCAGCCAGCAGCCGTACAGCGCCCAGTACGCGAATCAGTACGCCAGCGGACCGTACGACCCGCAGTCGCAAGCACAGGCCTATTCGTATCCTCCGGCTCCGTACGGTGCCAGCCCATACGCGCCTCCCAGCGGGCCTCCGCCGCCGCCGCTCAGCACCGATGGCCACCGCGATCTGCCCGGCTACGAGCGCGGCGACATGCAGGGCGACTTTGACGACGACCGCAAGAGCCCCATCAGCCCTGCCGCCGACTACGGCTACAACCGTCGCGCCTCGACCAGGAGAGAGCCCGACGCACGCGACAGCAGGCAGCTCGATGCGGCCAAAGACTCGCAAGTCACCGTCAAGCTCGACGACGATACCGATGCCAAGCCCAAGGGTCTCAGCAGGCACTCGGACGACGACGATGCGCCCAGGATCTGATGTCGCAGCTCGAGTTGTGGTCGGCATGCTGCAAGCTTCTCGCTTCTTCTGTATCATGCTTCTGTCCTGTTTTGTATCGCAGTTGTCTGCCATGTAACCAAGTCATTGTATCCACTCTCACGCTTGCCTGCATCGCTGTTCTGATTACGCTGCAACAGTTGGAAGCGTAGGTCAGCTTTGCGTTGAGCAGGGCCAGAGTGATGAAGTGGGCGTGCATTCAGAGCTCAGCCAGGCCGAGGGCACACGGCTGCTGCGGGTCGAGTCAAAGGTGGAGGAGTCAGGCTCGAGCCGAAATTTCGCGCACGAGCATTCGAGGCTATTCGCGGCTTTGCATGGATTTGCTAAGACTCGGACCCCGCCCTTCATCCCGCCATGCATCTATCTTGACTTTACTCCAATCACTTCAAACGCAGTCCCGACAAGCACATTGATGCTGTCCATCACACGCACACGAGTCGCAACACTTCCACGAACCGTACTGATCTTTCAACGAGCTTTTTCTCCCCGCACCTTGTGCTTGAGCGTTCGCGTATCTTCCAACATGGATGCCAAGGTGTCGGGCGATGCGGCTGTGGCCATCACCTCGCACAACCAGTACAAGACCGCAGGTCTGGAGCGCGACGAGCTCTCACCCAGTCCCATCGTCCAGTTCAACACGTGGTTCAAGCATGCTGGTGAGAATGGCGTTCCGGAACCGGAAGCCATGACGATCTCCACGGTCGACACGTCGTCGGGTGTTCCTCGGCCATCATCGCGAGTGGTGCTGCTGAAGCAAGTGGACGCGCAAGGATTCCTGTTCTTCTCCAACTACACGTCGCGCAAGGGTCGCGAGCTGGAAGCTAATCCGTACGCTTCACTGGCGTTTTACTGGAAGGAACTCTCAAGGTCCGTGCGTGTATGTGGCCGTGTGGAGAAGCTCAGCAAGGAAGAAAGCAAGCGGTACTACGACTCGCGACCACTCGGAAGCAGGATCGGCGCATGGGCAAGTCCACAAAGCACATCCATCGAATCTAGAAAGGACCTCGAGGACAAGGTCAAAGATGTCGAAAACAGGTTCGGCGTACCTGGTGCCGCTGGTCTCGATCCAGAGTCAAAGTGGCAGGGCGACGATGTGGATGTGCCCCTGCCAGAGTTCTGGGGCGGATACCGCATTGTTCCGGACGAAGTCGAATTCTGGTGCGGAAGACCAAATCGCCTCCACGACCGCTTCCGCTACACGCGCGACATCAAATCCACCGTTGCGGCAAGCGACGACAAGTGGTCCATCAATCGCCTTGCGCCCTAAAATGACCCCGCTGCATACACACTCTGCACCGAAGCGATCAATCCATACACTGCCACAGTACGATCGGAGACATGTCTGAATCTCTTGTTGCAATCAAGAAGACGGGAGCAATTACTGTGCGACCTTGCCTACAATGTTGTATCGCTTGGTGTAGTACGTGTGCTGATGCGCACGAGTCGAGGGAAAGATGCCGTCAGCGCGTCGCAGTCGTAAGTAGCGTGGTGAAGCTGTACATACCCAGTCATCGAGCACCTTGAGCTGCTTGTCGTCGAGCGTACTGTAGTCTGGCACCGCATCCTCGGGCTTGAGTGACGACATGCCGAGTCCGCGCGAGCCATCCTTGCCCGCAAATACGTTGTAGCCCTTACCAGGTGCTATTTCCCCATCGAATCGGTCAGCATTGCGTCCCACAACATGCGACGCGGGAACGGAAGGAATCGGACGTACCGTACATCTCGCGCTTGGGAGAAACGTCGAAAACCGTGCCCTTGACAGCGACGTAGACCGGCTTGGACTCGTCGGTGCCGTCGAACTGCTTGAGATCCTCGACCGAGATCGGATCGTCCTTGGGAGGGCTGCGTGCGCACGTTTCAGATGGTTCAGCCACTGCAATTCCGCAAGTTCCGTGTGGTAGGACGGCGGCAGTCACTCACTGGGTCGGCTTGGTCGAAGGCTCCATCATGCTGATCAGTCGTGTTGGGGTAGAGATGCTGTCGTGATGTGGTGGCGCGCGAGCAAGGCTGGCGAGCAAGGTTGGCTGTGGCCCCAGCGCCCCGCACACCTTCTCCACCTTTGGTGGCGCCACCCAAAGTGGAAAATTCATTTCTGTTAGACCGCACCTGACATGGATGCTGGCCGAGCGCCAAGACTCGACTGCATATCCGCGGAGGAAGGCCATGTTCGACGTATGACGAGGTGTATTCTTACATGAGGTCTGTGCATTGTTCTATGCATACAAGTTTGCGATGCTTCGATAGGAGTCCAACCCACCACGCTATCCGTGGACAAACACCTCCGCCGGAGACTTTCGCATTTCTTCCATACCCTTGTCCGCGGGGGTACCTTGCCCGTTGCATCCCGGTGTCGAGGTTTCGTGGCTGTTCTACCTCTGAACGATCCTCACGAGGTATGGAGCGAAGCAGTCGGTGCGCACCAATCATCTTCAGATAGAAGAGATATAAGGCCAAGTCGGTGCCAGAACGCGTCTGTCGGTCCCTCCTCATCCTCATCCTCTGGAAGCCTTCGCGAGCATGACATCGAGTCTGACAGCCCAGGGCGGCCTGCGTGTGCTCGTCAGCGGCGCAGGCATTGCCGGTCCCACGCTCGCATGGTTCCTCGCCCAGTCTGGTGCACGTGTCACCCTGGTCGAGCGAGCTTCGGAGCTGCTGGCACAAGGTCAGAACATCGATCTACGCGGCACCGCGCTCAACGTCGTCCACCAGATGGGCGTGCTCGACGCCATCCGTGCCTGCAACACCACCGAGAAAGGCACCGAGTTCATCGACGACCGAGGCCGCCCCTTTGCGACATTTGCGCTCGGCGAAGGCGGCGGCGGCGCACTCACGACAGAGTACGAGATCCTGCGCGGCGACCTGGCGCACATCCTTTACAAGGCCGCACAGGCCCAGCCCGGAGTAGACTTCCGCTTCGGAACGACGATCGAGCGCGTCGTTGAGAACGGTGATAGCGCAGTCCGCGTCGAGCTCAGCAGCGGGGAGGAGGTCGAGTACGATGTGCTCGTGCTGGCAGACGGACAGTGGTCCAAGATGCGCAAGCAGGTGTTTGGCACCGCGGGCCTCACAGTGGTGGACAAGAACTGCTACGTTGGCTACTACACCGTGCCGCGCACGTCTGAGGATGGCGAGATGAGCTGCATCCATATCGCGCCCCGATCGCGCGTCGTCCTCACCAGACCCGACAATCACGGCACCACCCGCGCCTCGTTCAGCATTGTCCCCAACGACGCTGCGCAGAAGGAGGCGTGGGAGCGCGCAAGTCGTAGCCGCGACCGGAAGCTGCAGATGGATCTGCTCCGGAGCGAGTTCGGCGACATCGGATGGAAGGCACCACGGCTTTTGCGAGAGATGGACGCCGCAGATGATCTGTACTTCCAGGGTGTCCAGCAGATCCGCCTTGCCAAGTGGTACAACAACAGGGTGGTCTGCCTCGGAGATACGGCGTATGCGCCTACGCCGCTGACGGGCATGGGTACCTCGCTCGCTATCGATGGCGCCTACCTCCTTGCTGGACACCTGTCGCAGCTGCAGCCCGGCCAACATCCTGCCACGGCGTTTCAGGCGTATGACGAACAGTTTCGTCCGTTCGTATCCAAGACACAGGCCATCCCTTTCTTTGTACCTCGAATCCTGCATCCGCAAGCGGCTTGGTCGCGCTGGATCATCCAGACCCTGATCGCAACGGCGGCTCGCGTGTCCCGCCTGTCGTGGATCACCAAGCTCTTTGCTTCCAACAAGCCGACCACGCTCTCCGATGGGCTGGTCGCCGAGCTCGACGCTCCTTTTCCGAGCTTCCCTGCTTTCCGGCAGTCATGATCTCCCCTCCTTCATGTGATCCCTCCATAGACGAGCATACTAGACAAGGCAGTAGCCAAAGGAAAGACGATAGAACATATGTTGGACTGGCGACAATGGGCGTCAAGACAGGAGCAAGATCGCACTGCAACGAAGATGAGGGTCCTCTGTAGCGTGAACATGAATCGGGCTGCCTTTCTTCAGGCACGGCGCAGTTCAACGTCACTCGACAGGAGCCTGGATTTTTTGAGGCAATTTTTTCGTGCGGAAGGTGATCGAAACTTTTCCCGCTCCACCGCACAGCTGCTCTGAGAAGGATTGATTGCCAGTCCCACGCGAGCCCGACTCCACCACTTCGCTCTCTTCGCCATCAACGCCATCGACTCCACCGATCCCTATACCGCTCCTCTGTCGATTCCTGCACTCACTCTTCGCTGCATCACCAACGCTCAACAGGAACAGAGTCCAACACGATTGCATACTGGCTCGCCCGAGTGTCGCAGCCCTCACCACCGCCTTTGCATAACCCCAACCGCTGCCGGACTGATTCCGAGCCAACCTCACCGCCACCATGACGACGGTACAAAAGATCAAGGAGATCGAAGATGAGATGAACAAGACGCAGAAGAACAAGGCGACGTCCTATCATCTGGGTCAGCTGCGTGCCAAGCTGGCCAAGTTGAAACGCGAGCTCATCACGCCGTCGGGAGGCGGCGGCGGTGGGCCGGGTATCGGGTTCGATGTGGCCAAGACGGGTGTGGCGTCGGTAGGATTCGTAGGATTTCCCTCGGTGGGCAAGTCGACGCTCATGTCCGGTCTGACAGGAACGACGTCCGAAGCAGCAGCATACGAGTTCACCACGCTCACCTCGGTGCCCGGTACGATGAAGGTGCACGGTGCGCCGATCCAGATCATCGACTTGCCCGGTATCATCGAGGGCGCTAAGGACGGCAAAGGTCGTGGTCGCCAAGTCATCGCTGTGGCGCGCACGTGCAATCTGATCTTCATCGTGCTCGACGTAGGCAAGCCCTTGCGCGACAAGGCGATCATCGAAAACGAGCTGGAAGGCTTCGGGATCCGGCTGAACAAGAAGCCGCCCAATATTGTGGTGCGCAAGAAGGAGAAGGGCGGAATCGCCATCACCAACACCGTGGCGCTGACCAAGATCGACCACGACGAGATCAAGGCGGTGCTGTCCGAGTACCGCATCAGCAATGCCGACGTGTCGTTCCGCCAGGATGCAGGTATCGAGGAGCTCATCGACGTGATCGAGGGCAACCGCATCTACGTACCCGCCATCTACGTGCTCAACAAGATCGATTCAATCAGCATCGAGGAGCTCGACCTGCTCTACAAGATCCCCAACTCGGTGCCCATCTCGTCGCAGCACTGGTGGAATGTGGACGACGAACTGGTGGAGAAGATGTGGCAGGAGCTGTCGCTCGTGCGCGTCTACACCAAGCCGCGCAAGGCGACACCGGACTACTCGTCGCCCGTCGTGCTCAAGACCGGAAGGTCGACCGTCGAGGACTTTTGCAACGCCATCCACAAGGAGATCATCAAGCAGTTCAAATTCGCCATGGTCTGGGGCAAGTCCGCCAAGCACCCGAGGGGTCAGCGTGTAGGTGCGGACCACGTGCTCGAAGACGAAGACTGCGTCACCATCTTCAAGCGCTAGAGCCCCTTGGCCCGGTGCCGGGGGAGATGGCGTTCAAGTGCTGAACACCAACGTCTTCCTCGCGGCTCCACATTTGCACTCGAAAGCCTCTTTGCATCCAATTTGTACTTTTGTTCACCCTCCGCATCGTCACTCGTAATCCGCGACTTGCATGGCTCGCTCAGCACATTCTTCCTCGCTTGGCTGTGCACATGCACTACGACTGATAAGATTGGCAATTGGTGCAGGTCCAACCAGGGCTAAGGAGCTAGAAAGCGACAGTGGCCATCATTTCGGGCTCATACCTCGTGCCGCTGACTTTGAAGCTGTTGATGATGGCGTCGATTTCGTCTACCTCGCTCTTGTCGAGGCTGACGTTTGCGGCCGTGTTGTTTTCAATGAGGTACTTTTCCTTCTTGGTGCCTGGGATCGGAATGATGGCGTCCGACTTCTGCAACAACCACGCCAGGGCGATTTGGCCAGGGGTGGCGTTCTTCCTGCTGGCGATTTTGCGGATGTCGTCGACGAGTTCGAGGTTCTTGGTAAAGTTGTCTCCCGTGAAGCGCGGGTTGTAGCGGCGAAAGTCGTTCTGCTCAAAGTCTTCGACCGACTTGTACTGGCCTGTCAAGAATCCGCGGCCAAGGGGGGAGTATGCAACAAGGGCGGTGTTGTTGCGTACACACCAGTCGAGGATACCGTTTGTGAGCACATCCGGAGTCCAAGGGCTGAGTTCGATCTGAAGCGCATCGATATGCACCACCTCATTGGCGGCTTGGAGCTGCTCGAGGTTGTATTCGGATACGCCGATGTAGCGAATCTTGCCTGCATCCTTGAGCTCCTTCATCGCTGCCACGGTGGTGGTGACGGGAGTCTTGGGATCGGGACGGTGTGCGTAGTAGAGATCAATGTGGTCGACACCCAGACGTGCGAGCGAGTCGGAACAGGCCTGGTGACACCACTCGCGCGAGCCGTCGAGCTCCATCTTGCCGTCCTTGATGTTGATGATGAACTTGGTGCACAGGAACACCTTTTCGCGAGATCCGGGATGGGTACGGAAGAACTCGCCGATCTGCCCTTCATTGTAGCCCAGCTTGCCCGAGCTCATGGGTGAATAGACGTCGCTAGTGTCCCAAAAGGTCGCTCCGTCCTCGAGACAGCGCGACAGCACCGCGTTGACCGTGGGCTGGTCAACTGGCTCGCCATAAAAGGCTGCCAGTCCCATGGCACCGTAGCCGATGCAGCCGACCTTTTCGCCGGTCTTGCCAAACTCGCGTGTGGGAATGGTCATTTTGAGGTCAAAGTTGGTTGCCTTTGGATAGAAGGTGGACGTGGGTGCTCAGATGGGCGCTCTTTATAGCTTCTTGTATTTTGGGCTTGGTCCCGGCGTCGAGGGCGCTGCCGAGCATGGCGCGGCATCTTCTCAACACACGGACATAGCGCGGACCACTGGGCCCACTGTACCCACGGAAGCCAATACGCCGTTGTAGCAACGTACTGCACTTGTTTCCCGCGCCGCGGGCGAAGTGGAGGCGCAGAGGTGGAGGTGGAGGTCGAGTGGTTTCGTGCGACAGCCCGCCCTGCGTCGCCCTCGCCTCTCGCCATCAGACTGCCAGCCATGCGACTCTCCGTTGGAGGGGTTCCGTTGGAGCCGCCGACAAGATCTCGTCGAGCTGGCCGAGCATGCTACCCCGCCATTCGCACAGTTGTTCCTGCAACTACGGACATGTTTGGCGCGAGAACGTGCGATGGAATCGAGTCTGTGCCCCGCAGTCGGACTTTCTTTGTCGAGAGTCGAACAAGCAGGCCTTCCTGTGGGCATGAAGGGCCCTGATCTACAATACAGCAACCGCCGGCACACGGTCGCATACGGTGGCTTCTCAAAGAGCGACGCACGCTCCATCGGCGGCCTTAGGGCTCCTGCCTTCAACCTCACCAACCTCGACATGATGGAACAGAGTCTCGGCAACGGACCCGCACGGCACGCAGCGCAGGTGAAGCGCCGATCCGGAGAAATATTACAAGCGTCGACTGTATTGGCAGAGCGTGGCATGTGTGGGAGAGCAGCATGGACCGAGACGCTCAGAGCTTGGACTTCTGGGCCTTGAGCACGCCGTCGAGCTTGGTGGCGAGCATGATGTTGCCCTTGACCTTGAGCTTGCCCGACATGAAGGCCTTCTGGCCGTTGACCTTGCCGTCGGCGAGGTCGATGAAGGTGTCGTCCGAGAGGTTGATGGTGACATCAGCCTTGCCCTTGGCCTTGCCCTCGTAAGCCTCGGCGTTCTGTTGGAGGGTGGTTCGAGAAGAGTCAGTTACGTGAACAAGAAGGAGGTGGGTCCACCTGCCAAGCATCCGGCTCCTCACTACCGGGCAACTGCTCTCTCTCATGCCCCAACAGGCAGGCAAAGGCGAGAGCCCAGTGCAGAGGTAGCGGCGAGGAGAAGATGGATGTACGAGGGCGGGGCGGGGAGGCGGATTCGAAACGTACCTTCTTGAGGTCGATGGTCCAGACGAGCTCCTTGCCGCCGGCGTTCTTGACGTGCATCTCGAAGACACCGTTGGTCTATAGAGCCGGCACAGACAGATCCCAGCAGAAGTTATAGGGACGGAACGGAGAATCGTAGCGTTCGAGCGCAGACGCAAGGCGAGGTAGCAAAAGGGACGTTTTAAGCGGATGAGAACAGTCAGTCATCAATCCAATCGACAGTTTGGGCGGGCGAGCGGCGTATGCGAGCCCATCTGGACATCGCAAGCAGACAAGCAGCCACGACGAGGGTTAAGGCGAATTGCCAAAACGTACCTTCTTCTGGATGTCCTTCTTCTCCTTGTCATCCATGGTCTTGAGACCCTCGGTGATCTGCTCGAAAAGAGCCTGGGACTTGAAGTCGGACATGGCGGCTAGTGTATGTGTGTTGGGGTGGGGAGAGAGAGAGGGAGAAAGAGAGTGGTGCGTATGGTGGAGTGGAAGGAATCGATGGCTGGATGCGGGGGCTGGATTTATGTAGTCCTGGCGCGGGCTGGATGGGCGTGAATGCGTCGGCGTCGCTGCTGCTGCTGCTGCTGTTGCTGCTGCTGCTGCTGCTGCTGCTGCTGCTGCTGCTGCTGGCTGGGCTCTCTTTGACTCACATGGAAGCCGGCGCTGTCGGGCGAGGAGAGCAAGCGATCTGGGGAAATTGGCGCCCTGTCTCGCCCTGCGCATCCTTTGCTAACGGCACCGTGTCGGACGGGCGGTCGCAGTCGCAGTCCAAGCGGCCCCCACCCGACTCGACGCCCAGCAGGATGATGCAGCGTCAGGCGCGCCATGGCAGGCCGACTCAACTCCACCTGCTCGACTGCCCTTGGTCGGCTAGCGTGAATCCACGCATTTTGGCATTTCCAAAAGCAGCGTGAAAGTGTCGAGCTTCGACAAAATTGGGCGGCGCCGCACCTCGCCAGTCTGTGCTCGAAAATGGACCCGGCCAACTCGGTGCCTTGGCTGCGGTGCTGCTCGCCCAAAGCAGCCAGGTCGAAAAGGCTCTACGCCGCAGATTGGCGCTCCGATGCGCGACGATCGGCATCTCGACTGCTTTCCTACTTGCCTGGCAGCAGCAGCCAGCAGCAGCAAGCAGCAGCAAGCAGCAGCAAGCAGCAGTGAACGCATGCCGCAGCGAGCAGCACCCCTCGAGTCTTTTGTTTCCTCGTGAAATGCCGCCTGCTCCTCGCTCGTTGCTCGCCGGCGACGGATCTCCCCACCTCGCAGATTCTCATGCGCACCTCGGTGTCACCGCGAGTCAAGGCGCCCCGCGCTTGCTAGCTTGGGACGTTGCTCGGGCGCACTGTTTGGCGCGGTGGTGGTGACCCGCATGGCCTGGCGGTGATGACCGGTCGACCGCTTTGCTCGGGTCGTCCCCAGCCCCTCTATCCTCCCAGGCTCGTTGTCCCGGCCTCGTTTTTTCGCCAACAGGACGTCGAGATTCGACCACAACATCGAGCTCTGCTGCTACATCTGCTTATGCTGTGAATGAGCATGGCATGGCACGGCGAAGACACGAGTGATTGGGACTCGCTTTGGAAGAGACAAACCAGCGCGCTCCTGCAGGTCCTTGTTGACAGAACGAGCGAGCAAGTCGAAGCGAGACCCCACATTTTCGGCGCCCACGCCTCCGGCTTTATGTTGGCATGCGGTGGGCTGGCGAGCAAAACCACCCAACAACTCCCCGCTGCCGGCGTCCGTCTTCCCGGTAGCTCCTCGCCTGCCGAGCTTCGTGGTAGGATCGGCCGATCAATTCGCCGATGTTGCCAACCTCGATGAGCCCAGTTCGAGCACCATCAAGTCCGCTCGAGGCGCACTCCTCTGCAGAACGGGTTCAAATGCTGTTGCGCGAGGCGATAGTGTACAAGGTTGACAAGAGACGGAATGCACAAGAGACTGAATGCAGAGGTGAGGATCTAAGGGACCGGCAAGAAGAGTTGGTGACAAAGTCTAGCCGGACCTGCTACCAATCCTCGCCAGCGACTGTGTGCAAGGTGAAACGAAAGAGAAAAAGGAGCGGAGGGAGAGCGTCAGCATTCGCGTTTGGTTGACAGGGCGGCGCACATCGATGGATGCAGAGAGACTACGTACGTCTTCGGACTGTTCGGCTTCTTCGATGGCGTCGCTTTGACTGACGGTTCGTAAGACCGACTTTTTCGACGACTCCTGCATCTCTCCTGCAATGATCAGCTCGTCGAGGATCTGCAGTCCCAGCATCACACGCGAAGAAAGATGTACAGCGTCAGTATCAAGTGCTACACCGAGCTGCATGCTTTGGGGCGAAAACGTACCGCATATGCCTTCTGAAAGTTAAAGATGAGGTCGAGCTCGCAGACGTTTCCAAAGTAGCGATCGAGCACCTCGACGTATCGGTGGATGATCTCGAGCGTCACCAGCTCGTTGTCGCCCTGGCTGATGCCCGTCACAAAGAAGAGCGACGCATACCGCCGATACACCACCTTGCTGTCCTTGTACTCGAGAAAATTGCACATGCGCGTGCGCCGCGCCAGCACCAGCTGCGTCACGTCCTTGGTGATCTTGAGCTTCGCCTTGGGCGACATGGTGGTGAACCACTTGGCCAAGCGCACCTTGCCCTGGCGGCTGATGAGCAGGATCCAGTTGATCTGTCGTGCAGACCGAGTAGAAACCGGAACGCATGAGTATACCCTCTGAGCCGAGTTCGAGGTTGGCTGGAACTTACCGCCATGGTGCCGAGTGCCGTGGGTGCTGAGATGCGATGGTGGCGCCGCGGTGACGAGCGCGTGTAGCTGGAATGGGTGAGATTGGTGGCAGTGTGTCCCGAGCGCGTGTCGGCTGCGTTGCAGTGGAATTGCGGAAGGACGCGCGTCAGCCTGACTAAGCTGCCGGTCCAAGACCAACACCTCGCGACCGTTGCGTGGAGGCGGATTTGAGCTTTCGGGCGGATTTGAGCTTTCGACCTGCGTGCAGCAATGCGAGGCTCGAACTCGAACTGCAGCCGAGCAGAGCATCCAGGGTGCCACCACCTGCTCGCTCGAGCAGCTTCCGACCTTGCACATCCCAACGCCTTCGCGAGTGGCTCTTGGCTGGCTGCAGCATCTGCCATCGTCGAGCTGGACACGTCGAATCGGCACGCGACCGGGCAGGGCATGCTCCCGACTCACTTTGCCAGTGCTGCCGTGTCTGCGCAGCATGCCGAGCAACCAACCATGGCCACCTATCCACCCACACCGAAGGCAGGATCAGCAGCTCGCCCTGTCGATGCGACTGCGCCTTCCGCGCCTTCCAATCCAGTGGTGCGACGAGTGCTTGGCTCGCGTGGCATTGCATCCCTCACCATCGACACGGGTGCGCTCTCGGCCCAAGCTGCCAAGCACAACGGCGCGGCACCGACACAATCCACCGCCACCGCACCGCGGTCAGCAAAGCGCGGGCGCTGGCACACGCTCGAATTCAAGCTGTACTATGCGGTGTTCGTGGTGGTGGTGCCTCTGATGGTGTGGGTGCCGATGCGTCTGAGTCGCCCATCGAATCCGAACTACTACACCTACTCGGGCCATCTCAAGCCGGGCTGGATTGCGGGGCGGCTGCGCGACGATAGCGACTTTCAATACCGCTCGTTCCGCGACTACGTTCCGGCGCTCGTATGCATCATGGGCGTCTATCTCGCGCTCTCCAAGCTCTTCACCTGGCTGCCATCGCCCGCACCAAGATACTCTCGCGTCGATGCAGCGGCGTCGACATCATCGCCGAATCGCAAGGCCTTCCTGACGGTGTTCACCGCGATCTTTGTGTTTGCGCTGCACGGCTTCAACTCGATCAAGCTGTTGCTGGTGGTGGTGGCCAACTATGCACTTAGCAAGGCGGTGGGTGGGACACGGGTGGCGCCGGTGGTGGTGTTTGGGTTCAACGTGGCGACGCTGTTTGCGGTGCACTGGAACGACGGCTTCGAGTACGCGCGCATCTCGCCGGCGCTGGCGTGGCTCGAGGTGTTCAAGGGCCTGTTGCCGCGGTGGCAGATCAACTTCAACATTACCATGCTGCGGCTGGTGTCGTTTGGGCTCGACTACCACTGGGCGCAGTGCGAGTCGGAAGCGGGCGCAGCGGCGGGGCGAGCGATGGGCGAGGTGGAGCGCGAGGATCGCGAGGCAACGTACGTGGAGCGCACACGGCTGACGCAGGCGATGCACGAGTACAGCCTGGGCACGTATCTGCTCTACGTGCTGTATCCGCCGCTGTTCATCGCCGGGCCGATCATGACGTTCAACGACTTTGCGCACCAGTTGCGGCGACCGTGTGCGATCGAGCGCACCACGGTGGTGCGGTACGCGGCACGATTCGTGGTGTCGCTGCTGACGATGGAGTGGATCCTGCACTACGTCTACGTCAACGCGATCAAGGATGCCAAGGCGTGGGTGGGTGCTTCGCCCATGGAGCTGTCCATGATCGGCTTTTGGAACCTCATCATCGTGTGGCTCAAGCTGCTTATACCCTGGCGCTTCTTCCGGCTCTGGGCCATGGCCGACGGCGTCGAGGCGCCCGAAAACATGGTGCGCTGCATGGCCAACAACTACTCGACACTCGGCTTCTGGCGCTCGTGGCACCGCTCGTACAACCTGTGGATCGTGCGGTACATCTACGTGCCTCTCGGCGGCAGTCGCAACCAGATTGCAGCAACGCTGCTCGTCTTCACCTTTGTGGCGCTCTGGCACGATCTGAGCCTCAAGCTGCTGGCGTGGGGGTGGCTGATTACGTTTTTCATCGTGCCCGAGGTGGTGGCGCGCAAGGCGGTGCCGTACAGCCGATACGGCGGTGCGTGGTGGTTCCGACACCTTGCGGCGGTAGGTGGAGTGGGCAACGTGCTCATGATGATGACGGGCAATCTGGTCGGGTTTGCGATTGGCACCGACGGCATGCGCTACATGATCGAGCAGCTGCTGGGCAGTGCCGAGGGGATGCAGTTTATGCTGGCGGCGTGCGCTACGCTGTTTGTGGGCGTGCAGGTCATGTTCGAGTACCGCGAGGAAGAGCTTCGTCGCGGTATCGACCGCAAGTGCTAACGTCCCTCATACACTCAATGCTAGAATCCATATAGATGTATAGGCACGGGTGCGTATGGTGTGTAGCAGTGGCAGTTCCAGTTGGGCGAGGCGGTTGGATTTTGTTGGCGAGTGTTAGAGTGTGATTTGTGGTTTGCTTTTAGCCCCGCCGCGACTGGGTTTGCTGAGGGATGATGCCGTGCAGACGGCAATTGGATGTGCGGGGCGGCCAAAATGCTCGCCAAATCTTAGAAAAATAAGTGAAATGGCCCGCTCTGTGCATGGTTCGCGGCTTGTTTGGGCGGCTGGGCTGAGAGATGTCCAGGTTGCAGCTCCGACGATCCGCCTCGCATTCGACCGGGCCTTTCAGCTGCAATGCCTGCCTCCCCTCGCCCCACGCACCGCTTCTCCACACGTCCCCACACCTTCTGCAGCAACCGGCAGCTTTCATGCTGTCACCAACTTACTTCGATGCAGACACACGAAGCACAGATCGTCAGAGCGAAGTACATGAGGCAGGCGGCAGATGGAGTGTGGGCAGGCGAGGCGGGGCTGAAGAGGAAAAAAAGGTGTTTCTGGGATCCTCGGCTAAAAAGCGGAGTGTTCCTGTGTGCATGCGAGCGGATGAGCGGTTGGACAGATGCAAATCAGGTTTCCCCATGCCGTTGTGATCCTTTTCCCCCATGCGTCTGAGCTCGGCCGCTTCAGCTGCCAGCCCTTTTCCCCTGCCTCTTGGCTTGGGCTCCATCCACCATCGTCCTCCGTCCTTCAACCTCCTTTCTCCACCTTGATCTAGTACGGGATCGTAAACGCTCAGCACCACATCATCTTTGGGCTACAACCATGGCGCCTCCTCATTCGCGACCGCCGGTTGCACCGCAACTTCTCGAGATCCCACTGCAGCTTGCGATCGTGGCGTTTGCGGTAACGCTGCTGGGCCTGAATGCATGGGACTATTCGCGATGGATGATTCTGCGCGAAAAGGCGACGATTACACAGCTGGTGACGATCAACGATAACGGCATGCTCAACGTGGTTCTTGCCGGTATGATCATCGCGGCGGTTACGTTTGCGTTTGGAAACCTCGCCGCGTTCCTGGCGTGCGTGCAGTTCCCCAAGCGTCGTGGAGAACGAACCGGCAAAGGAACCTACGGCTACATCCTGGTGGGACTTGTGGAACTCGTTCTGTCCGGTGCATTGTTGGGCATCGCCGCTGCTTACACAGCTTATGCAGTCCAGAAGCATCCCACTTTCGAGAGGGGTCCTAGCTACCAGGAACCCTTCACTGACGGACAAAAGGTGTTCCTCCGAGCCATCTATGAGATGTTCAAGAACGGTCAGAACGTCAACCCTCCCACACAGACCACTCAGTCCCTCTCGGCGCTGGGTCCGTGGGCACAGATCAACAACATCGAACAGGCCAATGCCTTCCTGGCCCAGAATAGGTATCTCAACTACACGCATTACCGCATCACAACCGCGATTAGCTGGGTCACGCTCGCAACCACCTTCTTCGTCATGGCCGTCCACTTCGCTTTGCCCCTCGTCCTCAAGGCGCTCGGTATGACAAGACCCCCCAAGGGCCAGGAACCCGCGCGTGCAAGCTCAAGAGTCCCCGTCGGCTACGGCGATAAACGCAACAGAGCCGCAGGCTACCAGCGTGAAGATTACGCCGAATACTAAACACCCCCTGCCATCCTGGACAACCTTTGACTCTCTCGACTCTCTTTCTTGGCATCTGCTTCGCTTTTTTTGTGTCCGACTTCACGCTCCTTTTGTGTCGACCCGACGGTGGACCGCGTAATGTAATGTGCTGTGTCCCCACCTGATCCAGATTGCGTGTTGGAGATCAATTGAGAATGCATTCTGGGGTATGAGGTGCGGATCTATGGGGTGAGGAGGCTGAGCAGCTGGCGGAGCACGAGCAGCGGCATGCGCACCAGCACGCGCAGCCAGTCGGTCGCCAAGGGCGCCACATCCGTCGCTGGCACCGGCTGCACCTCGTCGTCTTCCTGCGCACTGCTGTGCAAATGCGGGGCTGCGGCAAGGGGCACGTCCATATCGACTCGGTCCTCTTGCTCGTTGTTGTCCAGTGCGTGCGCATCGAGCGGGAATCTTACCTCGACGGCTGCGGGGTGGGCTGCGACTGGGTCCAGCATCTCGAGCCAGGACTCTTGCACATCCATCTGATCTGTCGACGGAGGATGGTGTGCGGCCGCAGCCTCAACGCGCGAGGCCTCGACGATGCGCGTCAGCTCGTCGATACGTGCCACCAGCGCACGGTTGGTGCTCTGCGTCGCACTGAACAGCATCGCCACCACTGCGGTGAGGAAGAGCGTCCAGAGCACGTGCGACGCACGCAGAGCTACGTGTGCCGCGCCACTCCCAGCCTCTCCGCGAGCGTGCGATGCGTGCGCAGCACGTGTAGCGTCCTGCGTCAAAAGCTCCTTGTGCGCAGCTATCACCGCCAGCGCCTGCCGTATGACCCCGTCGCTGTCGGTTCGGCCACCCTGTTGGATCGACTGCGGGTCATGGTCCTGCAGCACCGTCTCGAGCGAAGCGTCGAGCGCGTCTCTTGCCTTCTTTGCGAGTACCATATTCGTAATGGGTGGCGGTGACGGGTCCACCGCCACCAATGTCTGTTTGTCGTGCTCTTGCACCAGCGCCGAAGGCACAAGCAGGCCTCTGGGCAGTCGATCCAGGTCCAACTCCGAATGTGACAGATCGACCGCGAGTGCCCCACGCACACTGATCACAACAGTCTCCGAGCTCTGCAGAACAGGCAGCAGGCCAAGCGTGATGACGAGCATTTCCGAAGATGCACTCGGCACGGACGGCTCTGAAGGCGGCTGCGATGGCACGGACTTGGTGCTGGCGGACGACTGGAGCGAGAATCGCCTCTGCTTGGGGTTCGTTGGGCGGCCATTGTCGAGCGAAAAGTCGTAATCGGCATCATGGATGCCTTTTGGCGGAGCGACCTTGAGCAGGTCTTCTTCCTCGGACGGCTGCTGGCCTGGATCGGGCAGGATGACCATGTCGCCGAATTCGGACGCCGACAAGCCGCGCAGCATGGCGTTTGCACTTGTTTGAGGCTGCCGAAGGGAGGAGGTCGCCGAGGATGCGACAGCGCCGAAGGACCAGCTCAGGATGCCGCGTGATGCATCCGCCGCATCCACGCGCCATGAGCGGAGCGCGGCGGGAGCATGGAGCTGCACGTATAGCTGGACCTCGCGATCCAGACCAGGAAAGAAAGGCTCGTCGAGCCGCACGTTTGCTTCAAAGTCGAGCACTGTCTCGTCGGTGTCCGCATCTACAGACTGTCTGGGACGGTAGGTGATGGAGGAGCGGGCTGCCTTTGCTCTCAGTGCGTTGGGCAGAGTGGCCTGCGAGGTTCCTGTCAGCGCGAGATCGCCAGCATTTTCCGATGCGAATCGAATGACGAGCGCGTCGCAGGCTTGAAATGGTCCTGCGATGGATGAGTCGTCTTGATCGGCACCGGCGTCATCCGTCGGGGCGATGCCGGTGAGCGTGTCGTCGTCCTCGTCGTCAAACTGCAGTACGCTACCGGGCGAGCGAGTCAGCGAGTTGGTGGACGAATTGCGACGAGAGGACGGCCGCGGTGCCGAGACCGGCAGGACGGGTGGATCGACCTCGACGGCGATGTCGGGCAATCCGAGTTGTTGGCTGATGGAATCGTCGATGGTGAACTGCAGGTAGTTGTTCAAGCAGAAAGGTACAGCCATGCGCACCGCAAAGGGCGCCAAGGGCGGGCGGGAGACAGGCGTTGCAAGGAGATGGAGCGTCACCATGTACATGCCTCCACCAACCTGGGAAGCGGCGGGATCATATTTGGATCGCAGTAGCGCGACACCCTGATCGGAGCGAACGACCTTTGGAAGTGCAGCGCGGTCAGCGGAGGCTGGTGACGAGCCTGTGCGCGCGTTTCTGGGCGACTCGAATTCGATGAAGCTGTCGTCCATCTCGTGATGGAGGGAGAGCGGGATGCCCAGATTGCTGGCCGCAGTGGCCGCTGAAGTGGACAAGGCGGGTGCCGCTCCCGAGGCATCGAGACGGTGGACGATGGCCTCGTGCAGCTCGACATCGGGATCGGCAAAGAGGAGTAGCTCTTCTTCCAGACGATCCTGGATGGAAAGAAGATGGATCTTGAGGAAGAGTGTGTAGTTGGCTCCCTTGCTGGACGCCTGGCCCTTGAGCACGAGTTTCTTACATATCCTGGAGCGGGTGGAGGTCGTTCCGCGTCGAGGCGTGGAGGGCACAGCTTCGACCATGACTGCGGACGGCTCGTTACTGGCGGCTCGTTGTGGGCGGCTCGTCCAGGGTCAAAAGCAGGTTGACGTCAAGCTATGGGTGATGACTGGCATTCAGGATTGGGCACAAGAGGCAAAAGCGAGCTGCAGCGACGCTCTCGAGGTGGTGCGGCAGCTCAGCTCACGGCAAGCTGGGGCGAGATGGACAGGACCGTGTCGTACACGCAAGCGAGTCATACACGGGATGGATAGTGCTGGTCAGGGGTGCCTGCTGCTGACCCTTGTGTTGGCTGCAGCCGGGGACGGTGGGGTTGAGCAAGGATGCGGACCGGACCCATGCGTCCCAAAGGGCACAAAGCCCTGGCCTTTGCAGCTGTCACTTTTATGTGACTCTGGAAGGACGAGGTGCGGAGTGGGGATTGTGATTTTGCCGAACAATGTGACACTTTGCCGAAAGTAACACCCGCGGACTTTTGCGAATTTCCGAAAAGTCACACCGCGTCTCAAAGCCTTGCTGGATTTCGGAGCCGAACAAATGACGCTGCTTACCGCACGTGAGGTGAGCCGCGGCGGCTGCCTGGAAGAAATTTACTTGGCCTTGGCCCAGAGACGGCTCGGCTGCACCTCTTGCAAGCTTCACCTTCTACTTCAATCATCACCACGGCTCACCCGCACCTCTCCGCACCAACACCATCGTCATGGCGTTTGCATCTAGATCCGTCTCGCTCTCGGCGTTGAGGCAGCTTGGCTCCGGCCCTGCCGTTGCATCCAGCTCTCGAAATGTTGCGGCTGCCGCCTTCTCGACCTCTTCGAGCTCGCTTGCAGCCTCGAGCCAGGAAGATGCCACCGCACGCAAGCCCCCTTTCACAGCAGCAGCAGAGGCATCGCAAGGCTCTACAGAGCGCAACGCCATCGGGCGCGGTCGCAAATCGGCAGGCAGGGGCAGACCCAAGATGCTTGCGCCCTTCGACGAATGGATCCAGTCGGATGCGCGCGCGTACAAGCAGCCGAAGCCAGGCATGGGCCCCAACTGGATCGGCGACACGCCCTTCCCGCTCAACCCTTCGTTCAACCCGCCAGCGCCCGTGCGCCAGAGCACCAAGTCCGAGATCTGGCGCTTGCATACCAGCGACCCGGCCACCTACACCATCCGTGCGCTCTCGGACAAGTTCTCGGTGGGTCTGCAGAGGATGGAGGCCATCTTGCGCCTCAAGGCACTCGAAGTCGAGTGGGCATCACAGGTAAGCTTCTTTTGTGCGCCTCCGCATGCCAGCTCTCGACGATGCTTGCCAAAGTGATGAGCAAACAAAACAATTCGATTAGTCTTGAAGACATCTACATGGTTACCAAATTTTTACAATCCTTACTATACTGAATCCTCATCGTCGGGGAGCTGCATCGGCTTCGAATTTGGGTCTACGAGTTCAGAATGCTGACGCTTCATCTTGCAACGTGCGATACAGGACAAGCCGCTTCAGAGCGAATTCCAGTCCAACATGGACCGCCTGTTGGGAGCGCAGGATCGCAAGCGCGCGCCCGAGCCCGAGCCGTCGCAGCAGTCGACGGACAAGTCGGTGCGCGGCAGTCAGCACGAAGAGTTTGCCGAGGCCGAGCCGCTGGATGCTCCTTCGGTCGTAGCACCCGCGCTGGCCGACGAGCGTCTGAAGCGCTCCTCGATGATCGCCGCGCTGCCCAGCGGTGGTCCGGACCACGACGCACACAGCACCAGCAAGGTCGTGCGTACCGGCAGGGCGCCCATCGCCATCACCAATGTGGCGGGCGATTCGTACATGGGCGCAGGTCGTGTGGACCGCAACGTGCGCCGTGCCGAGAAGAGGAAAGGCTCCAAGGCTACTTCCACAAAAGCCTGATGCTCATCTCAGTCGAAGCACAATTCACATGCCTTTTCATTGTGCCAAGCCTGCCATTTCCTACGATCGTGTTTGTGATTTGATGCGGTGTGACTGGCGAGAAGCAGTGTACAGCTAGGCGTAGAGAGCGAGGACGCGGTCTTCGATACCGTCGCCGATCCAGCGCGTCTTGGAGTCTTCGAGGCCCACGAGCTCGAGGTTGTCGCGCTCGGCCAGGTGCAGCTTTTCAAAGTCGGGCGCTTGACCGGGAGCGGTGGGATTCATCATGCCCTGCATCGGCGCCGCTGCACCCGACATGGCAGCCATGTCGCGCGTGCCATCAGCAGCTGCAATGCGAACCAGCAGAAAGATAGGTCAGTTTCTCTCAAGACCCGCGGCAAGACTCGATGATCGAGAGTGGACTCACCATTGTCGTCTCCGAGGACGAGGCGGTAGACGGCGTTGAGACCGAAGAGCGTGAGAAAGTACCAGCTGAGCGACGAGACCCAGGTGACGTCGAGGTCGGGCGTCTCGATGCCCCTCTGCAGCATCACCTTGAACCGCAGCGTCAGAGGGAAGGGCAGTTTGACTGTATCACAACGGAGAGTCAGCACACGCTTCGACGAGCAAAGCTGATTATAGATCAAGACTTACGCAGCACAAAGCCGGAGAAGAAAAAGTTGATCCAGCCCATGATGAGCGTCTGTGGGATCATCATGACCATCTGCTTCTTCATGCCATCCATCATGCCGTCCATACCGCCCGCGGGCTCAAACGGATTCTTGGGGCCTTCCTTCTCCTCCTTGTCCTTGGGCTGCAGGTAGGAGCCGTTGGAGAGCGCCTCGGTGAGGAACGCCTTGCGCGACTGGAACGACGAGGGTGGCAGCTGGAAGTAGTTCTGTCGCAGCGCACTCGATCGCGCCATCACTCGTCTGTGCGGCAGCAAAGGTCGGCAGCAAACGTCAGCGTGTGTCTCATGGCCGGAAACGGTGTGTGGGAGGTGGACACTCACTGTTCACGCAGCGCGGGTGCGGCAATGCTCTTGGGCGGCGAATTGAGGAGCGAGATGACATTGTGTCGTAGCACGCCGACGAGGATCATGACCACCAGGATGGGGATGAGCACCCAGTCGCGGATCGCGCTGTCAAGGAAGAGGGACTGCTCGAGCGCCATGGTGACAGCAGCAGCAGCAGCAGCAACAGCAGTGCGGCGGTGATGACGAGCTGTGATGGTGGTGGATTTCGACGACGAGAAGAAGCGCGGTGGGTCTGTGCTGTTGCTTGGTTGGTTGTTGGGCGGCAGCGCGCGTGTGGAAATTTAGAAATGTTAGGTCTCGCGCTCCACGCCTTGTCCACTTGTCCGCGAGCCCAAAGCGACAGGGTCTGAGCGTTGGAAGCAGTGTCCTTCCGGCCTCCTTCGGCTGCCTCTTATCTTGCGACCACACCTGCTTGACCTCGCCATCTCGTCGTAGCACGCACGCATCGATCTGGACGGCGAGCTCGCGACGCAACGATGGCCGAGCCTCTGCTCGGCGTCATCCTCGCCACATCGTCATCGCGAGGAGACCACATCGTATTCCGCTGGCCCAACAATCCCAAGATCTTCAAGCGCTACTCCAAGGTCAAGTACTACACCGAATCGCGCCCCTCAGGGCGTCCGCTACCGGACGACGACCTCGATCCTGTGCGACAAAAGGCAAAGTGGGACAGGCACGACGAGGATGACGACGACCATGCCCACTCTGACGACGCCGGTCAGAGCGATACCCCTTCGTCGTCCGACATCGAAGACTCGGACGCCTCGCTCGCAGACGACGACGAGAATCGTTCCGTTCGCGATCGCGCCGAGACCGTCGCCTCTTACGGTCGCTCCAGACCAGCTGCTGCACCCTCCACGAATCGATCCAAGTCCAAGCCCCGCCGGCCGTTGGTCGGTCTGGAAGAGTCCACCCCCAGCGTCCGCTCTGCAGACCGCCACAACGCCAAGGACACGCAGGACGCCAACGACCGAGCGCCCGATTCGGATGCAGGCACATCCAAGGAGCTCTCACCCGAGGAAAAGGCACGGCGCGAACAAAAGGCCGCCATGGCATACAAGACCTATCTCGGCTACGACATCGAGATCCTCGCCAGCATCCTCAACCCGCGCCCCGAGCTCGCACACCAAAAGTTCGAGCTCATCGTCGACGATCTCGCCTTCCTCGGCCATCCTGTCGCTGCCAGCAAGGCGGGCACCTGGGGCGAGCCTGATAACCAAGACGCTCATCCAGGCGCAACCGACTCGGATGATGCTCATGCTGCAGGGCCTTCTCAGCGCCGAGGCCGCTCAGGCTTACGCAAGGAGATCCGCCCCTACGACTTATCCGACGGCCATCCACCCGGGAAAGAACCAGACGCAAATCACGCCAAGAAGGACGAATCCGAGCCCAAGACCTCCGACACCGACGCGCCCGCCTCCAAGGCCGCAGCGCCTCTCACGCAGTTCCACCTGGTGCTTGTGCTCGATCGACCCGACCCGTCCACGGCCATGTCCGGCATGGATCTCTCGTCGTGGCTGCAGCTCTTCTACGACAACATCGTGTTCAAGATGACCGCGGCGCTCTTCGCCGAGCAGTCCAAGTCGGACTATGTCGGTCGCGAGACCGAGAAGCTGCTCGCCTTGCGCGAGCGCTGCATGGACGACGGCCAGGCGTACTCGGCGTACGCTGCGCAGTGTCTCGGCATCTCGTCGCTCGCGCGCTGCATCCGCGACCTGCACAAGAGCATCAGCACCTCCTCGGACGCCTTCCTCACCATCAACGACCGCATCGAAGTGCATCTTCAGCTGCCACCCATCCTCCAGGACCCGGTGAATCTGCCCAAGACCGTCGACATCGAGACCGAGCTCGATCCCAACGACCCCATCTTCCTCTCGGGCGGCGGGTTTGCAGGGCTGGGCAAAGAGGGTGCCGACGAGGATGGGGGTGGTGGCACGTACGATCGGCTGCTCGATCTCGCGCCGCACCAGTTGAGCTTCGAGGAGTGGTGTCGAACCACGGGCCCGTATCTGCTGCCGTGGAAGACGCTGCTGCTGCTGCATGATCAGCCGGACGAGGCGGCGCGTGGGCGTCGGACGCCCGGTAGTGCCAGTCCTGCCGGCCACCTCACGCCCGCAGAGCAGGCGCCCGAGACGCATGGATTCGAACAGCTCGCATGCAACTTCACCTCGCTCTTCCGGCCGCATCTGATGCACTCGCTCAACTTTAGCGAGGTGGCCGACATGCTCGGCTGGGACCTGTACGAGGATGTATATCCGATGATCCGCCACCTCATCTACTACCGCCAGGCGCGCGTCATCGACATCCCGCGTCCAGGGCACGTGTATGCCATCTCGCCGCTCTTTGACTTTGGCCGACTCGGCGCGCTATCTCGGGTGTGGGCGCATACGTTCCCCGAGCTGGCGCCGCTGCCCGCGTTTCTGTCGCAGCTGTCGTCGTCAAGTCGTGCGCTCAGCGCGCTGTTCCCCGGAAGGCACCAGAGGGAGCTGGCGCTCGATGTGCTCATTTGGCTGCTGCGCCGGGACGTGGTGGTCAAGATGCACATCCGCTTACGCCTGTTTGCCACCGAGGCGGTCAAGCGCCGAACTGCCGAGCGGGGCGCCGAGAGGCACGAGCGGCACCGGGCACAGAAGCAGCGCAAGAGGGAGAGGCTCGCGAGGGCCGAGGCGAGGCGCATGAAAAGGTCGCAGGCCGCAGAACAGCAGAAGCGCAAAAAGGCCGAGCAGGCCCAGCGCACACAGACGCACGAGAAACACGAGCATAGGGGCAGGAGCCGCGAACGCGACCGATCGCGCTCCGTCGATGCTCGCCAGCAAAGGCAGCCCGATCTCGCTGCCGACGATCTGGCCGCGGCGGCTTCGCAGATGAGCGTCTCGCGGCCCTCGGTTCTGGCGGACCCGGAAAGCGTGGCTGAGGCGGCGGCGCTGGCGGCGGCCATCGCGCGCTCGGACATCGATGCTGCTCCAGCGTCGGGCGATGCCAGCCACAGTCAAGACCATCGCCACGCGCATCAACACCACCATCATCACCATCGCCACCGCCACGGTGTGGCTCACAAAGATGCAGCTGGTGCCGGCGAGCTGTCGGGCGCTGGTGCGGGTGCGAGCGGTGCGATCCCCATCGGATCGGGCGCGCCGCTGGATGAGCTCAAGTTTGAGCGTCGACCGGTGCTTCGATCGCGCTCGCCCTCGACTGCTGCCCCGGGGCTGTCGGTGAGCTTTAGCACGCTGAGTGAGCGCGGCGAGTTGATCCGCCGAGCACGTGCCGACACCTCTGCATCTTCGTCGTCTGGAGGCAAGACGCGTGGTGATGGGCTGAGTATGACGCCCACCGCGTCGCAGCAGAGTCGCCCGACCACGCCGAGCATCCTCACTGGGCCGCGCAATGTCCCGGCGCACGTGCGGGATCGATCGGCGTCGGCGGTTTCGAGTAGTGCAGAGGGAAGCATGCCTCGGCGTGCACGTGGGTTGAGTGCCCGAAAGATCGCTCGATCCCGATCACCATCCCGAGCCCGCATGCGGGTTCGCGGCTTTGGCCTGGGTGCCGAAGTCGAGATCGACGAAGAAAACGACGACGACACTCGCTCCAACGTAGAGACCATTGAACCTGCCCGAAGGCGCGTCTCAACCGCAAGCGAGCGTCCCGAACTACCACCACCCAGCGAGACCGACCACTCTTCGCACTGCTCGTGTTCATCGTGCGACAGCTCATCCGCCTCCGACCTATCGCTCTCGTCGGATTCGGATTCCGACTCGTATGCGCCTTGGCGTACGGCCGATGAGTATACAGAGTCGTTGATCGTCGAACCCGCGCGTGCGTCGCGGCGCGAAAACGACTACATCGCAACAATGACAGCCGACAAAGACCCCGCCACGGTCAAAAACTTCTTCCGCCTCCTACCGTATCTCAACGGCAAACACTCGATCGACGAAATCGAATACCGCGTCAAGATGCGCCGCAGAGACATCCGTCGTCTCCTCGCCGTGTTTCGAGAGTATATCATCACCTTCATGCATCCGTGAATCCCGCAATTGCAGCCATCGGTGCATTTCTGTTTAGATTCCATTGTATGTGGGCTGTGCGCGCGCGGGCGGGGAGGTTCAGCTCATCATCGGCTGAAAGGCGGGACGCAGCAGCTTGCGGCCCTCGACGACGTCGTGCGCCAGACGCGCCACGTTGGCTTCCGCCACCACCACCTCCGGCGCGAGCTCGAGCCCAAACGCGTACCGGATGGCCGCCGAGATGCGCGCCGCCTGCTTGCGGTCCCAGATGACAAAGTCGTCGCCGCCATCCGACCCTGCGAGCGGCACAAGCGGCGCCGCTGCCTCGGCCGTATCCACCGCCTCCTCGGGCACACCACCCGCGCTGCTGAGCGCGCTAGCACGCTTGGCGGGCGCGGGCTGCGAGATCGACAGACGCAGCGGACGAGTCGTGGGCGCCGAATAGCGCACGATGCTCGCAATGATCTCGCTCGTCTGTGCCAGCTCCTGCTCCGCCGACGCGTACTGCTCGGCTGGCGCGCCGACGTACACCTCGACGGGCTGCGAGCGCGCCAGCACATTGTGCTTGCCGTCGTGGTGGTAGCGGAACTCGTACACACCCGGCACCCACGGCAGCTTGTCGTCGCAGAACACCGACACGCCGTGCGCCCCATCGCCCTTAGCGTCTCCCTGCGACGCCTCGGCCCCGGCATCGGCACCACGGTGCACGTCGCCCACCCACTCGTCCTGCACTACACCAAGCCACTTGCCCTGGCTCGAGATCTTGGTGACGAGCGACGCCTCGTCCGCACCCTGCGGTCCGCCGAAGCGCGAGAGCAGGTACACGCCGATCCAGTCGCTGCGCGAGTGGTTGGGCGCCGCACGCCACTCGACCGCAATCGGCTCGCCAAGGTGGAAGCGCAACGCTCCCGCTCCACCCTGCGCGGCCGGCCGCACGTTGAGCGCATAGTGCGAGCGGTCGACGCCGTGCGACTGCAGTTTGTGGTCGTCCTCGACGCGCACGATGAGCAGCCGGTCCCTGCTCTGCTGGAGCAGCACCTTGGTCTCCTCGAGCATGCCCTCGAAGCGCGGGCGCGACTGGCGGAAGAACTCCTCGAACGCCTCGGCCGCATCGCGCTGCACCTTTTCGATGGTGCCCTGGACGTTCTTGACCGTCGGATGCTCCTGTGCCAGCCGGAAGAGGTCCGAGTCCTTGGCTGCGACCCACTGCGACTTGAGCTGCTTGGTGAGCCCCGAGTCCTTGCGCAGCGCCGCCTCGCCGTACAGCTTGCGCATGTGCGGGCCCTCGACGTACGACAAGAACCCCCAGTGCGCCACATACGACACGATGGCCATGACGAGCGTCAGCTTGGAGCCCGCGACGAGCGCGAGCCCAAAGAACGCGGCGCCGCCCATGCTGCGCTCGGGATTGTTGAGGAAGCGGTAGATGCCTGTGTAGTAGAGCTGGTGCGGATACTCGTCGATGAAAAAGTCGCCGTAGAGCCAGCCAAAGGGCCCGAGCACCTCGTACGACGAGTTGGCCGTCCACACGTGCAGCGCCACCAGCAGCAGGCCGAGCGTGTGGCGCAGCAGCTCCGGCCCCACCGTCCAGTCCGGATGGCCGATGGGCGTGTAGCAGTTCCAGGCGAGCGCGCCGAACGACACGTACGTCATGACGAGCGAGGTGTTGTAGATGGCCTTCCAGTGGCCGAACGCCTCGAACACGGCGTCCTGCGGCTGCGAGTAGTTGTAGTGCTTGAGAAAGTGGCGCACGATCCACTTGGACTTGGACTGGCGCGAGAGCGCCACGCCGAGGCCGAACGAGTGGAAGGTGCGCCAGGCGAGCGCGTTGGCAAAGAGCAGCGCGAGGCGCGCCGTGCGGCCCATGGACGGCAGCAGCAGCGGCAGAAGCGCATAGCTGGCACCGACGACGAGGAGAAAGTCGTTGGCGCGCATGAGGTCGAGGTTGCGGAACGCCACCGTGTCCTTTCGGAAGATGCGGTGGTGTAGGTCGTGGAGCGTGGTGACGGGGCGCTGCTGCTTGGCGCTCTGGATGCCCGAGAGGTGCTGCTTGATGGCATCGTCGGAGAACGACGAGGTTCGGAGCGCGTTGCGCTTGAACTGCTTGCGGTGCTCGTCGTCGGACGTCTCGTCCTCGGTGGTCAGGGCGGTGGAGCCCTCGGTCTGGCTGGGAGTGGGACCTTCAAAGTCTTGGCTGCGCGAGCTGGGGGCAGCGGGGCAAGGCAGCTCGGCGCCCGCATCAGCTTGTGCCGAAGGCTCATCGGCCGCGTTGGCAGCCTTGCGGGAAGCCGCGTTGAAAGGCGCCTGGCGCAGCGGGACGCGAGCCGCGAGCGGCTTCCTCTCCCCGTAGGTGCGGTCGATATGCGGGCCCTCGAAGAAGGTCATAAAGAGGAACTGGGAAAAGTGGGCTGCCAACGAGACGAAGAGGACGGCATAGCTGCCGCTGACGAGCGAGAGTCCGTAGTAGCCGGCGTATCCGATCGAGTACATGGGGTCCGGGGCGATCTCGTAGACGCCGTCAAAGACGAGGCTCTGGAGGCAGAGGAAGAAGCAGTCGCCCCAGTACCACGCGTAGTCCTTGACGACGCGGTGCGCGTCGATCTTGACCCAGAGGTTGAAGAAGATGAGTGTCCAGCCCGCGATCCAGCGGAGGATGTGCATGGCGAGCGAGTGGTTTTCGGGGAGGCGGGTGCACGAAAAGGCGAAGAGCGAGTAGGCGACAAAGTCGTTGAGAAGGATGACGTCCACGATGCTGCGGAACATGAGCCAGACGTTGTAGTCCATGGGCATGGCGTCGAAGACGTAGTCCTTGTCCATCTTTGTGACGAGCTGCTGCTTGACCCAGCCATGGACGCGCGGACGGCGCTTGGGGTCCATCCAGCCGTTCTGTCTGACTTGGCGGATGATCCAGCCCTTTTCGCTCTGCTGCTTGAGGATCCAGCCGAGGCCTGCGTTGTACGAGGCACGCCAAAAGGCAAAGTAGACGAAGAAGAAGATCTTTGCGGCACGGCGCGAGAGGGCAAAGTAGAGGAGGATCTGGAGGGACAAGGAAACGACGGTGACGATGTCGAGCGGCGTCTTTGGCTGGCGCGGATCAAAGATGGACGAGAGCATGTCCGGGGTATGAGGTACCGTGAAGACTGTTGCGAGATCGAAAAATGCATCGGACACGGAGATGCGCGGGTCGTCACAGGCATCGTTTGAAGGGACAGAGAGATTCCGAAAGGGAAAGGGAGGAGCGGAGGGAGAGGGAGTGAGGAAGGGGCAAGGTGATTCGGGAAGAGAACGTGTCAGAGACGGCGGTTCGGGAAATGCAGTTGTCAGTCGGGAACGTCGATCTGGTTCGGCTGTCATTGTGGGCGACCGAGGACCGAACTGGACCCTGCGCACATCCGAATTGCAGCTGTGAAGCGAGCGAGGATAGGGCGGTGCACGGACAAGCGCAGAGGCAGGGGAGCGACGAAACTCTGGCCGCCAGACGAGAGGTGACGAGTTAAGCCGCGGCAAGACTGCCGACGCCCTGCCGGTGTCATGCGCGAGTGATGTGGGGGTTGTGTGGGGTAGGAGACGTACCTGTGCCGTCGGGAGTCCTTCCGAGCACCTTTGGAAGCTGTTGCTGCGGTGCGTCCGTTTTCGCCTCCGGATGGCGCTTGTCCAGGGCCGGGCTGGCACGCTCGGTGAGGTCGGAGCGCGACGAGTTGGCGGGACTGGCTTGGGTGGTGCGCTTGCGCAGTCCCTCGGACGCGGTAGCGTCGTGCATTGAAGCGGTGGCCATGCTTCGAGATCCCAGTCAGCTGGAGACGGCGATGGATGTGGTGGCGGGAAGATGGATCTGTTGACAACGATGGGGCTGCTATAACGAAGGGGAAGCAGAGAGGGCGGGGCGGCCATGATGGAGAGAGCGCAGTCGGCGCAGTTACTTGGCTCAACTTCGGGCACGTCGGCAGTTGCTCAGTGTGTCGTGTCTCGCCTATCTCTTTTTTTTTTTTTTTTTCTTTTCCGCGCGTGGCCTTGCGTTTTCTTCTCGACGTGGAAGCGCAAAAGGCAAAAGGCAAAAGGCTGCGTTGCGTGCGACAGCCACCCGATGACAAGCAGAGGTGCGCAACCGGATCTACCGATGACAGCTCGGCAGAACGCAGCCAGCCGCTGACTTACACACGCCAAGATCCGCCCGATGCCCGCTCTGCCAACGCATCTTGTTGGCAAGCCAAAAGAAAGCTCGCCTGCAGCTTCGACCTGCCGAGTCCCCTTTTCACGCCCGCGAGCGCAGGCCAACTCAACTCTTATTCGCTGATCACCCACGCCTCGACTCGCTCGATGCGAGAAAGTGACCGGATCGCAAAGCTTCTATTGTCCGAGAGAGTGAGAGCGAGAGAAAGCGGGCACATTACCGAAAAACAAGAATCGGATCAAAGGTGATGCTACTGTAGCGGGCGGAGCAAGAGATGAAAAGCAAAAAGGGCAAATCCAAAGCAGAGGGCGGTCCATACGGTAACAAGGTGGGGTAGCTGCGAGGTCCTAGGCATCGGCGTGGATCTGGATCTCGATGCTGAGGCTGCTGTCGTCGTCGTCGGCGCGCTCGCTCGAGGCAGTGTCGTCGTCGTGCACGTTGTGATTGTGCTCGGCCGACATGGCGCGGCGCACTCGTCCAGCGCCGGAAGCGTCCCTGATCCTCGACTGCGCGGCGAGCAGCGTCGTCGGGTCCGATACGGCGCGGGCGCCATCGTTGTTGCTGCGTGCCTCTCCTCCAGCGATTCGCACGCGCGCGGCACCGTCGAACCGCGCCTCCTTGCGCACATGCTGTCGACGAGCGGGCTGGCTGGGAGTGTCATCGCCATCGCGAGGCACCAGTCCAGGCGGCGGGATGAATGGCCTCGGCAGGGCTGCAAGCGGTTCGGGCTCGTTCTTCTTCTGCGCCCAGTCTACCACAGGTACGCGGTACTGGTCGGTGGCATGGAAGAGCGGCTCCGGAAACACCATCTGGGCTGTGGGCATCGATGTCCATTCGGCGAGCATGGGCTGGGCGAGCTGCACCGCATTGACCATCGGATGCGCATTCGCCCACATCGGCGGAACCTGGATGCCCAACCCACCCGGTCCGTACAGGTTCGACGAGATGAGCTCGGGCGAAACAGGCACGCTGGGCATGCCCACACAAGCGCGCGAAGCCACCACCCCCGACGGCCTCACCTCTTCCCCCCACTGCCTGGATCGCACCTCGCTCTGCATACCCCGCGTGTCCACAGCTGGCGAAGGGGGAGCTTTGTGGTTGAGTAGACCGAGCGATTCGAGCGTGTGCTTCTGCTGCGCCGAATGCTTGAGGTGTTTCTGCGCCTCGCTGTCCGCAAACCGCACTTGGAGCGGCAGCGTCGTGCCGGGTAGCACTCGACCGTGCAGTCGCTCGATGCACGTCCGCGCGGTCTGACGATCGAACAGCCGCACAAATCCAACGCCCTTGCTCTCGCCATGCACGTCGTACAGGATCTTGAGACTCGCCACCGGATGAGGATTGAAGAGCTGCTCCAGCTGCGCCTCGTTCAGCTTCACCGGAAGGTTCGAGAGGTATACGTTGGTCGAACTCGTATCCGCCATGCGTCGCAACCGCGCCGAAAACGATTCCTTACACCGAAAAGTACGCAAATGTCAGCGATTGAGAAGGAGGGAGAGACGGAGGGAGGATGACTTACTTTGGCGAAAGACGCACTGAAACCGTGCGAGTTGAGCCATTCGATCGCCGTGGTGGCCATGTCGGGCGTGGCGTACATGAGGAATCCGAATCCTTTGCACATACCCGTATGGCGGTCCAGCATGGCCTTGTGGCTGATCACCACACCGCAGAAAGAGCCGAGCAGATAAAGCATATTGTCGTTGATCCTGCCACATCGCCACACAACATCAGCTGCATGCTTCCACGCTTGCTTTTAAAGGAAGATGTGGGGACTTACTCTTTGGGCAGACCATTGACGTAGACGTTCGTTTCGTCCGCCTTGTTCATCCCGCCACCCTGACGCAGAATGCCCGACAAAGTTTGCGCATCCGTCTCTTGGTTGGCTGAGCGGAAGGAATGGTCGGGCTTGGTGGTATTGTTGGGAGGAGCTCGCGGGAGGAAGGGTGAGTTGGGGGTGCATCGATATGCGTCTCCCTTTGGCTCGTCGTGTTTCTCCACACCCTGTACGAGCGTAGCTGAGCTAGGAGCAGGCGAGAACATGGTGTCGTCTCGCATGAGCTTCAGGGGTGGTAGGGTGACTTTGCGGTCGAGTGGACTGGGTTGATCGGTGTCGTTGGATAGATCGCGACGCAGGATTCGCGGACGCCAGGGAGTGGCAGGAACCGCCGTGCGTTTGTCACGCACCCGCTTGTCACTCCACCGAACGCTAGGCGTACACGGCTTATCCGGAGACTCGGTCTGACCTCGTGCCATCATCCCAACAACGGAAGAGGTGGAAGAAACACTATTGAAGGGGGGCCGAGTCGGAGGAGGAGAGGGTGAGTATATATCTCTTCGAGCCAAGGCAGGGGGGTCGCGTTCGGATCGACACTGTAGATCTCCCGTGCCTGCCCAACCGTCCATGCGTCGCTTCAGGCACTTGAACTCTCCCTGCACACAGCATATACCTCTCTCACCCTTCCTCCTTGCCCCCTGAGAAGAGACGGGCCCGACGCCACCACTTGCAGACATGCACGCAACCCCTTCTGTCTCGGCTCTACGCCGCCACATGCACATCCACACGCCCAAGCACAACCACACACAGCCCGCCCAAACATGCAACCATCTTATTCCTGTTGTATGCGTATGCTAATGATACAGTCGAATGCACGTCAAGAGCATTTCTCCGCTTACCCAAGCCAGCGCCAAACCCCTCTTGGCCACCGCAGCAACGCATGTGGCGAAGCGCACCCACGTCCGCCGGAATCCGCATGCATGATGGGTCGGAGGGTATATGCACGCGCGCGAACAGCCGTGTTGCAGATCTCCCAACCCCAATCACTGAAGTTCCAAATTGCTGGCCAAGACGAGCGTCTATGCGGTTGACCACTTGGCATCGCAGCGGTGGCGTGTGCCTCACTTTGTATTCGCAAAGTCGCCCGTCGAGTCGTCGATCAAGCTCGCGCGTTTGTGCTGACGCTGTGTGCGTGCGGCGTTGTCGGCGGATGGTCTGTGACCATTGGGACTCGCGCGCAGTGCACGCTGCGCCTCTCCGACGCGTGCGGCGTGCGTCTTGCCCTGTCGGATCATGGGCGAGGTGTCGCGCATATCGTCGTCGTACTCGTCCTCGTCCAGCCGCGCCAGCCCGAGCGCCTCCTCGTTCTCGTACGCATTGAAGAGCACCGACGAGCCGCCACTGCCCCTCCTGCCGTGCCCAAACACCGCGGCACTGCGACCGCCAAAGCTCGTCCTGCCGTTGGCGAGGCTGCTCATGGTGCGCTGCTGGTCGAGCAGCCGTTCGTGCTGCTCCGACATGCGCGTCGTACCTTCGCCCGTGACGAGCGACATCCTCGGCTGCTGCGTGACCGGATCGACCATGCGGTTGAGGTTGAGCAGATACACGCCCGTAAAGATGACGATGAAGCCGCCGAGCAGCGACACGGCGGGTGCCGTGGTCGTGTTGAAGCCCTGGAAGAGCAGCACCGAGGCGAGGATGGTGGAGGTGGTGAAAAAGACGTAGTAGATCGGGTTGACCACGTTGGTCGAGAACTGATCGAGCGCCTTGTTGAAGTAGTTCATCTGTGTGAGGATGCAGACGACGACGACGATGGCAAAGCAGTAGGTGGACGGATGGCTGAACTGGTTGCTGCCGGCAAAGGTGAGCTTGAGCGCGACGCCGAGGCCCTTTACGCTCATGACCGAGATGGAGCCGACGAGGGAGCAGATGGAGATGTAGACGAGCGGCGTCTTGCGGCCGTACTTGGGCACCATGCGGAAGATCATGAAGAGCGAGAAGCCGAGCACAAACATGCAGTAGAGCATGAAGCCCGGCTGGAGCGCGTAGTTGAGCATCTCGTCGATGGTCTGGATCTCCTTGTCTTCGGGCGCGTTGACGACGATGATGACGGTGCCGACGAGGCAGAGCGTGCATCCGACCTTGCCGAGGCGGCCGAGCTCCTCTTTGAGGATGAAGGAGGCGAGGATGGCGCCGATGAGCACGCTGAGCGCACCGAGGGGCGTGACGAGGATGGGGGGTGCAAAGGTGTAGGCGGCAAAGTTGGCGACCTCGCCGACGATCATGGTGGCCATGCCGGCCCACCAGATGGGATTCTGGAGGTAGGTGTGACCGTCGGAGGCGAGGCCGTTGTGCCTATCGGCGGCGTCCATGAGGCCCTTTTTGGTGATGATGAAGCTGGTGCCGATGGCGAGCGAGCTGCTGATGGCGAGCGTGAGGCCGATCCACTTTTGTTGTGTGAGCGAGGATTGGTTGGTCGCAGCGGGCGTTGGCGTTTCTGGCGGCAGATAGCCGGGACGATCTATGGGAGCCGGAGCAGCGTAGCTTGCGGCCGTGCATATGAGCATGGCGATGGTTGCGGCCTGCAGCATGCGTTGCCGCAAAGCGGCTAGGGTCGTGCGAGACGTGAGCATCGGAAGAGGCCGTTCAGCGGGCGAGCAGCGACGTTGGAGGAGGCACGGAGGGTGAGAGCCGAGATGGTCCCGCAAGCTTTAGTTGACGTGGACAATGAACGATTAGACCGGAGATGAAGCGGTTAGGGTGGCTTTTCGTGATGCTTCCACTCGTTTCGTGATGATTGAAGGACAGCCTGGAGCAGGAGCGAGAGAAATGCAGGGATCGGCGTTGACGAACGTCTCCGCCAGCAGAGACACGGGCTGAGATGCGTAGAGGGAACGGCTCGGGGGATGCTTGAGGCGATGCGCGATGCGGTTGCAATGGTGGTGGCGTGATGGCGTGCGGAAACGTGAGTGGTGGAGAGGCAAAAGGTCCGGCGGCGGGGCGAGCAATTTGAAGCCTATCGAAGCCTATGGCGAAAAGTAAAGCTTCTAAGAGATGGCCAGACAGGGTCGAGGAAGCGTAGCAAGAAGGGCGGCGTCGGACTTGGACGAGCGGCGGCGGCGGCAGTGGAGTGCGAATTGCGTCGGGCCAACGGGGGGCGCGGGCACGTCGAGGCCGTGCTCGCTGCTGCTGCTGCTGCTGCTGCTGCTGCTGCTGCTGACTCTCTGACTCTCTAGCCCTGCAGCCGGCCAAGTGGCCAAGGGGCGGCAGGTGAGCCAGCGGCCGAGTCGCCTGCCTTTGCCCACTCACCCAAAATTACGCGTCGAGGCTGCCCTGCACTGCACTGCACGGAGGGGCCGACAGACGTGCATCCAGAGCTGCTGGCCGGGGATGTGCGAAATTCCGTGCGGTCGGCCGGCGTCCATGCAGGGCGTGCTGCTCCTCGCTCCCGTCTGTAACTTACCGAACGAGTTTGAGTATCGAAGAGGGGTCCGCCGCAGTCTTCATCACGAGCCAGGTATCGGGAGGATCCGAGCCAGCCGAGTCAAGCTCAAACTAGGCTGTGCCGACTCAGGACCGAAGCCGGGAATTTTGCCTGGCCGAGCTCCACGTCAGTGCGCTTCCTCGCCCATCTGCAAGACGGGCGACCCGAGCATGCGGGAGTGCCGCAGGTCAGAACCAAGCAGAGCCAACAAGCCTTCACCCTCAAGTCAGAAGGGTCCGCCCTCCAAACAAAGGGAGCGCGCCCATCCTGGCTTCGAGAGGGCGCTACGCGTAAAGCCTTACCAGCAGCTGCCGTTTAGAGCTCGAGTGGAGGCGAGCGCCGCTCCGCGTCCCGCCTTTGTCTCAGGTGCGGCAAGGCGGGCGAGCTCTCTTTGCCTTCGCGTTCGCTGCGCCTCAATCAGGAGCCTTGCCGGTCATCTTTCTTTTCGCCCTTGGGCGCACACCCTTCGAAAAGAGGATGCCAATTCGTCTGGCAAAAGAGTGTCGTGGGATGATCCCCACTCTTTTCTTGCAAGCTTCGCGCGACACGACGAAGGGCGCGCGTTTCGCGACGCTTTTCTTGCCCTTTGATGCGCGCGTGGCTCGACCAACACACGCAACTGAGACCCTGAAATCGGAATTTCGCCTCATGAGCTGCGCCTTCTGAAGTCACCACCACCAACTTGGCTCTGCTTTGGATTCAACAGCACCCGGCTCGAGTCGTCGTCTCTCATGTCGACATACGCAGAAAGAAGGAGCGCGCGGCATCCGCGCGGTCGCGATGCTCCGGCCTCGTCCAGTCGCCATCCAGCGCCATCCAGTCGACGCCGAGCTGCGGAAGAAGCTCCCGCTCCTGCTTCCCCCTCGACATCCGCCTCGACCTCGCCTGCACCGCAAAGCGATGAGGAAGATCAGGACTCGACGCATTCGCTGCGCCTCTTGCCGTACACACGGCTCACCGTGGGCGACGGCGCGCGAAGGGAAGCCGAAAAGCTGGGCGAGACCGAGGTGAAGAAAAAAGCCGCCGAGCTCGTCCGCTACGCGCTCGCATGCGAGTATCAACGCGTCCTCATCCGCAAGGACGACATCCGCAACAAGGTGTTGGAAAAGAGCGGCTCGCGCGCCTTTAGCGTCGTCTTTAACGCTGCGCAAAAGATGCTCCACAATACGTTTGGATTTCACATGGTCGAGGTGCGGCCCAGGGGCGCTGACAATGCCGAGCTGGCAAAGCAGGCCGAGCAGGTGCTGCGCGCGGCTGCATCGTCCGCAAACGGATTACGACCGCGCGGCCAGCGCGCCGAATCCGCAGAGCCCGCCGGAGACGGCTCGCTAGGAAGCAACATCTGGGTGCTCAGGTCGGCGCTGCCCTCCTCGATCAACAAGGCGCTCGTCAGCGTAGATCAAGGGCTTTCCAAGGCCTTTGCGCAGTCCACCTCGTCGGAGCCGTCCACATCCACACCGTCGAGGAGACGTTCGGCTGCAAACAATGCCAAGGCGGCGCTCGACTGGTCATCCGCCGACCACCAGACAGGAGAGATGGGTCTCCTCTACATCATCCTCGCCCTCATCCTCGTCAACGGCCGCACCATTTCAGAAGGTGAGTCACTCCAGCAAAGGGAACCCATACGCACGAGCATCCATGCTGACCTTGCCCTTCTGTGTTGCCTCTTCGACCAGCAACGCTGCACATGTACCTGCGGCGCATCCACCTCCATCCCGATACGCCGCTGCCGAGCGACCTGCGGGGCACTGGGCCCGCATTTGGCTCTTCTTCCGGTGCATCGCAGAGCACACAGACGCAATCGCGAGGTCGGTCTGTGCCTGGCACGCTGGAAGGCTTCCTGAACTCGATGGTCAAGCAGTCGTACCTCGAGCGTCAGCGCTCGGATGTGGCGGATGTCATGGATGCCGCCGTCACGCAGGCGCAGACGCAAGGCAGAAGGCGAGGCCGGACCAGCGGTGGCGGACGCGCTGGAGCCGACGAGGAGTCGATCGTGTGGGAGTGGCGGTGGGGAAGCCGTGCCGAGGCCGAGGTGGGCGAGAAGCGCATTGCGGAACTCATCTCTCAGCTCTTCCTGGATCCCACTGCCGCGCCTGATGGAGCCAGCGCCGCCGGTGCAAACGACGACGAAGACACGCAGGCCATCGATCGCGATCGCCTCGCCAAGCGTCGCAAGGTGCTGCTCGCCAACATCGCCTCGGTCGCCGGCTCCCAGCTTGTAGACTAGGGGTCCTACCAGAATGACAAGCGCCCGTCTACTGTGCTCGCGCACTAAAAAGCCTGACCATTGCATGACTAGCCACTGTCGATGCTGTGCCTGCAGCCTGGGCTGGCGTGCGTACAAAGAGCATTTGAGTGCAAGGTCGAGCTGCAGTGGAAGCGGCGGATTAAGGGGATCATGTTAGGCCGAATTGCTCGATTTTGGCAAGCCGCGTCGAAAGCCAAGCCAAAGCTGGCGCTGCGCTGCGCGTTGATTGGATGCAGGTGTGGGCACGCGCCTCGGAGCAGGGAAAGGGATGTGTTGGGTTGGGTCGGGCTTGGCTTTGCGTCGGGATGCGGCGCGGCTAAGGAGAAAGGCACACACACGGACTGCAGCTACGCGCCAAGCGTGCAGCTCGGCCAGGGACGCCCAGAAGAGGCGAGCGCTCGGTGCAGCCGTGATTCGCAGGGCTTTTCGAGTCAGAGCGTGGCAAGCGAGAACCGCACACGCGCCTCTTCCCACAGCCGGCATCCGATAGCAACGTGTTTGCAAGCCCGATCCAGTCCGGCCCGCGTTGCCTGGTGCAGCTCAAGGCCGTTCCATCTCGGAAGAGCAGCGGCGTCGTTGTCAACTGTCACAGGAGCTCCCCAACCCACCCCGCTCCTTCTCATTCACGCTCCAGCACCATCCGCAAGCTACGGCAACGTCCACATCACCTTGCGATCGTCATACAGGCAGTGACTCGGATCGCTTCGACTCTGCATCTGGCACTTCCTCGATCCAACCTAGTCAGCCGAAAAGCTTGGTAGTGACGCCGAATGTCGGCGGCGGTGCGCGCTGCTCTCGCCGCAAAGAGGGCCGAGCATCGTTCGCGCTCCTCTTCGCCGTCCAAACCGAGCACTCCGCTTCCCAGCGGAGACGACAGCGGCGACACCCTCACCAAGTCCAACCTCCTGCCGCACTTCGGCCGCGACCTCGATGCTTCCATTGCCAGCCCCTTTGGTTCGCCCAAGCCCACCTCCAGGCCCGGCTCGGCGGCTGCACAACGCAGCTCGGCCTCGTCAGCGCCCGACATGAATCTCAACCAAAAGTCCGAAGAGGACATCGTGCGTCTCAGCATACAAAACGGCAAGGTCAACCTCTCCTCCCGATCCCCGTCGCTCCAACAAGTTCCAGCGTTGCTCCTGTCTCTTCTCGCCGACGATCCTCCGTCTTGGTTCCTTCAGATCCCCGAGGATGATCGCCAGCCGTGGTACATGCGAGAGGAAGTGCACACCCTCCAGCTCAGCAACAACGAGCTCGCCTCTCTCCCAGAAAAGCTCGCCGAGTTCCGTGGCCTCAAGCGCCTCGAGCTCCACAGCAACAAGCTTCCCAGCCTCCCTCCCGCCTTCTTCCAACTCTCCGCCCTCACCACGCTTTCGCTCTCCAACAACGGCCTCACCTCTTTCCCGCACTGCCTGCTCGCCCTCGACAACCTCGTCACGCTCAACCTGTCGCACAACAAGATCCAGACGCTCTGGAAAGAGAGCGATGTCCAGTCGGCTCGTACTCAGCGCCAGGCTTGGGACAAGGAGAACCAGACGCAAGAGAACGGCGTCTGGGCTGGCCTCTCGCCCTCCAAAAAGGACCGCAAGCCGCTGACTGCCAATGCGGATCCCCTCAACGCACCCATGCGCGCGCTTCGATCGCTCGACCTCAGCCATAACCGCCTCTCCAACGCCGCTTTCGGCATCCCGGACCTTGCCAACCGTCGCAGCAAGTCCAGCCAGAATGCCCAAGCCGAGCAGACCGGCGTGATCTTGCTCCCCACAGCTCTCAAGACGCTCAATCTCGGCTACAACAGCATCCGCGCTCCCGTCTCGGTCTCTCTCTTCCAGAACCTGGCTGCACTGGAAGATCTTGGCTTGCAAGGTTGCGGCATCGGCGACGACGTCTTTACCTCCGAGGGTTCAGTCGGTGCATCCAAGGACGTCCTACCCAGTTTGTCTGTGCTCGACCTGTCTGGATGCGAGCTCGACGACCTGGTCAAGATCGAGAGCCTCTTTGGCTCGCAGCGCATCCAGTCCTTCGACCAGGCCATCGGTAACGTGGAAGCACCCAGCAAGCCACAGGAAGCGAGCGAACCAGCTCCAGGCTTTTCGACGCGCCAGCTCGTGCGCGTGCTCAACCGCCCCACCTCGGCCGACATCGACAAGATGCAGGACCGCTGCAACGCCAAGGTGCTGTGTCTTTTGCTTCAGGGCAACCCGCTTCGCGAGGAAGCTCTGCGTCAGAAACGCGGTGGTCGCTCGGCTGCGTCTCCCGAGAAGAAGGCTGCCTCGCCATTGCCATCCACTACCACGGCCTCGCGCGCCTCGCCAACTGATCCCACGACAGCCATCACCACCAACAGCAATGCAGCTGCCGCAACTGCCACCACTGTCGCTGCCACCACTGCCGCCACTGCTGCCGGAGCGTCCCAGCTGCCACCCAAGCCCAAGGTCGTCAAGGAGGACTGGGAGATCCTCGCCGAGTCTGGGCTCAACACCGAGCTCGGTCGGCGCAAGCTTCGCATCGAACAAGCACGACGCGAGCAGGAGGCTGCTGCTGCTGCTGCCGCCGCTGCCGCTGCTACTGCAGGGTCTGGATCCCCCACCAAGCCCGCCGACGAAGACTCGCAGCCACGAGGACGCAAGGCGCGCGCGGCCGACGAAGGCGTCAGCTCGGATCCTGACGCCGCGGGATCCGGAACCGACTCGCGCGAGCGCGGCGCGGCTGCTGGCATCGACGAGCTGGTGGACGACAAGGACTCTGGCAGCGCTTTGGCCAACGCCAAGCTGAGTTCCAAGAAGAAGGAAGCGCTCGGCCAGGTCCCGTGCAAGTTTTTTCGGAGTAATGGATGTTCGGCCGGCGCATCCTGTCCCTTTGCCCACACGCTCCCCGGAGATGGTGGGCAGAAGTCCGTTTGCCAGTGGTTTCTGAAGGGCAACTGCCGCTTCGGCCACAAGTGCGCCCTAGCCCACGTGCTGCCTGGCCAGCCCATGAGCATGGACCGCAAGAACAAGCGCGCTGCCCAGCACGGGCAGCCCCTCCCGCAGCCGCCCCAGCACGCCATGGCTGCCGGCGCCAATGTGGCTGGTCAGCCGCATCTGTCGCCGGCGGGGCAAGCCAAGAGCAACGCGCCCCGACAGGCTTCGTCGCAGCTCTCGCAGACGCAAGCTCAGGGGTCCAACGGTCCCCAGCAGGCACTGCCGACTCGCGCGGGTGTGGCGGGTCCGATGCCATCGCAGCTGCCAGTGCAAGGATCCAACCGCAACGCTTCGTTTGCATCGCGCGACCACGATCTGCCGTTTGGAATGCCAGAGGACTTGCATCCTGGCGGACCGACGGGCGGCGTGGCCAGCGCCGACAGGGCCGGCTTCGAGGGCGGTGCACTCGCGTCTGCCGCGGTGCCTGACGCGCCCATGTCGACGTCGTTCACGGGAAGCACCTCGTTCCAACGACCTGGCTCGCTGTCTCAGAGCCTGAGTGCGTCCTTGTCCGCGCCTCAGCCGTTTGGTGGCCTGGACTCGTCGGCTGCAGCTGCGGCGTTTGGAACGTCGGCCTCGGCTGCGCGCGTCTTCGGCTCGAGTCCGTTCAGCCATCCTGGCGGGCACTCGCTGTTCTTCAGCGGGAGCCAGGACTCGGAGGGTGGTGCTGGGCCGTTTGCGCGTTCCAACCGGGACACGTTCGGGGCGCGCAGTATGGGTCGTCTGGACGACGGTGCGGGTCTGTGGACCGGCATGCGCGGTGCGTCGTCGCAGTCGATCGGGCGCGGCGAGCGCGATGTAGAGGAGATCGAGGATGCCGAGGATTTTTTGCCGTCGAGTCTGTCGGACCTGCTGACGCCGGCGGAGCTGGAGCGCCGACGACGCAGCCACGGTCTGTCGAGCTCGTTTGCGGGCAAGGACGAGCGCGTGACGGTGGCGCAGAGCATGCCGTCGCACGCGGGCTACGGGTCGTCGCTCGGCTTTGGCAGGTCGGCTATCGGCGCCGAACGCGCCAAGGCCAGCAACATCGCCACGGGATTCCAGCAGCAAAAGCAGGGCGGGAGTGGGCTGGATGCCTATGCTTTTCGCGAGGGTGGCAGTTTGTCGAGCTCGGCCAGTCGGACGGCGGCACATGCGCCAGGTCAGAGTCTGCCACAGGGTCTGGCGGCCGGGTTGAGCCGCATGCATCTGCGCACCGGAGGCACCAGCGACACCGGGCTGGCAGATGGCGTGTTCGGGTCAGTAGGAGCGACCGAAAGGCCAGCGTTTGCATCGTCATTCTCGCAGAGCTCGCAGTCTGCACTTCGCGTACCGGGCAGTCTGGACGAGTTTGCCCTCGGCCCAACGGCACCCTCATCGGTGCTGCCGCACCGTAGTCCGTTGGGCTTCGCGGTGGGTGGTGGGGCAGCAGGCCGGTTGAGCGGGTCGTTTGCCGAGCGTCCGCTCAACGGCGCTGTTGGTTCACCGGGGAGTGCGGCGGGCTCGCCGTTTTCGCCGCCGCTGTCGGCGATTGGATCGCACCGCCAGCAGGCCGGCGAGGGCGGGATTGCGATTCCAGAGGGCAGCGCACACAAGCACGCCGCAGCGGTGGGGAGGTTCGCGCCTCATCCGGCAACGCAGCGGCTCAGGGCGGGAAGCTCGGCGGCCGCGCCGCACTCGCCACTCACCCTGCCCGTCGTCACGGCGGAAGAGGACGAGGAAGAGGCGATTTTCGAGCTCGAGTAGACCTTTCCCCCCCCCCCCCCCCCCCCACACACACACACGAAAAAAGGTGCATCGTTCAAGATGCTGGTTGTTTTGGCGCAGATTCTTCCAACGTGGGAAAATGGTGCAAGATCGTGTCATTAGTGAGGAGAAGAGGGGGAGGTACAGTGTGTTTTGATTGGTAGGGCGATTTAGGATTGGCGAGCGGCGTTGATGGCGTCTCGAAGTTCCTGGCTGATGTAGAGATCTTCTGCGAGGTCGTTCACGTCTGTGGTTTCATCCACGTTGAACTTGTGTAGGTCGTTGTTGGTGAACCCCTTTTCGCGGAGGTACAACTCGTCGACGAGGAACTTTCCCGTAAAGCTCTCGGCGGTTTCCTCTACGATGCGGGCAGCTGCTTGGGCAACGATGGCTGGGTTGCGCCACTTGCGTTCCTGGACGCTCGCGTCTTTACTGACGATCTTCATTGCGCTTGTGGCGATGAGCGTGTACGGCCAGAGCGAATTGACCGCCACTTTGCCTGTGGTTTCGGCGGCAAGGGCTAGGGTGAGGAGGGACATTCCGAACTTGGCGATGGTGTATGCACTTGCCGTTTGCGCAAACTGGTACGGAAAGATGGCGGGTGGATCTTTCTGGCCAATAGTCGTTGAGAGCGTGTTGAAGTTGAGCGGGGGTGAGAGGGTAAGGATGTGGGGATTGTTACCCTTTGCGGCGGAGGTGAGGAGGTGGGGTAGGGCGAATCGAGAGACGAGCCAGGATCCTCGTGCGTTGATACCGTTCATCAAGTCGTAACTCTTGACCGCTGCATCCTTGGTCGGAGTCATGTTGATCGCACTAGCGTTGTTGATCACCATATCCAACCCGCCGAATTTGTCGGCAACCGCGTTGATCGCGGATTCGACCGCAGTGGCATCGCGAATGTCCAGCTGGACAGGATGAGCTTTGGCGCCAGAGCCGGCTTTGTCCGCTTCGGCAGCGATCTCGTCGCAGGCAGTGTAGATCGTCCCGGGCAGTTTGGGATGCGGCGTGGCGGTTTTGGCGGCGATGACAACGTTGGCACCGCGCGAGGCGAGGCACTTGCCGATCTCCAGTCCGATCCCCCGTGATCCGCCCGTGATGAAGGCCGTACGTCCCGCTAGCGATCCCACCATCTTCGAAACAGCAACGATAGAGAATGTCAAGGATGGTGGAGCGAATGGTGGAGGCCGATGCGGGGTTTTTAACAACAATGCACCAGTGAGCCTTCGGTGAGCGCTCGGCTCGGAAGCAACACTGCGGACCGCAAGGTGGGAACCGCAAGCGCGCTCGACCGCGGTTGAACAAGCGGTCGCCACTCCCATCCCAACCGGGCAGACGCGCGGGGTGATGCGACTGAAATGTTTTGGCTCGTGAAATGCCCGTTCCCACTCACCCGCATGCCAACGAGCCGGCAGAACTGGACCCTGGCCTCAAGCGCACCGGTCACCACCACCCCGCACAACCGCACTGCAATCGCATCTATCGCATCTATCGCAACACTGCAAATTATCCGCAGCCCGAATGCTGGTGTGCAGCCAAGCCGAAGGTGTGTGGTACCGCTGCTGCCGGATATGCCTGCGCAACATGCGAGTACGGAGCCGCAAGCTGCTGTGCCTGGTGCTCGCGAAACGCCCTCAGCCGATCTCGGAGCGTGGCATCGAGCACATGATCCGACTTGAGCTGGTTGCCCAGCGTCATCCAGCCCCTGCGCACGTTGTGCCGTCTTCCAAACAGCTCCACCTTGCGACCGCCCGGACAGAGCCGTTCGATCATGGCGTACAGCTCGTCGGGCTTGCGCGAGGTATCGCGCACCTCGGACACGATCACGTCCGCATTAAGGCCGCGGTGCATCCACTCGGGCAGCGGAGGCGGCACTCCCGCCGCCCTACTCCCGACATAGCGCTGCGACGACCCCGCAATGGGCGCGCTGGCAACATCCGCATCGTCGCAGCGCAACTTGGCGCCAACAAGGCAGTGCTCCTTGGTGTGGTTGAGATGGTGTCCCGTGCGGCCGGTGCGGATGAGTCGTTGGGTCTGACCGACCTTGACCCAGATGAGCTCGTCGATGCGTGTATATCCCCAGTGCGCGAGCAGTTCGCGCCCGAGCTCCATCGCTCGCCCCGTCACCCACAGAAACAGCAGCCCCTCGTCCTGCAGCACGGGCACCGGCATGGCGCGCATGTCGTCGTCGCTCATCGTGCCGTACGGCAGCGACATGTGGATGTCCCACGGCGGATCGGCGAGGATGACATCAAACTTGCCCAACATCGTGTAGTCGAACTGCTTGAGGTCGCAGTCGATCCACTGCGCCTCCTGCTGCGCCCCATCGCCGCGGACCCACTCGCCGAATCCGTTCTCGAGCAGCGTGCGCCGCGGATGGATGAGCCCGATCTCGCGCGCCTCGTCCGAGTCCGGCCCGTACGCATGGCGTGCATTGGTGGTGGAGAAGACAAACGGCGCCTGTGGAGGGTCCGTGTCGAGCTCAAAGTGGAGGTACTTGCACGAGGCGGTGCGGTGGCACGTGTTGAGGTAGCTGCAGTGGCCGTACGCCGCATCGGTGTGCGGGTAGACGATGGGCTTGAAGTGCAGCTTCTGGCAGCTGGCAGCATCGGGACAGTCGGCACGCGTGAGGTGCAGGCAAAACTCTTGGTGGCGGTTGTCGGTGCTCTTCATGAGCCGCGTCAGCAGCTGCTGCTTGGCGGTGGGCGCCGAGAGAAACGCCGTCGTGATCGCCTCGACCGCTGCGTCGTCGGTGAGCCCATCGTCGGTCATTATGTGCTCGATCGCAGGGTGGTTGACGTTCAGATCATGGCCGTCGGAAGCCAGCGAGGTCGCCGTGTGGGTGATGAGCCGATGACAAGGTGCGAAGGTGGTGGGCAGAATGGGTGGGGCCGAATCAAGACCCTGAAATCCCACTTTTTCCTCCACAGAGCAAGGCGCGCGTGATTCTACCGCGCGAGAGCGTCAGCCGCCTCTTTCGGTGGGGCTCCGGCTGAAGAAGCGGCTCGCTCGACCGGTAAAGTCTGCCTCGCTCGCCCGGCCCGCTTTGCCCACTCTCTCCACTCTCCTCTCTCCACTCTCCACTCTCCACTCTCACGCACGGTCGCTTCCACCTTGCTTCAGATCCTTAATCTGCCACCAAGCCCTCGACTGTGCTCATGCCGGTACCGGACATTGCCGCGGCGGCTGCGCCAGCTGATCTGTCGCTGTCGCAGTCCATGTCTGCGTCTGCTTCAGAGCTCAAACGGCCGGCTTCGGCCGCATCGTCGCTCGACGACAGCCAGACGCTCTCGCGCACCAAGGCTGCCAAGTCGCACTATGCCAGAGCCGCACGCGCCTTTCTCGCCAAGGACCTGCCCACCGCGCTGGTGCAGAGCCAGCTGGCGGCCGACCTGATCTCGGCGTCGAATCAGCTGGGCAGTAGCCTGACCGCCTCGTCGTTCCTCAACGATGCCGACCTGGACGTCCAGAAGCTCGTGGAAAAGATCGCCGTGCTTCGACTCACGGTGTTCACGCAGGTGTATACCGATCAACGCACCTTGGCTAGCGTCACCGACGCCCTCACGCAGGCCAAGCAGAAAGCCGGCTCGGACGGTGCAGCGATGGATCGGGTGGCGTTGCTGCTTTCCAAGCAGCCGCTGAGCCTGATCAGCCACCTGTGGTTCGAGGCACTCCGACTGTGCTCGCACACATCCAGCGACGCGGATGCGCCTTCGCTCGACCCGACGCCCGAGACGATCCACCTGGCGATTGAACTGCCGGCGTCGGTAGTGTCGTCTGCGGTGCTGGCAGCGCTGAGGCTGGACGCTCTCGAGCCCGCCACGCGCACCGGCACCAATGCGGCACGCCTGATCGCCGAGTGGTATCTAGCGTCGTTTTCGTCGGCGTTCGGCGCCGCGCCGCCCACGCCCAGGGCAGCGGCTGCGTACGAGAACATCGTGGGGCTCTACTCGCTGCACGTGCTCGCTTCGCGGCTGGGCGAGTGGGAGTATGCGCGCGAGTTTGTGGGCTACTCGAGTCTGGCCGAATCGGTCAAGTTTGGGCTGCTGGAGCAGATCGGCGAAGCGCAGGCGCATCTCACGGCGCAGACGCAGCGCGAGCAGGACGCCATCGCCAGCGCCCAGAAGGCCTACACCGAAGAAAAGCACAAGCGTGCCGAGGAAGACAAGCAGGCAAAGCAGGCGGCGGCGGCGGCGGCTGCCGCCAACACGACCAGCAAAGGCGCGAGCAAGGCCGCCAGCAAGGCACGCGATATCGCATCGGGCATCGGCAACTTCCTGTCCAGCAAGACGGACTCGGGCGCTCAGGATTCGGCTCAGTCGTCGCCGCTGGCGTCGGGCACGGTGGCGGAGACAGGCGGATCGTCGCATCGAAAGCGAAGCCAGTCGCCCACGTACTTTTCGCCGCGCAACGGTGCGGGCGAGTCGAGCTCTTCGTCGTCGACGAGCCCCGCCATTTCGCCTGGTTCGACTCGCAGCGCCGAGGGCTCGAGCAAGGCGACGTCGACTGCCTCGGGTATGGAGGAAGAGGCCAAGTCGGCACGTCGGTCGATGCGTCGATCGAGCTCGTCGCGCTCGTCGGACGCGGGCAACGAGAGCAGCACGTCGGCGGCATCGAACCACTCGCGCCGGTCGGTGCGCAAAGAGGCGCGCGAGGCACGCGAGACCAAGGAGACGCGCTTCAAGGACGACGCCGGCTACGCTTCGACGCGCGCGCACCTGTCTCGCTACATCGAGGGCGACCATCGCCAGGCGGGCTCGTCATCGTCTCGGCGCGACCCCGTGCGTGGTGGGGCGTCGAGCTCGTCGTCGCTGCTCTCGACGCTCACGGCCATGTTTGACTGGCGCAAGTCGAGTCAGCCGCGCACGTGGCTCATGTCGGCGATCGTCATGATGCTGGTGTTCTACCGCGTGGTGCGCAGGACGCCTGCATCGGTCAGTGCTACGACGACACGACGAAACGCAGCGGTGCGCGAGACGCGCAACAAGCTCGTCGGGCGCACTTCGGGCGGTGCATCGGCAGGCAGCGGCGTGCTGGGCTTCAACTGGATCCTGCTCGTGTGGAACAAGGTGCTCGCCACCATCAAGATGTAAGTTCCTACCACGCCGAGACAACATGAGTACTGTATGCTGACATTCGGCTTGGGTTTTGGCGTGTAGGGGTACGCAGGTGACGTATCTGTGAGAATCAAAGCAGCAGAGGCTGGATGAGTGCAGCATGCATGCCATAGTGGTATCGGCGATTGATGTGGATGTGGAATCGGCGATGGGTGGGTGAGGCGGGCGCATGGATTCAAAGGGGACGAGCCGAAGCCGAGGCGGCGTGAGCCAAGTCCGAGAGGGGTTGGGCAAGATGCCGAGCGTACACGCGTCTAGGCATGCTGGGCGTGACAGCAGAGCAAAGAGCCAAACCAACCCTTGGTCGACGTGTTTTTTTTTTTTTTTTGTTTAGGAAAATCGGTGGTGGCTGCAGCATTGCCAATGCAGCATCGCCGCACCCGCTTGGATCGCCCTCGTCGTGATCACAGGGGCATCCTTCTCCTAATGGCAGCATGAAAGACAAAAGCCGAGCGTTTGATGAAACCATACGCAGACGCCCACCTTTGTAGATATGAGGGGCCAAGCCGACGTGCCGAGTGTCCAAGTGTCAAAGGGAAAGACAAGTGTGTGGGTGCAAGGGTGGGTTGCAATCGCTGCAGGTGCCAAAGACGCCATGCGTTGCGCTGCGAGAGGGCGGCAGGTCGGCGCGTCGACTCGGCGTGCGTTGGATGGCCAGCAGGGCGACGCTGCAGCTCGAAACGCAGCTCGAAATGCAGCTCCAATGCAGCTCCAATGCATGAGCGCGAACCCACGCTGTCAGGCCGATTCAATTTGGCACGCCGCGAGCCGCTTCACGCTTTACAGTGACTTGGCTGCTGCGCTCCTCTGCTGGCTCCCCTCGGCTCTGTCGCTCTGTCTCTCTGTCTCTTTGTCTCTCTCATGCCCGCGCTTCGGCCCTTCTTGGGCGTCTCGCTGTTGCAATTTTGGGCGGCTTCCACACCACCATCATCCCCTGCCTTCTTCTTCCTTCACTCCACCTTCACTCCACCATCGCACTCCTCATCCCGCGCAGCTTCGGCTCCCATCCACTTTGTCTCGGATTGCATCTTCCTCCCTGCCCCCGGTTTTCCAGTTCGCTCCTTGTTTCGGCAGTGCCCACATTCGTTTGAAGCCCGTATTGCATCCACAGATCGCTGGACGTCCCAAATACTACATCGACTCCAAAGCATACGCAGCCAGCAGCCCGCCCAGCATACCCACAATAGCGTGCTTTTCTTGTCCTGCTTTCGAATCGATCCTCTTGCTAGGAGTAGCTCAGATCCTCGCGCATCCGCCCTGCCACTGCGCGCCATTTGCTCAGTCTATATCGCGAGCAGCCGTCCGCCAACGCACTGTCCCCCCTTTGCAACGCCAAATCTGCAGTAAGCCGTCCGACACGCGCGATCCATAGACGGCACAGGCACATCCTGGAGCTCCACGCCGTCTCTCCTCCACAATGGCGTTCCACGACGACATGCCAAAAGGCTTCGTAAAGCATGTTGTCCGTCGCGCCAACCTCGCTGCCAGGGCCACCGCGTCCGCCACACAGTCGCTCGCCAGCGGCGCCACCAAGTCCGGCTCCGCAGACCCAAAAAAGACCTCCTCCATTGCAGAGCAGACTTCGAGTCTCGAGGCGCCTGTGGTCGCCATCATCCTCGGTGGATTCCTAGGCACCTTCCTCCTCTTTGTCCTCATCGGCATCACCTGCAAGTTCGTCAACCGCCCACGCGCCGATCCACGCCCACAGCACCACTCAAAAGGCATGTTCCAGCCTTCCGCAGCTGGCTACGGCTCCGCCGCTGCCACGCTCGGCGCCAACTACCGCGGCAACGAATCGATGCACGACGTCTCCAATCCAAAAGCTGGCCTTCTCGACTCGGCCCAGCCCATGGGCAGAGGTGGGCGTTACGACGAAGGCGACAGCTCGCTCGGCAGCTCCAATGGCTACGGCAACGGCGCGCCCGGTCCCAACGGCGGCTTTGGCATGATCCCCAGCAATAGCGCAGGCAGCTTCAGTGGAGACGACTCGCATCGCTTCGGCGCTCCTAGGAACGGCCATGCCCGCGGCGCCAGCAGCGGTATCGAGCTGCCCGGTCCCGCCGCCTCCGCTGCATTCCGCCGCAACGTCAGCGGCTCCCATCCTCCACTCCACGCCGCGGCCGACGATTCCTACGACGCGCCCCACTCGGCCAACGCTCTCATCCCCGCATCATCCGTACTGCCAGACGGCTCCGGATTCACGCCCGGCCAGATCTTTGACCACAACGCCATCAACGGCGGCGCACCGTCCGAAATGCGCGAGGCCCGCAACAGCTATCTTGGAGGACCGCCCGCCGGAGTCTTGCCCCGACGCGGCAGCCTGGCGCAGCACAATCCGCAGCAGAGGTCGTTTGCACGCGGGCCACCACCAGCCACGTCCAAGAATCGACGCTCGCGCTACGGCCAACCGCATCTCGGCTCTTCCAACGATACCGCCGCATCACGACGCAGTCGCATCGACAGTATCGGTCCAGGCACCTATAGGAAATCCATGTTCCTGCAGCAGGATCAAGACGCCATGCCGGGCAGCGAGTACGCAGGTGGGTCCAACATGCGCCGCACCACGTCCAACAACACGGACCGAGCCGGTGCCGGCGCGTCAAGGCAGCTGCGCCGGGTGGACAGCGTAGGCAAGGGCGACGCGCGCAGGACAAGCAGGTTCCAGGCCAACAATCGCACGAGCCGCATGCACTCGATCATGATGGCCGATGACCACGACGCACTCTCGCCCACCAGCCCCACCAGTCCCACCGGATACAGGGACGGCCTGCCGCCCACCGGCGGCGACTACCTGTCTGCGGCGGAGGGTATGGGGTGGAGTGGCGGCAGGAGGTCGCCGTACAGCGGCAGCTCCAACGGCCCCACGAGTCCGTTGGGGCCGTTGGGCCCGCACGATCCCATGCCGCAGCAGCCAGGCGGCGGTGTGCGCATGATGCCCTACGGCGCTGGATTCGGCGCACCCATGCCCAGGCCAGCCATGGCCACCACCCAGATGTCGTCGCCCAGCTCGTTTGCACCCGCAGCACCACTCGGCGCAGGATTGGGCCGCGGCATGGAAGCCAGCTCACATGCTGCTGCAAGACAGATCTTGTAGTCCCATTGACGGTTCTGTAATCGGGCGCGCTGTTCGTCGCAATGCATCTTTTGTCACCGCGAATGCCGACTGCATATTGTGTGCGGGTCGGGGAAAATGAGGGTGTTTTTGTGAAATGGAAACGATGTGAGTGGGTGGGAATTTTGGGCTGACCCCACATGCCGAGATCTGAGCAACATGCGCTTCCCACCGTCTCCCCACCACTCGGCGCAGCAACAGCCACACACACCAGCTTGGCACGCTTCAGACATAGTCAACAGCGCTTCGACTTGGCGGCAACTCGGATACCGTGGCGTCTTATATTCGGTCGCCACCTCGCCACCCCGCCCACATTGTACGACACCTCTCGCGGGCATCGCACCATGGCGGCAGTCTAACCGCCACCACTTGCTCAGGAAGTGCTCTCGGACCATGTCACGCGCTGCGTCTCCCGTCGACGATGCGGTGGAGCTGCTGCGCTCGCCTGCGCCCAACGAGGCTGCGCTGATCGCCGACGATGCGGTCGCTTCTGGTTGCTACCGCCGCGCATCGCTCAGTCCGGCCGACTCGCTTCGCAGCGTCACCGCCACCTCGCCGCTCAGTTCACCTGCCGACGAGACCGAACCGCACAGAGGCGGACGCAGGAACCTCTTACGCTCGGGAACTAGTGGGTCTATCACTCCTCTATCCGCCACTAGCCCAGATCCATCCCCCAGTCCCACTGCTTCCATGGACACACCTGCACCAACCCCCCATGCTGCAGCTTCTGCGACCAACCGCCGTGCTACGGAGGCCTCGACATCGTCGCGCACCGATGCGCTCTTGGTCGTGGCAACGCCGGCGGAAGAGATGTTTCGCTCGCCGTCGCAGCAGAGCGCCGCTTCGGACGCAGATGGATACTTTACCGCACGGCCAGGCTCCCCCTCCGATGCAGCTGATCTTTTCGCGCTCGCACGGACAAGGAGTGCGTTGAGGCGCGAGCGCGTCTCGTGGAGCGGGCGTTCATACGCCACGTGCTCTTCCTCAATCCACCCGGACCCCATTGACGCCGACCTCGCAGCAGCATCAGCAACGCTCACGCTCGACGATGAGGCGTGCTACGTGGATGCAGACCCGCTCTCGCCCACCGACAAGGCCGCACTCGCCCGTCGCGCTGGCGTCGACTTTCTCTCGCATCTTCCGCCTGAGCTCGCGCTGTGCATCCTATTCATGCTCGATTCGCACGTGGATCTGCTCGCTGCGGCGGGGGTGTCGAAGCGCTGGCGCGCGATTGCGATGGATCAGGCCGTCTGGCGCAGCTTGTTCTTCAGCCGGCCGGGGTGGGCGATTCGCGAAGATGCACCCATGGTGTTGCAGCACCAGGCGGAGCTCAAGCGGATCGAGGCGCATGCTAGACGCACCGCAGCGCGCGAAGAGGCAGAACGCCCACGCAGGCTACAGGAACAGCGCAAAGCCGCATCGACGTCCAGCCCCTACCTCGACAGACTCGCCGCACTCAAGAGCTGGCGAGAGACACTGCACATTCCGTCGTTCCCGCTGGCGGGCCTCAGCCTCGGCACCACCGAAGAATCCAGCAGGAGGCGCGGCGAGGCGGTTTCGCCCAGCAGTGTGGCAGCACCTATGAGTCCGTTGCGCTCGCCCACGGCCGCAACAGGAAGGTTTGGGCTGTTCCTTAGTCCCGCAAGGCCGGCGCCTTCGACTCCGGCGGGCGCAAGGCGCGCACAGGAAGCCGCTGCCAGCTCGTACTTTGCACACGATGCGCCCATGTCCCGCCAACCCAGCGCGAACTCCACTGCCGCGGGGACGGATGCAAACAGCTCACGACGCCACTCGCTCGACTCGAACTTCGCCGAAGTCGCCGAGGCCGAGGAGTTCTTTGCGGCGTCGCTCAACTGGACGCGGCTGTATCGCGATCGGCACGTGCTGGAGCAGCGTTGGTTGCGCGGTCACGAGCCGTCGCGCACCGATGCGACGGTCGACTCTACAGCGCGAGTCACAAAGATGTTTGAGCCGAGTAAGCGGTTCCTGCGCGGCCACCAGGACTCGGTGTACTGCATCCGCCAGGACGACGGCGTTGGCACAGGCACGGCCGGCAAGCTCGTCTCGGGCTCGAGAGACCGCACGATCCGGGTGTGGGACGTCGAGAGCGGGGCGTGTAAGCATGTGCTGCAGGGCCATACGGCGTCAGTGCTGTCGCTGCAGTACGACGATGCGATCCTCGTGTCGGTCAGCTCGGACGCCCAGGTGTTCGTGTGGGACTTTGCAGCCATCCTCGCCACGCCACCCGCACCCCCCACCACCGAGACGGAGGTCGAGGCGCTGGTGCACGACAAGCGCGATCGGCTCCACTGCGTGCTGCGCGACCACACATCCGCCGTGCTCGACGTCGTGTTTAGCACAGACTGGATCGTGACCGGATCGAAAGACACCACGGTGCGCGTATGGCGTCGCTGCGATGTAGTTGCGCACGAACAGGCGCCCGTGGCGTATCGAAAGTTCTCGCACACGGGACCGGTGAATGCGGTGGATCTGCAGGGGAACCGTGTGGTGTCGGCGTCCGGAGAGGGTTCGATGTTCCTGTGGGATCTCGAGTCGGGCGACAAACTGCATACGTTCAGCGGACATACCAAGGGGCTGGCGTGCATCGTGTTCAAGGGAACCACGCTCGTCAGTGGGTCGAACGACCAGACGATCAGGGTGTGGGATACGCTGAGTGGTGCGTGTACGCATGTGCTCGGCGAACACCACATGCTCGTTCGTACTGTTGCGTACTGTCCGATCCGCAACCTCGTCGTCTCGGGCGGCTACGACCGCATGATCAAGCTCTGGCACATTGGCCACCCATCCTCCCGCTCTGAGCCATCGAACGCCGACCACCCGCGAGAGGAGATCTCGGCACATGCTCAAGACGGCACGGAAGATGCGCAAGAGGCAGAGCAGAGCGAGTCGCGGCCGAGTGCGGCGGCGCTGGGCACGTGTTTGAGAGACTTGCGATGTCATCGTGCGCGCATCTTTGACGTCGACTTCAACACGACACGCATCGTGTCGGCGAGCGAGGACCATCTCATCTGCATCACGCATTTTGGCGGCAAGGGCATCGACGCCTCGCTCTTCGCGTAGCCGTCGCAATCGACACATTCCCCTATCTATGCTTTGGTTGTGTGTGCAAGCTTTGTCGTGTGGCAGTCTGCATTGAGGATCAGTGGAGGCGGGAGAAAATGCGGTACGAATGTTAAGCTGATCGCGCACAGTCCGTGCCGTCACGCAGGCATTTCTTCTCGGCGCAAGACAATCCAGCTTGCAGCCGGACCATCATCGTTTCTCGAGTTCTTACAGGCGCAACATGTCGATGGACTCGCTTCCCTCGGAGCTGTCTCGATCAGCTACGGTGTCCTGCTCGTCGGCGGGGGCTTCACCGCTGACGCCTTTGCAGCGTCAGGAGATCGTTTCGGCCGCACAGACGTTCGTGCAGCGTGCATTTGCCGCGCACGATCCGTCGCACGACTTCCACCACATCCACCGCGTGCGCCTGCTCGCACTCGCCCTCACGCGCTCACCCGAACTTCCCACCCTCGACATGCTCGTCGTCGAGCTCGGGGCGCTGTTCCACGACCTGACCGACGCCAAGTACACCTCCTCCTCCTCCACGCCCTCTTCGGTGCTAGCTCCATTCTGGTCATCACTCCGCGTCCGTCCCAGCCCCGAGCAAATTGCGCTGGTCGAAAAGATCGTGGGCAACGTATCGTGGAGCAAAGACGTTCGGCGTCGGGCGCAGGCGGTGGAGCATCTGAGTGCCGCCGACCTGGCGCTGCGCGAGTGGCTAGAGTCGTGCAGAGAGTTCTGGTGTGTCTCGGACGCCGACCGTCTTGATTCGATCGGCAGTATTGGGGTTATGCGATGTGCAGCGTACAGCGCCAAATGCAATCGTCCGCTGTATGTGCCCCCCAACAATGCGCAGATGGACCCGAAACCCCCGGCGGAGCAGGCAGAGGGGTATAACGGTTCCGCCATCGCGCACTTTTACGAGAAACTGCTCAACATCAAGGACGACCGACTCTACACCCAAGCAGCACGTATCGAGGCAGAGCGAAGACAAACAGCGATGAGGAGCTTTATGCAGGAACTCGATCTCGAGTGGATGGTCGCGGCTCAGGGAGCCGAACTCGCCACGCTGGAACAGCAACAGCGCGACCAAGAGACCGCATCACTAGATTCGCAATGATACACGCGCTACACGCCGTTCCAACCGAGCTCCGTGCGCACTCCGAGGTGTGTGACGTCCGCAGCGGGCGTGTCGTCGATGCACACCACAAGTTTGTGCGCCCGCGGCGCCTTGCCCTCCCTGAGCATCTCGAGACCCGTCCTGCCCACACACGCAAAGAACATCAGCTTCTCACTCTCCGTTCGCCTTGGTTGGGGGGCGCAACATACCTGATGCCAGCGAGACCGTCGGGAAGCACATGCGGCCGACACGGCTGTAGCTTCCTCGCCTCTAGCAGGCTTGTGAGATACTCGAGGACGTGTGCGGCGAATACGCCGTCGGGATGGTAGAAGGTGGTGGAAAACGAGATGCGGTGCACCGTCACACCCTCCGCTGTAGCCTTGGGATTCCCAGCCAGTGCGATCAGCTGTGCCGGCGTGCCGGCGTGGGAGAGGGCGCGCAGACATACGTCGGCCGTGGAGGAGGAGACGCAGTCCATGGCATAGCGCAACTTGCCTCCTCGCGCCGAGAGCTCGGCGGAGATGTTGTCGAGGATCGCCGATGTGGGTTGATGGCGGTCGACGCATACGCTCACGCCGAGAGAGCGAAGGTACTCAAAGTTGTCCTGCGATGCGACGGCCACTACGCGCACACCGCTTGCGCGCGCCAGCTGCGCAGCATACAACCCCGTCACCGCACCCCCACCGTAGATCCTGAACACCAAAACGTCAGCCGTCGTCTTCTCGCATATGTCGAGGGGGGAGGGGACTTACAAGATCCAATCATCGTCGCTGATGTGGAGCGAGTCCAGCTGGTCCTCCAACCCCTTATTTACGGGGTTGCATCGCAGCTTGAAGAACGCAAACAGTGCAACAGCAGCGGTGACGAGTCCCGTTCCAAGCGTAGCCGCCTCCTGGTCCGGGATATGGTCTGGGAGTTTGGCGAGCGTCTGCGTATTGTGCACCGAGAAGCGCTGGTAGCCGCCGGCGCGCATGTGTCTGGAATCGGCACACGTCCAGACGCGATCGCCCACCTTCCACCCCGCGGCGTTGTTCTGCGGAGGCTGGACGATCTCTGCGGCGATATCGCGGCCGAGAATCCAGGGAAAAGCGGGAATGCCAAAGTTGTACGAGACCGATTTCCAGTCGACCGGATTGAGGCCCACGGCGATATTGCGCACCACGGCCTCGTCGGCACCTGCGGTGGGGAGGCGGTGCGCAGAAAGCTCGAACGACAAACTCCACCCCTGCGAGCACGAACGCACGAGCAGCGCCTCACTCTCCTCGCCCTCCACCGGCTCCCCCGGCGTCGAGGGAGATGAAGAKGAGGAGGAGCAGGAGGATGGTCGCAGAGGCGGAGATGAGTCCGTGTCGATCCACCCAGCTCCGAGGCATACGTCGTGCGTCGAGGGTGAGAGGAGGAGCAGTGCTGCTGCCCGCTCTGCGGGGGTGTGGATAGGGTACAGAGAGGTGAGATCCGTGTCCGAATGCTTGGAGTGCATACTGCCCGCAAAGGGCGAGCGCACCAGCTCTGCATCGATGATCTCGAGCGCCGCCATGTCGATAAAGATGGTGGCTACAACCAAAGCGGATGTTGATCGTGCAAGAAGGATCGAGAGGTGGAGCAAAGAATCGCTCGGCAGTCACAAGCGGCGAACGGATCTCTATCCCTCCCCGACTTGAGCATACGACCGACCCAGTGGACCGTATTTTGCCGTCGACTTTTTCACGCTAGCAGCTCGCCGTGACATCAGTAAGCTTTCCTTCCCACACGGCGGTGGGGCCAGTGGCACGCTGCTCTCTGAGGGGGGCACAGATGCGATCGCGTGACAGCCCCGTAGCCGTGTGAATTGGAGCCCGATACGCAAAGAGTTGCAGAGCATGTCTGATTCTGCGCTTGAGTGTGGGGTGCGTGATTGCGGAAGCGAGCGGATGGACGGGGTGCGGATTGTGGATTGCGGAGCGCCGAGGGTGGATGGCGAGCGAGCACGTCAGCGCGGCTTCGGCTGTCAGAAAAGTGCCCAAATGCGCGCGCGCGCCCGTTGGGTTCGGCGCTAAAACGTGCGCTCGCCCAGATCTCGCCGCCATCTCACGCCATCCGACTCGACGCTAAGGAATGACGCTCGCCCTTCCCCGTCGCCATTGTACCATCGCATCGCGCTGCCCCATCAACACAGTGGCAGAGCGCGAACAGTGTCGGATCGCGCGAGTGGGTCTCTGCCAGCACTGTCCAGGCACGAGATGCCCAAATCGCGGCTCATCACCCCCGTGGCAAGCCCTGGCACGCGGCACCAGGCGGCTCATGCGGATCAATGGTGCACTGCAATCTTCTGAGATTGACCCTGATTGTGGACGTGGTGCCAATGGATAGAGCTTGCAAGCAAACGGTGCAGGTTGCCCCGAGCGCATGTGTCCGGGCGAAGGACCCCTTACCGCCCAAACGAGTCCCCTTGCGAGATCTTGCCAGGGGGTATATATCGGCGCCAAATCTCGTCTGTCCATCGCTGTTGCGACTCGTGATTGCTACAACTGCCCCCTGAGAGACAGTACTCGACCACCTCATCTCATACAGCTCCCCCCGCCAACTCCGCTTCGACAGACACCATGGCTCCGACCGCAACCGTAGCTTCGGGCGACACCAACGCAGCACCGGCTGCTGTCAAGGGCGCCTCTCGCATCCAGCCCGACCCCGAGGTGGTGCAGTACCCCAAGTTCGACAAGGATCCCGTGACGCCCGAGGAGGTCTTCGCGCGAGCTGCTCAAGTGTCCGAGCTGCTGCACGAGGACGAGGCGATCCGCGACCGCGGCAACGTCGTGCCCTACCGCCAAGTGCAGCTGCTCAAGGATGCGGGTCTGGTGACCATCCTTGGGCCCAAGTCCGCGGGTGGTGCGGGCCTGACGTGGAAGGAGGCGTACGAGGTGATCCGCATCATTGCACGCGGCGATGGCTCGCTCGGCCAGCTGATCGGCTACCACTATCTGTGGTCGTGGGCCGGTGCACTGGTGGGAACCGACGAGCAGCGAACCCGGTTCGAGGAGTGGATCACCAAGAACAAGTACTTTGTCGGCGGTGCGGTCAATCCTCGCGATGCCGATCTCAAGGTTCAACAGGACCCCAACGATGCCGACAAGCTCGTGTTCAATGGCAAAAAGACCTTCTCGACCGGAAGCAAGATTTCGGACGTGACGATTCTCGAGGGCTCGCTTCCCGAAGGTGGTCACGTCTTTGCGGCTGTGCTTAGCAAGCAGGCTGGGATCGTGTATGGCGATGAGTGGGTCGACACGCTCGGCATGCGCGGTACGCAGAGTGGTGGTATCAGCATCACCAATGTCGTCGTGTCGTGGTCGGATGCGCTCGGCTTTGTCAACAAACAGTTCCAGCCGATCGGAGCGTACAACACGCTCAACCTGCCCCAGATCCAGCTGGTCTTTACCTCGTTCTACCTGGGTATTGCCGAGGGAGCACTCGCGAGGGCTGCGGCCTACACCAAGGCCAACACGCGCGGATGGCCATACCAGCCCCAACCCGTCGCACGCGGCACCGACGAGGCCTACATCCAGATCGGCTACGGCGATCTGCAGGCCAAACTCTGGGCCACCGCCTCGTTCATCGAAGTCGTCTTTGCCGAGGCCTCGGCCATCCTTCACACGGCTCCGCGCCAGCAGGTCACCGAAGAGCAGCGCGCCAAGTTCGCCGTGCGCGTCGCTGCCGCCAAGATCAACGCCGTCGATGTAGGATTGGCCGTCACCAGCCAGATCTACGAGCTTACCGGCGCAAGGGCCGTCGCGGGCAAGTATGGCTTCGATGTTGCCTTTAGGGATCTCAGGACGCACTCGCTCCACGACCCCATCGCACACAAGCGCGCAGAGGTAGGCCGCTTCGCCCTCCACGGCCCCGGCAAGGACGGATGGCCCACCCCGACCTGGTACACCTAGGTGCCCTGCGTCCGTAGCTCAGCCTCTTTACTCGCTCCCGGTGATGATTCGATGCTTCGTATGCCGAAATGAAAAAGTATCGTATGCTTGACTTCGAGGCTGAAAGATGTCGTGTGGCGGAAATGATTAGAATACAGAGTTGCAGCGTGGATGATGGGGGAGCGCCGATGCGGCTGGCAGCGGAAGGCGAGCGGGTATAGTGATGCAAGTGGCTGTGGAGGTGCCGAGCGGACGTGAGCATCATGCCTTCTTCTTGGCCCTCTTGTCCGCGTAGGCAGTCTTGGCCTTCTTCGCTGGGCTAGCATTCTCGCCCTTCTTCTCCGGACTGGCGTCGGTGCCGGTCTTCTTCGCTTGGCTCGTGGACTTGAGGTCCTTCTTCTCCTTCTTGTCTGCCTTCTTCTTCAGCCTGCGCTTGTGCGCCGCCTCCTTCTTCATCTTTCGGAACTCGGCGGCCTTCTTCTTCTTGGCGAGCTTGCTCTTGCTGGGAGGAGCATCGGCGAGTTTCTGCTTGGCAAGAGCATCCTGCTCGGTCTTCCAGGCGTCCATCTGGTCGACGGCGTCCCTCGCATCGAGGTTCTTGCGCTGGCCTTCCGAGAGCTGCTCCTGGACGAAGCTCTGGAAGCGCTCGAAGCGGCGCTTGTGGCCCTTGCCCTCCAGATGCTCGGCGACCAGATGGGGCGTCTTGAGCACAGCAGCCTCGCAGACGATGCAGCGCGATGCGAGCACGCCGTGCTTCTTCTCGCCTTCGGTGGGAACGTAGATCGGGTCTTGCATCGCCTCGCGAATGGAGACCTGCACAGCGGCTGCCTCTGCTTTCGCCGCGTCGGCCGCGTCGGCCTCGTCGTCCTCTACGCGCTTTCGCTTCGAACCAGCCTTCAGTTTGGCCTCTTCACCTGAAGCTTCCCCTTCAGAGTCTTCGCTGCCATCCTTTTCGTCGTCTTCTTCCTCGCTGTCGTCGTCTTCGCCTTCGGAGCTGGAGGACTCGTCGATGAGCTTGTCGACGCCAATGGCGGTGTCGTCACCGGTGGCGAGCTTGAGCTCGTCCACGTCGCCCTTCCTTCCGGTGGCCTTGGCCACGCGCTTGAACATGTTTGGCAGTGGCGTTAAGTGAGGAAAGAGAAGGGAGGAAGCGAATGTGGTTTGCCAGCGAGAGGAGCGCCAGGCTTTTTGCAAGAAATCAAGAAAAAGTGCGCCTCCAACCCAAAAATTCCAGCCGCCCTTCGAGCCGACTTCCGTGCCCGCTGACCTGGTGAGCATCGGGCTGGCCATGGGAATATCGGGCGATGCCAACTGTGCTCCACCCGAACCAAAAGGGTTCGCTCGGATGCACGCACGGATGCAATGCACGTCCAATTTTGTGCTCTCGGCTGCTTTCAACTCCCGAATGGTAAAGGTGGTTGGGCTGTGCTTTCTCTCTCACACTCCTTCACTCACTCTCTCCCCACACACAGCACAGCAATCCGAGCCGCTCCGCTTTGACCAGGCTAGCCAAAGCCAAGGCGTAGTCCATCGACTGCAGCCTATCCTACCTTCATCCCATGACATCCACAGGATCTCGTTGCAAAGGCCCCTCATGTCTGCTCACGAACAGCATGCCACCCCACACGATCGCACAGCACATCACTCGGTCCGATCATGGCTTCGCTCGCTCCTGCACAGGCCTTTCGACCCCACAATGGACGTGATCTCCCCGTCATCATCGCAAACGGCGTCGATCGTCCCTCCTGGCCCGCCGGGCACAAGCGGTGCCGATATGATCTCGTTTCACCACACAATGGAGGACCACGATCAAGCGCGCTTCCTACCACCACCTAGATCTTTCAGCGGTGGATCCAGCACCGGCTCTCTGTCATACGATGCTGCGGCAAGGAGGACGACCACACAGCCCATCGCGACCCCGAGACTCGGTGCAGCTCGCTCGGCACAGACCCTCTCACCACCTCCATCCACCGGATCCCCTCCCGAACCAAGCACCTCCCCTCCGAGGAGCTCTGGTATTGCTCGGACCCTCTCAGTCGGCGTGGCTTCTCTCACTGACCGCTTGCATCATCAGAGGCGTGCTAGCGAGACCTACCGCAGGATGCGCTCGGGCAGCAACGCCGCCGAGACCGACGCCCACCATCCGCCTCCCTCCCTCTCTCGAAGTATATCCAAGACAGTCCTACCCACGGCCCCCTTGGTCGCATCACCTCCACCTCTCACCGAGGCAGAGGAAGCGTCTTTCCTTCCGTTGGCATCCACCTCCTCGCGGTTGTCGTCCAACGGAGAGCAACCCAATTTTCGAGTACCTTCTGACGCAGCAACCGGATCTGGCGACAATGCATCCGGGCCTACGGAACCTCAGGCCTCTCCCGACCCGCTCGAAGTGCATCCTTCTATATCTCGAGATTCCTCTCAACTCTCTGGGCATTCCGATCCGGTATCACCAGCGAATCCCGCTTCATCCTCTGTGGATCCATCGAGCGAACTGCTCCTCCCCGAGGGCGAAAAGATGCTCAAGGTCACGCACAAAAAGGTCAAGCCTCGCATCTTCAAGCTCGATCCAGATCGTGGTCAGATCCTCTGGGAGTCCAAGAAGAACAATCGCGTCAACCTCGAGTCCATCCGCGAGGTCCGCTTCGGGCCCTCGGCTGCCTCTTACAGGACCTCCCTCAACATCTCCTCGGCGCACGAACCTCGCTGGGTGACCATCATCTATCAGAACGGCGGCATCTACAAGGCACTGCACCTCATCGCCCTCTCTGATGCGTCGCTCGCAAGATGGCGTACCAGCCTCCTCCATCTTCAGTCTCTGCGCAGGGAGCTGATCGGTGCCGTTGGATCGTCCGCCAGCATCGAACATCGTCGCCATCTGTGGATGCGGCACCACTGGAAGGATGCCGATCAGTCCAACGACGAGAAGCTCTCGATCGACGAAGTCATGCAGCTCTGCCGCAGGCTCGGCATCGAGTCCAACAAGACGCATCTTCGCCGCTGCTTCAACCTCGCAGACTGGCGCAATCGTGGCTACCTCGACTTTCACGACTTTCAGCACTTTGTCTCTCTGCTCAAGCAACGCGCAGACGTGCAGAGCATCTTTGCTGCATGGGCCGACGTCCCGCTCGATCGTGGCCAGAGTGCAGCGACCGAATCAGCAGCCCCAAACCCCGGTCAAGCTGGCGCTGCGGAGCTTTCAGGTTCCGTTCAGAGGCCAGACTCGACGAATGCCCAGCGAACGCCATCAGAGGCAACACTTGCCGTTTCTGTCAACAACGCCACGCTGGCAGCAGGACCTGAGCCGTGTCGCACACGAGCCATCTCCATCGAAGCCTTTCGCCGCTTCGTCCGCGATGAGCAGGGCAATCGACACTTTAGCGATAATCAGATCGACGACCTCTTTCGTCGACATTGCAACAGCCGCCTCTCGGCGTCGCTACCCCCGGACGCGCCGCTCGAAAGGGCCCAGATGGACTACGACGGCTTCCTCGACTTCCTCTCGTCCTCGGACAACCCACCCTTGGTCGATCAGCTTCCTCTCTTCGCAACCATGACGGCAGAGCCCGAAGCGTCGTGTTCGACGCGCAAGCTCCTGGCATCACCCTCGGCTGATGCGGCGCTGCAGGCCGACTCGACGCAGGCTCAGCAAGGAACACCTGCACAGCAGCAGCAGACGCCTTCCCGTGCCTTTGCTGATACAACAGAAGAGCTTATCGCTGCAGGCGCCTGCGACTCGACCGCCAACACTCGCAAAGTGGCCGCGCATCTTCGCAAATCGACGGTGCACCACGACATGACTCGGCCACTCAGCGAGTACTACATCAGCTCGAGTCACAACACGTATTTAGTGGGCGGTCAGTGGAAGGGTGACAGCACCGTAGAAGGATACATCCGCGCCCTGCTGCAAGGAGCCCGCAGTGTAGAGCTGGACTGCTGGGATGGTCCCAACAACGTGCCTCAGATCACGCACGGCCGCACGCTCACGAGCCGCGTCCCGTTCCAAGATGTGATCACGGCGATCGCGCGATATGCCTTTGTCACCTCGCCCTACCCGCTCATCCTCAGCCTCGAGGTCCATGCAGATCCGCCCCAGCAAGATGTCATGACTCGTATTCTGAAGGACACTCTGGGCGATATGCTTTTGACACAGCCCGTGGGCTCTCGATCCCTGCCAGGAGCCGAGGACGAGCTGCCATCACCGGAAGAGCTCAAATTCAAGGTGCTTGTCAAGGCCAAGAACATCTCGCTTGCCGAGAGCCAGCGCATCCTCCACGACAAGAGGCAGGCAGGTATGCTGGGCTCGTCAGGACAGCGGAAGGACGAGCCGAACGTCGTACCCGCCACTGTCCTGGAGCCCTCGACGTCGGCAACGGACACGACCACAACGACGGACTCGGAGATCGAATCACGGCTTCTGAGCGCCAAGCAGCTCGTGCGTCGGGTGACTCGGCGTGCGCATCGTGGTGACAAGCCGGCCGCCAATCCGGCTCCTCGACGCTCGAGCGAGGGCCTCGATCCGCTCGAGGTCGAGCGAGACTCTCGGGAAGAATTCGGTCGGGGCAGCAGCAAACATGGCAAAAAGATGATGTCGGCGGCGCTCGCATCCTTGCTCATCTATACGATCGGCGTCAAGTGCCGAGGCTTCAACAAAAAGGAGTCGTATGCCACGCAGCACATGGTCTCGCTCTCGGAAAAGACGGCGCTCAAGCTGATCCGCGATCCGATTTCAAACGAGGCGCTCGTCAAGCACAATCGCACGCATCTCACCCGCATCTATCCGTCCATGACGAGCTTTGCGCGGCTCCACGCGAGTCGTAACTTTGTCCCGCTCGACATGTGGGCGACCGGCTGTCAGCTGGTGGCGCTCAACTGGCAGACGACCGATCTCGGATTCGAGCTGAACCAAGCCATGTTCGGCCGCAATGGCCGATGTGGTTACGTGCTCAAGCCCGTGGCACTGCGCGTCAAGGACAAGACCAAGTCGGTCGCGGGCAAGGCGCTGCGCTTCTCGCTGGACCTCAGCATCGTCTCGGCGCAGCAGCTGCCGAAGAAGAGCAGGTCGGGCAAGGAAAGAGACAAGGACAGGGACAAGGCAAACACATCGGAAGGGCGGGATCCGATCGATCCGTTTGTTGTCGTGTCGCTGCTGGCGCCCGACTGCTGGGGCAAGCAGCCGAGGGGCTTGCTGCAGAAGTCGGCTGTGCGTAGAGTCGCAAAGTCTGCATCTCAGCAAGTCGACGGGCAGAGGCAGGACAGTGGCGCCACAGCGAGCTTGACACAGAGCAGCTCGGAGAAAGTAGACACCAGGGCTGCCATCCAAGAGAATGGCCATCACGATGCGAGCGCAAGTGCTGGACAATTAGACGGCAAAGCGCAGCTCGAGTCCAAGGGATCATGTTGGCAGGGGCTCGACGTCGCAGCCTCCACGAACGAGTCTGAGCGCCGAGCAAGCCTGAGCAGCGTCTGGCATACGAGTAGTTTGGCACCCGCCCAGCTGCTCAGGACGCCGACGGTGCGGAGCAACGGCTTCAGCCCCGAATGGCACACGGACATGAGTCTGCTCATCGACGTGCCGGCGAGCGCGAATGCCGAAGTGATGGCCCTCGTCGAAGCTGCCCAGGCTTCGGCAGCTAGCATTCCGCTCGATCATGCCGAGCTGGACCGCATAAGCCGCGGGCTTCTTGACCTGTGCTTTGTGCGCTTCGAGATCTTTGACGACGATCTCGAAGGCGAAGACAGCCGCGATCCCGCACCAGCACCCCCTTCCACAGCGCCAGCGGACTCGACGAGCCCACCGATCGATGCGACGGCGAAGCTAGCGCTGGACACCGCAGCTGATGGTAGCAAGACCGGCTCAGGAGCACGTGGCGGACCCGGAAGCGAGAGCTCCGTGGCATCTTCCACCAGCTCCATCGACGCCGACAGCGTGGCAGCATACGCCGTGAGCGTAGGCGCTCTCCAGCAAGGATACCGCCATCTGCCACTGTACGACCACCAGCTCTCGCAGTTCCTCTTTTCCACCCTCTTTGTGCGCTCCCGTCTGCGCCTCGTCGGCGTCGTCGATGCAACACCACCCCCGAAGAATCAGTAGACCAGCAGCATCGTTTGATTTTTTCTGGATTTTAGCAACCTGCATTTTTTTTCTGCGCACAGTAACAGCATTTCGATTTTCATGTTTAACCCGCCAGTCAAAGACATAGATCTGTCCGCAACCAGAACGGAAGCGCCGAGGACTGTGGCAATGGCTCGACGACTGATAGAGCACCGGCAGCATCACTGTGAGTCTGGAAGCACTCGGCAAGAGTGCCAACTTTCGTAGGACCCATCTTCTATTCTGCCGGACAAAAAGCAAGATCAGCCCGTAGATTTCGACGTATGCGAGAAATTCGTCGCCCCTACTGCAAATGACCATCCCTCATCCGTCAGAAACGGTGGTGTCTTGAGTGCGCATTCACCGTTAGTCCGTCAACCAAGCTGCGTACCACCAGCTTTGAACTGATCAAGCTTTCGGCCTGGAATCATGATGTAGCTGAAAGACAAGCTTTCGCTTTCTTGATGGAGTTTTGGTGGAGTTTTCTTGGCCGGTAGTGGTTTCGGCGAAGCTCACCTCTAGGCTCAACACGTTTGAAGCTGGAAGCTGATACCACCAAGCACGCAGGGATCACTTGACACCATCTCATAGGCAGCAAACCAACTTGCATAGCGTCGTCGTCGGCAGTAGGGTCATGCATTTTCTCAAGCGCCTCGAATCCCCTGATCTTTTGCAGCTTTACAAACGACCTAATGAAAACCTTGGTTTGGCAGGCAAACATGAACCGGCATTGATAGTGTAGGGGTATCATGAGTCGTTGCCACTCATCGCCTTCCTGAGGCGTGACTACCGATTCGACTCGACCGGGGTTCGAGTCCCCGTCAATGCATTCTTTTTTGCTCTTTTTGGCTGCACTGTTGGCTCGGGGTCGGAGCGGGAATTTTGCGATCCAGTCGAGGGAGAGTGGTGACGCGCGCGTGTTGTGGGTGTGCCGAGTTGCATGCATGGCCTGCGTTGTTGAAAAACCACAGAATTGGCTCTCCGACCAGGAGGGGCCTCGCAGGTTTGCAGCTGATGAAGGGGGAGGTTCGGGAAACATGCACCCTGTCGATCGTTTCGAGGGTCTGTTCGGCTCAGGCTCATCCTTGTGCGTCCGCGTGATGTAGGTGTTGGTTGTCCGTTCACACTCCGCCGGCGGTTCCGTTGGATTAGAGAGGGGCAGGGCTTGCCTAATTGGGTCCGGTGTGTTGTGAAGCCGTGTGAAGCAGCATGCAGGCTGGGACGCATACAGATGGAGTCGAGTGGGGTTTTTGCACAGAAGCACCGCGAAGTAGCGGTAGGGGGTTCGAAGCAGATGGTGGGTGAGAGATGGTTGATCGTCCGCCACCCCCTGTCCGTCTGCATCTTGCTGGCTATCCTCATCCTCTTCCTCGTCCGACGCCATTCGCTTCTACTTCCACCCTGTCCTTTCCCGTCTCCTTTCTCGTCTCGAACGTTCCGACCCCAGTGACGGATTCTTAACAACACCATCGACATTCATTTTCGGACAGCATACACCCAAGATGAGGATTGCGGCATGGACGATCTTCTCGTCGCTCTTGGTAGCGGCGGCCAGTGCACAACTTTCAGCCGGCCACGACGCCAGCTCGTCTTCCGTGCTTCTCGAATCGCGCAACATTGCCTCTACGACAGGCAGCGCTTTGCAACTCGAGCCGCGCGACGAGGAAGTAGAGATTGACGTTGAGGAGGAGGATGAAGAGGATGTCGAAGGCGATGCGATCGAGGCGCGTGGTCGACGAAAGCCGCACCACCGCAACCACAAACACTCGCGTGCGGGCCGCAAGAAGAATAAGCACAAAGCGCATCACGCCGTGCCGTCCCCCGCCGGTGGCAAGGGCAAGTTCCACGGCAAGGGAACGTTCTTCAAGCCCAACCAGGGAAGCTGCGGCAAGTGGAACACGGTCAACGACCACATTGTCGCGCTCTCGTCCGACATCTACCAGGGCGGCTCACACTGTTTCAAGAGCGTCAATATCTGCCACGGTTCCAAGTGCGCCAATGCATACGTGGCCGACCTGTGCCCTGGATGCAAAAAGACGAGCCTCGATATGACTCCCTCGCTGTTCAAGGAGCTCGCCGATCCCAACCTGGGCGTCATCGACATTCAGTGGTCCTTTACCTCTTGATTTTCGCCGCCGCTGTTCCGCTCGCTCCTGTGTTGCGCCGAAAGGAACCGTGCTCGCTCTCACTTTGCGCCCAGATCAGGTACGGAGCTCGAGCCCCACCTCACCACCTTCTGTCTTCGTCTTCTCCAATGCCCTTTTTTTTGCTCCTGTTTTCCGAGTTCACTCCCATACCCTGCTTTGTCGTCGTTCGAGGCAAGCGCGATTTCCGTCGTAATGGTAGCCAACGTAGCGATCGCCAGTATCAGTGTGCCTGCTCTGAATGACTCCAATCAGCGAGCGAGAAGCGTGGAGGTGGTTGAGGGCGAGACGGGAGCCTAAGCGAGCTGTCAGAAGTCAGCATTCAGGCTGTGAGCGAGGTCCCGCGTGTAAACTCACGCTGAGCGGAATTTTTCGCAAATGGTGTTAGAGCCCTGCAAACGACAAAATCAAGCGAAGCGGAACCGCCCCCACGTCGACCGGGAAGTGTGGGGGCCCGTCGTGCCGGTGACGGCGGAAGCATCGGGGCTGGACCGGCGCTTTGCAAGGCGAAAAGAGGCAGCGCCCGTGCCGCCTCGTCGCCCCAAGCCCTTCTTTTTGCCATGCGGGCGGAGCAAGGAGGGATGGGGGGCGCCCTTGCCGTTGAAGGAGCGCTGTGGATTACAAATGGACTGCTCCCCATGTCCCGTCGGCGAATTGCTCGGCCACATCGCCAAAAGCTGGGGAAAGTCCACAGCGTGCGCGAACCGAGCAGAGAGTGAGAAAGGTCGCTCCGCTGCCGTCGCAAAGCGCTCTTTCCCCCACGCGCACGGGCAGCGCCTCGGTTCAGCAACGCCTTCGGCTCCACCAACCTCTGGCTCGGTCAGGGCAGCCCTGACGGGTTCGACCGCTCCCCCGCTCCCCCACACCCCGCACGGCAACCCTTTATACATTACAATTACAACCCTTAGGGCAATCCTCCTTCCTTTCACCACATCACATCACGTCTTGATCGCTTCTTGACTCTTGCAGCTGAAGTCTTTCTTCTTTCCTCCTCCACCTCAAAGACAGTCGGACCAAGCAATCATGGCGCCTGGACAGGTGGAACTGCGCTCGACGGCGCGCAACGGCGGCTCGGACACCGGCGCCGAGCCAAAGCTCAACAAGATCAGCTCGTTCATCACGCAGTCGGCGGACAAGGGTGCGGCGCAGTCCATGCTGCACGCATGCGGCTTCACCACCGAAGACATGAACAAGGCTCAGGTCGGTATCACGTCCGTGTGGTGGGAGGGCAACCCGTGCAACACGCATCTTCTCGAATTCGGGCGCAAAATCAAGCAGGGATGCGAGGCGGTGGGTCTGGTGGGACTGCAAAACAACACCGTCGGCGTCTCGGACGCCATCACCATGGGCGGGCCCGGAATGCAGTACTCGCTCCCCTCGCGAGAGCTCATCGCCGACTCCATCGAGACGATCACCCTCGCCCAGTACCATGATGGTAACATCAGCATCCCCGGCTGTGACAAGAACATGCCTGGCTGTATGATTGCCTCGCTTCGACACAACAGACCTACGATCATCGTATACGGCGGAACCATCCAGCCGGGAAAGCACGGCATGGACATGCCTGGTCTTGGCAGGAAGAAGGGCGACCCGTGCAATGTGGCGGACAACTTCGAGGCGACGGGCGCTTACAGCAAGGGCTTGATTACCGCCGAGCAGCGCGTTGACCTCATCCGAAATGCCTGTCCCGGTCCCGGTGCGTGCGGTGGCATGTACACGGCCAACACGCTGGCGACCGCCATCGAGGTGATGGGCATGGGTCTGCCTTTGACCAGCAGCATCCCCGCTGTCTACCCCGAAAAGACGCAGGAGTGCCTCCGTGTCGGCGGCTTCATGAAGAATCTGCTTGCTAAGGACATCAAGCCGCGCGACATCATGACCAAGCAGGCATTCGAGAACGCCATCACCATGACACACATCATGGGCGGCTCCACCAACGCCGTGCTCCACCTGATCGCCGTCGCGCGTGCCGCCGACGTCGACATCACCATCGACGATTTCCAGCGCATCGGCGACAAGACGCCCATGCTGGCAGACGTCAAACCGTCAGGGAAGTATTATTTTGAAGACATTCACAAGATCGGAGGCATTCCTCGCGTGCTTCGATACATCCTAGAGAACACGGATCTGCTGCACGGCGATGTCATGACTTGCACGGGCAAGACGATGCGCGAGAACCTCGCCGACGTCGAGCCGCTCGACTTTGAGTCGCAAGACATCATCCGTCCGCTCTCGAATCCGATCAAGGCCACGGGACACCTTACCATCATGCGCGGCTCGCTCTGCCCCGGCGGCGCCGTCTCCAAGCTCACTGGCAAAGAAGGCCTGACGTTCGACGGTACCGCCGTCGTCTTCGACTCCGAAGAGGGCATCACCGAGGCCATTGCCGAGGGCCGCGTCAAGGACGGTAACGTCGTCGTTATTCGCTATGTCGGCCCCAAGGGAGGACCTGGTATGCCCGAGATGCTTGGACCCACTGGAGCGATCATGGGTGCTGGCCTGGGCAAAACAGTCGCCCTCATCACCGACGGCCGCTTTTCGGGTGCCTCGCACGGTTTCTGCACCGGCCATGTCGTCCCCGAAGCCGCAGAGGGCGGGCCGATTGCGCTAGTTCACGACGGCGATCGCATTACTATCGACGCCAACACGCGCGAGATCAACCTGCACGTCGACGCCGACGAGCTCAAGAGCAGGATGGACACATGGGTCAAGGAGAAGAAGGGCAAGACGCTCAAGGTGAAGCGCGGATGGCTGTACAAGTTTGCGCGCGACGTGCAGAATGCCTCGGAAGGCTGCATCACCGACCGCGACCTGTTCTGAGAGCGTAGAGTTCTGCCAGCTTCATCACTTCCGCAATGTACGACGTCCAAAAGGCCGCGGCGTGCGGGGTTTGGTTTGGGCTGGGTTGACAGGTGGAGGCGAGGTGCAGGCCGAGATCCGAGGTTCGAGCCTAGATTTTTTGGCCGGCGCGGAAATTTGAGCTTCTTCTGAGATCCCTTCCAGCATCGTTCCGACCGTCATCCACTCCACAACGACGCCGACCATGTCTTTCGGGTTCCAATTCGACGACTCGGAGCTGGACGACGAGTACGTCTCGCTAGCGTCCACACCGGCGCCGGCTGCGTCCACATTGACCTCGAATGGCGACGCCTCCTCGGTCCCACAAGCGCCGTACCAGTCGTACCCGCTCGACGACATGCTCGAGCATCTGCCCTCGCGCATATCGTATTCGTCGATCAGCATCCCGCTCGCTGCGCACGGTACCTCTGTGCAGATGCTGCGGCGCGACCTGTTCGATGCGCGCTTTCAGATGCTGCTCGACGACGAGGAAAGCCCCGATACAGGCATGGATGCGCAGGTGGACGCGCAGTCGGACTTGATACCTGGCGTGTACGAAGGCGGGCTCAAGACGTGGGAGTGCGCCCTGGATCTCGTCGAGACGCTCGACGGGCTGCATTCCGGCCGGTGGTCGGAACACTTCACCGGCAAACGCATCCTTGAACTCGGATGCGGCACGGCCCTGCCGTCGCTATTCATGCTGACGCAGGTACTGAATGAACCAGCCGGGGTGGAGATGACCCTGAACCTGGCGGATTACAACGCGCAGGTGCTGCAGCTTGTGACGCTGCCCAACGTGCTACTCGCTTGGTGGTCGTCTGCAGCGGCGGCTGAGTTTAGGGCGGGTGCAGGCGCCCAGCAGACCGCGCTGGAACGACAGGAGCTCGCACGGAGGGGACAGGACCATTTCGATACCGCACCAGAACACGCAGATGGACACGGTGAACTGGCCATCACCCCGGAACTGGTTTCGGCCTTCCGCACCTCGCTGGCCGCACACGGCGTGCAGGTCAACTTCATCGCGGGCGCCTGGACGAATTACCCACCACCCGCCCAGGGGATGGATCTCATTCTTACCTCCGAGACCGTATATGCGCTGCCGTCACTGCCGCCACTCGTGCAATTGCTGCACACGTACGCCGCTGCAGATGCGGCAGTGCTGGTAGCCGCGAAAGTCATCTACTTTGGCGTAGGCGGTGGCGTGGAAGCGTTCAAGCAAACACTAGCCCAACTGGCGCCCTCCGCCCAAGTGGTTCCCTTACACACCGTCACGCGCGGAGTGGGTCGCACGGTTCTTTCAGTCACATTCTAGAGCAATAGGCACACAGAAGTCAACGCCATTCAATTGTGCAGTGTCAGCTGGCTTGAGGGGGTTTTTGACTAGACAAAATCATCCGCGAGGTCGCCGGACCATTCGAGCATTGCGTCGAGCCAGCGCTTGATGGGTTTGTGTGCGGTCCAGATCTCGTTTGCGATCTTGGCGCCCGCAGCGCGCGAAAAGACGTACCAGCCAAATAGGACAAAGTCGGCATGCGTCGGATCCTGACCGCCTGCAAACCACACTGATTTGCTCGAACGTGGCTGTGGAGTCGATGCGCTATGGGTCGAGTACGAGACAGCTCCATTGGACGAGTCGGTGCCGCCTTCGCAGGTGAGCATTGCATTGACCACTTCGAGCTTTGCGATGGCCTGCTGCACGTGGTTCTGCACATCCGCCTGCGACATGGACGAGACCTTGGCCCAGCGCGGCTGGCCGATCTTGACGTTGGCAAAGTAGTCGGCCGACTCGGCATCAAGCATGGCGTGCACACCACGCTGGGCAAGCGGACCGATGTGAGGCGCAAGCACGGTTTTGCCAAACTGGTTAAGCATGGCAGCGAGGCGCTTGGTGGCCGAGCTGCCAAAGAGACGATGCCCATCCTGGTGGCGACGCTCGAGATATTCGGCAATGGCCCAAGAGTCGACAATGTGCGAGCCGTCGCTGAGCTCGAGTGCAGGCACGGTGACGTTGTCGGCGATGCGCTCCGAGAGCTCGTTGCGGATCTGGACAAACGTGAGGCGCTGACGCTCGTAGCCGACGTTGAGCAGCTTGAGGTCGAGGATGGTCTTGATGGTGTGGGGCGAGAAGCACGCCTTGCCTCCAGGCTTGTCGGTGAGGTCAAAGAGCACCAGACCGGACGTGCTCGAGGTGAGCGAGGTGCTATCGGCGCGCGTGGGATGCGCAGCAGGCTCGTCCGCTTGGCGTGCCGGCGCCGCTGCTGGCACCGCTGCATTGACGCCCTCGGAAGCGGCAGCGGGAGTGGAGGAAGTATCGCTTGCAGCCACTCGCACGTTGGAGTCGGTTTCAGAGATGCTCAGGTCCTCGAAGCCGCTCTCCGACGGAGCGGTGGTGGTGGGCACCGTCGAGAAGTCCTCTTCAGTGTCGGCGGTGGAGCCGGCACGCTTGACAGGAGATGCGTCGCTCATGTTGGTGTGTTGTCTTGAGCCGAAAGGCGGTGGAGAGAAGGGTGGTGTGTTGGTTAGTGGAAGGGAGTGCAGAAGTGTCGCAGCGCTGTAGCACCGATGGCTACGTGCAGGGTTGCGGGTTGTGGAGGCCGAAACCCTTTAGCCACGACCGCATCGGCCGCAAGCTCACTCTTGACAACGACGACGAGGTCGCACGACCTCAGCCGATCTGCACAGCGCTTTGCATTTGGCTGAAGCTCATTGCGAGGATTCGAGGCACCTTGACGGCTGTGCCGCTGCATTGCGGCCATGCCGGCCAACTTTGCCTCCACTCTGCGAAGGTGGCTTGGCTTGCACGGACCAGCCTTCGGCAGCCGAGGAAAAATCGCAAAGGTGTGTGAACTGCAAGTCGAACACTTTCGATGCTTCAAAAATCACCCTCTTTCGCCTTCGTTTTCGGTCCCACCGAAGCAAGCCCCAGCGCTCCTCCAGCAAGCAAGGCGCTCCAACGCTATCTCACAGGGCTCGTACGAAGCCGTGAATGAGCTCAAGAAAGATGATAATGGTATCCTTGATGCGAGGGTACAAATACAACAGTGCCGAGCGAGGTTTCGTATGCGGCAACATGGAGCGGACGGAGCTTGGTCATGCGTCGTCGTCGCTGTCGCTGCCGTAGGCGGCCAAGCTGCCAAGACCGTTTGTCGCTGGGGCATCCTTCTGACGCTGGTTGTGCAGCGATGCTAGGTTCGACATGGTTTCGGCATTGAGCAGGCCTGATCCAGCTGCATTCTTGCTTTCCGATGTAGGGACGGCAGCGGCTGCTGGTACAGTTTGGCTAGCTTGTGCAGCAGCCTGAGCTGCTTGACGTTCGCGCAAGATCTCGGCCCACTCGCGTGCATTTTCCTCGTCGAGTCTTCGCAGCTCGTCTTCCTCATCTTGACTTGATCGTGTGATACGGCGTCGCTTGCCATTGGTATCGGCATCGGAACCATCGAGCGCTTCGAGTGCACGCAGCGCTTGCTGCGCCTCGATGGCCTGCGTTGACATGCCGGCCATGATGGCACGCTCGCCCGCCCGACGCAGCTGCTCCTGATTGCGCTTCTGTGCCGCAGGGTTCGGATCGTCCGAGGCCCAACGCACGTTGATGATCTCGTCGTGGTCGAGCGACTGGTTGAGCATGGCCTCTTTGGCAAACTGCGCGCTGGCCTCGTACTTGTACGTGACGAAGGCACACGAGCGTCCGTTGAGCACGCGCAGTCGATCGATCTCGCCCCATTCGCTAAAGTGACGACGCACGACGCGCTCGGTCGCATTGTCCGTCTCGGGCCGCACCGAGTTGTGCTGCGGGCGATACGTCCTTGCATCCTGTTTGGGACGCGGTCCGTTGTTGCCTCGTGCCTCGTTGACGCTGCGACCGCCCTTGAGCGTCTTGCCGCCGTCACGCCAGGCAGCGTTGTGGACGGTTGGAGAAGAGATGCCGTGCTCTTCGTGGATGCGGCCAACGTAGAGGGTGCGGTTGACCCTGGACAAGGAGCCAGTGCCGCTCATGTCATCCTTGTAGTTGCCGAGCTTCTCGCGACCAAAGCAGTCGCGACCCTGGCTCGGAAAGTCGTTGGGACGCGGCAAGCGATGCAAAAAGTTGCAGTCGACGCCATGTGGGCAGCATCCGCGCGCAAAGTGGATGCAGCAGTAGACAGCCTCGTCCGGCGCAATCGCAGCGCCTTGCTGCGTGCGTGCGGCTTGGGTTCGCAGCAGCACGTCGGCCTTGGTGTAGCCCGAGTCGCGCGCAATGTCGCATCGTGTCTCGCGCTTGGCCTTCTGCGCTTCGTTCTCCTCTCTGTCGACGCCGGCGTAGTTCTCGTACCAGATGTTGAACGTGCCTGCCGATTCGGGACGTGCACTGAACGCTTCTCGGATGTCGTTGAACTTGGCGGCGGACACCTGCTTACGAGCGGGACGCGGCTGGTACGAGGTCGATGCGACCTGTGCCGAAGCAGCGTCGAGGCTCTGCTCGGAAGCGTCGCTCATGCTGGAGAGGTGGAGAGGCGGTGGCGGATGGAGTCCGGTTGACAAGCCTGAAGCAGCTTCCTTCCATCTCTTCATCCTACCTCTCTCGAGCTGCAATTTTGTCCGAAATCCGAGCCTCGAGCCAAAATTGCAGATGTTAGGTCCGGCTTTTGCGGCCTACTCGCGCGATCTGGCAGTGCAGCTCAGAACGACCACTCGACGGCTCAGCCAAGCCAACACCCGACACGCGGTCCAACTGAAAAGCACAACCCAACACAGCACAGCACAGTGCATGTGTGTGCGTTGGCGACGACTCGGCTCTTCATGCATCAGTCGGTGCACACACCAACAACGCAGAGGGCCCCTTTCGCATTCCACCTCCGCGGTCCAACACCTGCTGCTGCTGCTGCTGCTGCTGCTGCTGCTGCTGCTTTCTCGCGGCTGCCTCACCAAGCACAACCCCGCCTACCGACGGCGTGCATGTGCTGCATCCACCACCAGCCCTTCTTTCCTCCAGTCCTTCCGCCTCCGCACTCATCCTTCTGTCCACGCTCACCCTCAGCATACACCCACGTCTCTCTCTTCGCCCGCGACGCCGGTCGGATGAACACACGCCGGATGCTCTGCCACTGGACGTCTCGATCCATCTGATTCGTCCTTGGTCGCTCAAGCTTGGCTCGTCCGAGCTAACGACCAGGACTTCTTCCCCTCTCGCACAATGTCCGCTCCGTCCGACCCGAGCCCACTGGGCCCAACAACAATCAACCAGCCAGAAGCAGAGCCATCTCACCCATCCCAACCCGCGCCGACGCCCGTCTCGGAGCCGTCACCAGCCCCAGCGTCTACAGAGTCTCCCACGGACATCGAAAGCCCAGTCGTGCCCGGTGGATTTGGCTCATCGATAGCATCGGCTCCCCACGCTTCCACGCCTCCGACTTCATCTGCCGACGCTTTCGCAAACACGCCATCCTCGACTTCATCCCAGCATTCCGACCACGACAAGCCACTGCCCTCCATCTCGCATGATGAGGCCAGCTCTTCACATGCGGGAACGCGCGTACAGCCAGAGCAATCACCTTTGGCTCCCTCACCGCCCGAGCCACAGCTCACCTCGTCCATCATCACCACCGTCAGCCCCGTGCGCAGATCCGTATACAAGCGCAAGATGAGCTCCAAACCAAAAGGTATCCTCAAGCCCGCACCGCCGCCGCAGAAAGGCTTCTCCTTCCGCAGAGACATCCTCGAGAACATCAACTCGCGCCTCGCGCAGCAGGGCGTCAACATGCAGGTGCCCCTGCCCCAAGGCAGCACGGCCCAGGCCACCGCATCCTACATCGGCGGCATGTTTCGAAGAATTGGCGGCATTGCTGCCGGTGCCGCGGCCAATGTTGGAGGTGCCAATGCTACCTCGGTTGGCGGCCTGCTTTCCAGCGACTCTCCCTCCAAGCCAAACGCTGCTTCCGCGACGTCCAACAGAAGCGCCAGCACCAGCACCTTTGGCTCATCTTCAGGCTATTCAATAAGTTCGTCGCAGACCGCAGACTCGGAATCTTCCTCAACCTCCTCGACCTTGATCAAGAGCAACGTCGCTGCCGCCACCACGTCCGCCGCTCCGCTCAAGAAGGTCCAATTCCAGGTATCTCACATGGCTGTCACATACCCAATCGTTGGGGCTGGCACGCCAGAAGATGAAGATCTCACCCGGCTCCGCATCGAGAGGCAACATCGTCGCATGCTCAAGGCACGTCGCGACAAGCCATGGACACCCGAGGAGCTCGAGGCGCTCTACCGCGAATGCTGTCGCACCCGCGAGGAGCATCCGCTCAAAAAGATGCGTCTCGTCTTCCAGGAAGCCGCGCAGTCATCGCCGCCCGCGCTCAAGACGCTCGACCTCTCCTTTGTGCCACTCGATCGCCACGCGGTCGAGCCCATCGCAGACTTGCTTAGCATCGACTTTGGTCTCAACAAGCTCGTGCTCGAAAACTGTGCGCTCACCGACGACAGCCTCAAATCCATCCTCCATGCGCTCCTTGTATCGGGCACCCTGCCCAACCTCAGCATCGCCAGCAACCGCAAGATTCGCTTCCGTGGCTGGCGCTATCTCGCCATCTTCATGCGCAGAGCTCGCGCACTCCGCTATCTCGACCTCTCGGAGAATTCCATCGACAGGACCTCGCTAGAGCACCTGCTCGCCGTGATTACGAAGCCAGCAGCGGCGATGACGCAGGAGCGGGCGTCAAAGCAGGTTCCACCTGGCAAATCAGCTTCCACGGGCGAGGTTGCTGGTGCAAAAGGCGGAGAGGCAGCCGCAGCAACAGGGACCAAGACGAACGGCCAAGAGGCCGGAATTGCATCCAATGGGGATGACAGCGAAGCTGACGAAGACGACGACGACGAGTTTTTCGACAACTCGGGCGAGCCACTTATGCCCACTGCGCCATTGCTTAGGGATGTCTCGGACGACCCAGACCCGCCTTCGTCCGCGGTGATCTCGTTGCGTCTGGAGAACTGCGGCCTCAAGGCTGCCTCGCTCGAGATGCTCTCTCAATCGGTTCGCTTCTCTGACATCCGACATCTGTCACTCCGCCGCAACAAGATCGGCCAGCTGGCCTCCGTGGCACTCGCCATCATGCTAAAGGACTACCCGGATGTCCCACCACACGACCCGACTCCCACCGGCACGCCACAGCGAGAGGGCAAGTCGTACTTTGATGCGAACGGCGCTTCGACTACACCCTCCAAAGCGCAAGTGGACGCTCACGATCGCAGCGGACGCACCCTCCGACCATTAGATGCTCAGTCGAGCCCGGCACGACGCACGCGCAGCTACTCTCCTGGCCTGCCGGAGGTGCCCGTGATCGTGTCGAGCCCTGGCGGTGGCATCACCTCGCGCAAGATGCCGAGCCCGATGTACGCGAATGGAGGAGCAGGCGCACATCAATCCACCACGTTCTACGGAGCCCATACGGAGCAGCTGCAGGACGCCATGCAGACCAGCATCGCGGGCCCCGGACGCGAGCTCGACTCGCAGATCACGCCGCAAGAAGCGCTCGAGATCCGTCGCAATTTGGCTCCCGGCATGAGCGAAGAGGAAGCCGTGTCGATCTACCAGGCGAAACGAGCGAGACGCATTCTAGCCGAACTGCCGCGCGTGGGCAACTTGCTGACGCTCGATCTCAAGTCGAACGACATTCGTGGCGGTGTGGTGTACCTGGCGCAGGTGCTCAAGAAGAACCGCACGCTGCGCGTGCTCAATCTGAGCGACAACAACATCGAGATGCCCGGACTGGTGGCGATTGCCGAGGCGCTCAAGTACAACTCGACGCTCGAGACGCTGGACATGAGCCACAATCCATGTTCGGGCCCCGGGCTGGAGGGGATCACGACGCTGCGCACAGCGTTTGCGCTCAACTCGAATCTGAAGCGGCTCTTTCTCAACGACACTGATCTGTCGTCCGAGGCGGCGATTGCGTTGGCTGAGTTCCTGCCCGAGGCGCGCAGTCTGATCCACCTGGATCTCGCCGAGAACTTTGAGATTGACATTGCAGGCGTCATGGCGCTGGCGGTGTCGCTGCGGATGAATCGCAGTCTGCGATGCTTGGACCTCAACATCCCGCCCAACAATCCGGACTTTGCGCGGCTCTCGCAGGAGATCCTGCAGAGCTGTGTGCGCAATACGGAGCTGGCGCAGCAGCGCGCGACGCAGAAGGGGCTCAAGCAGCCGATTGCGGCACCGATCTACAAGTCGGTCGTGGCGCGCGCGGCGAGGGAGAACGACGAGCGCATCAAGGCGATCGAGACTGCGCGCGCGACGGCCAAGGAGGCGGCAGCAGCCAAGGATCGCGCGGCGGTGGAGAGTCTGCTGAGTGCGTCGGTCGAGTGTCAGAACGTTCTGCGCGATCTGTTGACGGGCGAGGAGAAGCGACAGCGCGAGGCGCCCGAGCAAAAGGTGACGCCGCCCGGCGAGTTTGTCGAGGACCTCACGCGGCAGAGTTCCAAGCTGCGTCGACGGCTGGCGGAGCTGGCGGGCACGGTGGAGGACGAGACGGTGCTGGCGCGGATTTTGGCCGTGCACGACGAGCTGGGCGACGTGTCGAAGCGGCTCGAGGAGTTTTATCGGTACGGCTCTGCACCTGCGATTGACGTGCGCGCCGTGGATGCAGGTCTGCAAGCCAGCGGTGTGGTTGGCTCCAGCGCGAGCGCAGCGTCTACGCAGCATCTCACCACGCCCGACCAGGCGCAGGTGGACTCGGGTCTGTCGTCGCCTGCGTTCTCGATTGCAGATTCGGACGAGTCGGATTCGGACGACGGCACAGGTTCGGCACCCGCTAAGCGTGCGGTCCGGTCCAAGGCGGAGGCCAAAGATGAGGTGGTGGGCCGAATGCATGGGCTGCGAATCGATACGACCGCGGCCGACCGCGAAGTGCCCGAGGACGACGGATGTGCAGTTCTGGCCAGGTCGCCGGGCGAAGACCGTGCAAAGGGTCAGCTCAGCGAAGAAGCCGAGCTGTTCCGAAAGGCACGCAGCCTCGGCCTCGATGAGGACGACGACACGCGCGCGGGCGACAGTGCGCAGGACGAAAGCGGAGAGCAGCTCCGCCAGGATCTGCTCCAGGCAGACGTTCCGCCCAAGTCGAGCGCGCCGGCGGACGAGATGCAGGCGGATGCAGCCGCGTAAGCGTGTCGAGCGCGGCTCAGCTGCAATGCCACTCTTTTTCACTCGAGCTGCGAAGGTTTTGTGCGGTTGAGCTGAGTGATGAGCGAGTTGGAGCAAAGTCCAAGTTTGAGGCGGGAGGCTGGAGTGCGGAAAGCGTGCGCTGCGCAGCGGTGGCACTTGGGCACGACGACGAAAGCGCACGCTGAAAGCTGCGGACAAGAAGAGCGGGGCAGGAAGGCGGATCTCTGGCTTTCGCTCGAGTCCGTTCGGGAGAAGGCGAGCGTGCAGCGAGGATTGTGAGCGTCGAGTCGGCTCCAACTCCGCATCGCCACTCTGGCGAACACTCGCAGTGCTTTGCGGAACGATTAAGCGGGAGATGCGAACCGTACGGAAGCAATTCGTCTGCCGGGACGAGCAGTGAGCTGCGGATGGAATGTCAACATCAAAAAAAGACTCATGTTGATGGTCGTCGAGTCAACTTGGCCGTTGAATCCTGCACATCACATCCAGAGGCAGAGGATTTCTGCAACGGCACGGGGAGGATGCGCATCTGAAGCATGTCTCATGTCTGTCATTTGAATGCCATCCGTGCTTTGGATGTGAGCATGTACGAGGTCTATCGCGCCCCATGAACAGACAACTTCCTTTTGTCTGCTTAATGTTCGACGACGAGTCCTAAGCAAAAGCACTCACTGACGGATCCAGCGAAGATGAGGAACCGGGGAGCTGGTAGCACGTTGGCCAGCGAACTCCAATTCCTTGCAGCCAGGACAGAAGTGCCGGCCTCGGACAGATTATCCAGCTTCTGTTCCCGTCCCTGCGATATGGGACTGTGGAAGGGGGACAAAAGTCAGCGGCTTTGCGGGTTCCCCGGGCTGTGCTCGATGCAAGTTCGCCAGGACGAGACGGCCTGCGAAAACTCCCTCAGATTTTTAACTTTTCCGATGTGTCTCCTAGGTCAATCCAGCCTACTCGGAAGACATGCACATGCTCGGCGCGGGGGAGAAAAAGGAGCGTCCGTATTGCAAGCGAGTGAAGCGATGAGAGTGGAGATCAAGAGACAAGGAAAAGGGCGTACTGCCGGGGTTTCAAACGAAGCGTCAAAAACAAAAGCAAAAGCCAAAGGTACAAAACTAGCAACAAGTAAGATCCAGGCAGATACACAGAGATCAAGCATAGGCAGCTGGACGCTCTGCGGATTTGGGCGACGACTTTTGGCCGCGACGGAGCTTGTTGAAGAGACTGCCGTTGCGGGTGAGGCCGGAGCCTTCGGCTGCTGGTGAACGGGGTGCGCCGCTCCTCGAGTCGGCGTTGGCGGCAAAGTAGGAGGCGTCATCGTCGTGCTGCGCTCGGGGCGTCACCACGTCCCTCTCGTTGGGCGTGACAACGGTGCGGCCGGTGCGACGGCCGTAGCTGCCGCTCGATACAGCCGCGTCGGCGGCAGCGCGCGAATCGCGTGAATCGTACGACGACTGGCCGCCCACCGCAGTCGGCGGTGTGCTGGGCGAGTGCTTGTGCTGCGCCGCCCGTCGACGGCGGTCGCGCATCTCGACGGCGCCATCCTCGGGAGGAGGCACGTTGGGGTTCTCGCGCATGCTGCGAATGCGCTTGATGAGACTCTTGCTGCGCTTGGGCACATCGGCACCCGCGGGCGCTCGCTCGTCCCAGTTGGGCTCGGGAAAGGGACTGGCACTGCCGACGTCGAGGTCCTGCTGAGCACGCGAAGGCTTCTTCTTGCCCGTCATGATGGCCTCCATGTCGAGCACGCTGCTGGCGGCGCTGGTGGTGCCGCTGCGGTCTCCTGCGGCCGAGTAGGGGCTGAGCGTGGATCGGGTTCGCTGCTTGGGCTGCGCGAAATCCTGCCATGGCTCTGCACTCACGCCCCACACGTCTGCGTTGGGATTCGAGACGTCGTAGCGGCTGTCGGGCACGTTGGACGGCTGGGTGTGGTAGCCCTGACGACTTCGCCAGATGCGTTCTGCTTCGGCGTCGCGGTCTGCGTCGATGTCTTCGTCGATGGGGAGCTCGGTGGTCGATCCCTCGGCGTGCATGGAAAGCGAAGGGACGAGCGGGGCGGTGGAGCTTCGTGTTCGACCGCCGGCGGCGTTGACACCAGGTCGTACAGCTGCCTTCTCGTCGGCCGGGCTGGCGTCGGCGGCGAGCGCATCGGCTGCACCGGCGCGGCCAGTGCGACCAGGCTTTGCGCCCGCCGCATTTCGAGGGAGGCCGGTCATGGGGTCGACGTTGGGGTCGAAGGCACCGACGGGGGCGCGCTTGCCCTTGTTCATGTGCGGAGCGCAGGCGTCGTACGGCGAGTCGTGGTGGAACATGCTGGAGCCGTTGATGCCCGAGAGATCGAGGCGGTCGATGATGTCCATGCGGCTGGTCCTAGCGGCGGTCTTGTTGATCTCATCGTTCATGCGCTTGTCCTTTGCGCGCTTCTTGGCCTTGTCGTCCGCGTTGGTCCTGCGGAAGGCGTTGGCGAATTTGTTGGCCATGCTGGTGCCGGAGGTCTTAGCAGGCACCTCTGGGGGCGGAGGGAGGCTGCGGTCCTCAAAGGGGCTCTTTGCGGGGACCATGGGGGGCGGTTCTGTGATGGGGAGCGGCTGGAGGCCGGTGTAGGATGATTCCGGGTCGTAGGAAGGATGATGGGCGTGGCGGGAGAAGCCGGCGTTGCGCGAGTTGTCTGGGTTGGGACTGACGGTGACCACGTCGGAGAGGGCAGCAAGCACCGCCTGGTGGTCTGACGATGGGTAGGCTGGTGGAGCGGAATCGCGCGAGCAACGCGAAGGGAGGACGGAAGCAAGCGGCGGCGGCGGCGGGTGGTCAGCAAGCGATCAAGGTTGTAGCTTCCGAGTGCAGAGGTGATGGTGGTGCGATGTTCAGGATCGGAACGAGCGCAGGGGAGCCGGGGACGAGGAGAGTGGACCGACGATGGCGCAGCGGTGCTGTATAAGACCGGGAAGGGGCGCGCGATCGCGGGCAGCTGGTGCATGTGTAATTTCTGTGCACACAACAGATGCACCGCGCAGGTCGCGTACAGCAAGCGGGGGACAGACAGCGAGGGGAGAGGCGAGCGAGGCAAAGCGAGGCCAAGTTGGCAGCGAAACAGGGCGCGCTGATGCAGACGGTGCGCATGTGGGCAACCATGGGCGGGCACTGGACGACAGGCTTCAGCGGCGAGAGGCTGACTGCTTGGCTCTGAAGACGACAGTGGTACAGGGGCTATGCAGGCCCAGCAGCGAGCGTTGCACAGAATTTGGGGAGCCGAGACAGAGTGGCGCGCGTGAGCAGAGTGAGGCAGCTCGAATTCGAGGGGCAGCTCTCTCACACCGCCACGCCTGTTTGGACTCTCTGGCCTGCGCGCGCACGCGTGCCAACGCGCACCACCCAAAAATCCTCGCTAAAATGGCGTCGACGCTGGGCCTAACACCGCTCGATCGGCTGCCGATCTGCACAGGCTGTAAGGCGGCCGACGCTGCAATTTGAACGTGGCGGCTGCTGCTGCTGGTGCACGGAGCAGCACAGGGCTTGGCTGCGTCGGGTGGCTTGGCGTTTCCGCTACGCTGCAGTGGCTGCAGCGCTCCTGGCTGAGCCTTTCAACCACGCCGGTCGAAGCCAAGCTATCCGCTAGCACGCCGAGTTGCAGCCGTGGCCATATCTCTGCAGCCTCACGCTCGGGTTATACGCTTGCACCACCGTCCGTTGACCGAGCAGATCGTGCCTGCAGTTTGAGCTAGGCGTGGCGGAAGCCGCATGCTGCAAGCCAAGAAGCGCACGATCGGCACAGCGCTGCTGCGAGCAGAACGTCGGCCGAACCCATGAATCCCAAGCAGCACTGACACCCGCCCTTGGTTGACCTGCAGCGCTTGGGAAGCGCACGGCAACGAGGCACGAAACCCGGACCTGAACCGCCGAGACAAGCCACGTTTCCTGGCCGGCCAGTCCAGAGATTGGAGTCGATGCACGTCTGTGTGACGTTCTGCGCTACTGACTCCAAAGACGGCACTTCGGTTTTCGGAGAGTCGGCATCTTACTTACGCATGTTAGGCTTAGCTGCAACGAGCTTGAGTTTGATCTTGTGGGGTTGGATGGGCCCACGGATAGACTGTGCCGAAGAGAAAGAGGCGGACCTGTCTCGGAGATGAGCGTTGTCGTTTGTCCTCGGAAGCGAGCTTCGAGATTGATTACGTCGTCGACCGATGAGCTTGTTGCGGTAGGAGGCGTAGCGGATGTGGAGGCGTTGTAGATTGGGTTTGGCACGGGTGCTCGTCTAGATGAGTGTAGGCGGCGAGGAGGTGCAAAGCATGAAGTCCAGGGAGAAGATCCAGCAAGGTGCGCCGGTGAGGATGTTTGGCTCTACGATGCGGAACGAAACGAAACGATGGTGGCGAGCGACGACGATGGGTCCAGACCACGGCGTTGGGGATGATGGGCTGGCTGGCACGCGCTTCCGAGCCAGTCGGACAGTCGATCTGGCCCCTGGATCTTCATTTTGAGCTGCATGAATCCGACTCGGAGCTTTCGTCACAGGCTCGGGCTGGCTCGCGCTCGCGCTCGCCTGCCTGCTGCGTGTGGAGTCGAGTCGCCAGGCGCTGTTTCCAGTTCACGCCTGCCGGCTGCAGCGGCCTCGATTTTGCCTCTTTCCCCCTTCTTGAATTTTGTTTGCCAGTCTGCACAGCCCGCATGAGCAACACCTGCTGCTGAACAGTCGTCTCTCGCTCAGCGCCGCAACTGTCCTCACAGCCAACTCTCCATGACCCTGCGATTGTGTCGAACTCCCAGACTGGTCCGCTTGACTTGCTGAGACCAACTGTACAGCGCTTCCTTGGGTAGCCTGCTCATAGCTTGAAAATGTACAGTGAGGCAATCGCCTCGCGTCTGGTGCCATTGTCTGCACCTGGAGCGGGGGCCACGCTAGCAAAGTCAACACGGTGTCCTTCGGCGAATTGGGTGCGGCGACCAAAAACATTCGTGATTCCCAGACTGCGACCGAATAAAGCAGGATGTAACATTACAATACTTCGTTTTTTTTTCCGGCGCTTGGCAAAGATGTTGCTGCACGACCCTTTCCGCAGGGTCTCTGAAACCAGACTGCAGGGTCCCTGGCCGGGCTTTGTGCGAAGCAACGGTGCCACTCTGGCATGCGTCAAACCCTCGAGCACCATCTTCTTGAGCCGCCTTGTACAAGATGCTGCGCATCGATCTGATCCCTTGACGTTCCAGCCATGATAGCCATTGCCGACGGGGAAAGGCGGAGAGCAAAAAGTTTCTTCACAACAATGCATCCTCTCAAGCGAGGCCTCTCGCCCTGCGCCCCCAGCTCCATGGCGAAATTTGACGCATTTCTCGCCTCGCCGCCCTTGGCCGACGGCACGGCGTCCCTGCGGCTGCCACTGCCGCCACTTTCAAGGAGCGCGCGGCGTATGCTCGCCACACCCAACCAGCCCGCCTCGTGGGGCTGCCCATGCGCCTCCATGCCGTGCCTGAACATCCTCTCACACAGTCGAGCAGGGGAATAGCGAGAAGCCCCTGCAAGCCAGCTGTAGTTGCGGTCCGCGGCGATCCCACCCTGCAGCACTCCCGTTCCGTTCATCTTGCACCCGTGCGGCGCCCTTTTTCTTCTCGCCACCAACTCCTTTTATCTTTTCTGCTGCTCCCGACCATGTCGAGTATACCGGCAGCACAGGGTGAGGCGCCCACTGCCCCCGCAGCCACAGCCGATGACGATCAAATCTCGATGCCTCGCCTCTCGGATGGCGCCTCGAGCCAACAGAGCGGCAGCACAGGAAGCAAGCAATATGCAGCAGCGCTACTCGCCAACGGACAAGAAGCTGACGCCTCCGAATCACGTTTCGTCACCAGCCGCACCGAGCTGTGGGCCTTCTACATCTACTACATCGGCAACTGAATCATACTAGGATTTGTTCATTTCCTTGTGAGCGTGGCGAAGATTTGGAAAAACAGAAAATGTTAAAATGAAGAAGGTGGGGAACGAAAAGGTGAAAGGAAGCTATTCTTCCTCGGTTTCAGAGGTGTCGGGGGAATTTTCGGGGTAGATTTCTTCAGCTTTCCTTTGGCGCCAGTGGGCAGCCTTTTCAAAATTATGAAATTGACGCCTATATACCATCATAGCAGTCACCTGTTTACGAGTGACCTTGGCAGAGGGTTTCTTGGGTCGATTTGCGCCCGTCACGACAAGCAAGTTGCTGCGCGGCTCAAGAAGTCGCAGGCGGAGGTTGGACAACACGTTGTTTAGAGGGTTCTGGTCAACGTGGTCAACAATGTAGCCTTCCAAGAAAAGGGCGAGGCGGGAACAAAGATGATGTCAATGAACCGCTGTACAGTACTGTACAGTACGAGGATAATCGGCAATTAAAAGAAATGAAAAAAGCAAACTTACCTGGAGGGATTGGCCCAGCAAAAACTCGGCGTTGAAGCGAAACGCTCGCCCCATAACCACGCTTGGGGCTGGTCAGAACGTATCCTTTGGCGATGTTGTAGAGATAAAAGTTGTCGAATACGTCGGCATTGCAGGCGGAGACCGTGACGAGAGCATCGCCAACACGTCTAGAGATACTTCCCTCTTCCACAATGGGGGATACGGAGTAGCCGACGGAGGGGGACATGGTCAAACAGACAGAGAATGAGGGGAGGAGGCGGAGGGATTGCCGAACGGGGAACACTTGCCGTGCGAAGAATGAAAAGCACAGTCAAGAGTTCAAGGAATGCAGGTTATATAAGTCATTTTCAGTCTTGCTCGAGTCTCATATGGTGCTATACTAGCAATGCGGACACTGAGTCATTGCAAAAGACTTGTGTCCTTCGACAGAAATCTCACCGAGAGCGAGCGTCTTTGGCGATTTGACGTCGGGGCTGGTTTCACAGCTCGCATTCAAGGCCTTGCAAGTGGATTGATACGCTGATCCCTCATATGAATCACGCCATCAGCGGTCCGTGGCAACAGCCACATCGGCCACAATAGCAACACCAGCCACAATAGCCACAGTGATCATGGTTGATCAAGCCTCATTGACACCGGCTTTCCTTCTACGAGGCAACGATGCGATGGGCCCGTTCCGTTGAAACAGAATTGATCAGCGCATAGAGCATATCTTCGCACGAGGTTTTTTGCGGCATTTCTTTTTCTTGTTTGCGCGTCTCGTGTCGAGTGCTCTTGCGTAAATTGCACAGGCGCTCAAATCTCATTTTCGGAAACGACACGTTTATTTTTCAGTCGGCATTAATTTACTACAATTTACTACAAAGTACAGGTACATGTATGCCGCCGAGCTCGTCGAGCGTTTGATGTGTGCGATTGGACGTGCTCTAGATTGCCCAAGAATCGCATTTTTGGGACGCATAAGTGACCACGGTGGACCGACGACACCATGAGGACTGCGCGCTGGCACAATAAATTTCCGGGACGCGTGCACAGTGGCGGCGGAAATGCAAGAGCGCCTCCGAAGGGTCAGTGCGCTAGTGGGCGTACATCGTTGCTGTGAATGACTACGCCACTCAAAATCAGACGCCGATGTTGGCATGAAAGCGCGCCAGTGGGCGTGCATCGTGTTGGCATGAAAGAAGCGCTGCAAGCATATGCTGTGGCGATCGAGCTTCTCGAAGACTCCGTGCGCCATTTGCGCATAGACGCGACCACCTCAATTTGACAGCCTGTCAGACACTGCGAATATCGAATGTTCCGGACACCGAATTGTGTCTGTGTCATTCAAGTCGCGACCGACCCCACAGCATGCCCAACTCTGCCATTGACAATGTCCTTTGTTGAGATTACATGCTCTCTAGTCATCCGTGTCGTGCGGCCCTTTCTCTCATTCCCAGGTTGCTCGTTGAGATTACATGCGTGTCAAGCCTTAGAGGCCGCGTGTCCGGCAACCTCAACAACAGCATCGTTACAGCGCCACATTGAGCTTCCGTGTGTAACAAGCCTCATCGTTGTCACGTCAGAGAGTGCAACCGGCGAATGTGCTGTACATATCCTTGGCCGCACCCTCGCTTCAACCCGCTAATACTTGCATGTGTGCTAACACAACGGAGCAAACGCCGTATGCGATGGGCGCCTTGTCGAGCTCCATGCGTCGTCAAGCCACTGTTGCCTGCAGAACGATACTCGGAGCAAAGAGATTCGAGTATGCGATGTCTTGGCTTCGTTTCATCAGATTTTGTGGTCGCCGCTGGATCTACGCCGGCAATGGATCAATGTCGCTTGGCGCTCGGCCCTTCTTACAGGTCTCACTGTCCGCGCATTGCCCAACGCCAATGGAGCCAGTGCATAGCAATTGAACGCAATGAGTTTCTGTCAGAGACGCAAAGAATCGACGTTCTCTTAGAGACTTTATATGCATCTGAAACCATATATACCCCCGGTCGTCCAAGATTGTCGACCCCTGTCATCATCGAACCGGCAGAATACCTTCCACGGTAACCTGTCCTCCTCCCGTTTTCCCCTTTCGTTTTCTAGTCCTTAGCCTCCCCCCCCTCCTTTTTTTTGACATACACAATGTCTCTTCCTGCTGGACGAGCCCCTCCGCCCCCAACGATCGAGACCAACAGCGTTTCAAAGGAGGTCATTCGTTATGGCGTCAAGGCGTTCGTCACGGTTTCGGCCGAAGACGCCTGGATCTTCGACGCTTTTTGGGTGTCCGTTGGCAACCGACAACACGCGATTGCCAATCGCAAGGGCAAAGAACGTATGGTGAAAGACCTTCATCGGTTGGTCTTCACCGACCCGGTGCCTAAAGGTCAGTTTTTTCCCCCTTTTTTATTTCGTTTTCCTTTTTTTTTTGTGCGCGCACGCTAATTCACCTGATTCTATTTTTTCTCACAGGCATGGTGGTTGATCATATAGATCAAAACCCTTTGAACAACGTCAGGTCGAACTTGCGAGCCGTCTCCCTGTCGGACAATGCGATGAACGCAACCCTCAAGAAGAGGCCGAAGTCAGGCTACCGCGGAGTCTGGAAGAACGGTAACAAGTTTACGGCGGAGGCCCGGGGTAAGAAAATTGGTAGTGGGTTTCCCAGCGCAAAGGCGGCCAAGGCCTTTCGCATTAGGGCCCTGCGTCAGGAAGGTGCGGATGCGATGGCAGACATGGAGACGGAGGTCGAGCTGTCTGTGAGTGATGAGGAGTTTCTCAGTGGATTCAAGAAAAAGACGTATGCCTCCAAGGGCCAAGGCCATGTCAAGCGGGCAAACGGGGTTTTCTACCCCATGCTCCGTGGCAAGAGGCTTGGTCGGTGCACGACGGAAGAGGAGGCTCGCGAAAAGATTCGACAGGCGGAAAGGCTGCGGAAGCAGGCAGAGGCTAAGGAGGCAGCGGACGTAGTCATTCCTCGCACTGCCGAAGGAGTTGCCTTCCTAACCGATAAGAACGGCGAAAAAATTTTGGTGGACGACGACATCTACATGCAGTTTCGTAAGAATCCCATCTACTATAGGGGTGACGGCTATCCGGTCGTCTTGGACAAGCCACTGCATCTGCTCGTCTGCCCGCGTCAGCCCGAACACCAGTGTGTTGACCATATCAACGGCAACAGACTGGATGCTCGGCGCTCCAACCTGCGCAGTACTACTTACGCCATCAACAACCGCAACCAAAAGCCTACGAGTGCCACGGGCTACCTCGGTGTTGTTTTTGATACCAACCACCCAGGCAAATTCAAGGCCGTCGTCACCGACTCAAGGGTCAATCCACCTGCTCATTACACTCGACTCTTTGACCATGCTGCCGACGCGTCGCGCTGGCGCCAGAAGATGATGTTGGAAATCTATCCCGAAGATCAAGTCGTGGCCTCAGGCTCTGCGAGCCAGTAGTTCCTCCTTCTTCATGTTCATTTTTTCTTCATGTTTCGCATCCAAGCAATTCCTGTCCGCTCTTTCCAATTGTTCTAAATGATTTTGTCCGTCCCTTTATTGACGGATGTCAAGGTATGAGTGCTACTTGGAGATCGCGGTTACGCGACTTTGGTCGCGTACGATCCTGGCCAAAGTACGTAGCGGGCTTAAACGTTACCTAGCCGGGACAGACGTTGTTATATCGTCGGTCGGCTGCTAGGGTCGTTCGGGCACTCGCTCTTCTTAGGGCAGAGGTTGAGGGATCGAGCGAGGCGCGATGCGTTGGGGACACGCGGTGCGCCGGGGAAACGTGAGTCGCGTGGGCGCGACTTGAGAGATGGGTGAGGAAGTATGAGTCAGTCTGCTCGCGAGTGGTCTCGAGCTCAGTCTCTTGGGTCCTCGTCAGGGGGATGGAGATTCGATGATGATTTCGAAGTGGTGCTCGACTAAGTGCGCTATATATATCTGCGATCTCCGTACGGGAGGGATGTAGCGAGGAGGGGCACTTGGTCGTGCCCTCGTACCCGCCTCTCTGTTACGCCGCCCGACCGGCGGCGGACCGACCGGCCGGTCTGCTGCGGTAACGCCGCGCCCGGGCATAGGGGAACCGGACCCGGTGCGCACACTTTCTTCCTGACCTTGTCGATTGTATTCTATTCTGCACCTAGTGCTCACCGGAATCTCAGACCGTGTTCCCACACACCCAGCGCGACCCGCTAGTGCCTACCAGTGACACTACCGGCCCCCACGTCGGTATCTCACGCCCGAGGCCTCTCCACCGGACCCGACCACGCCCGTAGAGGTTGCTAGACCCCTCGAGCATAACACTCTCCAGAGGTCGCTAGGGTCTAGCGCCCGTCGTCGTATAGCGAATCCAGTGTCTTTCTCTCCTAGACTCGCTGTCCGTGTCGAGCGTCGTTCTCGCGATGTATCATCCAGCAAGTATGGCTCGGGAGGTGTGACTCGTCGTCTTTCCAGCCAATCGCGGTTGCGCGACCAGGAGTCGCGTAACCAGCATTGGTGGTTCTTCGCTCCGACGCTTGCTGGCACGATCGGCAGGGTGGCTTCCGGCCAACTCGTGATCGTTCCATGGTTCCCGAGGGCGTCTGATCAGGTCTCGGGGGCGACGTCAAAGTCGCGCTGACTGATGATTGGTCTCGTCGTCTCGGCTGGTCTTGGGGTGGTGAAGCCCCATTGGCGGTGAGCAGTATTCGACGTCGCGGGCTTCGGGTCAGTGAGCGTGACCCGAGTTTTTGAGGTTGGACCCTGGAAATTAGTTGCGCGATCCAAGTCGCGCAACCTGGATTTTGGCGCGTCCGTCACCGTGGGCGCGGGTCCTATTTCCCCCCTTGGGTAATTCGAGTGCGGCTTACTGGATGTAAGTCGCGCAACCCAAATCTGTGTGTCGCAAGTGCGAACTGCTTCGACGAAGATGGAACTGCGAGATTACTTGTGCAATCCAACAAAGAGGAATAATTTCGCGCCCTCGCAGTTTCAGAACCTGCTGTATCTGCAGGCCACCAACCTCGGCGCCGGCATGTGTGGCAACGACGGTCAGCCCGACTGCCGTCTCCGCTTTGCCGGCAAAGAGCGCACGGTGGAGAGCATCGTGCTTCTGTGCAACGGCCTCTCTTTCGCCATCCAGGCCGTGCTTTTCTTGGTCATCGGAAGCTTTGCCGATTATGGACGAAACCGACCTTACATCCTCGTTGCAAGCACCGTCGTCGCTATCGCCGTCAGCTTCGCTTGGCTCGGAGTCACGGATCCGGAACAGTGGCAGACGGCTATTGGACTGTATATGGTCGGAATCATCACTTACCAGCTCTGCCTGAGCTACTGGACCGCCGCATTCCCAGGTCTTGCGAGGGATCTGCCGCACATGCGCGACGCAAGAGCACGGCTCCTCAACGACTCGAACACTGCTTCTCCAAAGGCGGATGCCGATTCGGCCGATGACAAGGGCGAAACTCCGGCAGCAGAACACGCGGCAGAGACCGAAGCAAAGGCAGGTGCCCACTCGAACCACGGCCGCATGACAGCAGACGAGTACAGCCTGCTCGAGACCATGGCGATCAACCGCATCTCAAACATCGCCTTTGCCGTGTGCTCTGTGGGCGAACTCGTGGTGCTCGCCGTGATCCAGGGCATGCTCTACGGCATTCACGCCGACCGAGACACCATCTCCAACACCAAGGCGCTTTCCGCCGTCGTCGCTTTCGGCGCCAGTGTATGGGTGCTCTGCGCCATCCCCTGGTTCGTGCTCGAAAAGCGAAGGCCTGGACAACCCCTCCCACCCGGAACCAACTACGTCACGGCGGCAGCCAAGCAGGCGTATCTCGCTGCAAAGCATCTGCGCCACCTCCGCCAGACACTCATCTACCTCGTCTTTTACTTCCTCTTCTCCGACGCCCTCAACACCTCGGTCACGGTCATTTCGACCATTCAGAACCAGGTGGTCAGCTTCAGCACCACCAAGCTCAACCTGCTCCTCATCGTCGGCATTGCAGCGCAAGCGGTTGGCATCTACGGTTTCTGGCTCATCCAGAAGCGATGGCAATTGTCCACGCTCTTCATGTTCGGGTGGGTCATCTTCTTTACCCTCTTACTGCAAGGCTGGGGCTTCATTGGCATCTTCACTCAACGTTTTGGCTTCCATCACGTGTGGGAGATCTACTGTTATCAAGCCTTCTACGGGTTGTTTGTATGTCCATGGTACGCCTACTCTCAGACGATGATCGCGGAGGTGACGCCCAAGTCGTACGAGTTCCTCTTCTTCAGCCTCTTCTCGCTGGTCGGCAAGACGAGCGCGTTCATCGGGCCGTTTGTCACGCAGGCCATCGCAGACGATACGGGCAATGCGTCGTCGCCGTTCTACTTTTTGCTCGCGCTCTCGCTCGCAAGTTGCCTCCTGCTCTGGCCACTCGATATCAAGAAGAGCAAGATCGAACAGGCCCGCTTCATCGAGCACGAGGCCAAGGACAAGCACCTCGACTCGGCCGAAATCGCCGCAGCCCCCAGCGCTGCAGCGAACGCTTAGACCAGGGCGCCACGGACAGTTATAGTCGGCACCTTTTGTACCATTACATGCTCAACTCGCGATAGTGTGCCGCAGGAAATTCGATTCACGATTGAGAGCTCAGAATCCGTTCGTGTGACAGCGACAGCGCGTTCCTGACGCTGAGTGACGCTTCATTAAAGCTTCCCGTCGAACAAGGTTCAACCGACCACCCGTGCGTCGCCGGCTGTCCCACCAATAAGCTCCGAGGGCGAGATCTGCATCCACATCCGCATCCGCCCCGCGGACCACCTTTGCTTGATCGAAAGCCACCATCCGCAAACGAGCGCTCGAGATGGTGGGGCTTGGGCGGGTGATCTAACAAATTCGGCTCGAAACCGTCCTGCATGTGGAGCTGCGGGGCGGACGACGGGGTTGGCGGGCGAAATGCGGTTGGGTGGATAAGCTGCAGTTGCTGCCGCGAGTCAGCCGGCCTGTGCGCTGCGCCGTCGAAATTCTCACCCGCAGCTGTCTTTGTCTCCACCACTCTGCGTCTCGAACACCTTTCTATCACCGTCACCGCACACGTCTTCCGCAACTTCTCATCACTGCTCAGTACGAAGGCATCCACAATACGCTCGCTCGCCGACTGGACGCAGTTCAAACATCTCTACGGGCTTGCTGGAGCGGATTGGGGGTCGAATTATGGAGCAGATCCTGAGCATCCTGCTACCGTGCTGTTTTGGCTCACGGCATGCGCGGTCACCAGCCTGGTCTGCAGCCGACGCCAATGAGCGCACGCCTCTGCTCGCCGATGGATCGCAGTCGATAGCGTCTGGGTCTGGGTCGATTGCAGACAGCTCAGCAGCACAGACGAAGCGCAAACGCAAACCCCAATCCATCCTCCCCACCCCGGCGTACGACGAACATACCCTGCGAAACATCCTCGACGACCTATCTGCTCGACTGGTCGACGTGGAATCGGCAAAAACACATGCCGACAAACAATCCATCCTCACATCCTCACCTGTTCCCACCGCCGAAGAATCTACAGACAAGCCAGCATCGGAAACAGGGGGCAAGTACGTCACCCCCGTTCATACTTTACGACTCTCGGTGCGCAGTCCATCAACACCAGCCGAACCTACTTCCAAGCTGGTTAATATTTGGCCAAAAGATACCGAAGATACAGCATCAGTGAATTCGGCAGCAGGAGCGAGATTGTCGTATTCGGCAGCGTTGAAACGGGGCGCAAAGAAGAAGGCGAAAAAGTTCCCCTCGACAGCCAACGCCCGATCCGACGATCCAGCCGCTGTGGAACAACAGACGTACAACAACCTCGCCCAGATCGCTGGATCCAAACCACTCGTCCATAGCTGGGACATCGACGATACCCCCGACCTCCATCCACCCGCATAAGCTCCCCGTCCCCCTTCGCTTGCATGCCGCATCACACTCTTTTTCACTCATGCACAATCTCTGCCAAAAAGGTCTGGAGCGACTGTGTTTGCTTGTCATTGGTGTCAGTGCGTTGCAGAGGGCAGTGGTTGCATCTCCACCGCCTCGTTGGCGGGCGCAGTGGGAGCAGCCTCTTCGTCGGCATCGGGAATGACCGCCTTCTGACATACGGGACACCGACCCGAGACGGTGGTGAGCCACTGGTCGACACACGAGCGGTGCATCACATGGCCGCACGCCAGCAGCCGCAGCGGCTCCGGCTCCGGCTCCTGCCCGGCCTCGGGCTCCTCAAAGTCGCACAGGCAGATAGGACATGTTGCGCGGTGCGCCGGCAGCGGATGCAGCGGATACTTGAGCCCCGGTCGCTGGCCGGATGTGGCCCCGGGAGGCGCTGCGGACCGGCCCTCTGCTGCCGGTGTGCTGGTGGCAGTGGCTGGTATCGATGCAGCGGTCTTTGACGACTCGCCGTTGGCGGACGGGCCTGAGCGCCGACGTGCGACAATGAGCCGAGTGAGCCGGCTCAAACGTCCAAGCACAGGATGCGAGGCGCTCGCGAGCGAGTCCTGCGTGGCCTGCCGCGATCCCATCCCGGCTCTTGACGGCTGCAGGGCAGATGTCGCGTCAGCGCCTTCACCAGGTGTGCTGGCTTCCTGTGCGGATATCTGATCCATGGGCTGATTCCCATCGTCCGCTTCGGCCGGAGTATAATACACAAGCTTGACGCGCTTATCGACTTCCTGCTGGTCGATCTTTCCCGTCTCGGGATGCAGCTCTCGCTGCGGCAGTCTGTGGTTGAGGCCGAGCGCGCGCATGATGACGATGAGCAGCGGCAGCGCGCACACGATCAAGAAGGCCAGCACGGCGATCTCGACGATAAAGATGTACACCACGACGAGCGAGGCGAGCGCGGACCAGAAGAGCGGCACTGCCTCTGCGGGCTTGCGCGAGCACTCTGTGCTGCTGTACACGATCGCGTTGCCCACAAAGAAGATGACGAGCGATGCGATGCCGAGCAGCGTGCTGATCTTGCCCACCTTGACGTCGAGGTACTCGGAGCCCAGTGGACGGTCGCGCTCGGCGATGGCACGCGCCTCTGGCCCGGCTCGGCGACCTTGGCGCGTGCGGTGCGGACTGAGGCCGAGGTAGAGCTCGACAGGGATGTCGAGGGCGAGACGGACCATGTGGACGACGAGATACTTGAAGAGGCTGTCTGGGTTGCACACTCTGCCGTCCTCGTGCGAGGGCGAGATGCGATGCGAGCCAGGCAGCGAAAGGATGGGGATGAAGGCGACGATTTGGGCGAGAGAGACGCAGATGCGGATGAGGAGCACGATGCGCCTTCCACGCGGAAGCTGTCGCACGCCGATCCACAGGGATTGCAGCAGGTTGCGACGCAACCTCAGTGCTTCTGTGAGCGAAGGGGCCGCAGCCTCGGTATGTTGCGCCCCATCCGGATTGTTGCGAAGGGCGTCATTTCCCGGCGCTCGAGGTTCGAGTGCAGTCGGTATTGGCTCGGCGTTGGTGGACATCCCGTTGACGCGATGGCGAGCCAGGGCGTGACGAGGTTGTGGTCAGGAGGCAGAGTCGCGGCGAAGTGGCGGTGGGAGCTCGAGTCGGCGCTGCAGGAGCCGCTTTGCGAAGTAATGACAGTGTGAGTCGCCGACTCAGCCTTTCTTGCCGCTTCGGAGACGCCGATAGCAAGCGGCTGTAACAATCAATTGCGCTGCCCCGCCGTCTTGCCGTGCAATGCGCGCCAGCTAAACAGCAATGCACAAGTTGCACCCTTGTGGGGGTCGGTCGAGAATCAAAGCTGGAGCGCGCGCTGCCGGAGCAGAACGGTTGCAGAAGGATTTTGAGCAGCGTCGTTGACGTGTCGGTGTCGGTGTCAGGTCCCTTCAGCCCTGTGGCGCCGAACGCCTGCGTCACATATGTGGAGCCAAGCTTCTTCTGCTGCACGGCCACGCAGCTCCGCGCCCTTTGCCAAGCCTCGGCCGGCGAGCCGCCGCCAAGAAGGCTGTGCCGTCCGCCCTATCCGATACACCTCAAACCTAACACTTTTCCACTTTTGCCACGCGCCCAACGCACAGCATCACACTCGCTGTTGCGCTGGCTGTCACTTTGCCGCCCCTCGCTGCTCTCAACACCCACAGCACCCAGAGATCACACTAGCTTTCCTCGTCACACGACATCAGTCAAGGGAATCATTCATGACATTCGAAACTTCTGAACGGAGCAAAAGGTAACATCGCATCGTTGGGGACTTCTATGTAGCAGCGAAACCCCCGCCCACAGGCGGCGGCCGCGACTTGGCGTCCAGCCTCGAAGTCACAGCCAAGAGTCGCAAGCGGTGACGAGTCGCTGCAACTGGTGTGCTTCGATGAGCCAAACAAGAGACCAAGTCGCGCCAAGAGAGAGAGAGCACTCGCAGAGCACGATTGTACTCGACCATCCCACCTCATCGCAGTGTGCACTCACCTCGACGCCAGCAATGATGAGAAGCATGGCTACTGAGGCTGGACCAGGCGGCGAAAGGAAGTGAAGCCAGGGTCGGTTGACGACTCCGCCTTGGTTCACATCCGCGCGCACCCGTCCAGCTGTGGACCCAGTGTGTCAAGGTGACGATGAAGGTGTGGATGAGCCGAGTCAGCCGGCTCGAGAGTGAGAGAGAAAGGGAGAGAGAGAAGAGAGAGAAAAGAAACAAAACGATGCACCCGAACCGATCGCTGACAAGCACGCTTTACGCGCTGGGCAGGCGGTGGACGATCGCCATGGCCGTGTCGTCGCCGTGCGAGATCGAGACCAAGAAGCGAGAGCCGTTGGCAGCCTTGAGCGCCTCGCCGTACAGCTTCACTTGGGGGCCCTCGGGAGTGGGCACAATCTCGACATCCTTGAGCGACGCGCCCGAGCCCTGGCTGCGCACGCCCAGCGACTTGAACACCGCCTCGGCAGCGCAGAAGCGGCCGCAGAACGACGCCTTGGCGTCAGGCTGCGCTCGGCAGTACTCGATCTCGACATCGGTAAAGTTGCGCGAGACAAAGCTGTCGTTGTCCGAAGGGAAAGTCGAGATCTTCTCGCAGTCGATGCCGACGCCAGCAACGTGGCCCATCATCTTCTGCAGCGACTCCTGCTGCGCGGCCACCTCGGCCGACTTGGCAGGCACGATCACGTCCTCGGTCGTGGCGAGCGCCGGCATGGGCGGCAGCGGCGCCTTGAAGCCGTAGCTGTCGCCCATCTCGACCGCGCGTGCGTTGAGGTTCATCAGCACCTGGTCCTCCATCTCGGCGGGCCAAGGGCGGTTGTCCTTGATGCGCACCAGGTCCTCCTTGGTGAGCGCAGAGTGCATGCGCGTGTACGTGTGGTGCTGGCGAGCCTTGCGGCGCTCGACGTAGCCCTCGAACACCTTGGGCGAGAGACGACCCAGGATGTGAGCCGCGTGCAGCACGAGGATGATACCGCCCACCTGACCGAAACCGAACGAAGACACGGCAGCCGCGTTGACGTGGTGCGGCGTGCGGTGGATCGACGTCGAGTTGTACAGCAGCATGTCGAACTTCTGCAGCTCGGGCGAGATGTCGTCGGCGTTGCGGTTGCCGCAGACGATCGAAGTGTGCAGCGACTGCATCACTCCGTTGAGCGCCCACGCAGCCGCACCACCCTTGGCGTGACCGCACAGCCACTTCTGCGCCATCACGGGCACAGCGTGGCCAGGCGTGCGCCCCATGCGCGTGAACAGCTCCTGGTAGACGTGCGACTCGTTCTTGTCGTTGGCCTTGGTCGCCGTCATGTGCGCCGAGATGACACCGATGTCGTCGGCCGTCAGGTTGAAGCGGGCGAGCGCGCGCTGCATGCCGTCGGCACTGCTGATCACACCGTGGCCAGGAGCCGGCAGCGATCGGCCGGCACCGTCGGTGTGCGTGTTGGAGTAGGCCACGATACCCTGGATGGGCATGCCGAGCTTGATGGCGTTGGCAGCCGTGGTGAGCACCTGGACACCGCAACCCTGCGACTCCATGAAGCCGCTTCGCGAGGTCGAGAAGGGACGCGAGTGCTCCGACGGCTCACGACCAGCAGCCAGCTCCTCCTTGCCGTTCGAAGTGGCCTYCATGTTGGCGAACTCGAACGAGCCCTCCTCCGAGAGATCGTCGAAACCACCGGCAAGCATGAGCTCGGCCTTGCCCGACAGGATCGTCTCGACGGCCACGTCGATCGACTGCAGCGCCGTGGCGCACGCGCCGACCACCGTCTTGATGGGACCAGCCGACGACATGACGAGCAGGTTGACCCAGCCGGCGACCGAGTTGATGAAAGTCTCCTGCAAGATGTCCTTCTGCACGTCGTTGTCGTTGCGGCGGTCGCGGAACATCTTGCTGAGCGACGTCATACCGCCCATGCCCGAACCGATACAGCTGCCCACCTTGCTCGGGTGGATGTGCTTGTACAGCTCGTACGGGTCCGAGATACCCGAGTTGACGAGCGCCTCCGAGGCGCAGACGAGCGCCCAGAGCGTGGTGCGGTCGACCTGCGCGACAATGTCGTCCGGAATGCCGTAGCGCTGGCCAGTCCAGCCCGTCGGGATCTGACCGGCAACGAGACGGTCAAAGGCGACGGCCTTGGGCACAAAGATGCGCGCGCCCTTCTTGAGCACCACGAACCAGCCGCCCGTCGAGGCGTCTTGCCAGGCGTCGACCTTGTCGCCGTGCTCGAGCTTGTACTTGGCAGCCTCCTCGGCCGAGACCTCGAGCGGCTCGAGGTCGTGGTTGAGCTCGATCTCCTGCTGGAAGCCCTTGCGGTTGGGGTCGTAGTTGCGGAAGAGCTCGGGCTCGATGAGGCGGATGCCGGCGTGCTTGACAATGTGCTCCTCGTAGTTGGCACGGATGTCCTTGTCGTCGACGGGCTCGCCACTCTTGGTGTCGACCCAGCCGACGTAGGTGGCACCCGACTTGAGCTGACCGTCGTGGTGCTTGATCAGGCCCATGATCCAGGCCAGCTCGATCACACCCTCGTTGGTGAGGTGGCCAAAGGCCTCCATCTCCCAACGAGTGCGCGAAGAACCCCACGGTCCGACCTCGGCGAAACCGGTGATGACGACGACCTTCTCGAGGTCCATCTCCGAGTAGCTCTTGGCGATCTCGCGGTTGAAGTCGAGGGTGCCGACCTCGGGGAAGCGGAAGGTGAAGTTGCTGCGCGGGTTGATGTGCACCTTCTTGTGCAGCGCCTCGGCGGCGGAGCCCTTGATGACCTTGAAGTCGGCCGAATTGTCAGCAACGAGCGCGCGCTTGGTGGACGAGGCCTCCTGGATGGCGGCGCGGAACTTGCCGGTCTGCTCGGCGAGATCGACGATCTTGTCCATGCCACCGTTGAGGTCGACGAGGAGCGCCTCGACCTGGCTGACGGCGGACACGGTAGGAGCCAAAAGACCGAGCAGGTTGAATGCCATCTCGGTGGTGCTGAAGGTGCGGCAGCCGAGCTTCTCGATCTCCTCGGCGACCGTGTTGGAGGACGACATGAGGCCCGTGCCACGGCACCAGCCGATGATGGCACCGGTGATGCAGAGGTACTGACCCCAGCTCTCGCTCTCCCATCGGTTGAGCAGCGTCTCGAGACCGAGCTTGCTCTCACCGTAGAGACCGTCACCACCGAAGGTGCCGTGGTTGGGCGAGAGGGGCAGGAGCACCTGCGTCGGCCTCGTGTCGAAGTTGCGGCTGGCCTTCTCGGTCTTGATGGCACCGAGCAGGCGAACGAGGTTGGTGAGCATGAGTCGGTGGGCGAGCTCGGACTTGTCGTCGATGCCATCGATCTCTCGGCCGTTCTCCGAGATGGCGGCGAAGGGCACGACAAAGTCAAGGTCGAGGTCGAGCGAGCCGTAGATGTACTTGACCAGGTTGTCGACATCCTGCTTCGAGGCCTGGTTGAAGGGCACCACCGTGAGCGTCGAGCCACGCGAACCGACCTCCTGGTAGATGCGCTGGTAGTACTCGACGACGCTACGGCTGTAGCTCGACGTCGTGATCACGACGCGAGCACCACCGGCAAGGAGACCCTTGACCACCTCGACACCGATGGAAGCCTTGCCGACACCGGTGAGCAGCGCGTTGCGACCCTTGAAGCTGACACCCTGGGTGGCCATCTCGCCGAGAATGTCGAGGTAGACCGAGGTGAGCTTGCGGCTGAGCTGCCACTGACCCGCCACCTTTCTCTTGACGTGCAGGAAGGGAGTGCGGTCCTCGGCGGCAGGCGCATCGCTGACCTGCGGTCGCTGCGTGTTGGAGCTGAGGCGGCGGCTGCGAGTAGCCTGGCGGGCGGGCGCACGAGCCTGACGCGCGGGGCCGAGCGAACGGACCACCTCGCTGTACAGACTCTTGATGGTGGCCTTGCTGAGCTTGCTGACCGAAGGCTCGTTGCGGATGAGCGTCCAGAGCTTGGCGACGTTCTCCTGCGCCTTGTCCAGGTTGACCTGGCTGCCAGCGCCGAGCAGACGGCTACCGGCGGCCATCTCCTTGACGTAGGCCTCAAGCTTGCGGACACCGACGCGCTTGACTTCGCTGTAGGCGATGTTGCCGCGCGAGTCGATCTCGGTGTGAGGAGCGGTGGGAGCGTGCACCTCCTTGTACACGGCGTCCTCGGCGCAGGCCTCACGGCAGTTCTCGATGAGCTGCTGGCCGTACTCCTTGGCGAGGGCGTAGGTGGGGCCCTTCTCGGCATCGATCTGGTCGATGTGGAACTGCATGTAGCGGAGCAGGCTGGGGTCGGCACGATTCATGAGCGTGATGCAACGAGCAGTGATCTCGCGGTCGACCGTGGTGAGGCGACCGTAGATAATGTCGTACAGCAGCGTCATGGCGTCCTGGCGAGCCCAGTTCCAGTACGAGCTGAAGTGACGGACCTTCTTCTCGGTGAACTTGGGCATGATGCCGTTGGTGTACATGTCGCCGTGCTCGGCAGCGATGGCGTCGAGCTGAGCCTGAGCAGCCTCGAGCTCGGCCTTGGTGCTCTCGGCCAGACGGCCACCGGCGCGGCCGTCCATGTTGAGGTAGCGCTCGAGCACCTGGATCTGGCGGCGGACGTGGTCGTCCTGCTGCGCCTTGAGCTTGTCGAGCTCCTCGCTGCTGATCGCCACACCACCCGATCCTCCGCCTCCGCCACCGGCGCCAGCCTGGCTCAGGCTGATGCCAGCGAGGCCGGCGTAGGTCTGAGCGACCGAGTCGAGCCAAGCCTTGGCCTCCGCCTCGGAGCCGAGACGCTTGGCGGGCTCCATGGTGATGGCGACGAGCAGAACACCGTCGATGCGGCCGGATCCGAGACCCCATGCCTTCTGCAGGTGCGACTTGACGGCCGAGAGGTTGAAGCCACCGGGCAGCTTACCGCCGACCGTACGCGTGATCAAGCTCGAGGTGGTCTTGCCGAGAGAGCCGCTGTAGCCGGCCTGGAGAGCACCGCCAAGCTCCTCGAGCGGCAGCTCCTCGCCACGCTCGGGCAGGTTGCCGAACTCGGCGAGCAGATCCGACACAAGCTCGTTGCTGAGCACCGACTTTCCGCCGACCGAGTCCTTGATGGACTTGGAGAGCGGCACCTCGGAGATGCTCTTCTTGAGCTTCTGGGCCAGGATGGCGCGGACGGTGTCGACAGCCTTGAGCGGCTCGTCGGGCACGTCGGCGGCAGCGGCACCACCAGCAGCGGCAGGAGCCGGCGCGGCAGCAGCAGCCGGTGCAGGTGCAGCAGCCGGAGCAGCAGCGGCAGCCGGAGCCTCGGTGGCGGCGGCAGCCTCGGCCTCGCTCTCGTCGTCGGCAAACGAGTAGTAGAGCGCCTCCTTGTCCTTGCTAGAGCAGAGCATGACACGCTTGCGGCCCTGAGCAAGGTCGACGGCCGAGTACTTGAGCGCCTGGGTGCGCTTGGCCATGCCCACGAGGGTAGGGCTGGGGCCAAACTCGACGAGCCGCTCAAAGTTGTAGTCGGTGAACATGATGTCCTGCGTCTCGATCCAGCGGACGGGCGAGGCGAACTGGTAGGCGAGCAGCTCGACCACGAGCGTGGCGGTGAGCCTCTGGACGCGCTCGGGCGACTCCCACTCGTCCTTCTCCCAGTTCTTGAGCACCTTGTCGAGACGTGGCGAGTCGGTCTGGGCAAAGATGAGCTCGGCGTACGACTTGGACAGCTCGAAGGGAGCCGCGACCAAGTTGGGGATGTAGCGGCCAACGAGCAGCTGGGGTCGGATGGCATCGACGTTGATGCGCTTCGACAGGTACGAGCGGAAGGGCGCCACACCGCCGGTGAGGTAGCGCGAGTGGAAGGGCACGTCGATACCAGGCAGCGGGATGGTGGCAAAACCGCGCTTGAGCTCGATGCGGCCCTTCTTCTCCTCCTCGAGGGCAGCAGACAGCACCTCGCGGACGATCTCGGCGAGCTTCTCGCGCACCTCCTCGATGGGCATGATCTCGTTGAGCTTCTTGAGGTCGATCTTCTGCACCTTGATGAAGTTGAGCACGTTGCCGAGCGTCGTCAGCGCAACGAGGTCACCGGCAGCGACGTACTGCTGGCCAGCAACGTTGTGGTTGACGATCTGCAGCAGACGGCCGGACTCCTGGCTGATCGAGTCGACGATCTCGGCGAGCGCCTGACCGGCAAAGGCAGGGTTGCCATCGCCGACGATGCGGAGAGGGTTGCAGGCCATCATGGCGTAGTTGGAGGCGCCAGTGACGGGGTCGCGCTGCACGCAGTTCTGCATCGAGAGACCACGGTAGAAGACGACATCACAGAGCGACTTGACCTCCAGAACGCTGGCGACGGCCGCAAGCGAGGCGTACTCTCCGAGCGAGTGACCGGCGAAGGCGGCATCGGGAGTGATGAGGCCGCGCTGCGTCATGTCGCGGAAGGCACTGAGCTCGACGAGCACAAGCGCGATCTGAGCGAACTGGGTGGCGAAGAGCAGACCCTTGGGCGACTGGAAGGTGTAGCTCTGGCTCGACGAGGTGATCTCGGGGAAGAGCGGCAGAGTGACCGTGTTGCCGTCGGCGTCGGTCGACTCGTACGTCATCGACATGTAGCGCTCGCGGATCGTGTGACCGCGCACACCACCAAAGTGGATGGTCTTGGTGAGCGGGTTTTGGTTGATGATCTCGAGGATGCTGAAGCCCATGGTGCTGCGGAGGTGACCATCGGCCTCGTCCCAGAGCGCCTTGGCGGTGGGGCTCGAGTTGTACAGGTCCATGCCCATGCCTTGCTCCTGCGAACCCTGGCCGGTGAAGACGTAGACGGTGGCGGGCTGCTTGATCTCAGCCTGGCCGTCGATGACCTTGTCGCCGTTCTGGTTGAAGGTCTCGACCTTGACGACCTTGTTGCCGTCGCGCATGGCAATGTGGCGCAGCTTGACGCTGAGCTCGTCGCCAGGCAGAACCATGCCGACAAAGTTGGCTTCGAACGAGAGGCATCGGTCGGGGTAGCCCTCGGCGGCGACGACCTCGACAAACTTGCGCGAGGCAGCGCTCGAGAAGAGACCGTGAGTGATGGTGCCGGGGAGCGAGGCGAACGAAGAGAAGTACGGGTTGATGTGGATGGGGTTGAAGTCACCCGAGACGTTCGAGTAGGGCTCGTTGGTGGCGGGTGCGACGAACGTGGAAGGCACGTCCGAGGAGCCGAGCGTGTAGCCGGACTCGAGAGGAGCGACACCGCCGGTCGAGACACCGCCGTGGCGCTTGATGTACTCGATGACCGGGTTGCCGTAGCTGGTCGCGTCGGCAGTGTACTCGATCTCGCCGACCTTGATGAGGTCGTCCTTGAAGTCGCGAACGTAGGCACCGCCGGTGACGTCGACATCCGAGTACGACGAGCTGTCCTTGTATCTCAGCAGGTTCTCGATCTTGAAGTGGAGGCTGGTGCCCGGGATCAGAGGCTGAGGGGCAACCCAGTCGAACCACTCCTTGGACAGCAGCACGGTGGCGTCGGCCTTGGTCTTGATGTCGAGGACAAACTCGTTCTGCGACGTCTCGAAGCACGTGTTGAAGTCGGTGAAGCGGCCGCGGAAGAAGAAGCTCGAGACGACCGAGATGACGGGCACGGGCGTGCCGTTGGCGTCCTGGCGCAGGACGGTGCCGGTGACGCTGACCGACTTGCCAGTGTCCGAGATGCGGATGCTGCTGGCGTGCGCGGTGGCGGTGCAGACGTCGCCAGCGCGGAGAGGGCGCGCATCGTCGATCACCTTGAACGAGTTGCTGAGGTGGACGAGGCTAAGTAGGTCGGCGTCGCAGCTGGCCATGAGAGCCTGCATGATCGCCTCCCAACCGGCAACGATGGCAAAGTCCATGGGAGCCTGACCCTTGGTGAAGACCTCGCCGCGGTTCTCGACGATGCGGCAGAAGCTGCGGATGGCCGACTCGTCGAGCGACTTGACGGGGCTCTTGAACTCCTTGGCCGACGCAAGCTGGGCAGCGGCGGGCATGTCGGCGTGGAACCAGAGCTGCCAGTAGAACTGCTTGATGCGGTCGTTGCGGCCGTCCATGACCTCGTGGATCGAGGCGAAAGGCTGGTCGGGGCGGTAGGTGAAGAAGAAGTGCAGAGGGACGGCCTCGCCGAGACGCTCCTCGAAGAGCGTCACCTGGATCTGAGCCGATTCGGGCGACTTGGTGATCTCGATGGCCTTGAAGCTGTCGTCGTGGCGACCGTACGAGCGGGCGGCGCCGAACAGAGTAAGGCTGATCGGCTCGCCGTTGGCGGCGTAGGCGATCTTGGCCGTCTGGTGCTTGCGAGGAGCCAGCATGCGCAGCATCGGATTGTCGGCGTAGTTCTTGCCCTGAACAACGCTGACGTTGCGCAGGAGGGCACGCAGCCAGCTGGTGCGCGAGGTGGCAAGGATCTCAAGCCACTCCTTGGTGTCAGGAACGCTGCTGCCGACCTTGAAGGTCTTGACGTTGTCGGCGACCGAGATGTCGACGCCCGAGCGAGCGGCGAACTCGGCCTCCTCGATGGCAAGCGGGTCGCTCGAGACGTAGTCGGCGTAGGGCACCTTGCTCTCGTCGTTGTCGTAGTAGCGGGCGAGCACCCTGGCGACGAGCTCGCGCTCGATCTCGCCCAGCATCTCGCCGGCGGGGACGTTGGCCTTGGTGCAGTGGCGCACGGCCACGGAGCCCTGGAGGATGATGACCTTCTGAGCATCCTGGCCAACGACAGCGTCGAGGTCCTCTGACTGCCAGAGCGAGTCCTTCTTGAAGAGCGTCTGGAAGTTGTCGCCGAGCTCGGGGATGAAGGGCACGGGCTTCTGGCCGCGGCGCTGGCAGATGGTGAGGAAGTAGCCGACATCCTCGGCAGCCAGGCGGATCTCCTTGGCGCCAGTGTACTCGGCGAAGAAGGTGTCGACGAAGCTGGCGGGCTGCTTGTCGAGCACCGAGTAGCTCTGGAGAAGCGACTCCTTCTTGCCAGCGGTCTCGATGCCGGCGAAGCGCTCCTCGACACGTCGGCACCAGTCGCCGAACAGCTTCTTGAGCGAAGGGTCGATCCATCGGCTCTGGTGAAAGACAAAGAGGAGCTGGAGCATGCGGCGCGTCACCTCCTCGTAGGTCATGTCGGCGACGTTCATGAGGGCGGAGCCGTCGAGCTTGGCCGGGAACCAAGGCTTCTGGAAGTCCTTGTTAAGACGCTCGATGAGCCAGCTCTTCTTCTCCGAGAGCCAGACGCGCTGCTTCTCACGCGGCAGCGAGAAGAGCTGGTCGTCGAGCTGGCGCCAGAGCGCAGCAGCGCGGTTGTGGACGTAGCTGATGCTCTCGCCGAGCTCAGAGTTGCAGGTGATGGTGCCGCCGGCGCCCTTGCCGTAGGTGTCCTGCCACTTGTCGTCGCCACAGCCAGGCGTGTCGACGAGGAGCTGCTTGACAGCATCGGCGGTGGCGGCCTCCTTGGCAACCAGCATCCACGAGGCGAAGAGGAAGGCCGAGAAGGGCATAGGAGCGTAGCCGAGCTTGACCGACCACTCGCCGGTGAGGTAGGGCCAGACACCCTCGGCGTCACCGAAACCGGAACCACCGACGAGGATGAGGTTCTTCTGCTTGCGCAGGCTGGCGTACGTCTGCAGGATGGGCTGGTGGAAGTCCTCGGTCGAGTGGTGGCCACCGGCACGACCACCGGTCCACTGGCAGATGATCTTGAAGTCCGGGTTGGCGGCGGCGATGGCAGCCACGGCGCGGAGGCCGTCGGCAGTGCCGGGCTTGAAGCCGACGTACTCGATGCCGGCGGCCTTGAGACCGTCGATGATCTCCTTGGCCTTCTCGGTGGAGGGGATGCCGGCAGCGACGGTGAAGCCCTTGCACGGGAAGCCCTCGCGACGCATCTGGCCCCAGAGCGGGTACTGCCAGCCGAATCGACGCTGGTCGATGAAGAGACCGTTGAGCTCGAGGCCGTTACCGGGCTCGAGCTGGGCGAGAATCTCGTTGACACGCTTGCGCAGACCAGCCTCGCTGTGGAGTCCACCACCGGCCAGCTCGATGACATAGCCGGCGTTGAGGACAGCGGCGTTGATGTTGGCGCTGACGGTGGTAGGAGTCATACCACCGACCATCAGAACGCCTCGACCGGTGGTGCGCGAGAAGGGCGTGTCGATCTTGATGCCGTTCTTGGTCCTGACGAGGCGCGGCGACCAGACGTCCTCCCAGCGCTCCTCAAACTCGACCTTGGTGGCCGAGTAGAGCTCGGTGCTGCGGGCGTGGGTGCCGCTGGGGATGACGATGCGAACGCCACGACCCTCGAGGATGCGGCCGGAAAGGCCACCGATGCCCGAGAGACCGCCGGTGCCAAAGTCGATGAGGTGGGTGGCGGTCTTGGGGAGGTCCGAGGCCTTGGCCCAGTAGATGTGCTTGACAAAGATCTGGTCGGCGATGCTCTTGAGGATGTCCTCGGAGCGGTAGCTGGCGAGATCGGAGCCGTCCTCGGTGTTCTTGACGGCCACCTTGAGCTCCGAGGCATCCCAGACGGTGGTGCGGCCGGCATAGTCCTCCTGGAGCATCTTGTCGGTAGCGCCGGTGAGGTAGCTCGAATGGTAGGGGACGCCCACGGGCAGGAAGTTCATGCGGAAGACGGCCTTGCGCTTGCTGAAGGGGACCTTGCCCTGGTCGGCGCCGGTGTCGGCGCGGATGGCGCGCAGGCTGCCGACGAGACCGACGAGGGCCTTGGGGTAGCCGGTGACGATGAAGCTGCGGGGGCCGTTGAAGAGCGAGATGGAGACGGCCTGCGACTCGGGCAGGTGCGAGTTGGTCTTCTGGATGTGCTTCTCGAGGATGTTCTGCTCGAGGCCAGAGACGGAAAGCATGGGCGCGGGCTCGCCCTCGCCGCCATCGACGGTGTCCTTGACGAGCGCCGGGTCGATGGCAAGCGTGGGGAAGAACTCCTGACCGCGCTTGCCGATGTGGAAGAGGAGCTCGAGCGCCTTGGCGACGTTGGCGTAGAAGGACTCGAGGCTGTCCGAGGCCGAGAGCACGACGGCCGAGATGATGCCCTGCGAGTGGCCGGTGGCGCTCTTGATCTGCGCACGGAACTCGGTGGGGGTGAGGCCCGAGGCACGGATGCTGACGAGGAACTGGGTGATCTGCGTCAGGCCGATGAGCGGCAAGCTGAGCGGCACGCTGGCCAAGTAGGCGACGGCCGGCTCGGGCACGGCGCCCGTGAGCCAGCCAAGCACGTTGATGCCGTGCGTGTAGTAGCTGCCGAAGCCCTGCTTGACGGCATCCTGGACGAGCTGTTCAAACACGGGCTGCGTCGACTCGAGCAGCGGCTGCACCAGAGGTCGGTAGGCATCGAAGAGCGTCTGCAGCTCCTTGAAGTAGGCCTGTGTTGCAAAGAAGATCAGAAGCGGATAAGATGGGATCGTCAGTCTTTGGCTCTAGAGCCTAACACCGCAAGCGCCTGCGCTTTTTCCGGGCGGCTATCCGTGCCCGATGCAGGGTCGTGTCTGTCTGAGTCTCTAGCCGAAGCGATCGCGCTGCGCTCGCTCTCTTTCTTGTCTCTTTTTTTTTCGGAATCGTGTCCGGTTTCGCCGAGCTCCACCGGGTCAAAAGACCTCCCCGAATTGCGCAGAGACTGCGCAGAGAGAGAAAGCCCTTGACGCGGCGAAATTGAGCGTCATCGGAAATGACGCTGCAGCGGCGCTCTGAGCGTGGCGCTGACCCCAACACTTTGGAATCAGGCGAGACTTGGGGTGGAGGAAATTCGGCCACAGCCGAATGCAACTCTGCCCGTGCCAGACACTGCGGCAAGCAGCCGAGACTTGCGCATCGGCCACCGAACGCTGCCGTTCAAAAAAATGAAGGCAGCGACCGACACTGTGGACGATGGCGAAGGATCTCTGCTCGGGACACTGCGACAAGGGATGGAATAGAGAAGGAACTTACCTCGTTGTTGCCCTGGCCACCGAAGACGGCGTGCACCTCGGCCTTGTTCTGGGCCGAGAGCGAGAAGAGCTTGGGCGTGATGAGCGCGGGCTTGGCCTTGCCAGCCGACTCGAGCTGGGCGAAGGCCTCAAAGTAGCTGCGCAGGACGGAGGTGCGCAGGTCCGTGTCGAGAGCGGCGACGAGGTCGTGGACGCTGCCGCGCTGGGCGACAAAGTGGTCGTGGAAGTGGATCCAGGTGGAGTGGAGCAGGTTGAGCTCGTGGCTCGACGACTTGACCGTGGCGCGCGAGGCCAGGAAGCCGAGGAACTTGGCGGCGAGGCTGACCTTGGCCTCGCCCGCAGCCTTGTCGGCAGCACTGGCGTCCTCCTGCTCCTCCTGCACCTCGAGCACGTCGGTGACCTCGGGAGCAGCAGCCAGCGAGCGCTGGAACTCCTCGCGGAGGACATCGGCGACGATCCAGGCGTCGAAAGGCTGGGAGGGCAAAGGGATCTGCACCTCCACACCCGAAGTGGATGCGATGGTCAGAGCACGGAGGAGCGTGCCGTTGGCATTGCCGTTGCTGCTGGTCTGGCTGCTAGCCGTCGAGACCTCGACGTAGCTGTCGTCCGAAGGGGCGTTGTTCTTGACAGCCGACATGGTGGCAAGCTAGGAGAGGTGATGAGGGCGGAAGAAGGGTCGGCGGGGGTGGGTACTGGCAGATGGGAGAAGCAAGCTGGTCGTCAAACAGCACGCTCGCGGATCTGCTAAGAGAGATGAAGCGATTCTTCCGTTTGAGATGCGGAAGGAGAAAGAGAGCTCGCGATACGAAGGATGCGAGAGATGCGGCGGTCGAGCTTGAGATCCCAGTCGTCAGATGGAAGCGTCAAGCAAGGTGCTGAAGATGGAGTTGGTGTTGGAGAGGAAGAAGAAGCCAAAGCCGTCGTCACTCGGTTTCAGCGAAAAGATGCGGATACGAAGATGCAGGGCTTTGATATGAAGGCGCCGCGATCTGAAAGGGGGATGGAATGGAAAGGTGATGGTGTGGTGGCAAGATCGGTGGGGGCCAACGAGGAGGCTAGCTATGATGAGAAGCTCGGAGCTGGAGCAGCGTCGGTGCAGGGGCCCGACTCCTTCGAGCAGAAGCAGCGGCAGCAGCAGGAGCAGCAGGCTGCGCTGCGAAGCCCAACCAACACTCTTTTTGGTGGCTGCGCCGCGTCGAGCCCCAACAAGCGTTGGGTTGGTCTAAACTCGCCGCCAACGCCCCGCAACACAAAAAAATGCACAGACAACCGCCAGAATTCCGAAAAAAAATAAAAATTAAAAAATCTACAACGCTTATTTTCCCAGTGAACCCTTCAGCGCAGCGCAGGGTACCGTCACGCAAAGGTCGCGGCGAGTTTCCGACAGGAGAAAGACTGGCGGTCCGTTTGTCCTTTTCTCCTTGGTCAAGAGTGGACGGGCGACGCTCATCGACAAGAAAGTCGGAGGGTCGGCGGTCAAAGCGGGCGGCAATGGTCCCTTTGGCCGCAGCCCAGGGTCGGTGCCATACGAAGCTCTCGCTCTCTCAAGCTCTCGTCCTTGCAGCTTCCCGCGAGCGAGCGAGCGAGCGAGCGAGACTTGCCCACGCGCCACAATTTTCCGCGCTCCGTGCCTCGATAGCTCCCGTATCCTGGCTATGCGCCCCGGTCCGATAAGGGCTATCAGGCGGCAGATGGCCGGCGACGGGCTGATGAGGCTATGGCCATGCCAACGTTGGCCGTCTCAGCTATCTAGGATCCCACACAGATTGTGGAGACACGACTAGATCGGCTCGTAGTCGACCCGCTTTGGAACGGATCTCCACCGCTTTCGGGACGGTGGGGGTCGGTACGGTCCACGGCTAGCCGCCACCTTTGTGAAGCTGCTGCTGCCCCTGCTGCTTCCGTCAACATGCCGACACTCTCCGAACCTCTTGACGCTACAGCCGTATCTCGCCCATGCTACTCTTTGCTCGTCAGACGGCGACACTTGCACGTATTGTGAGCTGGCGGCTCGTATGGCGATAGGCGAGATTGTCAATCGTTTTTTTTTTTGAGCAACGACGTGGACGCACAGACCAAGGCCATCCATCACTTCAGAGCGAACACCTTGCCATGCATGCCTTCATCTTGCACAGTTTCATGCTACTGTAGCTCAAGACGAGCTCGATGCTACTCATTGCAAACAGAGTTGGCGAGCGATGCTGGTCAAAAGCGGGTCAGTGCGTCTGGCGTGGAGGCATCGACGCATCGATAGCAGCTCTTGGGTTCGCAGAATCCCTCGGCCGCCTCCACCCCCACCCGTTTCCGAGGGTCCAGAAGTTGGTCGCGGCAAAAAGGCCGGGAAAAGCGTTCCTGCTGGATTCCTCCCACCCCCCACTCGCTTGCGAGTCGGCTGCTCCTCTCTGCCCGCCCAATTTTGTGAGGAAAGGACCCTTCCTGACGCAATTTTTCTTTGGCTTCCCAGCGCCCAGTCCAAGCTCATTCAATTGATTGGATGCCTCGGTACAAGAGAATCTCTAGGGCTCAAGCTCATAGCGGTGTGACTGGATTCTGGCAGACCACTTGGGTTAAGCTGACGCGGCCGATGCAGTTTTATTGCGCACAACGGTACCTTCCGATCAGATTCTCAGTTGCAGGCCCGTGCCCGTCGATGTCGGCAGGTTGACTTGACTTGCCATCCGCTTGCAATCTGTAGCGTCTGGCATCGTCAGGCCATGACTACGGCCGATGGAGGCCGGGAGGCGTCGATGGACCTTCGCCGCTTCTTGCCGTCATCGGCTGTCAATGTTGCGTGTCCATTGCAGTTTTTTGCTCGACATTCTTCCCACACCACCTGCCTCATCAAGAGATCGACAAGCGCATGCTATCGTATCCTCAAGGTTTCGACCCTCAGCTGGTGCTGTCAGCTGCGCTGCGAATTGACTCTGCCTTCCAAAGCGAGGACGGTAGACCCGCCGTTTTGCGTAAGCTCGATCGAACTCAAAAAGGCTTGCTGCGGGTGGCTGCCTCTTTGGGCCGGAATCCAGGGTCCAGCGTCGGTCGGGGCAGAAAGTGACCACAAAAAAAGCGCCGCACCCTACTCAAAAATGGACGCTAGGGCCAAGCTCGCTCGCTCGCTCACTCGCTTGGCCATGTGAGCAAGGAGGGATCATGGCTGTCAAATCCGCGGTCGTGCCTGCCGACAGCCCGCCCGGCTTTAGCGCTCACAGTTTTCTTGGGCTGCCTGTCACTTTGAGCAGGGTGGTGAGAACGTGTCGAGTTCTTTTTGGAGCCACCCACCGGGAAAATCCGCACTGCCTGGCCCTGGTGAGCTTTTTTAGATTTTGCCCCAAACTTCGCATCCCTCCACGCGCTGCCAGGCTGCGCAGAGAGGCTGCGCAAGTTCGAAAAGCCACCGCCGCGTTTTTACCCAAAATTTCGAGCAGATTTGGACGGCCCTCCCAGCCGCTCAGCGCCACGGCAAGATGTGTCGGGCGCTGCAGCTTCGGGGCGTGGGCCGAGCTCGCATCTCGTTCCTCATCCTTCCGAAGTTGGTGAGGTTGGCAGCTCAGCCATCGAATCGGATCAGCCGTATATCAGCAGCATCGCTCAGCCAGGTGAGATCGATATCGGGTGTCGGTCGTTGCAAGCTCGGGAGCAGGCCGACATGCCGCCTCCGTCTCCATCGACGAATCAGTGCTTTGGTTAGACCCGTATCGGCGATTTGCTCAAAAAAGTCCCATCGCAGTGTAGTTCTTCCTGCTCTAACAGCCTGAATCCTCGATTTTTCTGTCTGTCATCGAGTAATCACGAGCCGGGCCAGTCGGAGCCGCCTGCGCTAAGAGGCCCAACGAGCGAGGATCAAGGGTGCTCGCGAAGAAAGCCTTTTTTTTCTCCGCAGCGAGCCGGAGCGGGTCGGCAGCGCAGAAGAAACATTCACAGCCTCGCAGAGCTGTCACAAAGGCCCTTTCTCCTTTCTTTCCCTTCACCTCACTGCCATCCGCAGCACACCCGCGACCCACATCCATCTGCACCGGAGGACTCGTTTCTAGGACATTGCGCACGGCCGAGCTTGTTTCTTTGGAGTCGCACTCTTTCGCTTCCAGCACTCGACAAGGGACCGGTCTCAGTACACTTCACCGCCTCATCACACGCTCAGGCTAATCATTCATCGCGCCTTGCACACCAGGCCTCCGGCATTCGCATCTTCCTTCCCCACTCCTGCATTCTGCGAACAAGCTTGTCGACCATGCAGGCTTCGGGCGTGTTGAGAGCGGCTGCGCAGTGCAGCCGGTCGGCAACCGCAAGAAGAGCGCCGGCCATGGCAACAGCACGCATCCAGCACAGCACATATTCAGCATCGGTCTGGTCACGGTCGGCATCAAGAACGTCGAGCCCAGCGCTGGCTGCCGCATCATACTCCTCCCCGCTATTGAGACGGCGCGAGCTCTTGGTTGGTGCCGTTCGAATGCTGCATCAAAGCAACGCGCTCGCCGAGTCGCGCAAGTCTACACCACCATCTGCATCTCAGCCGGTCAAGTCGGTGCCACCGACAATAAAGACCACGTCGACGGAGCTCAACAAGCAGAGCGACACCGAGACGGCGGTGACGGATGCGAAACCGACCAAGTCGCTGACGGAGCGCGCCAAGGAGTTGTGGGCGACGGCCAAGTACCTGTTCAAGTTCTACTTTAACGGAGTCAAGCAGATCTGGGCGAACCGCAAGGCGGTGCAGGTGGTGCAGCAGAGGGTGGCGGCGGGAGGATCGGCACTGACGCGCGAAGAGTCGCAGTTGATACGCACGCACCAGGCCGACATGCGCAAGCTGCCGCTCTTCCTGTTCATCCTGCTCATCCTCGAGGAGGCGCTGCCGCTCGTAGTCATCTGGGCACCGTCGCTGCTGCCCTCCACATGCATCCTGCCCAACCAGCTCACCAAGATCCGCATGGGCGACGAGGTCAAGCGCGCCGACGCGGTCAAGCAGCTCAAGGAGTCCGAAGCGGTCAAGGAGCTGATCCCCGTGGTCAAAACGTCGTCCAAGACCCTCTCGCTCACGCCGGCTCATGCAGCGGAGGACGAGGACGTGCTCAAGCAGCTGTCGAGCGAAGAGCTGGCCAAGGTGGCCAAGATCTTTTCGCTCGCCACGTGGGGTGGGGCTGGGATGGTGCGCCGCCGTCTGGATGCGCACATGGCCTATCTGCGCGAGGACGATGCACTGATGGCTATCGACGCGGGCGCCGGCGCCATCCCACAGCACGCGGATGCGCTGGCCAAGGCGTGTGGCGAGCGCGGTCTGCGATGCTCGGGAATCGAGCACCTCGACATGTTTGAATCGATCCGCACGTGGTTGCGCTACACGACACGACACCCTTCGACACGCCAGATCTCGAACGCATCGGTGGCTCTGCTGCCGCTGCAGATGTACGACGCCTCGGCGTTGAGCGAAGTCAAGAGCTCGTTGGAGGCCGAAAGCGCACGTGGTCTGATCGACAAGACTAAGGACGTGCTGAGAGAGGTAGTCGAGGAGGAGAAGAAGGTCATCAACAGAGACGAGAGGTCCAAGCAGGAATCCATCAGCAAGCAGCACCAACGCTGATCCCCCGCGCTCCTCCACGCTCCAGAGCCGAGCATCCCACTTGCATACCCTATCCCCTACCTCAGCCTCACATGCTTTAGATTTTTTGCTCCCCATTCCACCCCTCACACTCATCTTTCCATCCATCCCGCACTCATCCATCTAGACCACCGATAATCATCAGCACGATCTGCCTACTCGGAAGCTGCACGACCCGGCAAGGATGTGCAAGAGAGTGTTCGGTTGGAATCGAGTTTGTAACGACACACGAGAGGTGGAGGCAATAAGGCAGAGAGACAGGGGAAAGGCGGACATGCAAGGGGGACTAGATGATACAAATGGCGCGACATGCGAGCGAGCGAGCGAAGACGAGGGAAGAGACCATGCTGAAGAGGCCACTGCAGGAGCCGAGATGGTGGCGCCCACAAGCGACGAGGAAAGGGGAAGGATGACTGGAGAGAGCGGATTTCACATCTCCATGTCACCCATTGGCTCTCCCTGATCGGAGAAGCTGCCTACGTCGGACATTTCGTCGTCATCGTCGTCGTCGTCATCCTCCTCTTCGCCTGCCGCATTGGCCGCCTCCTTTGTGGCAAAGCGCTGCACGTAGTCCTTTACGCGTGCTTCGTACGTCTTTGGCTCGCGCATGAGCAGCGCTGCCGCTTCGCCATTGAGCGGATCGGTAGGGTTTGGATAGCGCAGCAGCTGCGGTAGAAAGACCTCGAAGATGTTGATGCAGTCAAACATGGGCGACCATGTCTGATTGATTACGTCGAGACACACGGACCCCGAGAGCTCGTCGATGTTGGGGTGGAAGATCTTGTTCATAAAGCCGATCGAGGGTGACTTGTACGGGTACTGGTCAGGCAGCTCGACGTGGATCTTCCACACACCTCCGGCAAACGGAGCTGCAAAGACAAACGCAGAGAGAGGTCGGCAAGAACGAAAAGGGTCAGTTTCGGAAGCATAGAAGGGATTAGTCTGGATCCCAGTGCGCTGTGGACTTACTCTCGTCTGGGCCGTGGAAACGGACATAGAACTCCTGCATGCTGTCGTTGATCAGGGTGATCTCGTAGTCCGACATGAGACTGAGCAGGTGAGGGAGCAAGATCGCGGTCAGTGCTGCATTCATTCGAGTCGGTGAGCGATCCAGACACATACAGCTTCATGACGTCGGTCTCGATGCGACGTTTTGGCGATGTCATCTTGGCTGCTTAGCACCCTTGCAGCGATCGAGGCTGGTTGGCTATGAGGTGGGCGTTGATGAGCTTGAGGTGACAACCGAAGGCGGTGGTGCGAGCGAGCGGCTGGAGTGGTGCGGGTCGGCGCTCGGATGCGACCGTTGTGTGCGAGCGGGTGGGCGGAGCGGAGATAAGGCGGTGGTGCTGGATGAACGCTTTGACCTGCGCAGTGAGTAGTCGAACGGATGCGACGCTGCTGATAGCGCTGGAAACAGACTGAGTGAAGCTCGGATGGGGTCTACGATACGAATGAGGTGGTGGATGGTGAGCTGGAGGTGACGGGTGGGGCGTTGGCTAAAGGGCCTTGGTCAGGGTCTCTCGCGATCTGAGCCGAGGCTGGCTGGATTTGGCATGAGCTGGCGGGACGTGCAGGCGGGCGGGCGGCTGTGATTGTGCGGGATTGAACTGGCAAATTGGACGGCGATGGGGCCGATGGGGCCGGTCAAAAGACGGGCTGCATGCACCGATACTCGCCCAAGCAAACAGGTCCACACTCGACTCGCTCACGCCTCTGCAAGCGTGGAATGGGGTGATGCGCTGCTAGGCGGTGCCTTTCTATGCCAAAGCGCAATGGACTGTATCACGCGCTCTTGACCCTGGGCCAACTTAGCCCCACAAGTCACCTCGCTCTCCCTCTCTCTCCGCTCGACCTGCCGAGCTGCAAGTTGACAGCCGTCTGCAGCTCGACCAAGACATGCGGTCGAATGCCGCGCGCCCTGAAATTCACCCTCTCGATGCAGTTCCGACTCTCGGGTCCAGCGGGTCCAACGCATCGGTCTCCACGTATCTAACCCTAGAGGTGCCCTATGCCCTCACAGCACACGCCGAGACTGCACCATGCTGGGAGCGAAGTGTGGACCCTTTCGACCGCATACACTAGCAATCGAGATCGCGTCTCCAATCAAACTCATGCTTGCGGGTAAGTTAGGTGACCGACCTGACTGAGGCGGCTCGGGCGGGCTCAGCTACGCCAAAAGTGGAGGTGTTGGACCCTCCAAAAGGTCGCCGCTCCGAGCCAGCCGAGCATCGCCGTCCGAGCCGTCCCGCACGAGAACGTTTCCGTATCACGTGACCCGCCCAGCTCCTTCCGCGGTCAGCGCTCGGCCAACGGACAGCTGCAGCCTGCATTCATCTTGCAACACCCATCTCGAGCTGCTTTCTCCACACCTTCGAGACTCGATCTGCAAGTCATCACTTACAGCGTTCTCGACCAGCGCACACCACACCCTTATTCAGCTCAGCAGCAAGAGCGGCAAGGCCCCATCTCCGCGCATTGCAATCTGGCACGCCTCAGAGTCCAAGCAAAGCATCGTCGACCTCGTACATACTCGCACACTTCTGTTCAATCGGCACGCAGCTGTCAAACAAATTGGCCACCATGGACGCACAGGACATCGTCTCCAATATCGCCTTCACCACCTCCGGGTCGCTCGTCGACTGTGTCGATAAAAAGATGCTCGTCGTGCTTCGAGACGGCAAGAAGCTCATCGGAGTTCTGCGATCTTACGACCAGTTTGGTAGGTAGCCCCGCACACCGGCATCTCGTCCGCCAATTCAATAGACTGTCTCGTGCTGACTTTGTACGCTTCTGCTCCTCGACGTTCCGCAGCCAACCTCGTATTGCAAGACACCGTCGAGCGCGTCTTTGTTGGCAACCGATACGGTGACATCGCACGTGGCGTCTTCCTCGTGCGAGGCGAGAACGTCGTGCTCATGGGCGAGATTGTAAGTTTCCACCTGCCAAGAGCGCTTGCACATCGATGTTCTGTGCTGACCCTCATCGCTGCTGCGCCATCGTGCGAAGGATCTGGACGCCGAGGACGAAGTGCCACCATCGATCGCCGCACCATTGCCTCCATCAGCGCTGCCGCAGCTTCTGGCTGCCAAGGAGGCCGAGGCCGAGTCCAAAGCAAAGAGCGAAGCAAAGAAGGCAGACGTCCTCCGCATAGCCCGCGGCTTCTGCGCCGACAAGAGCGGAGACGGCGACACCTACTAGACGCATCTCACCGCCCCCCACCACGCTCGTTTCAATCTCAATTGTACACTAAGCAATCCCTGCCTTCATTTGGCTTGTTTGAGCGCGCGTAATTTCGGAACAGGCCAGACTTTACGGAGTGCAACGGTCGGCAATGCATTGAGGATAAAGAAAGTGATAGCCGGTTGGCAATGGCAGCTCCTACGACGAGACAGAGCTACACATGGCCTGCTTTTGCGAGCGAGTCTACAGCGCAAGCCTGCGCGAGAAAGTGCGCATTTAGTTGTCGGCCATGATCATGTCCCAGGCGATGGGCTTGTACTCGGTAGCGAGCTCCTTCTCGTGGAACCACAGGCCGATCTCCTTGGTGGCCGACTCGTGCGAGTCCGAGGCGTGGATGATGTTGCGGCCCACCGACACGCAGTAGTCGCCACGGATCGAGCCGGGCGCAGCGTCCTGCGGGTTGGTGGCACCCACCAGGCGACGGCCCTGGCGGATCACATCCTTGCCCTCCCAAACCATCGCGATGACAGGAGTGCCGCAGGTGATGTACGACACCAGCCCGGCGTAGAACGGCTTCTTGGCAAGGTCGATGTAGTGCTCCTTGGCCAATTCCTGCGAGGGAACGACGCTCTTCAGAGCACACAATTTATAGCCCCTGCGCTCGAAGCGAGAAATAATGTCGCCGACGATCTGGCGCGAGGTGCCGTCGGGCTTGATCATGACGTACGATCGCTCAGTGGCGGTACCAAGCTCGCCAGCAATGGTCTTGGGGCCCTCGAGGTGGACGGAAGGGGTGGCAAAGGCCGAGTAGGCGAGAGCACCACCGGCGACAAGGGTGGCAGCACCCATGTAGCGACGGGCCGAGGCGTTGCCAGCAACGCCAGCGGCCTGGGTGGAGAAGGCACGCTTCGAAGCGGCGCGGAAAGCAGGGATAGCGGTGCGGGCGAACATGTTGGTAATCGTCGAGGATGTAGGTCAAATGTGATGGTAAGAAGAGAAACGCCAGGACCAGTCGGAATCTCCTTTTGTCGAGTGCACTCTTGAGCACGTTGACCACCTTCCTTTTCGCTTCTTCTTCCTCTTCCGGTGAGCACTGACCATCACCGCCCGTTGACGATCGGACGATCCGCTTTTCCCTTTTTTCTGCCATTTTTTTTATCTTTTTTATTGTATTTTATTTTTGCTTTTTTTCGGCCTCCGATTTTTGTAAGATTTTTGGATGATTTTCTTTGAAGGCGCCGGCCGGAAGCCTTTCGAGAAGAAAGTGAAGCTGCTAACCAACTTTTGACATCCGCAACAGCTGTTTCCGACCTCCTACCTCCTATCTTCCACCACCGTCACCCAATCATATCGGCACCATGGCGGAAGAGCAGCTCTTTCGGGGAGCGCCGGACGAAGCCATCGACGTGACCATGGACGCGTCGTCGCCCTCTGCACCACAAGACGACGCTCAGCCTCCACCGACCCCTTCGCTGCCCACATCCGCCACATCCTCTTTACCTCCCGATTCGGAACTGGTGGCATCTCTTCCCGTCTACCTGAGCAAGTCGCTCCTGGGCGATTCATCGCTGCACGTCTTCCAGTATCCGATCTATCCACGCGACCGCCCGCTTCCGGTGCCCTACTCAGCAGCTGCGCGAGGTCTCAAAGTATCCAGCCGATGGCGACCGCGAGCCAACCGCGTCGAGGTCGAGCTGCCGCTTGACGTGCGAGCAGAGGTGTACAACTCGGAGCGCGGAGTCGACTTTGGCGCAGGCGCCGACGTGCTTGCGCAAAAGCAGGCACGAGCCGATGCTGCACACGGAGGTGCCAGCTCGAGCGGCGAAGCTTCGGGCAGCCGCACGCGCGTCAAGAAGGAGAAGGAGGAGGAAGCGGCTGCCAACCGCGGCCCCAAGAAGCTTGAGAAGGTCAAGCTGGAGAGCACGCAGGTGCCCAACGCCACCGAGTACATGGTGGGAGTCATCCGCGACCAGGCACTGCACCTGTCTCGGCTCGAATCGATCGTCCAGCTTCGCCCGTCGATGGACTACCTCGATGCGCTCGACGAGGCGCGCGAGGCCGAGAGACGTCGAGACCGTGCTGCCCTGGCAGGCGAGCTCGACTCGGACGAGGAAGACGAGGAAGAGCTCATCGAGATGGAGGCGCCCGGCGAGGGATCGTCGCGCTCCAAAGCAAAGAAGGATGCCAAGAAACCTGCAGCACAGACGCTCAGCGTCGCACTGCGAACCGATCCGAATGCGAAGAAGGGCGGAGGAATCGGCATGGGCAGCGGATCAGGCACGGGCAGCGAGGCACGCGACCTCCTCATGGCGGCGCAGAGGGAGGCCGAAGCAGAACGCTGGCTCGACCTAGAATGGCGGGACGAGCGCTCGCACGAGGCGCAGCAGATCTTCCGAGCCCAGCTCTTCGCCGGCAGCCAGACGCCGCTGACGTGCAAGACCAAGCCGCGAGAGTACCTCCTCCACGCGCTCCCTTGATATCGAGGCCCACCTGCCGGTCCTCGTACGCAACCAACACTCTACGCTCGAAATTGCCATAGCTCGCACATTTGTATTTGTATCAACACCCTCTAGCATCACCATGGCATCATGATTCGTCGATATTTGTCCCCCTTTCTTGCAAGTGAGGCTAGGGAGCAACCAAGCTGCAACTACGGGAGAGATGGATTTTGCGAGTGGATATGTTAGAGCTCCAATTTGTCTGCCGCAATCCATTTTTTTCTAGGTTTCACGCTGCTTCTGGCAAAGTGGAGCATGCGGGCGAGCGGAGATGGGCTCGAGCCTCCGATGGCTTGGAAGAGGGCGCGAGAGAGAGAGCAAAAGCCATCCAACCTCGCTGAGCCGCGGCGCTCAACCAACGACGTGCGGGGCAAAGAGCCGAATGCAAGATTGGCACACACCCTTCCTTCTTTCCGCAATCATCCTTCTCGATATCATTCATCGCGGTAGCGTGTGCCTGCTACATCATGGACGACGTGTCCGCCTCGCCGACGTCCGGCAAGGCGAGGTCGTCTCTGTTCAGCAACTCGATCTTTCCCTCGCCGTCCGGTCGGCGTCTATCCTCTTCGTCGCAGCAAGCGTCGTCGCCGCCCTCCGAGATGTCCGCGTCAAGGAGCGCCGGTAATCTGTTTCAGCAGACCTCCATGGCGCTTCAATCGTTTGCGATCGAGTCGGTCATCGCTGCTTCGGCAGCCCCGCCCCGGCTGCCCGTCGCCCAGAACAAGGAGCCGCTTTCGCTGCCCACGACAACCAAGAACTTCCGTGGCTTCGTGCAGAAGTCCGGGCCGATGTTCTGGTTCCAGGACGGTGTCGAGGCGACGCTCATGTGGCAGGACACCAGCTGGACGCTCATGTGGATGGCAATTTGGGCCGTCATCTCCATCTACCCGTGGCTGCTCCTCCTCGCTCCAAGCACCATCCTCTCGGTCATCCTCATTATGACGCACAGAGCACGGTATCAGGATACAATGACGCCCAACATCGCGCGCATGGAGGTGCCGCGCTCGCCAAAGACACGCGCGGCCGACGCCAAGACCCCGCCGGTAGGGTCACCCGCCGAGGTGCTCGCGTACGCCACCACGTTCCCCACCAGCACGGGCGAAGGCGTTGTCCAGCCTCCGCTCGTGCCCAACCCGCCGCACGAAGGTACTGTCAAGTACTACGAGAACCTGAGGGACATCCAGAACATGATGCGAATGATCATCGACGGCTACGACCTGCTGGCGCCCACCGTCCCCTACCTCAACTGGTCGTCCTACTCCCGCAGTCTGCACATCCTGCAGCTCTCACTGCTCACAACGGTGCTCATGTTCTTCATTGCGCCGTATGTTCCATATCGAGCCGTGATGTTCCTGGCGGGCGAAGGCGCGTTCATTCTCAACCATCCCTGGACCAAGCCGGCGTTGGCGGGTCTGTTCACGCGCATCGACACGTCTAGGGAAGGCCGGAAGATCATGAAGATGGCCAAGGAAGGTGGACACAAGCTGCGCGAGTGGATCGAGCAGGACCGCTTGGACGACTTTGTGTGGGAGCGCGGATGGCGCAACGTCGAGGTGTTTGAGAACGAGCGATTCCTGCCCGACAAGCGCGCAGCCAGCTCGACTGGCGTCGTGGGCGGATGGAGTGCACACAATCTGCGCATGGGCGAGCGCATGCCCTGGACCAAAGGCCCCGATGGCTGGACTTCAGACGAAGTCGAGGTCCTTCCCGGTCACAGAATCGACGTCAGGTGCGTACATCTCTCTCTCTCTTTTGCTTTCTGAGATCGTTCGGTGCTGACCTCGTTTTCGCCTTCTCCCTTGTGTCGTGGGAAAAATAGTAGGCAGGTGGCAATGAAGCTCGAGCCGGGCTGGGAGTGGATTCCGGGCGACGAATGGCGCATCGACTGGGGCGGAAGCTGGTCCGCGGTGGGCGTGGATGATCAGGGCTACGTCTACACCGATTCGAGTTGGCAGAAACCTGCCAGCTACTCGTACGGCCACGGCGGCGGCGTCCCCGACTATCCGCCCTCCATCTTTGACGTGGGCCAAGACACCGAGCTGGATGCCATCGACGACGATGCCGAGTCGGACATCCGAAGCACCCTGCCTCCGCTCAGCGCCGGCGTGGTCGATCACGACCCCAAGATGCGTGCGGAAACACGGCGCAGACGATGGCTCAGACGTGCAGTCCGCACCGCCGCATAGTTCACTCCGTCGACATGTATCTCGGATCTAATCCTACAGCAAAACACCCTAGCACTCCTGCAGACAGCGCCAACATGACGGAGACGTGTGGTATTGAAATGCATGAGCAGTTGTGCGCGCAGCCTCAGGTGCTTGTCTGTGCGAGGCTGTACAGGCCCTGCACTGCGCGGCGGAAGAAGGTGATGTTATAATCGATCAAGCCGGTCTGCTTGGCATGGACGTCCGAGTGGATGATGGCGATGAGCGCCAGACGGTGGTTGATCTGCCAGAAGCACAGCGAGCGGTCGGGCTGCAGCCGTGTCACAGACGACGCCCATCGCTGCACGGGCGCGCTCGTCGCACTTGGATCCTTGGACCCGGCGCCCGAGTCGCGACTCGCAGGTGGCTCCTTGGACATTCTGCCGAGCAAGAACCTTCGTGCCGACGAGGGCGATGTCGACAGCTGCGCCATCGCACCACCACTCGGTGTCGCTGCGGAGCTTCCTCCAGGCGGCGCTTCCGGCTGAATGCCCGCGTACAGCCCTGCGAACTTGGCGAGGAATCCGGCATAGTCAAACACCAGATCGAAGCTCGCCGCGTCAAACGGCGCCGAGTCGGTGCCGATGAAGGTGCGCGTGGGTAAGTCAAACAGAAAGGCGTTTTCAAAGTGACACGACGAGCAGATCGAGTCGCACACCTGCTCCATCGACTCGGCCAGCGTGAGGCTACGAGGAGAGTGGCTCTTGGCCGCCGGTCGTGTGGGCTTGCTGCCTTCCGCACCTGCCCCATCGTTTCCATTGGACGCGGCGTGCGGCTCGGACTCGAGGGCCTCCTCTGGCTTGACCTTCTGCGCCAGGCTCTGCTGCAGCTTGCTGATGGCGACAAACACGCTCGTGTCGTAGATCGAGGTGGCATGGCAGTGCAGCCGCACAGCCTGGTCCAGATTGATCTGCCCTGGCTCCGGAGCAACGTCGGAGCGGTGGCCGCCCGAAAAGCTCGAGAATTCGGAGGCGCTGGCATCGTAGCCGCCGCCGCCGCCACCCGAGCTCGAGTTGCCCGCAGCAGGCGAACGCGAGAAGCTGAGGTCTTTGCTCTTGCTCCGGCTGCGATCCTTGCTCTTGGATGTCTTGGTTTCCTTGGGCGGGATCGGCTCTGGATACGACCACGGCTGAGCGACAAAGCTCGGGCTGCTGTCGACGAGGTCGTCGAGCACCTTGCCCTGAATGGTGGAGAGCGTGTCTTGCCTGTAGTCGTTGGAGTATCCGTCGATCTTGTGCACAAACACGTGAAACTCGATGGTCTGGTTTTCGGCAAACGCAGAAAGCACGACCGTCTGCAGCTTCGAGAGCGCTTCGTAGTAGTCGTCCTGAGCGTCGATCACAAAGACGACGGCCGAGACGTCGGTCCAGAGCAGAAGCTCGGGGGCGGCTGCAGCAGCAGATGCGTTCGAGGCGGTAGCGTTGCTACTTTGTGGTGGCGCATTTCGCGCGGGGACGGGAGGAGGCGGACCGACACGAGCAGCATTGGAAGGGGCGAGGGGGATGCCCTTTTCGAGACGGACGTCGCCGAGAAGGACCCGGCTAGGCGTGTCGATGATGCGGATGGGAAGGAAGCTATCCGAAAGGATGAAGTTGGGCTTGGTGGTGGATTCGAGGAAGACGGTGTCGTCTGGATGCAGCTCGTTGTAGACGACGTTGAGGACGGAGCTCTTGCCGGATCTTCGCAGCCCGATCACAGGCACCTGTAACCTCTTGGGATCCATGTTCGAAGATCGCCCCGTCAATCCTGACGATTGTATCCGATGGCGGCGCAGTCAATGGGATGAGATGGGAGGTGCCAGGCCCGAAGTCAGTGGCTCGGGTGATTGTGGAGATAGGCAAGTGAGTATCTGAGCAGGATGTGCCGTCTTGTCGCTGCTCCTTGGCTGACCTGTGCGCGGTGCTGCTCGGTGCTGCTAGAAGACCCTGCTTGCTCCACATGCACCCGCCAAGTCAAATTTGTGGGCCTCGGATTTTGTTCTTCGAACCCTTCCCAGCTGCGTTCCTCCTCGCATCAGGTGGCAGCTTGACATCTTGCGACCCAGTCGACCATCACAATCACTCAGTGGCTGCAGTCGGAGACTCCGAAGCGTCTCGAGGCTGAGTAGGATGGCGCCAGGCAAGGCAAACGTCGACAAGAGCACGACGATTCGCGCGGCGTCCAAGAGCAAGCAGCGGGCGCAACCCTCGAATCGTGGTGCAGCGAGTCCCTTTGGCTCCTCCGCTGGCGGCTCACTCGCCGACTCGCTATCGTCACTCTTCTCTCCACAGCCACACGGCAAGGATGCTGCGCTTGCATCGCTGCTAGCTTCGACCTCGAAACCACCGACGGCTTCCGGGCCCAAGTCTGGCCTGTCTGCTTTCGGATCCTTCCCGACAGGCCAGTCCTCTGCCTCGTCAAAGCCTCCTTCGGCGGCCCCGTCGCAGCTGCTCGATCAAAAAAGCAAGTCCAAGCAGAGCGAACCAAAGGTCAAAGAATCTGCATCGTCTGCCAAGCAGCCAAAGGAGAGCAGCAAGGATGCGCAGCCACGTCCCGGCGCTGATCAGCTGCCCAGCAAGCCAATCGCATCAACCCAAGCTTCCACGTCCAAACCTGCATCCTCCAGCGTCATCTCGTCCCCCAAGCCGACAATAGCACAAGTGCCGGCAGGGCGCCGACCCGTGTTTCGACCTGTTCTGGCCAGCTCGACGGCCGTCACGTGGCCCGAGATGCCGGTGGCGGGATCCAAGACGGTGCTGCACACACTGCTCGAGACGCTCGCTTCTCCCGAAGTGAAGCAGGCCGTGCTCAAGGACCTCGGGCGGAAGTCTTCCGCTCGTTCACTGCAACCAAAGCGCCAGCTCCAAGTCACGAGCTCAGCGCCGTCCGTCTCGGCGGCTCCGCAGGTGCTGGCGGGCATCAACAGTATCACGCGCGCTCTGGAGGCCGAGATCCACACTGAGCTTTCATCCCTGCAAGCTTCAGCCGCGGATGGCGCCAAACAGAAGGTAAAGAGCGCTGCGCTCGTGCCGCAGATCGAGATCGTCTTTGTCTGTCGACACGACGCCGCATCGTCGACGCTCGTTGCGCATCTACCGATGCTCGTCGCTGCTCGCAATGCCGTTTCGGCTTCCCTCACCGCTGACGACTCGGTCAAAACCAGAGGTACGCTTCTGTTTGCGCTGCCTTCTGCATCCGAAGCATTGCTCGCTCGCGCGCTCGGGCTGCGTCGTGCATCCGTGGTTGCTCTTACTTCTGCATTTTCTGCGACACATCTCAGGCGTCTCCTTGATGCTGTGCAGCGCGAGACTGGCAGCGTGTGTCGGTTGCGTGCCGCGTGGCTCGAAACGGCCCTTCGGGCAGCAAAGGGGTCCGAACGAGGTCCACTCGCATTGCCACAGCTGCCACCAACGGTCAAGCTGCTCCGCACGACGCAGCCGCTCGATCTCAACGCTTCCAAGGCCGCCAACAAGTCGCGCAGGAAGGAACGCTCGGCGCGCTGGAAGAAACGCAAGATGCAGCTCCAGCAGTCCATCCGATCCCTCCGTGCCGAACTCAAACACGCAGCAAAGGCAAAGCGTCAGGCCAAAAGGGCGAGCCAGTTGTCGACCGATTCGCCCATGCAAATCGACGCTTGATCCCCATTTGCACAGGCATCCTCACTCATGAAACCTATTCACCAACAGCCGATGGTTTGTTCGAGCATCGGTCGTGCAAATCTCTCTTGATGTACGGATTGAGCGAGATACAAAGGGAATCCAAGCAGAGAACGGAGCATGCGGGTAGGCAAAGAGCCGAAAACGAACATGATCTAAGAAAGCGTATCGGTGGCACGAGCAGGCATGCTCTAGTTCTGAGCATCCTGGAAATCGTCCTCGTCGTCATCATCCGCGTCTTCCACCTTTTGCGCGTTGACTGCTGCGACCTTGTCGTCGACAGCGCCGTCGTAGCCCGCAAGCTGGTATTCTCCATCAATCGCCTTTCGGCCCTCGTCGGTCAGCTTGGGTCGGCCGTCCGAGATGTCGGCGTCAAAGAAGCGCGGCACAAAAGTCTCGCCGTTGCGCTTGCGCTCCGCCGCTGCGTTCCTCTGCATCTGCTCAATATCCTGCTTGTTCTTGGTCGCCTCGCTGTACTTTTTGCCCAGGATGGCGTTGGTGACGGGCTCCCAGATCCTTCGGCTCTCCATCTCCTCCTGCGCTGCCAGCGGTCGTACCGATTTCGCGATGGGGTCCACATCGGTGATGTTGAGCAGCACGCGTGATTCCTTGTCGCCCTTCCTCTTGTACGTGATCTTGCCCTTCCAGCATCCTTCAAACGTGGCCAGCACCTTGTCCTGCGGCACCTGCTTGGCCGACGTGTACTCCTCCGGATCGTCGTTGGGCCCGTACGAGTAGATGACGCCCTCGAGCGCATACTTGGCCTTGGTGATCCAGCTCTCGTCCTTGTACTCGACGATGGCGCGCAGTCGGCTGCCGTCGTCGCCTTCGCCCTTGTCTCGCCTGCCGCCGCGGCAGGTGACGTAGAGGTTGTCGCAGATGGCCACCCAGAGGCTTCCACGCAGAAGACCGTTGATCGAAGCGGTCGGGTGTGTGATCTGGTACTCTTCGCCGGCCGCGCCGCACTTTGCATTTTCGGTGAGCCGCAGGAAGATGCCCTGGTTCTGCTCGCCCGGGAACACCTTGACGCTCGTGCCGGTGAACTTGGCGCCGAGCTGATCGACTCCGTAGAGCTGGACGCCGGCGTCCTTGGCCTCGCAGAAGAAGGACGAGATGGGCGGGTGGTGGCTCACCTGCTCTGTCAAGAAACAGAGACGCCTCTTGCCTGCTCGCTGCATGCTCGAGCCAGAGACGGAGGCGGCGTCGTTGGCGTTGTCGGCGGTGTCTTCGCTTGCGCGAGCGGCATGAGCCGATGAGGCCGCGACGTTGGCAGCTTCAGAGGTGTCTTTGGTGCTCTTCTTCCTGCCCAGCAGCTTCGAGAGTCCCTTCTTGGCAGATGAGGTGGTGCTGTTGTTGTTGCTGCTGCTGTTGTTCGAGGTCTCCATGCTGAGGTTTCGAACGGAGGAGGGTCTTGATTGGTCCTGCGGCGTCACGAGAGGCGAAGGGGGCGTGCTGCCCTTCTTGGCGTTGAGTGTGGGGGTTCGTGCTTGGGTGGAAGCGAGAGGCAGGGGCTCGGGCGCCTCGACGGCCAGCGACTGGACGGGTACGATGTGCGAGTCTGTCATCTTGGCGGGCTCAAAGTCCCAGTGGCAGCGGAAATGCTCGCCGAGGATCGAGTTGTAAGGCTTGCAAATCTTGCCCTTTACATACTTGAGCTCCTTGGTGAAGGTGAAGCGGAGCACGGCAAGCATGCGGTCGAGCGGATCGTCGAGATCCGGGACGAGGGTGAAGAAGTCACCGCGATCGAGGTAGTTCCAGTACTCGAGGTTGGGCACGGGCTCCAGCAGGTTGGCCGGGAGCGAGATGCGGATGGCGGCGATATCCTTGACTCCGACCATGCGCTTGAGGATGCCCATGAGGGTCTTGAGCTTACCGGAATCGCTCTGGTCTTTGTCGGCGGCAGCGCCCATCTCCTCCTCATCGGTCATCTGAATCGCCTCTGGCGGCGCAGCAAGCTCGTCCGCCGTCGCATCCTTGTCGTTGGTGGCTACAGGCGCCGGGGCCGCAGCAGCATCTGCACCGGATGACGACATGGTGGGCAAGCAAAGCTACTCGGATACACCGATCTTGCAACCAGAGAGAGATAGAGATACGAGCGTTCAGCGTGGGTCTCTGGCGTGAATGTCGGCGTGGCTGGTGGAAGTTCTATCGCTGTGCTGAGACGCGCAGGCCGATGCGAGATTGTATGGACCAATGCAACGCCGACGACAAGTGGCCACGTAGTGAAAGAGTGAGGAAGGGGAGCCAAGTGGATGCGTCCGGAGCAAGCCGCTTTCAAAAGTGGGAGAGGCTCGGCAGGGCCAAAAGTGGTACGAGCGCAGGCAGAGACCACGGGGAGAGCGAGCGAGCGTTGGCGCATCTCTCTCAAGTAATGTGACGCACATGCCCTTCACCATCTAGACCGCATCCAAAGTGACAGGCCGCCGCGTGAAATTCACACATGCGCTGCTCAGGACAGGCCGGGCGGGCGGATTTGTTTCAAAAAAGGGCGGATTTCTTGGCCATGCAAAGCCGCCGCTGTTGTGGGTTAACTTTAGCGAGCGGCTGCGTGGGATCAAAAGTTGAGCACGAGCCTGTAGCTCGACGCGGGGGGGAGGGGCTTGGTAGCCAAGGATAGAAGACAGGGGCGATGCATGAGTCGGCCAAGGCAAGGGCAGGGCGTGTGCGCAGAGCAGCGCGGCGTCGCTACATTTAGGATCTCGGCAGCCGCCCGGCTCATCTCCAGAGAGAGGAAGGTGCAGCGGCATCTGTGCCATTTCTGCGATTCCTGGGGGCGCGGGTGAACGTGTTGGTCTGGCGTGCGGAGAGCGTGCAGGCTGGGCTGGGCTGGGCTGGGCTCGCTTGTTGTCGGGTCAAGGTCGGAAGCAGTGCGCTTCATGGCACGAACGTGCTGCTTCTGCCCATCGCCGGCCCCCCAAAAAGCGACCATGCTTGGATGTTAGTTTGCAATTCCGGTCGCCTTCTCGCGCGAGTGAAGTCCAAATTCTGGAATTCGGACAAGTCGCCCTCATCGGTTACGGCGATCCGCGTCACGTCGGCTGTCACTTTCGTGATGCTTTGGAGGGTCTGTTTATTCCCCACTGCCACCATCTCGCACTCACCGCTTCTTGGATTCTCTGCATGCCGGCTAGCAGGTCGAGCTCCTGTCCGTCTGCGACCGACAGAACCCGCTGCGCTCCACTCTTCTTCGGCTCATACGCTTCAGTGCGTGCATAACCGGCTTCTGCAGCACGGACCCTTCCTGCGCCGTGCCCAGTCTGCACTTTGCGGCAGTCGCATCGTTACGGCTTGTTCGTCTCCTTTCGCGTCTCGGTTTCGCATCACGACTTCTTCTCTTTGTCCATTCTTCCGATTCTGTTCGCCGACCGTCCGTAGGCCCGACCTGCCTACCATCGCATTGCATCTTTCGATACCGCCCGCACTGCCGTTCCTTTCGTGCCCCTTGCGTTGCGCGAACCGCTGACCGCCACGTGAAGCTGTCAATATGGGCGGAAAGGACGCCAACACCGGCCTTTCGAGGAGCGCCTCGCGCGACGTTGGCGCGTCCGCCGGACTCCACTCCTCAGCACGAAGCAGCACCAGCAACCCGTTCTACCGCCAATTTCTTCCATCCCAGTTGTCCAACATCTCGCCCAATGACGCGATACCTTCGCTTGACGAGCTTTCAGCGCTCGCCAAGCATCTCGAGAGGATCAAGGCCGAGTCTTCCGCGCGTCTAGCGCGTCTCGAGACGCGCTCGTCAGATCCTTTCAAGCCCATCTTCTTCTCGGCTCCCAACGACCTCTTCAGTCCTCCTGGCTTGCCCAGCGGCCCTGCCAACCTCTATTCGGATTCCTCACGGCAGGCTTCTTCTGCCGGCTCCGCTTCCGCCTCGATTTCAAAGTATCAGAAAGCGCGCGAGCGTTCCTTTGCTTCCCCTGCTCCTTCCGTTTCGGGCGCCAACGTCAGTGGATCCGCCAGCGCTACTGCTGCAGGAGGCGCCTTTGCTTCCAAGAACAAGGTCAAGGTCAAGCGGGAGAGGGACAACGACAGCGCGCCGGCGTCGTCGCTCTACTCGGACGCACGATCACCAAGCGGCGCAGGCAGCAAAGCCAACGCGCGCAGCAAAGCGGCTCGGGCGCACAGCTTCGACGTAGGAGGCGATGACGAGAGCATCATATCGACAGATCCGGAGTGGGATCTCGATGAAGACATGCCAAGCCGTCCTGGGCGTACATACGCCAAGAACAAGAAGCGCAGACGCAAGGATGTCGATGCCGAATCGAACGAGGACGAATCTGGATCCGAATTCGAAGCGGGCGCTCTCCTTGGTGCCGCAGGCTCATCACGAAATGCTGCCACCTCCAAGCACGTTGGCTCGTCGGCTTCCGCGTCCGCAGCTCGGACAGCAGCTGCTGTCCCAGGCTCCATCTCTCGCAGAGGATCTGAAGTCGACACTTCGTCTGGCGGTGTCGCCACTCCCAAAATCCCCGCCATCGGCATGCGTCTCAAAGCGAATGCTGCGTCTCAAAACGCACCGGGCTTCCCGCGCAAAGCTTCGGATGCAACCCAGGCGTCGACGCGACGCAACAGTGTACTGCCCTCGCCTTCGCCGCTGCCTTCGACACCCGCTCATCTGACCGCAGCCATGGTGGCGCCTGTGATCTACCAGCCTGCGCCGGGGTGGGAGCTGCCAGCTCGTACTCCTGCCACATTCGTGCCCAAGCTCGAAAAGTCGCGCAAGCCAAGAGCCTATCCCACCAAGCCGCAGCAGGTCAACGAGGACTTTGCCAACAAGGACTGGAAGGAAAAGGAGAGGGAGCGCGATCGGCTTCTCGAGCGCGAGAGCATCGGACCAGGCACTCCGGCCGGACCGGGTCCCGGCCAGAGCATGGTCAAGGAGGCCACGACCGGAAGAAGGGGAGGCAGGGATCTGCAACAGACGCCCATCCACACCTTCTACAACTATGCAGACGCCTTCTTCAAGACCTTGACCGAGGACGACCTCGCCTGGCTCTCGAGCAAGTCGGACGACCATGAGCCGTTCCAGATGCCGGCGCTCGGTCGGCACTACAAGCAGACGTGGGAGGAAGAGGACGCTTTGATCGCCAGCGGTGCCGTAGATGCGTACGGAAATCCACTGTCGGCACTGTCGCGCTCGCCATCCATCAGCCTCGGCGTCGGCGGAGGTCTTCCGCTCGATGCATCCTTACTAGCAGCCTCGCGTTCGGGTGGAGCGGACGAGAGCAAGCTGGCTCAACGTCCGGAGCTCGAGATCCCGCCCCCACCTTCGTTCCGGACCAAGCAGATGACCGACGAGCATCTTGGCTTGGAGTCGCCCGCTGTGGTCGGCGCGCGCAGTGGACCGTTGGCCGAGCGTCTGGTAGCTTCCCTGCTACCACCTCGTCAGGGCGACGACGACGGAGACGCGAGCAGAGCGATGGGATCTGCTGATGACGCCGGACCCGCACTGCCGATGAACGTCCTGGCGCGCCTCAACGGACATGCCAAACACGAAGACGAGATGGGCGATGGCGAAGATGCCGACGGCGAGCCCGACCTGGACATGCAAGGGGTGGTGGCTGACCAGGACATGGCGACGTTTGAGGAGCGGATCGCCAAGGAGCTCAAGGCGCTCGAAGTGCTGGGTGCAGACGAGGCTCTGGACTGGTCTTCGCGTCAAGACGACGAGATCTCGACGACGCTGAGGATGGTGCAGCGCGAGCTGGCACGCCAGCAGAAAGTCAACGAGATGCGCAAGGATCGGCTGTTCGGCATCGCCAAGGACCGCATGGCGCACCAGGACTACCTCAACTGCCTTCACTCGCTGGAGAAGGAGATCGAAGCGGGATGGACACGGCGATTACGCCAGATCAAGGCGAGCCTGGGCAAGCGCAAGAAGGGCGGTCACGCTGCGGCGTCGCATCACGACGACTCGACTCTGTCCCAGCACGGCGCCAACGGTATCCAGTCTGCTAGCGGCACGCCGCAGCCTGGAGGCGTGCCCTACAACGGCCCTGTGCGTCCGCAGCTGCCTGAGAACCTGGTGAGCGCGATGGAGAAGCGCAAGAAGCTCCAGTTTGCGTTCAAGGAGCTCTTTGACGAGGCCAAGCATGCGTGGCAGACGCCGACCGAGAGCGTCTACGCTGATCTGCACCTGGATGAAATCGAGTGAAGCTTGGTCCGATCAATGGCCTCCATCATGCATATTGTCAGCCTGCCTTGCCTTCGTCTTGGCGTGAGAGAGAGACTCTTTGTGATGCAAGTGCTGCAAAGATCAGCGAGAACAGCGTTTGGTCAAACTTTTGCAATGTCAGAGAGTCCGGTCTCACAACTCCCAGTTTTCTCACTCTGTCGCGAGAAGGTCAGAAACTGGATTCAAAATCCAGCGAACGCGCCAGTGGTTAGCCAGCTGGCAGTGGCTGAGTGTAATCGGTCGTGTATTCATCGTGTTTGGCCATATTATTCGATCGCGCTCTTGTTGGATTTCAGCCTTTTCGGGCCAAGTTCGTGCCCTTTCGCCCAAGATTTCGCCGCTTCTCTAGGCTGCGCCGCACGGGCTTCTAGGCAGGCCGACTCGTCTCGTCAACAGGCTGCGTCGGTCTCTGGCTTGTCAGGAGCCAGAGTCACTCTGCTGATACCGAAGATGCTTTTCCACGAACCTCCTCACCCTGCTGCTTCAGGCTAGTGCCGCACCTTGGCCAACAAGGTGCAGATGGCAAGAGTCTACCTCGGCTTTGCGTAGATTGCAAGACTGTGTGCCGACTCAGGTGTGTGTGCGTGTGAGTGTGTGAGAGAGAGACGGAGAGAGAGAGGAGATGGCTGTGCGTGGGCGCGTGAGTGCATCGGTGTGAGGGCAGGGGTGGATCGGCTCGTGCGTGCGCGTTTCTGAGTGGACCTCCAGCGTAGATCGCGTCGGGTTGATTCCACACCCAACTTCCGCAACCTTCCTCTCCACCATCGTCGACCTCTGCATATCTGCATCGCATTCTGGCATCAGCTCGTTCTTCGATTCGCTGCCTCAATCAACACTCTCAGCTCACGCCCACGACCACCACGATTGCCGATCTTGGACGCGACGCGACTCGACCTCACCCGACTCGAATCTAGGAGCATCCACGTCCTATCTTGCTCGCCCTCGCTCGCAGCCGTGGTCAGCACCTCAAGGTCGTAACTTCACAACTGTGTCTCGATTGCGTCTCAGACTTGCCCAGCGATCACCTCTGCGCACCTGTTCAAAGCGAAAGCAACACCGGCTACGATCATCAGCACAAGCGCCCGGAACAACCCGCCCACCGCCTCTCACAGCACCATCTCACATTCAACAACGTACGCCATGGAAGCCGACGAGCAGCTATTCCCCATCGCGATCTTGATCGACGAGCTCAAGTCGGATGATGTCACACTCCGACTCAACGCCATCCACCGCATCTCCACTATCGCCCTTGCGCTTGGCCCCGAGCGCGCCCGTGACGAGCTCATCCCATTCCTTCAGGACTCGCTCGATGACGAAGATGAGGTCCTCCTCGCACTCGCGCAGGAGCTTGGCTCCGGATTCGTAGAGTACCTTGGTGGGCCAACATATGCGCATCTCCTCCTCGGACCGCTCGAAAACCTGGCTGCGGTCGAGGAGAGCGTCGTTCGCGAAAAGGTAAGTCTCTCTCCGCCGATCTAGAGAGTCCCGTACGCAGCGATCTGACCTTTTCTTTCACCATCGTCGCTTTCGCTGCATCTCTGCACCGCATTCACTTCCATCTTTCTCTTCGGGTGATCTAGGCGTCCGAGTCGATCGTCAAGATCGCCGAAGTTCTCTCCGAGTCCCAGATCGAGGAGCACTACATTCCGCTCTTGAAGCGACTCTCGGGCGGAGACTGGTTCACCTCGCGAACCAGCTCCACCTCGCTCTTTTCTGCCGTCTACCCCAAGTCCAAACCAGACACACAAGAGGAGCTCCGAAAGATGTTCACCGCGCTTTGCAACGACGATACCCCCATGGTCCGACGAGCCGCCGCCCGCGACCTTGGGCCCTTTGCCAAGAACCTCTCCAAGGAGCTCGTCGTCTCGGACATCATCCCCCTCTACCGAAAACTCTCTTCCGACGACCAGGACTCGGTGCGTCTGCTCACCGTCCAGGATCTCATCGCCATCGCCGAGTCGCTCAGCCACGACGAGTCCAAGAACTACCTCCTCCCTTCCATCCGCAGCGCCGTCCAGGACAAGAGCTGGAGGGTCCGCTACATGGTCGCCGACCACTTTGTCAAGCTTGCCTCCGCCGTCGGCGAGGACGTCGTGCGCGACGAGCTCGTCATGGCCTTTGTCCATCTGCTCAAGGACAACGAGGCAGAGGTGCGCACCGCCGGTGCTGGCCAGATCCCCGGCTTTGCCAAGCTGGTCGATCAGGACATCATCCTGGCGCGCCTCATGCCCTGTGTGCGCGACCTTGCGGGCGACAACTCGCAGCACGTGCGCGCGGCGCTCGGCATGCAGATCTCGGGCCTTGCGCCTCTGCTCGGCAAGGAGGCCACGATCGAGCATCTGCTGCCGCTGTTCCTGCAGCTGCTCAAGGACGAGTTCCCGGACGTGCGTCTCAACATTATCTCCAAGCTGGAGCAGGTGAACGAGGTGATCGGCATCGACCTGCTTTCGCAGTCGCTTCTGCCGGCCATCGTCGAGCTCGCCGAAGACAAGCAGTGGCGCGTGCGACAGGCGATCATCGAGTACATCCCGCTGCTGGCCAACCAGCTGGGCGTGCAGTTCTTCGACGAGCAGCTCAGCAACCTGTGCATGTCCTGGCTCGGCGACACGGTGTTCAGCATCCGCGAGGCGGCCACGGTCAACCTCAAGAAGCTCACGGACGTGTTCGGTGTCGAGTGGGCGCGTCAGACGATCATCCCCAAGGTGCTGCAGATGGGCACGCATCCCAACTACCTCTACCGCATGACGACGATCTTTGCCATCACCACCATGGCGCCTTCGCTCGACACGTCGGCCATCACGGCGGACGTGCTGGAGACGGTGCTGCCCATGGTGACCGACCCGATCCCCAACATCCGCTTCAACGTGGCCAAGGCGTTCGAGGTGCTTTCGACCGTGCTCATCAAGACACCCGAGGGCAAGGAGGTGGTCAAGGCCAAGATCACGCCGGCGTTGGAGAAGCTGCAGGAGGACTCGGACGCCGATGTGCGCTTCTTTGCTCAGAAGGCCTTGGAGGCTGCCAACCAGCAAGCATGAAAGGCCAAGCAAGAGTAAAAAAGGCAAAAGTCGTGTTTCCTTCTTCCGTTCTTTCCCCCCTCTTCCCCCCCATACACTGTTACGAATCGGCGCGCTTGCAAGTTCCTCCAAAACCTTTATTGTTCTACCCGGCTTTGGTGCGGTGTGTGTGGACATCACTGAGGAGCGTGGATTGGGGTGCCAAGGAGCATGTGCGGCGAGACCGGCACTCTTGCGTTCTGCTGCGTGTTTGATGTTGCGAATTTCAGGTTCCTTTTTTTGGGCCGCCTTATTTTTGTCCCTTATGACTGCAGAAGAGTGTGATGGAGCTTCACTGAGACGTCGTTGCACTCAACACTCACTGCCACCCCGATTGCAGCAACTGCACTCAGTGAAGGACCGCAAACAAGCCAGACACATCCAAGGCTACAATGCAGATTGCAAGCATCAGAGTATGTTGGCACTGAGAGGGAGGCGTCTAGGCGCTCTCGATGTCCTTGATGTGCTGAGCCGAGTCGCCCTCGTCTGTACACGGGCCAAGACGGATTCAGGACGCAGGAGCGTGGTGCAGAAAGTAAAACGAGAAGCAGGGTCAGAATCCGTGTTGCAGGAAGGTGGGGTCGAGACGAGCTTGAACTTACCCTCGTGCTTCTTGAGGATCTGTTGGATCGCAGTGTGAGACAAGCGGCGCGATGGACAGAGGGGGGAGCTGTTAGCAAGGCTCTCGAAGAGCATACGCCGATGCGAAGAGGATGGAAGGCTTACCTGGAGAAGAGCGTCGACGTAGGCCTGCTGGGCGTCCTCCTTGGACATGCCCTGGTTCTTGTTCCAGGCCTCCCACTTGTACTTGCCGGTGAGGTCTGTTGCACATAAGAGACAGGATGGATTCAGAGTGGGTCAGAATAGATGCTCCAACGCCAAGAGCTTCACACGGCCACACAAGGATGCTTACCGAACATGCCGGGCTTCTTGGTGTTGACGTCACCGATGGTGGCCTGCTTGTAGCTGTCGTGCGCGAGACAGAGACGAGAAGCCGTCCGATTGCATTACAAGGGAGTCAGCGGCTGTGAGGACACATGTCGATCAGGGCGGGCGACTTACAAGCCGTAGAACTTGAGCTGGTCGTCCTGGGTGGGCTGGACGGGGCCGTCCTTGGGGAGCGAGCCGACGATGGACACGGCCTTGTTGAACTTGGCTTCGACAGACATGATGATGCGAGTATACGAGCGATTAGGTGGAGGTGGTTAGGAATGGAGCTGAGGGGTTGAATCCACGGGGACGGAGGGGGGCCGGCCAGGAGAAACGGCGAAGCGGCTGGACAGTGCGCACGGCCTTGGTTGTGTGCTTTTCACGCTGCACCGGTGCCTTTTGGGCGTGTTTGCCCCAGCGATTTCGGCAGGATTTGGCTGAAAGCCCAACCCAACACTCGACCGCCTCGATCTGCACCTCGAAAATCCCCTCCCAACGCTGCAGCCGCCGTGTGGAGGCGGCCGTGACATCAAACATTCATTGTTGCCTCGCCGACGAAGCTGACGCCGTGATACACGTGTGACCGAAGCTCGAGTCGCAACCAAGTCACCCGCTCTGGCATGACCCCTTTGAGCCTCTTCGGGGGCCAACCGGGCGCTTTGGCGGCCAAAGTAGACGAGGGAAAGGGAGCCGGGAAGCGTCACAGCAACTTCGTGACGTCGCGGTGACGCGCCTGTATTATTCTCGCACGAGTGGTGCCCGATCACCACACGCCTCCCCGCTAGGATTGGCCGCGCTGTTGCGTGGCGTGTTCTGCAGCGTCCAGAGCTCCGCCCGACGGTCAGACAGAGCTCGGTCTCGGCTCGCGTCGCTGCGCTCATCGCCCTCCTCCAGCCAACCCTCATCCTGGCAAACCCCGCTCGGTGCCTCACCTCTCTCTCGTGCCGTTCGCTGATCCGGGCTCCGCTCCCGCTTCTCGACGTCGCCCGCCGCGCCTCAGCCGTTGCCCTCAACCCAAATTTGGCGGCGCGACTCTGCTGCTTCTTCCCGATCCGCTGTTGCCGTTGCCAGTTGGCATCGGCCTCGCAACCGGCTCTGCAGGACAGCCAACCTACCATTGCCGGCCAGTCGCTGATCAGCGTGGCTGGCGTCCCGATCGTGTTCTGAATCCCTGTAGCCCTCTCCGAGAGAAGCCGCTCCCACTCTGCGTCTGGCTCCGGGATCAAAGCACTCCGACTGCTGCTTTGCGAGCTTTCCGGTTGAGCAGCATCGGTCGTCCTAGTGACAAGGCTGAAGGATCAGCTCTGGTGCCTTCGTTTGATCGTCTTGCAGTGCAGTCTCCTTAAGGAGGCAGTCCCAGAGACGCCGTGCTTTCTCTTTTGAACCGTCGAGGCTATTCAGAGCGGAGGCTGTTCCGGACATTGGCGGACCCTTGGTCGATTTGCCGTATCTCTGTTAGGTGTTGAATACACGCTTCGAGCCTCGACGCGAGCTGCAAGCGCCACGAGCGTCAGTCGCGAAGCCAGCCGCCAGGGCCACCACGCGCGGCAGTCCCACGCACAAGCACCGTGCCGATCTCACACGCCGCGACGGAAAACGCCAAGGCAGGGGCACGCCTCGCACCGAGCGCCATGTCCAACCACCAAGACCCAGCTTCCGAACCTTCCCTCGAATCACCACGCCCGACCGCTGTACCAGCATCCACACCTGCCGCTCCGCCTTCCGCTTCCGATTCGACGCAGGTCCCAACCTCTGAGCCTCTCGAGCATCCTTCGAGCGCCTCTACGACACTACCTGCCCCTGCTCATCTACCGCAGCTGGATCGGTGTGCTCGCGACTCGTCTTCGTCCCTCTCGCCCGCACCTTCATCAACCCCTTCTGCGCACTCTCCGCAGATCTCTCAATCGGCTCCAGCAGCTTCCGAGAGTCATAGCACACGCTCCGGTCAAGCTTCTGCTTCTGCGCGAGAATCCACCGTTCCATATCCTGAGCGATCGCCTTCGATCCAACACTGCCCGCCTCCATCCGACTCGCTTCGAACGCCTCCACCACATCATCGCCCGCTCGCTAGTGGTCAGGTAGCTCCGAGACCCGATTCGCTTCCGGGTCAACCTTCCGCTTCGAGCGCGCAGCAAGGTCAGCCACACGGCTTCCATCCACCCCAATCTTCGCCGTTCCCCAGCGAGGAAGGCCGCGTCGCAGCGCACGTATCACAGGCTCGTCTTCTTCCGACGCCATCCACGCCAGCAGCTGTCCACTCAGGCTCACAGTTCCCGCATCATCAGCAGCACCAGCCGAATCCGCACGGATCGAGTCCGCAAAAGCGAGCCAAGCATTCAGCGCACGCATCTTCTCAGCACCCGTCTGCGCCTAGTCATCCTCAGGCTCACTTCGTCAACCATCCACGCCAGCCTGAGCATCATCGCCTAGCTCCTCTGCCGCTGCCCTCCCAAGTGTCTCCTCCCTGGCACCGATCCGGATCACAGCCCGTGCCGTCAAGCCAGACTGGTCCAACTCGTGTCGCAGGCCGAGAGCATCCACAACTACGACAAGCTTTTGCCTTTCATCCTTACCCCTTTCCTCCCAACCACGGCCCTCCGCTTCGCCCTCCTCACATTTCTTCAGCCATGGAGAATCCCGCACAGCTAGCTCAGGCACAAGCCCAAGCACAGGCCCAGGCCCAGGCACAAGCCCAGGCTCACGCGCAAATGCAGATGCAGATGCAAGCCCAGATGCAAGCGCACGCCCAGGCGCAGCAGCAGGCTCACAACTTGCGACGGAAGAATGCGCAGGATATTCTCGTCGGCCAGGGCTTCCGTGGCTTGAAACGCGGACGTCCCACCGATCGCAGCCTCCCGCCTTCCCTGAAGCGCCAGGTGCCCGAGTCGGCCTTCTACGCGGATCTGCAGCGCATGGAGAAGAACTTGGACTGGACCGTCGCTCGAAAGCGCGCCGAGCTTACCGACGGGCTCTCGCGAACGCCCAAAATCAAGCGAACCTTGCGCATCTTCCTTAGCAACACATGCGCCAACCAGCCATTCCAGATGGCGGAGAAGCAGAAGGCGAAGGAGCCTTCGGCTAGCACAGCAAACGCATCGGCGGAGAATGCCGACAGCACCGAAAGCAAGGCTGAGGGTGCTTCGAAATCGGCAGAGTCCAAGGAGGGCGAAGAGGAGGAGGACGCCGTGCCTTCGTGGACCCTGCGCATCGAGGGCCGTCTGCTCGAACCTTCTTTCAAGTCGCGCGCCAACACCGCGCTGTCGGCGCAGGCGAGCATCAACCGCACCGGAGCGCACAAGTTCAGCAATCTGGTCAAGACTTGCGTCGTCGAGCTCCAGCGCGATCCGGCGCTGTACCCGGACGGCAGCAACATCGTAGAGTGGCACCGACCCGTGCCTTCCGTTGCACCAGCGAGCGGCATGCAGGCCGGCGGAGGTGCCGGAGGATTAGGAGGTACCCAGGGCATGGAGGCGCCATTGGTCGCCAGCGCCGAGCCGGCATTGGACGGCTTCGAAATCAAGCGCAAGGGCAACGTCCCTACCAAGGTCAAGATCGTGCTCTACCCTGCCTACACGCCCGAACGCTACTCGCTCGCCCCAGAGCTCGCCACGCTTCTCGACATCAAAGAAGAGTCTCGCGCTGGTGTCATCTCGGCACTCTGGTCGTACGTCAAGGAGAAGAAGCTCCTCGACGAGACAGACCGTAAGAAGGTCAAGTGCGACGCCGCGCTCCGATCGCTCTTCAACACCGATACGATCAACTTCCACCACATCCCCGAGGTCATCAACCGCTATCTGCACCCCGCACAGCCGGTTGTGATCGAGTACTGGGTCCGCACCGACAAAGCCGAGTACAAGCACTCGACTGCCTACGATATCGAGCTTGACCTCGAGGACTTGGCGATTCGACAGAAGCAGCACAGCGTCCTTGCGCAGTTCGACACTGCCAATGACGCCACCTCTCGCGAGATCGCCGAGCTCGACGACAAGATCGCCCAGGCCGCAGCGACGATTCGCAACCGCGCAAGCGCTCGTGACTTCCTCGCTGCGTTTGCCAAGAACCCGCAGGAGCACCTGCGCACCTGGATCGCAAGTCAGGCTCGCGACCTGGACGCCATCCTAGGCAACAACCCGGTGCCGGGCGCGGCCGGATCCGTGTCCAGCTTCACTGCCGAGGAGATGCGCCGAGCAGAGACCTTCCGCGCCGCGTGGGTCGACGAGGCGGTGATCGTCAACGAGGCACAGAGGCTCGCTGAAAAGCTGCAGGAGCTTCAGTCGCAAGGCGCGCAGCCGCAGCCAGGCCAGCCTTGAGTTGGACCTCGCACTCCTCTTACCGACGCTTCGTATGTATCTGTAGCACCTGCCATACCACTTTTCAGTCATGTTCACCCTCAGTCCGACGACCTTAGTCTTGTTCGGAAGTCACGAGGGAAGATCGAAGAGATGCGCATTGTTCTGGAGAAGATCAGAGGCTGCTAGTGCGAGAGAACTTGGATGCTACGGATGCAAACTGCGGGGCTAGATGGAATATTCAAGTCGATGCTTTGGGGGGATACGGTTGGAAGAGGTCGCTGGAACGCATGAAAGGGACACGAGGCACTGGATGCGCGATTAGAAGCGCACGAAAGCAGATGCGTAGGAGACAGACGAGTCTTGCGGCGAGGTGCACTGGCTGCTTTGTTCGTACCTGGTGAAGCGGCACTCGGACTTGGTCTGCGCCGTCTTCTCGAGCTCTGCCAGCGCTGCGAGCAACACGCCGATCGGATGTCTCCCGCATACGGTGTTCTTCGTACTGCTGAGGTACTCTGCAAATGCCTTTCGCGCCTCGGCTGCAGTCTTGTTTTCCCCGCTCTGCGTCCACGGATAGGTGATGGCAAAGATGCCTTGCTCATCCAGAGCGCGGATGCTCTGATGAATTGGCGTGCTTTCGTATGCCGATCGTGGCGTCCTTGCCGAAAGCATCGTGGCTGCGCTGTCGTTCGCCGGCTTGTAGTATGTGTACCTGAACCTCGTACCCCAATGGCAAAAGTCGCTGGAAACGACAAAGAAGTTGCGCGAGTCATTCAGATACGGCGCCAGCAGCTTGCCGTAGACATCCTCGGTCTTGGTGTTGATCGCTCCAACCAGGATCGGTACAATCCGAATCGTCTTGCCTTCGAACACCTTGTAGATGTACGGCAGATGCATTTCCATGCTATGTTCGTCTTCATCCTGAGACTGCGTCATGGTCTCGAACTTGCCCGTCGCTTTGAGCTCTTCGGTCACTTGGCGGTCAACCTCGAGATTGCCGAGTGGGGTTGCATAATGAGAGCAGCGAGAGACAGCGCATCCGTCGAGATAGACGTGGTGCGAAGGGCCGAGGATAAAGACCCTCTCGATGGAAGCGGCGTCGATGCATTTGTAGGCATATGCAGCTGCACGGCCGGAGTAGGCAAAGCCGGCGTGCGGACCGATGATGGCACGGCAGGTCGGAAGGGGCAAGGGCAGTGCATCTGAGCTCGGCTTGTTATCGCAGACGGAAAGTGGCGAGGGGAGCTGGTCTGCGTTGACGTCGCTGAGCCATTCAGCGAGAGATTCATCGAGCTCGGCCTGGTCATCGGTGTACCAGCTGCCTGCATGCGAGGCCTGCCTTGTCGGTCCGGATTGTGGAGCCATTCTGGGAGAAGCCGAAGCTCGCAAGCTCTCAAGTGAATGTAATCGGATTAGGAGCCCAGAAAGGAGGACTCGATGGTGTTGAGGATGATTTGGTCCAGTCGCAGTAACTTAGCCGCCTATCTTTTAGCGGGCGCTTGGACCCTGCAGCTTGACATCAGCCCTTGGCTCGTGCGTATTTTTGGCCCGCTGTTAGGCCCTGTCTTGCTCGCCTTTTTGAAACATGCGCCTCGCCTCATCGGGATCAAAAACCCCGATATCTTGCGGCTTCAAGATCAGACACGTGATCTTTTCTCAAAGCTCGGCCGAGCTTGGCCTCAGCTTGCGCGCGGTTCTTCGCGCTCCCAAGGGCGGAATTCAGGCGACAGTCAGGCTGCCCAATGAGAGGCAGTCGAGAGCTCAGACAGACCCACATCGCTGGCTGGCAGTCTCTGAGCAAGTGGCGCGCGCGAAGCTATGCTCAGCCCGAGGACGCTGATCTGCAGCTGCAGACCTTAGGGCTTCAGCGCGCCAGTGCAGTCAGCTGCAGCAAACGACGAGCGAGGGCCAGACGGCACCGTTCAAGGTCTCGCCTGGCTCGCCGTCACTATCGTCTAACCACCAACACATATCTCAAGATGGCTTCCGCTAACATTTCCAAGAAGAGAAAGGTAAGGCATCACACATACAGCCAGACGCCTTTGCACATCGCACACATCATGCTCGAGAGCCTTGCATCGACAAACCAGACGCTTTCCCGACAGCGCAATCGAGACCATCATTGCATCTGATTCGACATCGGTGGACCACGCATATGATATCGCCATCTTCTACGCACGAACATCGCCACGTATACCCAGAGACAGCAAGAGTGCAGGACGGATGCATCTATGACACCGAGCGAAAAGCAGGATTTGCGACTGTATTGGACGCAGTGCTAGCATGGACAGGACGGAAGGCAGCACAACCGGCATGTTCCCCAGCAGTCTCTTGTCCGACCGAGGCTCGTTTGAGTGCGCTCGTCCCAGTCGACGATATTCGAAGCTCACTCGACCCCGGCACTTGCAGCATCACCGGAGACACCATACGTCCATCGCTGCCTGCCAACAAGCGAGACATTACTCTACAAGGAGGTTGTGACCGCCCACGCGCTTTTGGCCCTTTCACCTTCACGAGCGTCTTCGGACGTCCAATATACGCTCTCGAAAAAATGCTCTCAGACCCCTTCGCCATCGCCACAGCAGTTCTACCTTCGCATTCGACCTCGACCAGCGCCCCCGCATTCGCTCTCGACATGATGTTGTGCGCTCTTGTGCACAGAGAAGTCTGCGCGTCCACAACACGCTCGCCTAGGATCAAACCGCTGACCCCGCATGTCTTCGTATTGCCTACACCTTAGTTTGTCGCTGACGGTGTCTTCGCCGCCGAGCTCAACGAGTTCTTCACTCGTGAGCTCTCCGAGGAGGGATACTCTGGTTGCGAGGTCCGTGTTACGCACGCCCGCACCGAGATCATCATCCGCGCCACCCACACCCAGGAGGTCCTCGGTGACAAGGGTCGCCGCATCCGCGAGCTCACTGCGCTCGTGCAGAAGCGATTCAAGTTCCCCGACAACTCGCTCGAGCTCTACGCCGAGAAGGTGCAGAACCGTGGTCTCCACGCCGTCGCCCAGTGCGAGTCGCTCCGCTACAAGCTGCTCGGCGGTCTCGCTGTCCGCCGTGCCGCCTACGGTGTGCTCCGCTTCGTCATGGAGTCGGGCGCCAAGGGTTGCGAGGTCGTCATCTCGGGTAAGCTGCGTGCTGCCCGTGCCAAGTCGATGAAGTTCACCGACGGTTTCATGATCCACTCCGGTCAGCCCGTCAAGGACTTCGTTGACGAGGCCGTCCGCCACGTGCTCATGAAGCAGGGTGTTCTCGGCATCAAGGTCAAGATCATGCAGGGCTGGGACCCCGAGGGACGTGCTGGCAAGCCCTTCCCCCTCCCCGATGCCGTCACCATCCTGGAGCCCAAGGAGGAGGCCCCCATCCTCGCCCCCGTCTCCGAGTCGCGCCAGGCCCCCGCCGAGGTTGCCGCCCCTGCCCAGGCTGCTCCCGCCGCCGAGGTCCAGGCCGAGGCTGCCTACTAAACGGGCCCGCCCAGCGGCACCTGCACTTTCCCCTTTTGCAACTCTCGCCCTCTCTCTTACCCCCGCTTCCCTACACTCCCCCCTTTCTAGTTTCGAATGCAGGATGAAGCGCGGCTGTCTTGCGACATTGGCGCCTCACCTGTCCCATTTGGTCGTATCGACATGATCGGCCGTACACACACCACGCGGACGCTTCGCTCTCCACGCACTCGTTCGCACCTTTCCAACGGGTGGTCTGTTGCAAGCAGCCCTCGTCTGGGATGAAAAATAACATCATCGGCCGTCGTGCCACGTTGCTTCCATGTCGTTTGCTGTGGTCTTTGGATCTGTGTGATGCACGAGTGTCAGCTGCCCTGTGCTCGGCCCAAGATGGACATGTCTGATCGGTCCGATACCTCGCAAAGAGGTCACGATGACGGAGGCGTTAAAGCTGCATTTGTTAGGGCGCAGAAGGGCACAAAAATGGATTCTTAAAAAGGGCTGCTGCGGCCATGTCGAAGCTGCGGACCCGCGACTTGGCTTTTGACCGCGTTCTTGCGAACGACGATGGCTTTGTTCCGCAGACGTCGCTTTAAGGAGCAGCACTCAGGAGAAACACGCCAAAGCACTGCAGACCACACGAGCAACAAAAGATGATCCTCACGACGTCGTGCTGGATCCACGCATTCGGAAGTGATACGAAGAAGCAGACTGAGAGCAAAGGTTGGGGGGAGGAATTGGTCGCGATGTGCCTGACCGGCTCCCTTCCCCGCTCTTCACGCCGGACTGGGCTGGATGCCCGAACAACCCGTACGTAGCGAGTCTGATGATCGGCTCTGCCCTTGAAAGAAGAAAATTGAATAACCCGAATACAAAATGGACGTGGCCCCCAATTCTTCTCGGCACTTCAAACGCGCAACGCTCAGAGGGAGGAGACAGGGAGAGAGAAGAAAATGAGAGGTTGCAAAAAAAAGGGCAGCAGAGCTCCGAAAGCGTTGGGAGCGAAAAGAAGGGGGAAAACGAGGCAGAAGCAGATGCAAAGCCAGAGAGAGAGAGAGGAAGACGAGGTCGAGGCTGTGAGCTGGTGTGCCGCTGGCCGCTTCCGTCTGGGCTGGGGGCAGCAACGCGATCGTTCGAGGGCTACCTTCTCGCTCCTCTACACACGATCTTTTGTTGGTGTTATCGCATCTCCACCGTCTCTCTACGTCGGACAGTACGTGTCATCGTCCCAGCACACTTGGCGACTGTCGAAGTCGTCGCACACACCCCCCGCCGACCACAGCTCCAGCTCCAGCGTTGGTTCGACTTTGCGTTGGACGCAGAAAAGAAGACGAGCCGCTTGCTCCAACACTAGCCGGCTTCAAAGACACCCATCGCATCCAGTTCTGCCTTTGCATCCTCATCTCACGACATCTTCGTAGACAGAGCAGAGACTAGCAGAGCAGGGTCGCACTCTGAAGCACCAACAGCACGTATTGCACGAGCCGCTCGATTCTTCTTCCGAAGTCCAACCCAGTCTTGAGAAGCTGCTCAGAGTCTTGCACGGTCCCTGTCTCTCACCGGCACAGGCTTTGCCCGACTCATCGAGCTTCCCCTACGCCACCATCGACCCACAGATTCACACAGCAGTTAACTGACCAGCATCCCGCTTCCATCATCTTGTCGCCATACCACCTTCGACTTCATCAGTCCGCTCTCGCCGTTCCGCCCCTTTTAGAAGGTTAGTTGCTTTCCCTCCATCACTCGATTCTGCTCTGCGTCACCGCGGGGCACAGTTGTCACGACGTCGCAGCATCGCCCCAGTCTAGCCCTCATCCGCGCCAGATATGCGCCCAGCCAGCGTTCTTTAGCTCCGTATCTTTGCGAAGTCATCTGCTAGGGCAGGGTCAGGTCCTATGACATTCTCATCACACATGTCGGAAGCGACGTTTGGTCCACGCAGGGCTTGCCATGATATCTGCTCTGGCCCCTCACGTCCACCAGTCTTCGGCCACTGCCCCCGCCCGATGATCGTGCCATTCGATCGCGGCGGAAGCTGGCTGGTTCGCCAGCGAGGATAGACATCGCAATTGATGGCAAACACACGACTGTCTTGCTGCCAGTGTCGCTTCATCGAGCAGTCCCCTCGCCAACTCCATGTGCCAAAACTCATACTGACAACCGCGTCGACCCGACTGTTCCGTCCATCCACCAACACAGAACACGCCTGAAAGGAACTAAGACGACCGCACGCAATGTCGGTCGCAAACAGAAACCCTTTCGCCATTCTTGGTGGTAAGTACGACGCACCTGCGTGGTCACAGTCTCGCGCAGCGGGGAGGACACGTTCCCTTCGCTGCTACACCACACATTCTTGCGCTAGCACACAATGCTAACCTTCCCCGTATTACATCCTTCCTCTCATCTCAGACGACGGCGAGGACGTCGCCGCCCCCAAGGCTGCCCCCAAGGCCGCCGCCCCCGCTGCTGCTGCCCAGCCTCAGCGCAACATCCCCGGTGCCGGCAACCAGCGCCGTGGCCCCGCCAAGAACAGCGCTCCCCGCGCTCCCGCCGCTGACGCCGCCGAGGGCGAGCAGCAGAAGGACGCCCGTAGCGGCCGTGCCCGCAACGGCGAGAGCCGTGGCCGTGGTGGCCGTGGTGGCCGCGGCCGTGGCGCGCCCCGAGGCCGTGCCTTCGACCGTCACTCGCAGACCGACCGTGTCGACTCGCAGAAGCAGGTCGCCCAGGGCTGGGGTGGCGAGGACGGCGAGAAGGAGCTCGACGCCGAGCAGAAGGCCGAGGCCGACGCCAAGGCTGAGGGCGCCGACGCCGCTGCCGCTGCTCCCGCCGCCGAGGCCGAGAAGGTGCCCGAGGAGGAGGAGGACAAGACCATGACCCTCGACCAGTACCTGGCTGCCCAGGCCGGCAAGAAGCTCAACATCGAGTCCAAGGCTCCCCGTGAGGTTGCCAGCGACGAGTCTGCCTGGTCCAAGCTGACCAAGCACCAGAAGGAGGAGGCCGACTACTTTGCGTCGACCAAGACGCAGAAGGCCAAGACCCGCACCCAGAAGGAGGGCAAGCAGGTGCTCGAGATTGAGCAGACCTTCAACCAGCCCGCCGTTCAGCGCGGTGGCCGTGGTGGTGGCCGTGGCGGCAGCCGCGGTGCCCCCCGTGGCGAGCGTGGTGCTCCCCGTGGCCGTGGCGGCCGTGGTGGCCGTGGCAACAACGCCTCGGTGAACCTGGCCGACAAGAACGCCTTCCCCTCGCTCGCCTAAATGGCCTAGCGAGCCCAGCAGGCAAGCCATGACCGCCGGGGTCGCTGCGTTTGATGCAGTCCATATGCTGACCGATCCCGACGGTCCTGCTTGGTCTTGCCCTGCACTTTTGACGGCGGACTCTTTTGAGCGATGGAACACAGGCGTGTTGCATCGCTCATCGTTCCCTCGCCCCCTTTCGGACATGCTTTGATCCCTGTCTCGCCCCGTCGCCGCGGTGGCTGGGAGAGCGGATCGAAACGCCCAAAATTCACCATGTTCTGCACCCTGTCGCCGTCATCCCCCCCAAAAAGCAGATTGTATTCTTTCTCGTCGTCGTGATGTCCCCTTTTTTGCTCGAAGAGATTTCCGTTCCGGACTAGACCCGCAGTGAGTTCGGCCAGTGTCTCGCGCTCGTCGTTGCATCGTGGCCCGAGGCGACATGATGGGACTGTGTACGATTGAGCGTCATTAGCACGGAAGCGGTGTGAGCAGAGTGGCGGCATCGATGGTGGTGCGCAACAAGTTGAGAGTGTTAAAGCGAGTTGCCTCCTGACTGCGAAAAAAAAGGCCAGGCCAAGGTCGCGTCGTCGGAGCGCGTGAAGCTCGAGACAGGGGTCCTGCGAAATATGAAGCCGAGTGTCAGAGGAGTGTTGGTTTTGGCTCAGGTGGGTTGGAGCGCCCTTGTGCCTCCACACAGTCGAAGTTGGATTGTGTGCAGCCTCGCAGCGGCGGTATTTTGGCGCGCTGGGGCAGGAAGGATAGGGGTCAAAAAATGCAGGGTTGCAAGACTGCCAACTTGTGCGCATGGCCACTGTCGGAGTTGACCAGCTTTCCATCTGCAGAGCGGCTTAAGACTGCTTCCCGTTCGAGCTTGCCCGGCTCAGTCTTATGAAGGCCTGCTCGTCATCCTCAACCCCTTCCTTTCACCTCCATCGCGGCTCTATCTGCCATCCTGGACCGCACGTTGCGCTCTGTGCTCCTCCTCACCAGGAGTTCACTTGCACGCACAACCACATCCAGCTGCTAACGACCCTCTCGCACCACCCCTCACGACTCCTTGACGATCTGTAACGCGACAAGATAGACTACACAACGACAACATCGAATCACAAAGCTTCTGCCTCATCACAACCGTTCAAGTTCCACCAGCATCCAAGCATGTTTGCACCTCCAAGCCCACACATGGGCCATCGTCCAGCATCGGCTGCTGCTCATCAAGGCTACGCTCATCCTCAGATGTATGAGCTCCCTTCTTCTCCCATGCCTCAGGACTATCGTATTCAGAGGAGCAGCTCCTTCTCCTGGAAGCCCGAGCTTGGCCTCCCGCCACCGCCGAGCCAGATCGATGCGCTTGGCGATTCCATCCACCATGCACTCGTGCCTCATCGTCCCGCCTCTCGCGCCCGCTCCGTCTCGCCCGCCACACGCGTCCCCTCGCGGTACGATCTGGAGTTCGGAGGTCTCGAAGATCCCTCAGAGCATCGCGACCGCACTCAAGACCACATGAACATGGTCACCAAGCACCCCAAGGTCAAGATCGACATCGTCCTCTCCAGCAACGTCTTTGAAGCCGGAGGAACCCTCAGCGGCAAAGTCGAACTCACCTGCACCACCAGCCAGCGCCTCCGACTCGGTCAGATCGCCATAGAGCTCGAGGCTGTCGAGCAACTCACATCTCGAGACCATGCAGCCACGCAGCTCTTTCTCTACAACCGCACCATGTTCCAAGGCGACGACCTCCCTCCTTCCAATGCTGTTCTGCCCGCTGCTCCCATCAATGGCTACTGGACCGCCCGCAAAGGCCGCACCACCTTCCCTTTCAGCTTCCGCCTGCCTTCCTCCGCCCCGTCTTGCGTCACATTTGCCGGCAACGCATCCCTCCGCTACGGCCTCAAGGCTACCGCGCAAACCTGGTACAACGACGACAAGATGATCGTCACGGCGAGACGCGAGGCCTTTGTGCTCGAAAAGTGGTCCGACGTGCATAACCCCAGATTCTACGAGCCCGTCGACGTCGTCGGAGACACCCGCCTCTTCATGGGTGGCAACGGTGCTGTCTGGCTCGAAGCCGGCGTGACCGAGCAGCTCTTCTGGGGCGGCGGACAGATGCTCGTCAGATGCGGCATCAAGAACAACACCAAGCGCCACCTCAGCGGCATCAAGATCGCCCTGGCTCGCCGCCTCATCTTCCCCGTTGGCAGCGCAGAGGGTGTGCACGAGAGTGCAGAGAAGATGTCTCTCGAACCTCGCATCACCGAGATCGTCCACGACCAGATCTTCAAAGGCCGCGACTACGAATTTGCGCCCAACGCCGAGTCCGTCTGCACTGCCGCCGTCGACATCCCCAGGGACCTTCGAACCATCCGCAAGACGCGCCTGTTCGAGGTGCGCACCTATGCGCTGGTGAGCCTCTTGCTCGGATCCTTTGCCAAAGATCTCACCATCGAGATCCCCATCTACGTCGCACACACTGCAAGCGGTCAGCCTCCGGCACGCGAAGGCTTGGACGATCTGCGCAACGCACTGCCGGTTCACTCGCTTCCTCAACGTCCTCACTCCTCGATGGGCCATTCGCATCATCATCACGGCCATCACCATCATGCGCATGGTGCGCCAGCACATCACGTCCACGGCGCCATCCCGCAGATGGAATCGGGCATGCTCGAGGTCGAGCGTCTCGCTGCCGAGCGAGGCTGGTCTCCGGCTCCTATGCTCAATCATCACAATCAGGCCGGACCCTCCACGCGACCTGCCAGCACCGCACCGGGCATGATCCAGCTTCCTGCTCAGGCCCAGCCGTTCACCTTGGGACCAGACGGCCATGTGCAGTGGAACCCCACAGCGAACAGCTGGAACGCCAGTCGGCTCATTGCCCCGGCCGACGCCGGTCACACGATTCAGCGCTCGATGAGCGCCGCGCCGGATGTCTTCCACAACATGCCGCCCGCCAGTCCGCTTCTTCAGGGTCACGGCGGTCAAACAGCGTGGGCTCCACCGCAGCGCTCCATGTCCGTGTCTCCAGGACCAGCACAGCACGCCCAGCCACCCGTCTTCAGCCACGCTCCTCAGCTCTCCGGCGTGCCACCACCGCAGTTCGCCCCGACAGGCGATCACGGGACGTCTATGTCGGCTCAGGCGCCATTTGGAGGAGCTAACCCGTCGCAGCCTGTCTACCAAGCTCCGACCAGAGAAACCCTTCCACCGATGCCAGAGCCGCAGTCGATCACCAGCGCGAACCTGGCCCAGTTTGCCACGCCACCCATGCAGTCGCTGCCATCCGGCTTCTCAGCTGTTGGTGCTTCGCCAATCGCTGGTTTGGCCACCATCGACGAGGACGGCGAGTCTCAGGCAGGCACAGTTAAGACGCTGCAGAAGCTGCCAACCATGGGCAAGAACGGAGGCGGCGGCGGCAAGGGCAACAGCGTCTCTCGCAACAACATCGCGCAGTTCGAGGCGATGGCCGAGGCCGAGGAGGATCAAGAAGAGGTCAAGCGTCAGATGATTGCCATGGGCATGCAGCCGGACGAAGATGCTTTCTCGGCGCCGACGCAGCCTCCTCAGGTAATTGCGGCGGATGTTCGGGCTGCAGATGGCTACAGCGAGGCCGTAGCAGCAACTTCAGCAATGTTGACCAACAGTCGTGTCACCGTCGATTCCTCTCAGACATCGTCCACTGCCTCTCATCGGCCGCGCGCTAGCGATATCTTCCAAGGTCTTGGACGCAGCGAGCCTCGGGTCAGCGCAGAGAAGGAGCGATCGGCTCCTGTGCTCACGATGGCATCTGTCGAGCCTTCGGCGACGGTCGTCGAGCGCACGCCAGAGTCGTCGACAGACTCGCAGATGCGCAAGACCGGAGAAAGCCGCGTGAGCGAGATGCGTCGATCTTCAATCACGTCCTTGCGTCGCTCGTCTTCGTCGCAAGGCTTCGGTCTCGAGGCCCTGGAGACGAAGCTCGCACGGTCGACAACACCCAAGATCGGCTCAAGCTCGCAGAATACCGTGGTCATGGCCAATGTCGGTCGCACTGACAGCAGTTCCAGCCCGCTGGCCTCCCCCGTTGCGCGTCAGGACGAAGGCTCGAGATCGCGCAAGAACAGTGCTCTGCGCTCTGCGGCTCTGGCTCGCGAGGAGGCAGAACGCAAGGGTGCAGAGCAGCAAGCTCGAGCGGCCGAGGAGCGCGCTCGCCAGTTGGAAGCCGAGAAGGCCAGTCGTGCTGCAGCCGCCATCGCAGCGGCCGAGGCCGAAGCTGCGGCAGCCGAGCGAGCCGCAGCCGAGAGGGAGGCTAAGCGCATCCGCCAAGCTGAGCAGCAGAGGCAGGAAAGAGAGAGAGTGGCCGAGGAGGCGCGTCGACAGCACGAGCTGCGCAAGCTCGACGAGGCGCGAGCCAAGGAAGAAGCGCAGCGCGTTGCGAGGGAAGAGCAGCTCGAGCGCGAGAGGCAAGCGGAGATGTCGGCGTCCATGCATCGATCGGACGGAGGCTCGTCCGAGATGACAGTGAAGCCCGAGAGCGGAGCCATGGAGTCGCGCAGGCTCGGCAACATTGGTGCCGCCAGGTCACCTTCGTCGACTACTAGCTTGGAACGCATTCAAGCTGCGATCGCACCGGCGCCGGGCTCGATCGCGCCTTCAGTGCCGTCCAAGACGACGCGTCCGACCTTTGCCGCGCCGAGCAGAACGAGCGATCGGGATCGCGTTGTGCTCAAGCGGGAGGCGGTCCACCGCATCGATGGCTGGCTTTCCAACGCCGCCAGTCCGAACGCGTCGCATATGAACACGCCTGGCACACCGAGCGCCTCGGTTCTGTCGGTGCTTGCGAAGGACGAACCACGGGCATCTGCTTCGCGAGAAGACGAGAGGCAGTCATCGTTTTCGTATCGATCGCCATCGCAGGTCATCAACCCTCTGTGGGAGGGTAAGGCAGCTGGCTCTCGCAATGCCCGCACGTCGATTCCAGCCTCGCGGACGATGGCAGATCTGGTATCCACCAAGGCCTCGCTGGCCAGCCAGAAGGCCGCAGCGGAGGACGATGAGGCTGTGCCGCAGCTGTCAGCCGAGCTTCGAGCGCTGGTCGATGGTTCGGAGATCCGAAGCGCTCACAGGACCAGCACAGCTCTCAAGGACCATCCGATCAGCCGCCGGCTGTCAGGCATGGGGTCGACGCAGAGGCCAAGCGAGGCTGATGCTGCAACAGCTTCGGCTGTATCGTCGACGGAAGGGACAAAACGCGAGCGTCACATTTCAATGCCGTCGTGGCCCCGACCGGCGACGCTGAATCTCGATGTTTCAAGGGGTGCGGGACCGGCACCAGCTGCGGTCAGCTCATCGGAGCGCCGCTTGTCGCGCAACCCCGAAGCTCGGGAAGTCGCGATTCCGTCTCGGGTTGAAAAGACGCTCGTAGCGCCGATATCGGAAGCCAGCGCGAGCGACAAGCAGCCAGGCTACGACGCACGCTCGGCTCGCGGAGGAAAGGGTGGACGTGTGGCATCGGTTGCACAGCTGTGGTCCAAGATCGCTGGAGATGACGAGCCTGGTGCGGCTGACGGTGAGAGGAGCTCGTTGGCCGCGCCTCAGGGCGATTCCGGCCCACGATCTGCCTCGCCGTCGAGCGCATCGACAGTGAAGCCCAAGGCACGCCGATTGTCGTCCGCGACTGGAGGCGCCCCTGCACTGGACTTTAGCAAGAAGGCCGCGACACCCTCGGCTACGGGCGGTGTAACGGCCATCGTGGCTACCTTTGGCGCCGCTTCGAGTGCTTCGAAGCCGGAGTCGCTCAAGAGCTTCACCGCCCCGCAATTCCTCAACACGAGTGTTTCAAAGCCGGTCTTTGCTAAGGTCGGCGCGCAGCCTGCGCCAAACTCGGCTGCAGAGGCGGCTGCGACGGCGGCAAGCAAGCCAGAGAAGCGTCCGTTGCCAAAGCCGGTGCTGGAGCCTGGAGCTGTGCCGGCACCTACGCTGGTGCGACCCACGGCCATGCGTGCATCCAAGGCGCCGGCCGCAGAGCGCTCGTCGCGAAGGATCAGCACGCAGCTGCTGTCGACCTTCGAGAAGGAAAAAGCGCCCAAGCTCGAGCCGGCCGAGGTGGCGTCGGTGCGCGACATGATGAGCAAGGTCGCGGTGGATTCTACGATTCTGGGAGCGCTCCAGGCGAACGATGTGCACGATGGAGCCACCCTGCGATACCCCGACGGCACCGAGATCAAGATGAGCGGCCGAGGCACCACCAAGGCCATCGGGGAGAACAAGCTTAAGAGCCTCCGAGCGGTGTGGGGTAGCTGAACGCGCACACACTGATCAAGGGAACCTGGGCGTTTGCCTCACACGGACTAATGAATATGCTTTGATGTCATGATGAGATTGATGACAGTGTGGTCTGGATATGAGCGGCATCGAGAGTGGCCAGTAAAGACACATGAGACATGCTGAAGAATCGTCCTCAAAGATTTGGGGGCCAGGCGGAGAAGGACGGTTTAGGGGCTGCGGGGCGTTCTATCGGAAGATGCAGCGCGCAGAAGAGCAGCTGTGGGGCTATGGAGCAGAGGGCCAATCGATTTCGACTCTCGACCCGCGTGGGCGGGAAACAGGCAGGAGGGCAGGGCCCGTGGAATCTCGGCACCTCTCCGATCCACGCGCGCGTTCCTGGCCAGAAAAAAAAAGAGGTCCCTCGGCCTTCCCTTTTGAGTCACACATCGGAAAACTGCTGATGTTGGGATCCTAAACATCCCCCACCTATGCTGTGCTGTCTTCTTTCCTCTCAACCATCATCCTTCCGCCCTTTCCTTGCCTACATCAGAATCTCACTAGAATCCTTCTAGGCAGAGTCTACTCCTGAGCCATGCTGGAAACTTCGCAGGCCAACGCGCTGGTCTACTCCACGCTATGCGGCTTCATGCTTGTCGGTCTCTATGCCGGCTTCAAGGTTCGCAACACCACCGATTTCCTTTCGGGTCTCCGAACGCAGAGTGGTACGTAGAAAGACTCCGAGATGAAATGACGTTGCATGTTATGATATTCTTCGGGTCCAGCTGACGCTTAACTTTGATTTCCTTGTCCGCACAGTTTTGCCACTCACGCTTAACTGGATCGCATCAAGTTAGTATCCGGACTCGCAGTTCCCCTCTTTTGAAGTTTAAAAGTCCTGCCTCCATCATCCCACCGCTGCACACAGCGGACTCGAACGGATGCACACAAAGAGGCAGGCAGGCCGGCCGCCCGTGGCGATGCGGGTCTTGCCGCAACATGCTGTCTCGATATGACAGGTACGTACCCTTCGCGATCCCCCTTCCTCGATCATCTCGGATCATCTCCCCCTACTCTTGTCGCCCCTCGGCTCGACGCCTTTTCCCCTGATTTGATGTTGGCCCTTTTGGGTTTCATGTTCTCCTCGGCCTTTAGTGGCGAGGCGCAAGAAAGCCGACAACCATACGGTCGCACCAGGATCAAGAGAGCTTGCATCAAGCCGACAACCGAGGCTCGCATAGCAATATGGAATCGGACTTCACGAGCGATACGAAACCACTAAGCTGTTCAGGCCAACGCCGCGGCAAGGAGTCGAGCAGACGTCAAGCCTTACAAAGACCAAACTCAATCAGTTTGGCATCAGCTACGGGTGCTTGCGTGTCTGGCCCGCAGAAGCCATCGCCTGGTCTTGTGACCGCGCGATTGTGTGACTGCGGGTCCTTGGATTGATTTGTTGGAGAAGAAGGCTGGGCTTCGTGCCTCGCCCTAACCTGCAGCACATTGATTAGGCACGACGGGCTGAGATCATACCGTCATCGGCCTCCTTGGTCCGTCTCAGTGCTTCTGCTGTAGTGTGTCCGCCATCGAATCAGCCTTGTCTCTCAACATTGCTGGATCGATGCACACTCGCCTCAGCGCACTGAGGCGGCCAGGTCGCTGATATTACCTGATCGAGTTAGGACTCGCGAAGGGAATGCTGCATGCCTTTTCATCCGCTACCCCACATGTACACTCTCTTTGTACTGCTCTTGCTGGCCGCCGGTCTGCTCTAGGGTCTGCCCGCCTGCTGCGGTCTCGCCGTCGTTGAAGGCGACCGCAGGGCAGAGGCAAGGCAGGCTCGAGGGAAGACCAGAACCAGTGGAGCTTCCGCCTCAATACTGCCCGGTGTCTCGTCGAAACGAGATTGCTGCAGACGATCTCGCTGCTGGCGGCGGAGACAATAGGCTTCATCCGGACAGCAACACGGCCTCGTAGGATCGCTTTCCTCGACAAGTTCCAGCAGTGTCTTTTCAGCGCGCCTCGATGCTGGAAAGACTTGCTAGTGGCTGCTGCGAAGTTGCACGCTCTTGCTTGTTCCACAGGCGCAGCCATGTGCGGGGGAAGTGGTCTCGCGAGGCCCCGTTGCTCGTCCTCAAGGCCTCACTGTGCTCCGTCTCCGGCGAGGTCGGTCTTGCACCGTACTCGCGGTTGTCTGCTGACGTACTCACACACCCAACTTGCCTCACCTCGTTGTACATTTTTCTATTCAACAGACATGTCCTCGTCGCTCTTCTTCGGCTACCCTCAGCTGGCCGTCATCCCCAATGCCGGCATCCTCGGCCTGACTGCCTACTGCTTCTCGACCGTTGCCCCGCTCTGGGCGTTCGGCTGGCTCGGACCTCAGATTCGACGCATCTGCCCGGACGGCTTCACGCTGGCCGAGTACATCCGACGCAGGTACGGCTGGCCTGTCGGCGTCCTTTCGGGACTCATCTTTGTCGGCTTCATGTTCTGCTTTATGCTTGTTGAACTCAACACGTACGGATCGACGGTCAACGTGCTCGGCGGCGTCAACCCGACCATCGCGGCGCTCATCGTGGCGCTCAGCACGACCATCTACACCGCTTACGGCGGCTTCAAGGCGTCGCTCTACACGGACAACGTCAATGCGGTCATCATCATGATCTTTGTCGTGATCGCCTCGATCGCGGTGGGTGTCAACCTCGACATCGACCACGCGCGCGTCGAGTCGTCGGGCCTGCTCAAGCCGCAGCGACTCGGCGGCGAGCTGTGGTACATCCTCACCGCCGCGCTCGTCTTCAGCCAGATGTTCAACCAGGGCTTCTGGCAGCGCGCGTTTGCGTCCAAGAACAACAAGACGCTCTACCTCTCGGTCATCTTTGCCACCGTGCCGCTGTTCGCCATCTGCTTCATCGTGGGCATGGCAGGTCCGCTGGCGTGGTGGGCAGGCCTGTTCGACGGCCCTACCGCCGAGGACGACGGATCGCTCACGTTCTTCTACATCATCAACACGCTGCCCAACTGGGTGACGGGCATCGTGATCGTGCTCGCCGGCTGCCTCAGTTCGTCGGCGTACGATACGTTCCAGTCGGCGCAGATCTCGACGATCCAGAACGACGTCTTCCTCGGCCGCGTCAACATCTGGTGGTGCCGTGCGATCCTGGTGCTGATCAATGTGCCGTCGGTGGTGCTGGCGGTCAAGAACATTGACATCCTCGAGGTGTTCCTCGTGGCCGATCTTGCGGCCATTGCTTGCATTCCGGCGTTCCTGCTCGGTCTGGTGCCGCAACTCTACTTCCTCAACGGCGTCGATGCGGTGGGTGGCGCCGTGGGCGGCTTCTTGACGGTCTTCTTGTTCGGTACAGCCTTCTACGGCAGTGCCGAGGAGGGCATCAAGCTGCTGGGCCTGCCCAACGGCCTGTACATCGACGACTTCAGCGTGCTCGGCGCGTTCTTCGCCGCACCGCTCGGCAGTCTGGGCTGGACGTTTGCCACGTTCGGCATGCGCGCTGCCGCCACGTGGGCCTACTGCCGCTACACGGGCCGCGACTTCAACGTGTTCGAGTACCGCGAGTTCGACGTGACCAAGTGGGCGCTCCCCGAGGACAGGCCGGCGGACTTCCACGGCGTGCACGGCTCGGGCAATCCCAACGACGGCCACAAGCTCGAAGACCCCGCCGTGCTCCCGGAAGGCGCCAAGCTGAAGCGATACGGCTCGGAGGCCTCCACCAACTAATAGCGTTGGCGACCTGGAAAGAATTGCTCCTTCTGGACCGGATCTCCCAGTGCGCGCGCTTGCGTTCAACACTCAAGTCCAGCGCCAATCACAAACTCAACCCAATCTTCGCTTCTTGCGAACTCCTTTTTCTCTCCATGCTCGCGTCTCTTTTCCTTTCTCCCTCGCGCACTCAAGCGCGCTAACTTATGCTCGGTATGCCCTCCCTCTTCTCATGTGTCTTTGGCAGCGGTGCTTGAAATGCACCGCTTTTTGGGAACATCGTTGTGCGAACATTGTTGTGTCGAAAGCATGTGTGGCCAGCTTCGAATGTGCGGATTGCACAGCGAGTGAGGGGAAGCGTACAAGTACAAGTGGTGGGAGAGGGTGTGTGGATCAGTCCAGGAGTCCCTGTTCGCGCTGGTCGTGGCGCACAGCGAGGGCTTGGTCCATGATTCGGGCAATTTCAGCACGTTCTGCTGCCTTGCTGGGATCGTCGGGTGGATCCATGGGTTCGTCGTCCGCCGCTGAGGGTTGGGCGGAGGTGGGAGAGGATGAGGAGAGATCGATTCGGAGCGTGGTGTTCCTGGGCCGGGGGCGCGAACCTGTTGCTAGGGAGGCGAAACGCAGGATGCGTCCCATCTCGCGCTCGCGTGCGTCCATCTCATCCTCCTCGTCCTGCGCGGATGGAGCAGCGGAGGTGGGCGTGAACCGCGTACCGACAGTGTTGGGCACATCGACGGTATACGCGGTACGTGACGGAACCGTCTTGGCAGTCGCAGTGGATGTAGCCGGGGCAGAGGTTGCAGGTTTGCTGGGTGTGCGTTCTACAGCGCCGTCAGATTTGCCACGCTCGATAATGTTGAGTCCACCAAGCGCTTTATCCACCTCCTCCATGGTATGACCCGTCGAGCGCGCGGGTTGGCGTGGCGTACTGGGCTCCGCATCTGGGCTGGGCTGATCCAGCGCCTCAACCGCCTCGTCGGGAGCGTCGAGGTCGAGGCCATGTTGGGCTTCCAGATCCTCGAGCAGCTCCAACTCTTCATACCCGCCCGTATGCGCCGTGAGCTTCTGCCACTTGCCGCCCAACACCGCTGTGCCTTTGCTGTCCCCTTTGGCAGGCTCGTCGCGCAGCCCAATTTCTTTATCCGACAGCACCCAGCGCAAGATCCACTCCGAGCGCGCATAGCACGTGCGGCTACAGAACAGATCGCGCAGCTCGTCGAAGGTGTGGCCCGGCTCTCCCAGATCCCTGTCCTCCAATGCCTTGACCGACTTGCTTCTGAGGTCGATGCGAAACTTCCCCCTGCCCCCGGGTCCTGCTGCTGCCGGGGCACCGTTGGGACATGGCGGGTAGGAGCACTTGTGGGCGAGATTGCGTTCCTCCAGAATCTGCCCCCACGAGGCGGACGACAGGAAGAGGAGCGACTGCTTGAGTTCGGACAGCGTGGGTTCCGAGTGGATGAGTTTCTCCTGGTAGAAGAGGATCACGCGCTGGCGCTCCTGGTTGGACAGGATCGACGTGGTGAGCAGCTGGATGTCGGTCGGCTCGATCGGCGAAGCAGCGGTGGTGCTCGAGTCGAGGAACGGCTGCATCGCCGCTATCGCACCCTTGCTCCGTAGCACAGATGCGGCTGCCTGGGATGGAGATGCCACACGGGAGGCAGGTGTAGAGGTCGACGCACGCTGCGTGCGTTCCTGGACGTGCATCGAGGCGGCCGAACCCGGGATGCGGTTTGCATCGACCGGCGCCTTGCGTCGTGAAGACCCTGGTTCCGCCTCCGCCGCAGCGGAAGGTTGTATCGCTTTCGCCATGGTCGTAGCTTGGAGGTGCGAGAAACGTCGTCGCAGTCGGGTAGGAAGAAGTGCAACCGTGGGTGGAAGGTGGAGCTCAGTTTCCAGGCTCTCTGGACTCAGCTGGAGCTGTCGCGCTTCTCCGCGCCAAAATTGTTTCCCGCAGCCTGCCACCACTCCCGTCTCCCGAAGTTTCCATCCCCACAACACCAGGACCGACCGCTGCCACAAGACGTTCTGCAGCAAGCGTGGCACGGTCAAAGAAAGAGTCAGAAGCATGTCAGATCGTTGCATTGCATGCGTGAGGCTACTATGCGAGGAGCTCGTCGAGGCCGAGGCCCGGAAGCCCCTTTCGGGACCGATTGACCTTCCTGCCAACGAGCCAGGTGGTGATGCTCGCTGCGGAAAGCATGCCGAGCGCCCTGAGGATGACTGCGACCACGAGCGCCCTGCGCACGGCCGAGTAGAATGCGCCAAGCGCCATGCCGGACCAGTTGAACTTGCGCTCGATGCGGGTGCCGACGCTCGACTCCCAGCCGCGGACGACGCTGCGGTAGCGCCAGCCAAAGAACCAGATCCAGAAGTTGACGTCCGGGTAGGAAAAGCGCGGGAAGACCGAGGTGAGGCTGGGCGCGAGTGCGTGCGAGGCAGGCGGCGGATTGAGGTGAAACTCGTCGCGCACGCGTGCGATCACGCGGTTCGCCGACGCCATCGGCGACGACACGAGCTCGGCCGCACTCGGCATCGAGTTCGATGCATTCTGCAGCGGCGGAACGGACGGAAGCGACGCCCAGTCGCGCTGCGTTGACGAGGACGACGACTCGCCAGTGGGAGTGGTGGGCTCGCCAGAGCGGAAGGACGAGCTGCTTTGGAACGTGGTCATGTGCGAGAGCAGGTCGAGCGTCATGCCGAGCGTCAAGCCCCAGAGACGGAGCTCGGGTCGGACGGCGCCCTCTTCCATGCGCGCAATGTGGACGCCCGGCTTGTCGCCCATCGAAGAGTCGGCGTACAGATGCGCGTCGTCCTCGTTTTCATCCGACTCGGCCACGGCCACGGGCTCGTTGGGAAGCAGGATGCACTTGAAGTCCATCTTGCCCACGAGGGCACGCAAAACCCAACGCACGAGTGGCGACTTTGGCGCGAGCCTGCTGCTGATGTCCACCGAGGTGGTGCCCCACTTGGGCTTGGGCGTATACAGGAGCGAGATCGGGATCCAGTGTGCCGAAGCCACCTCGCTCGGCTGCAAGTCGGGCATCGGGCTGAACGGCGAGGTCTGCACAAATACGTACGGCGAGAGGACCATGAGCAGACGCTTGCCCAGACTCGTGGTGATCTCGCGGTCATCGAGCTGTCCGACGCAGGCAAACTCCTTCTCGGCGAGATCGATGCCCACCTCCTCCCATGTCTCGCGCATGGCGGTGTACAGGCCGTTCTCGTCACCCTCTTCTTTTCGCCCGCCGGGGAAGGCGACGTGCGCGGACCAGTTGTCGCCGATGCGCGCGGCGCGCTTGATGTACAGGATCTCGGGCGTGCCGCGCTGCACCCACGGCTGCTCGAAGAACGTGTTGAGCGTCGTCGACAGGTCGACCGAGCCCACGCTCGACGTCATCGAGGCATTGCCTAGCGAGGCCTGCGAGACATGCACGCCCGACTGGGCCATCTCCTGGCTCGCGCTCGGATCGGCAGTGCCAGGTTGCGAAGGAGCGCCAACGGGATGCTGACCCTCTGGATCATAGTGCTGCGCGAGCCATGCTTCGTCCTCGGAGGTAGGACGTACGCGGACGAGGATGGCGACCGATGCGCGGCGCGGCTGCGTGGGCGGACTGGCGATCACGCGTGGCGGGATGCGCGAGATGCGTGCGAGCGCATGCGCCAGGTGCGTCAAGATGGCACCGTTCGTGTTGATGCTCGATGAAGCCATGTTGCGCGACGGAATGTATGGCCTCGAAGCGGAGACAGAAGGGTTCGAACCGGCCGAGCGACGTTGAGAAGGAGGAGGAGGAGGGTTGCGTACGGCTGCAGGAGCAAGCGCGAGGGGCGAGGTTCGGACGACGGCTCCAAGCCGCCCTGCTATGGATCTGAGGCCGAGTATGGCTGCAACGTTGCGGTCGCGGTCTGCACGGGCTGCTCGGACGAGCTCCTTTGTTAGGAATCAAGGGTACTCTTGCGGATAGTATGGTGAAGGGCGAGGAGAGCGAATGCGAGACTGCGTATCTGGAAATCAGATCGATTCCTAACCGCCCAGCGGCACCAACGGCAACTTCCGACCGGCCCACAGCTCGACTGATCTGAGCGTCGCGCTCCACAACTGCATTTTTCTCCAGTCGTACCCCAAAAAGAAAGAATCCCCACATGGACAGACGCCCCCACGCAGCAGCACACAGACAGCGAACGGCGTGAAGGCGTGTCGCCCCCCGGTCCCGGCATTATTCTCGCGCTTTCAACCCGCTCCCGGCGCCGGCTGTCAAATGGCTCACGGCTAGCCGGAAGTGTCATCAACCCCGCACCAGCGCCCCACACTCTCATATCCGCGCATATGGGTTGCACGTCTCCACACGCGGCTCACATGTGCAATGCTGAAGTGCTTCTAATGCAGCTTGGGTCTGGCGATACAAGTGTTAGGTTGCGCGGATCAGTCTTCGTCGCTATCCTCATCGTCGACGATGGCCAGTCGGCGCTTCTTGATGATCCCCGTCGAGGAGTCGTCCGCCGCCGGTCTTGGAGAGCCGCGCAGAAAGCTTGCTTGCTCTTGCGATGAAAGCGCCAGAATGTCGTCCTCGTCTTCGTCGCTGTCCGCGAGGAAGAGGCGCTTGGTGTCCACGCGTCGGTTGGTCCTTTCGCTTGCGTCCTGCAGCGGCTCGGACGGCTTGGATGTCGCCTTGACACGCTGCTTGGCCGCACGCAGCGCCTGCAGCGCGCTGAGCTTGCCTTCATCCGCCTGCTCGTCCGCCATCGAGCTCGTGGGCGGCGTCTCGCGATCAGCGTGGTCGCTCTCGGCGTCACTTGCATGCGAATCCGAAGCGGCGCGCTCGCGCTGCGTAGCCTCGTCTTGCAGATCGGCCATTGCAAACGCGAATTCGTCGTCGCTGTCGTTGATAAAGTCCTGCTGCGTCCTGCGTTTCGGCTTGCGCTTGCCGCCCGCCCCGCGCTTCGACGCTTTTCCTTGCTTCTTGCCTCCGCTGGTGCGAAGCAAGCCGCCGTCCGCCGCTGCATGGTCGCCGCTGATCAAGTTGCCCGTCGCACGCGCTCGGTCAAAGTAGTCGCCGTCCTCCTCCGAGTCGCTATGGTTCCCATTCCAGCCGTCCGGGAGGTCGGCAGGATTGAGCACGTCGTCCTGCTCTCCTCCTGCACGTGTCTTACGAATACGCATCACGAGCGCATTCAGCTCGCGACCGTGCGTGTCCAGCGGCTCGCGAATGAAGCGCTCGATCGTCTCGATCTTCTCGTCGAGGTGCGCCGGCAGGATCTCCTTGGGCACCGACCAGCGCCAGTGCACCAACTCGGCTTCGTTGGCCTCCAGACCCACGAGTCGGCACAGCAGCTTGAGCTCGGGCATCAGCGATGCATCCGTGCGCAGCTCGTCGTTGCCCTGGTACGCAAGCTCAAACGGCTGGAATCGGTCCACCACCGACTCGTTCTCCTTTTCCAACTCTCCCAGCAGCGCACCAGAGCCCGTGTCGTCCGTCGAGCTCATGGCCTGTCGTCGTGCCTCGTCCTCCTCGTGGCGCAGCATGAGCTCCGTGCGTGTCGCACTTGCCTGCTCGAGCGCCGACTTGACCCACGACACCGCCTGCATCTTTTCCTTTTTGAGCAGCAGCCCCACCGCCACACCGATTTGCTCCTCGGGCGACATGCCCGGGCGCACTGCGATCTCGGCGGGCACCCTTGGTGGCTTCGGCGCGCGTGGTGGGCGCTTGCCCTCATCGTAGATCGCCTGCTCCTCGGGTGAGAGCTTGCTGAACTTGCGCAGAATGTAGTCCATGAGCTTGCGCAGATCTGCCGCCGACTTTGGTGCACGCGCCTCGAGCACACGGATACCATCGCCGCTGAGCACCTTGCGCAGCGCGGCGCGATGATTCTTCAGGAAGAATTGGCGATAGTCGTTGGCCTTGATGGCGATGCGGTGCATCACCGTGACGAGCTTGTTGAGCTGCTCGTCGGCATCGTGGAAGTCCTGCCAGCGCGCCAGGAAGTCGATGCACGCCTTGGCCAGCTGCTTGGTCGCGAGCTTGCGTTGGAAGTCGGCGAAGCGGAACTCGCGTTCGGTGCGCGTCTCTTTGAGATGCTCCTTGATCTGGCTCGCTTCGTCCTCGGCTGCGTCCAGGTCGCCGTCCTTGCGCGAGCGACGCACGTGCTTCTTGGCCTGCACGTACATGTGGTCCTTGTTGGAAGAGTAGCGTTCGAGCATCTTGGGCATCACGTAGGCAAACGTCATGACTGTGTCGAGGAAGGCGAAGCTCTGCGCGCTGTACGCGTGCACAATCGCATGGCAGGCGTCGAGCGTCTCGCTCATGTAGTAGAACTCGGCCTGCAGGCCTTCGGCCACCTCGCGCTCGCGCTCGACCTTGCTGTTGGCAAGTTCGTCCACCAGCCGCAGCAGCGCGATCCACAGCTGCACTGCCGCGTTAAACTCGAGCCACGACCGCGCCTCTTGCGCTTGCAGCGTGCGCACCAGCACCATGCGGAACGCCCATGGCTCGAGCCACTGCGCAACCAGCTCGAACGGCCAGTCGTCCGCCGGGGGCTCCTCTTGCGGTTGTGTCTCTGCTGCCTTCTTGGCTTGGGCCGCAGCGGCAGCGCGGCGCGAGAGGAAGTACTCGAGAAAGAAGCTGCCGATTTGCATGATGCGGATGCGCGCCACGTCGAGGTCTCCGAGCTTGTCGCGCTCCGAGCGGATGTCCTTGAGGATCGACTTGGCCAGCGGCTCAAAGCCTGCCTGCACAAACGTGTCGGCCCATTCTTGAAGCGCCACGGCCGCTTCGGGTGTCCAGTCGGATTTAAGCTTGGGTGCTCCGCGCTCCTGCGCGTCCTTGCGGCGCTGCGCGCGTCGCCTGCCTTTATGCATCGCCTCGTCGGTGAGCTGCGCGACCGACTTGACCAGCGCTGCCTGGTTGCGGGCGACGCGGCGCTCTCCGTCGGGACCGACAAAGTTGATCGTCGTGCCGAAGCGCGAGTGGCGCGTTGGCACCTTGCCTGTCGACGTTGCTTGCTTCATCTTGGCCTCGGCTGCCAGGCTGTCAGCCAAGGCGGAGCTGGAACGTGGCGCTCTGACAGCAGATCCTCGGGTGCTGGCACCAGCGTTGTTGGCATTGTTGGCTGTTGCCTCGGGGTCGAAGAACGGGAGTGGGCGCGTGTTCGAAGTGGCCTCAGCGATCTCCTTGACACGGGTGCCGACAAAGATGTGGAAGATGCACTCGCTCGTCACGGCGTTCCACGCGTTGAAGTCGGCGTCTTCCGCGCTGCTGGCCAGCATGAGCAGCGTGTCGAGAACGTGCTGGTCGTGCATGGCCTTGATGCATCTACTCTGAAGATTCGCCTTCGACAGCTGCTCTACGCCGCTGAGACTTGTGGTGATCGGATCGCGAATGGCGAGCAAGTTACGAAAGAGGTGGAGGCACATGCCGATGATGCCCGTCATGAGGCTGGTGCGTTGATGCTGCCTGTGAGCGAGATTGGGCAGTAGCAGGTACCGCATAACGACTCGGAGCACGTCGAATTCCTTGTCGAGCGACTTGCTGCGCAGAATCACCGACTTGTAGTCGATGAGCTTCTTGTCGAGCTTGGTGATCTCGCGCAGCTCGTCCGATTCGAAGCCCTGCTTCTCCTGGTCCCGGAGCTCGGTGATGCTGTCGAATGGCCATGTCATGGCAGTCAGCAGGTCGGTGCATGCAAGTGCAATCGCATCGCCCTCCTTTCCTTTGCCTGCACTCTCGAGCAGCGCAGGCACAATGTACACCTCGAGCACCTCGTTGTCCGCAAAGGCGCGGGCCACCTTTCTTGTCGGGTCCTCGTCGTCGAGCTTCCAGAGCTTGCGCAGCGATCGCAGCGCGCCCAGGGCTCTCGGACCCGGAAGCCATCGGTTGTAGAGTGTGTTGGGATCGCTGTTAGTGACTTTGTCGTCGTATTCGTACTGGCCGATCTGCATGCACAGGTCGCGGGCTGCATCCCGGATCTCTTCCTTGTCCGGAGCCTCCACGTCGTCATAGTCGTCGGCGCGCCCGCCACGACTCGAAGCGTAGCCATCTTCGCTGACATCGGTGATGAAGCCCTCGTCACCCTCAAGGTCGTCGGACCAGTACTCGTCCGCGTTGGCCATCCTGGCAGCAAGGTCTCCTGAAACTTCGATGGCGAGGAGTGTTTGATGGGGCCACGTGGTCTGCTGCAGGCTCCTTCGATATCAGACCGTGCTCATCCGTTAGCGGGGTGGTATCACCGTGGCAGATGACGATAAAAGAGTTGATGGGCGTGAGGGGGATTGAGGCGAGACGTCTGGAGAACACAGCTTGGCGGCTACGAAGCAAGGCAGAGGTCGGACCCTAACCTCGAATCGCGAATCCAACACTCAACGCGGCGCGCTTGGCGTCACACGCGTCGTTCTGAATTTTTTGGCCAGGTCGCCTCTGTTTAGAACGAGGCCACCTAACAGACATAAATTGAATTCCCGCCCTTCCTCCTCCGAAGAGCAGCGACGACTGGCGATTGTGCGAATATCATGCGCTAGCTGCGGCAACACTTGTGAGGATCGAGACTGAGAGGCAATCGTATCGATTAGCTCCTCGGAGGCGAAGATCTCTTTGCCGCTTGAGCCGCTTCCTTTGTCGATGTCACTGACGTCGACGATTTGGGAGGCGACGACAGAGTCGAGAGCGAGGACGCTTCGAGGCTGCGCCGAATAGCACGCTTGTGGCGTTGGGTCATCCACGGCGCAATGTCTGATTTCACTCGTTTGGACGGCATTGTCGACTCGCTCTCTGATACCTGTGTGTCTCCTTGGGTCGAATCGGACTTGTCCTTGTGTCGCTCAACATTGTCACGAGATGGCGACCCGACCTGAACCTGGGCCGAGGTGATATCAGTTGCAGATGGAGAGCGAGCACGCTTTTTGCCTTCGGCCACTGCTGAGGCCGAAGGCAGCAGCAAGGAGCCTGGAGCTGCACTTGACGTTTCTGCATGCTCGGACGCGAGCAACTCCGGGTCGATGACGGTCTGCGTTGCGCGCTGGCGTTCAACTGGCATGCTTGTGTCTGGGGCCGATGTGGCTGCCGCATCACCCTCTTCTCTCTGTTCAATCGTGGACTCAAGTCTAGATCCGTGAGAGCCTGAAGATGGGTCTAGGCTCTGCAAGGCCAGTGAATCCGGGGCAAGGGTACCTTCATGAAGAAGCGATTTGCTGGTCGACTCTTTCGGCTGCTGCTGAGGCTGCTGAGCAGATTGTGCTACCTGACTCTCATGCACGGAGCTCTGTGTCGACTTCATCTCTCCAGTAGGAAGAGGTCGCGGAGCCTCATCAGCGGATGAGCGTCGAGACAAGCCGCAAGACAAAAGCGTCTGCCGACTGCAGAGACCGGTGTGACTTTGGAGAGAAAAAGCTGCTCGACAGAGGCATAGAATGTTCTCGAGGCCAGCCCTTGGATGCGCGCTTGCAGGCGCTGTTCATGGGAGATGGGCAGATCGATGAGGTGAAAAGGCAAGTTCTTCCACGGATGAAGAGGAGGAAACCAGCTTTTACTTGGCTTGGCTAGATGAAGCTCCCACTCACAGCCTCGAGCTCCAACCCACGCTCTCCCACTTCTAGGGCGACTGCATCGAGTGAGCAACTTCTGCCCATCCAATGTGCTCGGGGCCTGCCGACGCCGCCGAGATCGCGGTGGACCGAACGTGAGTCAGCACGGAACGGAATCGACCCGACGGACCAGGTTGGATTGCGACAGGCTTGCTGCTTGTAAGCCCAAGGGAAGAGCAGGAGCCAGCTTGTCTATGGCTGCCATTGGCACGTGCTGCACACAGACCAAGGTCGGGACGACGGGACGACGCTCGACTCCAGTTGTCGGCGACCAAGACACCTCGAGAAGCAACCAAATTGGCCGAACCGCTCGCCTGTTTCACCTCGTCGCCTGTGAGCGATGACTCGAACGGTCGATCCTTTGGAAGTTTTGCAAGCACGGCGCGGGGCTCGAAAGCTGCTCGATCCCGTCGACGTGTTGAAACGTCGCATTGCAAAGCACAGCAAGTCGGTCGGAGGCCGATGATTGTGATTGGCCCAACGGAAAATTCCGATGGGTGGTGGTGCGCGGGTTCTGTGAGGTCACGAGAGGAAGATTTCGTTTTGGATGCACGCTGCATCGCTGCCGAGATGGCCGGCAATCAGCCAGTTCTTCGCACAGGCTGTCAAAGGTTCTTCCAGATGTCGCAGAGGCTCCGCTGCAAGAGGTGTGCAGCACGGTGCGTCCGAGCCTGCTCCGATTTGCTCCATATGCGACGATCACAGGCCAGAGGCGGTGGCTCGGATGCACGCCCAATCACCCACTGATTCCGTGCATCTGAAGCAGCGCCCTGACATGATCCCGGAACCTAGCTGCTCGTGACGCTCATAGTTCGACCGATGGCTGTGGGCGAATCTTCCACTCGATTGAGTGTCGAACCACGGCAGCGATCTTGCGCTGGTGCATGGGCAAGACGCTGCTAGCCTGCTAGCGATGCACACTGAGACCCCGCTGGGCCACGCGAGAGAAAATTTTCCGCTTCCCTCCGGGTTAAGCGCGGAGGTCATTTCCCCCACACGAAAGTGGGCGCAACGTGCCATCGAGCCTCGAGACGAGTCAGCAACTCATCCGCGGTTCCACGGCAGGCTCCGGGAGCTTGAGGTTGCGTTGCAAGCTTTTGCCTTTGCCTTTGCACAACCTCGACACCGCCGGCTTCACTTGAAGACATCGCGAGAGGGAACAGAAGGGGAGCGGCGTATCCTGCACGAGCTGGGACGGTTGCATTCTGCAAGTCGAGCAAATGAGGTGGGCATGGCCAACAAATTGACCGAGCGGAATGCACCAGCTCACTGCGTTTTTGGGGCTGGCTCGGCGGATCCTGTGCGTTGTGTGGAGCAGCGCAAGGAACGAGATGAAATGAACCCGAGACAGGTCGGCGCCTGAGCAGCACGGAAGATCCGACGCTTGCGTGGATGCGTGGGTAGGTGCAAGGTGTAGCGCGACCTGCTGCTGCCAGGGCATCGGACGCAGCAGTCCGGAGACAAAGCGCGGCAACGGACACGCACCCCACAGGCTGGCGCTAATTCCAACGCATTCTTTGGCGCCCACACCCGGCTCGGCTTCCCCGCATTCTGAAGGTGGCCTCGGGTATGGCTGCTCTGCTCGACCTCATCCCACATTTTTTTTCCCTTTTTTTCCGTCTCCGTGCCGTGTTTGCCCCAAGTCAGAGAGGCAGTAGCGAGACCCTTTTGGGCGGTGTTGCGGCGCGTTCGCCTGGCTTTCCCCACACAAAAACACACACCCACTCACTCAGCTCGGACGCTGCACCCCACTGCACCGCATCCGCTGCGCCCACCAGCCCAAATCCGACCGCGGCTGGGGTTGCGCAACATCCCGACGCGGAGCTGCAGACGACGGCCCATGCTTGGCTCTCTGCGCTGCGCTTCCGCCGCCTGCCCGTCGCATCTCAGCTTTTCCGCCACGCACCGCGGCGTGGAGTGCATCCGTGGGGCGGACTGACTTTGACTCTGACTTTGCCTGCCGTCGCGCTCGCCTCCGCCTCACTCATCCATACCACGCCTGCCGCGCCAAAAGTGTCTCCCGCGCGTGTTCGACGCTCCGGGTCGTGTCCCTGGCCCCCCTAGGCTCCGGCGCATCGCTACTTCCTCCATCGCTGCCATCCACATCCTGTTCCGTCGCGTCGAGGTCAACCTGTCCTCTCCGCTCCATACTTTCGCCTTTCCACCCTTCTCTTCGTGCCATCGAAAGCTTACTGCTCTCCGCCAAGCACGGGCACAGGCACACCGGCGACCTCTACCCTCGAGCGACCGTCTCGCCCACATCGTCACCTTCGACACCCGCTTCGTGCTCCATCTCTCCGCTCCGAGCTCATTGCACCCTTGCACCCTCGCACCCTCGCGCCGAACCAAAGTGCGGTCACACTCCCACCGGCGATCTTCATAACACTACTCTCGATCTACCGCACCTGCGACCTTCGACTTCGGCCCCGCCTTGTTTGCTTTTGTAGCCTCCGCCCATCGTCTGACCGCTGGAACGACTTTTACCTGCTGCATTTGCTACGGCGATCCATTCAGCTCAGCCCAGCCAGTGTTCATGCCTGCATCTGTCGAGGCGTCGGGCCTTCAAGCCATCGACATCATGATGCCCAAGAAGCGGCAGCAGGGCTTTGTCCCCGGCGCTTCCAGCCTCGGCCCGAGCTCTGCCATGACTTCCCATCCAGGCTCTCAACCGATCCAGTCGGCCGCGCCATCTGCCAATGCCAACAACTTCTTCGGCCCCTTTGGCACCAACGGCCTTCCTAGCAGCTTCATCGACACCGACATCCTCCTCAACGACGACCTCTGGAATCAGTTTTCACCTGCACCCAATACTGGAAACCACGCCTCCAACATGGCCCAGAACCACCAACAGACATTAGCCAACAATGCATCCGCCGCAACGGACGTGCCCAGTGAACAGGCGTTCGGCGAGTCTTACGTCAACATCCCCTACACCTCCTCGCTTGACATGTTTGGCCTCCAGTCGCGCACCTTTGGCACAGTGCAACCCACACACGAGGCACTGCACCGTCTGGGCAAGGACACTCCCTCCATGGACGAGGGCGATTCTCCCGACGGTTCCAATGGCGAGACTACTTCGACAATAGCCACCAGCGTGCTCACGCCCAGCTCGCTCGGCACCACCGTCGGCAGTCTGCCTCAGACCTCGGGCGGTCGCCATCATCGTTCCACCAGCAATGCTTCCTCCACCAATCGCTCCAAGACGGCTCGCAGCTTAAGCCGAAGCCGCACCCGCGTTGCTGCCAGTGCGGAACGACGCGCGGCCGAACGCTCCCCATCCACCGAGCGAGGCGGCGTCGGCAAAGCACCCTCGTCTCGAGCCAGAGTGGGTCGCCGCGCCACAATCGGACCCGCGGCTCTTGCCGGACAGCCTGCTCCAGCGCCGCCAGCGCCAACACGCTCTGCTTCGACGGCTTCCGGTGCCGGTGGATCGAGCTCCAACATGGGCCTCTCATCCAGCTTCCAGGCCCAGACCCATCGTTGGAGCCTGTTCGGCACCGACGGCTCGGGCCAGTCCAACTTACACCTCAACTACAACGAGCCTGCGCAGTGGGGCACACAGTCCCAAGCATCGCAGCCGCAGCCACAACACAGTGGCACCGCTTCGGCATCTTCGTCGCTCCCAACCGCTCACAGCTTCCACGCCAGCATGGCGCATCTGAATCTGCAGACGCCATCCGTATCGTCGGGTGCAAACCAAGCCAACGCTGCTGCAGTCAAAGGCGAGAGCCCCGGGCAGTCATTCAACCCGTTCCTTTTCCCGGCGTACCAACAAGGCCAGGGCGCATCTGCTATGGCCAGTGTGCCCGAGACCGAACAGATTCACCGAGGCAGCGTGCTATCGAGGGAAATGTCGGGGCGTTCAAGCGATACCTCGGAAGCCAGCGAAGCAAAGACCGCATCGGCCAAGGCATCCCGCGGCAAGGTGGCCTCGCGAGCCTCGCGTGAAAAGCTCGCCAAGGATTCCAAAGCCGAGGCGCCAAAGCTCGACAAGACCGTCAGTCCAGAGGAGAACCAGCAAGGTGAAGAGGACGACGACGACGACGGTGGCGACGATGACGACGATGTGCCCTCGGCTGGCACAGGCGCCAAGAGCGAGGCCGAGGCAAAGAGGCTAGCGGAAAAGCGCCGAAAGCGTCGCGAGTCGCACAACGCAGTCGAGAGGCGGAGGCGGGACAACATCAACGAAAAAATCACCGAGCTCGCCACGCTACTGCCCGAGGCGATGCTGCTCGACGCCATCGCCACCTCGACGCAGGGAGGCAACAGTGGAACGTTTGCGCCTGCGCTTGCCGCCAAGGCTTCGCTCGCAGCGGCAGCGGCGGCTGCGGCGAAAGGAGAGGCGGTCACCGGCGGTCCCGATGGCCAGACATCTTTGCCCAAGTCGTCGACGGAGGCCTATGCAGCGGCTCTAGCGCCTGTGCACGCCAACAGCGCCGCGCTGGCCGCAGCACAAGCCAAGCCAAACAAAGGCATCATCCTGCGCAAGAGCGTCGAGTACATCCGCCACCTGCAGCAGTTCCTCGACATGCAGATGGGCCGCATCGGCTTTCTCGAGGCCGAGCTCGCGCGATCACATCAGGCGCTGGCGGCGTCCGGCATGCAGGCTCCCCCCACCACGGATCCGCAGCAGGGCCTCGGGATGATGCATGCATTCTTTGACCAGGCTGGCAATGCGCCTGGCATCGGCGGATCAATGTTTCAGGATGCCATGGGCCAGCAACAGCAACAGCCGCAACAGCAACAGCAACAGCAGCAGCAGCAGCAGCAGCACCATCACCAGCAGGCGGTGTCACAGGACTTTAGCGCGATGAACCTGCTCAGTCTAGGCATGCCGATGGACACGCAGCCTTCGCAGACCCAGTCAAACGCGCAGCCGCCGATGCGAATGCAGCAAAACAACCTGGCGATGCCGCATTCGAACTCGGGGTCGCACGAGGCGTCGGCGGGCACACCGGCACTGGCGGCATGGCTGGAAGGGTTCGATCAGCGCACGGGTCTGCCGCGCCGCTCGTCTGTGGATCCGATCGAGGAAGAGGAGCACGAGAGCGGCGAGGAGGACAAGGAGCTCAGCTCGCGCGGACGCAGCTCGCGCTTGGCGCACGACACTCACGAGGAGCACTGGCGCGGCCGTTCGCGACACAAGGTCGGCAGAGGTCGCGTGCAAGAGGGCAGCTGGCCCGAACTGCAGCCGTCCGAGGCGCAGTCGCCCATGCAGCTCGTCAATAGTGAAGAGCACCATGCCACTGCATCGTTTTCGGATCTCGGCGACATGAAGCTCGACCTGTAGGCGCAGTGTATCTGCTGTGCATGCACAGAGAAGACTTGATAATTCAACCCACCGCATAGATTCCTGGCGCCCGGCATTGAGGTGTATGAAGTGAGAGAGTGCATGGGTGGGGGCGCGTAGGGATGTGAGGGCGCGGTGTTGGGTGTGGTGGAGGCGGGCTGAGCGCGCCGCGGTTTTGAATGCACTCCACAATCAGAAAAGCGGCGGCCATCGCACGAGCCAAATGCGCACACCCAACGAGCCTTTCGACTACCATCCGTCTCGTACAGGACTGCTCCGAACGGCATTCTCGACACACCGCGGTCTCACTAGGAATCACGCTCTCACCCCATTCATACCGCACACACGATGGCGTCAATACCCGAGGCGCGCACCTCGTTCAACCTCAAAGTGCTTCGGCGGCACGATGCCTCGATCGTCGAGATCGTCGAGACGGCGTCGTTTGTCGTGCTCTACAACTACAATGGAGGCGAATGGACCAAGACCGGCGTCGAAGGCCCGCTTTTCCTCTTCCGTCGTCGTCTACCGCCGTACAACGGCTTCTTCCTCATGAATCGCAACGGCGTGGAGAACTTCAGTGCGGATGTAACGCAGGAGGACGATCTGGAGATTACGCCCGAGTTCATCATCTACCGACCCGAGACAAACGGCGACAACGAGGTGTACGGAATCTGGGTGTTTGAGCCGGGCCAGCGCATGGCGGTGGGTGACAAGCTGCTCAAGCTCCAGCAGATGACCGAGCCACCATCGCAGGCGCAGATCGAGGCGGCGGTGGCAGCATCTAGCTCCACCGTCGCGCTCGAGACAAGCACAAAGGATAAGACGGACAAGAAGGAAAAGAAGGAAGCACAGCAGGCCGCACAGGCAGACAAGAAGAAGGCGAAGAAGAAGAATGCCAAGGACAAGGACAAGAACAGCGAGCGCAAGGAGGTCGAAGTCGAGGCGGAGCCGGAGCCGGAGCCGGAGCCGGAGCAGACGACGCAGATTAGCCTCGACGACCTGTTCGGCGGCGCTCCGGCAGCGTCAGTGCCGCAAGAGCTGGAAGAGGTACAGGGTGGACAGGCACAGCAGAAGGCATCAGCGGATGGAAGCTCGTTGCTCGACTCGATGTTTGCATCCGCAGTCTCGCTTGAATCTGCGCCCGCGGCAGCTGCACCCTCGACCGAAAAGGAAGCTCCGGCACCGACGCCAGCATCGACAGCAGCAGATCCCGCGACTGCGCCACAGAGCAACGGTGCTTCGGCGCAGGGCAAGTCGAGCATGTCGACGCTGATCGAGCAGACCATTCTGCAGCGCATTGCGCTCGGCGACGATGGCCAGCCGCTCTCGCGCCGCGAATTCGTCACTGAACTCCTCAGCATCATCCACGTAAGTTACCAGCTTTCCCGGACACTGCTTTTATCCTTGACTGACTCATGTCGGCTGACGTGTCCTCTCGTTTGTTTTGGCACCAGACCGATCCGGCATTCGTCACGGCGCTATACGACACTTATCTCGCACGCGTTGCTTAGATACATTCCATCCGAGCACACGCACAGGCAACAACGACAATCTCCTCAGACATTGGACTTTACTCTGTAAAAAGCAGATGGAGTTCGTGAAAACCTTGTCCAATCTAGCAGCAGCGGTCAGGGTAACGACGAATTGTTGGCGCTGTCTACCAGAACGACGAGGTTGCATGCGCGGGAGCTGCGCGTGGCACGAGCTGGTGGAGGCAACGACCTGCGCCTCGATGTATCGGGCTCTTGCTTGGGTTTGGTAGGTGGTTGAGATGGCGGTGCTTCGTTTTCGGCCTCGGCGGTGCGGGCGGGAGGCGGGGTGGTGGTTGGCTCTCGCACCTCAGCCGCTGCGTCGTGTGCTGGTGCTGGCGCTTCGACCTGTGCGCTTGCTTCCGCAGGCTGGGTGGATGGGAGCTGCGCGTCCCGCGCTGCGAGCAACTCGTCGACGAGGTTGCTGTATCTGCGAATATCCGCCTCTGCCTTGATGAGCCGGTCGCTGAGCTCGATCGTGAGTGCGCGCGTGCGCTCCATCTTCTGTTCCAAAGCCTTGTCTCCATTCACTGTCGCGCTTCCCGCCTCGTCTTCCACCCTCGCGGGGCTCGGTGGCTCTTCCAGCTGCAGCGTGGTGTTGGATCCGAAGCGATACGTTGTGACCGCGTCTACATCCAGGCTGGCGCAATCGCGCAGATCGTCCAAGTGCCGCGGCGTGGTTCTGTAGGTGCGACCTACGGTCGCTTTGCATCCTCCACAGCGTAGAAGCGCAAAGGTGGCGCCCACGTCCTTGCCTGGCTCGGTCGAGGTCTGGAAGGTGGTATCCTGAGCGACGACATCCGAGACGTCGGACAGCACGACGTAGCCCAGCTCGGTGTCCGTCGCAACGAATGCGAACGAATCGCCCAGAAGTCGGAAGCATTGACGACACTGGAAAACCAAAGGCTCCGCGACGGGTTCGGCGTCGTCTTCGAGAACCGCATCGTGCGTGCTCGGGGCAAAGGCATGCGCGTCGCTGTACGACTGCGAGACGTCGGCATGATCTACAGCGGGACGGGCAGTACCTCTGCCGCGACCTCGACCTCGTGCACGACCACGTCCGCGGCCACGCCCACGTGTGGTTTGAGCTGAGCTGCTCTTGGGTGGCGCCATGTCCTCGTTGTCCTCGCCTCCCGAGCTGTGTATCTGGCTGAGGCCGTGCGGCATGGACGATGCTGTCGGCGGCGCGAGCGATCGACCACCAGGTTCAGACGCCAGCAAAGGACTAAGTGGAGCTCCCATGCTAGTGTACGAGACGCCGTTTGGACCGTGTGCCGGAAAGTAGGCCGGATGCTGTGGTGCGGCTATGGATGATGCAGGTCCCACCGAGGCACGCGTCATCGAAGTGCCTGGCACGTTGTCGTAGTACGCTCCTTTCGACGCATCAACGTCGTCGGACCGTCGTGGCCGCTTTGCGAGTGGTGCCATATCTTGTGTGCCTTCGTAGCGTGATCAAAACGCGTTGACGTCGTAGGCACGCGACTGAAGAGCGAGTCGAGCGCGCCAAGTGTTGGTCTCGACTTCCCCCGCCAACGCGCTCTGCTCGCAAGTGGGGGAGCGTCCAAATTTCGATCGGACGATCGCCCTTGGGTAGCGCCGATCTGGAGATGGGAGATCGCGCCGGCCTGCCGCAAGTGCGTAAATCCGGATGGCCGTGTCGTGGAGGTCTGGAAGGGTCGCAGTAGAAAAGCGCGGAAAGTCGAGCCCGTGCACGGACGCGGATGCGCCGAAGCCCTGGGCTCTCTTTCGGCAAGCCGTCGGCCTTCCGTTCCACACCTTGTTTTCGAAGACTCTCTCCCTCTCTCGCTTTTGCCCCGCGGCACCCAACCAAATATAAATCCGTAATCGCAATCCATCCTTCCCCCACCAACCACATCTTTTGCATCTCGCTAATCCACCCAGCCAGACCTATTCCAAAATGGTAAGCAAGCTCGTCATGGCTCCGGTCCTGCGCACTGCGGGTTCGCTTGCGCGGCCGGCGGTGCAGCCCATCGTGCTTCCAGCGTCCAGGAGACTCATCTCCTCTGCCTCCTCGCCCTTCTCTGCCACCAACACCAATTCCAACGCTGCCACTCTGCGCAACGCCTTCGCGCGCAATGCTCTCGGCCATGCTCCCACTACTGCGCTGGGTGCCTCTTGCGTGAAATCGTCGCCCATGCTTGCTCGCGGACTGGCGACTGCCGCACAGACCATTTCCAAGGGCGAACAGATCCCCAACTCCACGTTCATGTACGTGCCCTTCACCTCGGAGCTCGCCGACGGCACTGCCTGCGGCGCCCCCACCAAGGTGCAGACCCACGAGGCTTTCAAGGGCAAGAAGGTCGTCATCATCGCCGTCCCCGGCGCCTACACCCGTAAGCATGCTCAATTTCCCCCAATCTGCACGTAAACCTGCTTCGGACCAGACTGACGCTGATTGCTGCTCTTGGACGTCGCAGCTACTTGCCACGTGAACCACATCCCCCCCTTCATCAAGCAGGTGGATGCTTTCAAGGCCAAGGGTGTCGACCAGATTGTCGTGCTCGCCCAGAACGACCCCTTCGTCATGTCGGCCTGGGGCGTGCAGAACAAGGCTGAGGACAAGGTCATCTTTGCCACCGACCTCGGCCTCGAGTTCTCCAAGGGCGTCGGCTCCACCGCCGACCTCTCCGCCATGGGCTTCGGCATGCGCACTGGCCGCTACGCGCTCATCGTCGACGACCTCAAGGTGGTCGACTTCAGCCCCGAGCCCAACCCGGGCGCCGTCGAGACCTCCTCCGCCGAGGCCGTCCTCTCCAAGCTCTAAGCATCGCACAGCGGCTGCGCGGACTATGCTGATCACCTGCCTTCTCTAATGCAATCAGTGCCAGACGGCCTTCCATCAGATGCAAAACACGTGTGTGAGAGTGCGATTCGGTCGGATTCGAGTGAGTAATCAGGGTGCATGGAGCACGTCTATGGTGATACTGGTGTTGTGACGGCGATACGATTGACGGAAAGCGAACGCTTAGCGCGGCGAGCATCGCGGAGGGCTGGCAGGTGCCGAGCTTTCGACCATGGCGCGAATGGTCTGCGAACCGGCAAAAACGACGCAGACGATGCCAAAGAACAGCATGGCGTAGTTGAGCACCTTGGTGGCGGTCCTTGTTGCGTTGGCCTTGAGATGCAGCAGGGGCGGATAGATGAAACACAGCGGCACGCACGCCACCGATCCGATGAGCGAGACAAACTTGTCCAGATCGTTGGCACCGGCCCACGCAGCCAGGCAGCACACTGCAACCACAAGGAAGCGGAAGAGATTCTTCTCGGTCTTGACCTTCCAGTTGTACTTGCCGCTCTTGGTGAAGATGCCCTTTTCGAGCACCGCCAGTGCCGGGAAGAGCTGCAGCGGCGTCGACAGCAGGATCGCAATGCTGTACAGGAACTGCATGGCCTGCACGAACCTCGACGTCTGCGGCAGGTTGGTGATGACCACCGTCTGGATCGCAGATCCAAATGCCATGTACGAGAGCGCACCCGCCGACGCAAACAGCACCATGACAAACGCCATGACGCCCGTGAGCGCGCGCGGGAACTTCTCGGGCTCCTTCATCGACTCGGTGATTGGGATGACCAGTCCGATGCCCTCGAAAGTAAAGACGGCGGTGCCGATGAACAGCGGGAAGTCCTTGGAGTTGAACATGACCACATCCGCCAATCCCTCCTTCGCCACCTTGCCGATCTCGTATTGGAAGAGATAAACGATGCCGAACAGGATGAAGACGTCGGCGATGAGCGCGGTGGTCGAGAGCTTGGCGATGCGGCGGATGAGCGAGAGCGGCAGGAAGACAGCCATCTGGCCCAGGATGAGCGCCCAGATGGGCACGAGCGTCTTGCACTGCGTCACGGCCAGCACAAAGGCCTGCATGTTCTGTGCCACAAAGACCGTGTAGGCCGCGACGAATCCGAGCTGCGAAAGCACGATCGAGGCGAGAATGGCGAGGCGCATGCGAGGACCGTAGAGGATGCCGCCCATGTCACCAAACGAGCCGGGGCAGTTGAGGTTGGTCTTGACGAGCAGCAGGAAGGAGACAAGCGAGATGATGGCGACGGAGCAGAGCGTGATGGTGGAAAAGAGCAGGCCGCCGTTGTAGAACGCCTTGCCGAGGAAGAGCACGCCCGTGCCGACGAACGACTTGAGCAGCATCATGACGGCGTCCGTGACCGTAGCCTCGCCGCGGCGACGCTCCTTGCTGGCTTTGCGCATGCGCGTCCGTGTGTCGCTGCGTTTGAGGCCTTTGCGACCGCGCAGGAGACCGGATCGCTCCGTGTCGCCGTTGCCGGCCGCGCGGCTGGTGCCCGGGATGGCGCGGGCGTCGTCGTCGTCCTCTTCATCGGTCTCATCCTCGTCGCCTTCGTCGTCGTCATCGTCCTCCTCGAGAAACTCTCCGGCAAAGTGGCCGTAGAGGCTGAGGAAGTCGATGAAGCTTCTGAGCGCTCGGGGCGGCGCTCGGCCCTGCTGCTCGGCCTGATTGATCACAAAGAAGCGACGGAATCCACCGGGCTCCTTGATGCCCTGAACGTCGAGCTCGGGATCGATGGTGGCTGTTCTGGGCATGTGAAGGCTTTCGCTACGAGTACGACGGGTCGATACGCGGCGGTTCTTGTGCGCCCATCGATAGACGTCGTCGGTGATGGCACCGCCTTGCATCTGGTGCGGACCGCGGTAGCTCTCTTCGACGTCCTCGAGGACGATCTCTGAGGGCGACTCTGCGGTGACATCGCCGGATCCGGGAAAGTTGACGTGGGCGCTGCGTGCATCGTTGCTGGCGACGCTGTCGTCGGTGTTGTCGTTGGACTGGATGGAGGTGGCCGAAAGCGAATCGCGATTGGCGTCGGGACGCGCAAGGTGTCTCTCGATGATGCGTGCCTTGCGTTCGTCCGAGATGGGGAGCGCATCGAGGTTTTCGATGTTGCTGGGGGTTGAGATGCCCGAATCTGCGGGAGGCGGAGCAAGCGAGGCGCTATCGCGCGAGGGCGGCTCGATCGAGATGGTTCGTTGAAACGAGCTGGGGAAGGCGGACGAGTCGTGACGCTGCTGCTGCGAGGACGAGTAGAGGCTCATGTTCTCGTTGGAGGGCGAACCGATGCGCGGCGGAATGTTGGGCAGCGTTGGGGAAGCATGTCCGAAAGGGCTGTCGACGAAGCCGCGGGAGGGCGATCGAATCGGGCTGGACGAGTCGTCGGTGGGGCGCGGGGAGGGGATGGCCCTACCCTTGCCGTTGTTCGGCGTTGACATGGTGTCGATGGCGCCGCGAAGCTGTCTAGGGTGATGGAAAGGATCTACTGGTGACGGGCACGGGGATGATGGCGGCAACGAAGGGAGCTTCGGGGAGAGTGGGTGGGCAACGAGGAGTTCGATACGGGGTCACGTTGGGGCTTGCATCCAGAGCAGCTGCTGCTGCTGCTGCTGCTGCTGTACCGTAGCTGTATGCGCGTCAGCTGTGCAATTGCTGTTGGTAGGTTCACGTGTCCTCGAAAAGTAACGCGGGAGAGCGCAGTGTGACTTTAGCGAGGGCGAAAAGTGTTGGGTGACGGAGGGCGAGTGAGCAAAATTGACTTGGGTGCGGTTGGACGAGGTCCGACGTGCGTTCCTGTGCGTCTAGCCGCATGAGGCACATCCGCATTTCCCTCGCAGCCGGCACATCCGAAGCGGGCGACACGCGAAAATTTAAGCTTTGTTAGACCGGAGTATCTCTTCACTGCAAGGAAAGCGAAAAAGGAGGCTCAGCCCTGGCCGGCTCTTGCTGACGAGAAGGACGAGAGGCACGAAGGAGGCCCAAGCTTTTACGGCCTCCACGTCTCTAGAAAAGTGTCTGGACGCCGGCCGGAGCGGTTGATTGATCAAGGATGCGGCTTGCATGAGCTTTGACCGTCTGCCTTTCGATCAGGATCACTTCCTCCCGCTCTTCTTTTCTAAACCACGAAGGGCTGGCAGCTCTGCAGACATCACCATGTCGTCCGCACCGCCAAGAGCCACGGTCGAGGATTTCGAGGACCCCGACGACCCCTACGCCCCTTACCAGCCACGGCGGAGCGGACGCAGCGGCTCGAGGGGCGCACGATCATCCACAGCCGCTTCGAGCTCCAGCACCTCGCAGACCTCTTCCAGATCCACTGCTTCGTCTTCCTCCACACACGCATACCCGAACGATGCCCGCTCAGCCGGCTCGTCTCGGACGTCCGATATGCGCAGCAGCTATGGCCAGAACAGCACAGCCTCGGACATCTACGAGCGGTCTGCGTCGTCGGGAACACAGGGCTCCTTCCCACGAGAGGGCGGCGATGAAGAGCCTCTCTTTGGCGGTCGGCCCTTCCGAGACGCGCATGACCCTTCCGCAGCCGCCGAAGCGACGTCGGGCGACCCGAGCCGAGCTACGGACAAGGAGTATCTCTACGCACTTCTCAATGTGCCTTCGGATGCGTCGGCAGAGGCGATCAAGGATGCCTACCGCGCACTCGCCGTAGTGCTGCATCCGGACAAGCACAACGACCCCGCCAGAAAGAGCGCCGCCGAGTCGCGCTTCCGCGAAGTCCAGCGCGCCTACGAGATCCTCTCGGATCCAGAGAAGCGCACCGTCTACGACTATTTCGGAGAAGAAGGGCTCAAGTCGTCCTGGTCCGTCGCCGTGCGTGGTAGGAGCCCGCACGAGATGCAGGCCGAGTTCGAGAGGGAGCGCAGACGCAAGCAGGCCGCCGATGCCGAGGCGCTCGTCAAGAGCAAAGGCGACTTTACCGCACACATCGACGCCACCGCGCTCTTCGCTCCTGCAAGTCGCATCCCGCGTCGCCAACCATCTCAGCCTCGAGTGCCAGCGGTCGGCAAGGATGCCCAGCCTGGCGTTGCCCCCGATACCTCGGCTGACGCTGGTATCGCAGCAATGCAGGGTCTGGGTGTCGCCGGCTTCCCACGCACCGTCACCATGGCCGAGCGCATCAGCCGCGTCGGCTGCACCCAGCTCATCGGCAAGCACGGCTTCGAGACGCAGGTCACCAACCGCACCTCGGCCACCTTTTCCGGACAGATGGTCAGTCGCAACGGCCTCGGCGGCGGCAACCTCGTCGGCACGCTCAAGACGCACTGGTCGCCGCGCCTCTTCACCGAAATTACCCTCTCCTTCCTTCGCCCGCAGATCATCACCACCAAGGGCCAGTTCACCCTCGACGCCAACTCGTTCTTCTCGTGGCAGTCGACGATGCAGACGTTGCTCATGCCACCCACCTTCAACCTCACCTACGGCCAGCGCCTCTCGTCCAAGTCGACGCTCACCGGCTTCACCACCGTGCGCAGCGGCACCTACAGCCTGCTCGGCTGGGGCGCCGAGGTGCCCGGCCAGACGCTCGTGCGCCGAGAGCCTGCGGCTGTGTCCGTCGGACTCACCAAGCAGATCGGAGAAGGACGCGGCTGGACAACGCAGACGAGCATCTCGCCCGTAGACCAGAACATCTCGGTCGACTATGCGCTGCCCGTGCTCGGCGGCGTCAAGCTGCGCAGCGGCTTCAACATCGGCACTGGCTCGGGCCTCTCGGCATTCACATCCGCCGAGCGTCGGCTGACGGAAAACGTGCGCCTTGCACTCGGCCTCAACTGCGCCTTACCCGTCGGCGGCGTTACGCTGCGCATCAAGGTCAACCGCCTCGGCCAGAAGATCGCGCTGCCCATCCTGCTCGCGCGCGAGTTCAGGTCGGATCTCGTGGTGCTCTTCACCGTTGTTCCGGCAGCAGCGTACACCGCGTTGCACTGGGGCGTGCTCGAGCCGCGCAAGCAGCGCCGCCTGCGAAATCGGCTCGGCGAGCTGCGCGCTGCTAATAGCGATCTCATTCTCGAGCGGCGACAGGCGGCGCTCGATGCGCTGGCGCTGCTGCGCGACCAGGCCTCCAAGAAGGCGCGCTCCGAGCTCGCCCGATCGGGCCTCGTGATCATCAGTGCCGTCTATGGCCGGCGCGATGCCTTCCCTCCCGCGCTCGACGCTGGAGCGGACGCGGCACAGGCAGCCTCGCAGGTGTGGTCCGAACCGCCGGCGCTACCGGTAGACAACGAGCAGGCGGATGTGCAGAATGAGGCGTACTGGGATGCCACCATCGCCGTGCAGGCGCTCGTGAATCACTCGCAACTCATCGTGCCCGCCGCACGCTCCAAGTCGTATCTGCTCGGCTTCCACGATCCGGTCATGGGCGAGAAGAAACACCTGCGCGTCACCTACGCCTTCCGCGGCCAGCTGCACCAGGTCCAGGTGCAGGACCTCGCCGAACTCGCCATGCCCATGCGCATCCACCAGCTCTCCTAGCCCCCCTCACCACTCTCCGTCAACCACCACTTGTATGCTCGTGTAAATTATAATGTCGAGGCATGAAACCCGCGTTGATTGCAGTCACGATCGGAGGACCTCGATCCACGTCTTGATCGCGTCCTTGTGAGCAGATTCTTTGCCCTCGTCGTTTCCTAGCTCAGATGGGTCGAGCAGTGCAGCCTCTACACTGTGCCAGATGGCGGGCGTGCTCGGTTCGAGACGGACGAGCTTTCGCGCCAGCAGATCTTCCACCTGAGCCGAAGTGAGTCCGAATGCACGCGAGCTCAAAAGAGCCGCCACCGACTGGCCTGCCCTGGCTCCATTCGACTGCGAGTCGTTCGCAGCATCCCCATTGACGCCGGGAAGAGGCGGTGTGGTCGGCTCGTCATCAAACAGGTCGGCAGCGGACGAGTCCTTGCGCAACCCGTTGGACTCGGTGCTGGTGGCCAATGCAAAGATAGCTTCTGCCGTGCTGGTCGTGGATGTGTCGTGGCTGCGCACAGCTTCGGCCGCACGCGCGAGGCTGAGCACGAGCGCAGTGGTGCGCAGCGTAGCCTCGACGTTCGACTCGTCGGCGAGCTGGACGCGCTCAACAAACATCAGTGCCGGATGCACCTCGTTGGCCTGGGGTGCCAAGAGGCACAGCCACGTTGCAAGCGCCTTCTGCTCCGCAACGCTGTGTGCTGTCAGCCCGCGTCCCTGGGCACCCATGAGCCGATCCAGCGTCGAAGACGCCGCATCCGGCCCACACAGCATCGTGATCGTCTCCGACTCGGCAGTCACGCTTGCATGCTGCTGCGCCACAGTCTGGTTGGCGAGTGCACGCAGCCATGCCGAGTTGCGCCGGCTCAGCAGCTGCGCCGTGACGCCCGTCGCCTCCATGCGTGCCTTGAGTGAGGCCATATTGAACGTCTCGCTGCCGACCTCGAGCGTTGCCGCTCCACCCGCCTCCACCGCCTGCACGAACGCGTCAAACGGCCGTGCGATCAGATGCCGTACAATCGCCGGACACGCGTCGGTATCGAGCAGCAGCGCCACCACCTCGAGATGCACCGTACGCGAATTGGCGTTCCTCGGCAGCCCGTTAGCCAGCGTTCCATCGCTCGATGGCACATCGACCACGGAAGCCTGCAGCCCTGCTTCGGTCAGCACGTCGAGGATGGGCTGCAACGGCACGCGCGCGATCTCGGCCAACAGCCACGCCAGCGCCCCCGGCAGCGTAAACGACAGCAGGTCCTGTAAGAAGTAGCTCAGCCCGCCACGCAGCGTCTCGAGATCGATGACGCCGTGCACGCACGCGCCGATGCTCTGCGCAAACAGCAGCGGCGCCAGCCGCAACAGCGTCGTCGGCGGCGATGCCTGGATGAGGTCGTCCGAAATCCCCTCGTTGCCAAACAGCGCGTGCACCCACCTCCCCACCAACCCCCTCTCTTCCTCTCCCAGCGCAGCGAGTGGGTAGCACACCGAGGCCGACGCCAGATACGACGCCAGAAACGGTCGCCCTCCCGCTGCCTCCGAGGACCCCGTCGTATCATCGATCTCCATCTCTCCGCTGGCACCGCTCGTGGAGCGCGAGATGCGCGAGGGCGCCACAGAGTAGCGGTAGCACAGCAGCTGCACAAACAGGATGATGTTCGACAGTGTCGCTGGCTCGTCGCTCGTCTGACCCAGATCCTGGTGGTCCAAAATGCCCGCCAGCGGATGCACGAGCTCGGCAGGGTCGATGTAGAGCATGATCGTGTCGAGCATGGCGCCGCCGTGCGTGGCGTCGTCGCCGAGCGCCCTGCACCACCTCGCGATGCTTTCGAGGTCGTGCTGCTCGAGCCAGGCGTGCACCTGCACCACGAGCTGGCGCGCAAAGCTAAAGTGCGTGCCCGGATCCGATGCCACGCGCTGCAGCAGCTCCATCGGATCGTCGGTGGGCACGCGCGTCTCGAACAGCGTGTTGAGTGCCAGTCCCTCGAGCTGCGCGTCCATGCGCAGCGATTGCGCGAGGCTCTGAACCTCGGATGCGAGCTTGTGGCCCTCGGGAAACTCGTCGGCGATGGCCTCGGGCCGCGCAAGCGAGTGCTCGATGCACGCACGCAACAGCCACGCCTTGATCGGCTGCGACGGCGGCGTATCCAGCCCGACCACATCCATCTCGGCGCCTGTCGTCGCATCGGTCGCCCCATTTGCGACTGCAGGCTCGCTGACGGCCGTCTCGCACACGTCCAGACGGGCGGCCATGACGAGCAGCGCTGCGCGCAGCGCACACTCAAAGCGCACATGCGGGGCCTCGACGCGCTGTCCTCGCAGCGGCAGATCCGGATGCACATCCAGCCACTGCTCGAGCTGCAGCACGATCTCGGGCACCATGCCGCACAGCGCGTTCCTCCAGATCGCCGCGTACACCTCGGCGCCCTTGAACGCCGGCGGCATCTCGACCACGCTCGCGCACGCATCGATCGCCGCCACCAGCAGCTCAAAGTAGAACGCGGTGAGCGACTTTTCCAGCGTCACCGACGGCGCCGCTGCCACCCTTCGGGCCAGAAACAGCGTCTTGATCGCATCGAGCTTGGCGCTCCACGCTGCGCGCTCGTCGACGACCAGATGCATGAGCAACGCCATCTCGGGCTCGACGGGCGCCTTGTCTGCCGCCGTGGTGGCCGCTGCGTCCAGAAAGTGGTCCCAGGTCGCTCGTCGCTGCGCATCCTGCATGGTCTCGGCCTTCTTGCCGCGCAGCTGCGATGTCGATGCGGTGCTCGACCCGGCGAGCGATTGGGCGAGCTGGTGGATGACGCCGATCTGGCTGCTCAGCGAGCGCAGCAGCGCGATCTCGTCCTTCCATGCCGGGTTCATCGAGTGCAGCACCGTCTCCACGTCGGCGGTCGCCGCCTTGCATTCCGACCGCGTCTGCTGCAGCAGAGGAGTGTCGGCCGCGGGCTTGTCTTTGGACGCCTGGAGGGTAGAGAGGCTCTGGATGACGTGAGCGAGGAGGCTCGAGCCGACGTTCATGAGCACGGTAATAGCAGCACGCGGCGCAAGTAGGTTCTGCGGCGCAGCGATGCTCGCGTCCGCTGCCAGCGCGAGCAGACGCAGGTTCGACACGATGAACCGCAGCGCTGCGGGTGCCACCTCGCTGCCTCTTGTTGGCTCTGCCGATGGCGCTGGCGACACGACGGATGCTGACGAAGACGGATCCTGGACCTCCTTGTCGGCGAACAGCCTTTGCAGTAGCGCCAGCAGCGACGGATCTGCGACTTTGAACGGCGCGTTCGTCTGAAAGGTCATGAGGAGTCCTTGGCCGATGACCGAGGACACGGTCTCGATGGCGGAGACCTTTGTGGTTGCATCGTCGACGTGGGCAAGCAGGTAGAGTGTGACGGTGATGGCGTCCGTAACGGGGCCCTGGTCCGGATCGACGCCCGAGCGGGTCGCACTTCCATACACGAGTGCCTGGAGGTACTCTATGAGGAGCGGGTCGATAAAGTCCTGCGATAGGATGTGCTGGACGAGGCAGCTTGCTGCGAGCGAGGCTGCCAGCGCCGGGTCGACATCTTCACCGCGCGACTGCTGGGAGGATTGGATGCGCCGTGTGAGCTGATGTACGAGCGCAAGCCAGCTCGACTGCGACAGGCGCCGCGAAAGAGCTTGCAGGAGCAGCTTGCCGAACAGCTGCTCCGGGTCGTCCATGGTGCGTTCGCCTGCACGTGCGGCGGAGGGCGGCTGAGAGGATGGTCGAATTGTTTAGCGAATCATCTCATGTAGAGATAGCGTCCTTTCCGTGCTTCAGAGACCGCCGAGGGTGTGCTGGCAAAGTTCACGAAGAGTAAGATGAAGTGGAAAGTGGAGAAGGCCGGTTGCACCGGCGTGTTGGTGCGGAAGAACTAGAATTGGCTTTGCGGTCGCTGAAGCTGTTGGTCTGAGCCCTTCGCCGATTCTCTTCCGTCCAGAATAAGGAGTCTAACACTGTCGAAAAATCGCCCACCTGTCCCCACCCTCATCCCACCACACATCCCCACTTTGCAAAGTCAGGCGGGAACCACATCCAGAATCGAGTCTGCATTTGATCACGAAAAGGCGAAAGAGTGTACATGAAAACCGCATGAAGGCGGCCTAGTCCCTGATGGGCTTGGCACCGCCAACGACGCGGCCACGCACAAAGACGGTGGCGATGTTCCTGTCGTCACCGGTGAAGAGCCACTTTTCAAAGACATCGGGCAGCGTGTCGTCCTCCTCGACGAAGCAGCCAGGGTTGCCCGTGTATCCGGACGGGCCCCAGTGCGAGGTGGTCTGCACGAGAAGCGCATCGAACTCCTTGCCGGCCTCGAGCGATCCGATCCGGCTGGCCATGGCGCACACCTCGGCGCCGCCGAGCGTGGCGAGATAGAAGAGAGTGGCGATACTCAGCGGGCCCTTGGTGAAGTCGACGGTGGACTTGGACGTCATCGACGATGCGGGGTCCTGCACGGACTGCTTCGCCTCCACCGGGTTGAGATTCGAGGTGGCGATCGAGTGTGGCTTCCTCGGCTGGTACTGGCCGGCCACAGGCGGGCCTGGATACCTGCCATCGACGGGCGGAGCCCCGCCAAGCGGCTGCTGCGCCTGCAGAGCCGCCTGTTCGCTCGTGGGTGGTGCGGTTGCGGCGAGCTCCTCCGCCTCTTCCCTGGCCTTGGACTCGGCCTGGGCTCGCTGGAAGGCAAGCACCTTGGCCACTACACTCGCTTCGCGGATGGCCGAGAGCATGCCGAGACCGAATCCTCCGGAGACGTCGGTGCCGAGACCGACCTTGATGCCCATGTTGAGCATCTCGCCCACGCGCGAAGCGCCCGAGCGCAGGTTGAGGTTGCTGGTGGGGCAGTGCGACACGCCGCACTTTCGCTTCTTGATGATGGCGAGCTCGTCGGCATCCAGATGGACCGCATGCGCCAGGATCGTGCGGGGGCCGAGCAGCGAGTAGTGGTCGTACACCGAGGTGTAATTCTTGGCGAAGGGGAAAAGCTGCTTGGTGAAAGTAATCTCGCCCTCGTTCTCGCTCAGATGCGTCTGCACGCGTAGCGTGGGGTCGCGAGAGAGCAGCGCCGAGATGCCGGTGAGCATGGCGTCCGTGCACGAGATGGCGAAGCGCGGCGTAAGGATGGGCTGCACGAGGGCATTGTTGAGCTCGCGCTCGCGCTGCCTCGACGGCGTTGAGGTGCCGCTCTCGCGGGCGGATCGGATGCTGCTGCTGCTCGGCTGCCTCGCTACGGCGACGCTCGAACGCGAGATGGGCTTGAGCGAGGATGAGACCTTGGCAGACGAGGGGCTGCCGTTGGTCTCGGAGGGAGGCTTGCTACCGGTGGGCGACATGAGCTCGTCCATGGTGGCGCTGAGTCGCGCGATGCTGGCGTCCATCTCGGGCGAGGTGCTGTGCAGATCCGCAGGACTCATGGAGGGCGACGACACGTCGGGGGGCTGGCCGTACGGCCTGAGGCTCCTGGTGAAGCGAACGAACTCCTTGGTATCCTCGATGGACTGCGACGCATTCTTCTCGATGTAGTCGATGGGCGAGTTGCGGTCCATCTGGCACTTGCCGACGAAGGCGCGCTGGCCGCGCTCATTGCAGATCTCGGCGAGAATCTTGGAGGCCTCGAGATGCAACGTGGCATAGTAGCATGCGGTGGTGGTGCCCGAGTCGATGAGACGCTGTACGACCGACTCGTACGTCTTGCGGGCGTACCTTGCGTCTTCGAACCTGCGCTCACGCGGGAAGGTGACGTGCTGGAGCCAGTCGAGCAGCTCGTACTGCTGACCGAGGCCGATGTTGGGCACCTGGCAGGCGTGCGTGTGGGTATCGATGAAGCCGGAGCAGAGGAAGCTGCCGGGCGGGAGGCGAGTGAGCTTGTACTGGCCCTGACGCCAGCCGTGCTTGTCGAGGACGTGCTTGATGAGCTGCTGTTCGCGGCGGGCAGCTTCGTCTTGCGAGGCGTCGAAGGACGACGAGGCGGCGGCTCGCGTGGGCACGGCAGGCGGCGGCATCTCAAGCGAGGTGAGCTCTGGAGCCTCGGGGAGACTGGAGCGCGTGGATCCAGGAATGGGAACCGGAGTGGAGGAGCGGTCATCGGCGGCATCGGCGATGGCGGTGCCAGTAGTGCTGGTCGAGGCGGAGGTGGAGGACTCGGCGGAAGGGGATGCGGCGGACGCGGTGGCAGCAGCGTGGGGAACCTGACGTTCGAGAACGTCGAGATCTTCCAAGAAGCGGATCACGCCGCCCGAGCCGACGCCGAGCAGGCCGCGCTGGATGATGCTCAGGTCGGTTGCGGACCTAGAGCTGATGATGGCACCCACGAAAACGCGCTTGGGCAGCAGATGCGGCGCAGGCATGGCGGGTCGGAAGTTCTCCGAGGCCGACGTCGGGTATCCATTGCCACCGAACGGCGGACGAAGATTGGGGCGTGCGATGGTCATGATGGCAGCAAGGCGAGGCTACGAGTCGGTGGCGCGCTTCAGCTGCGACGAGGGTCTGGACGGCTGTGCCGCGAGAGCTGGTCCGAAAGAGCTGCTTGCTGTGTGATGGAGATCGTCAAGTCGCTCGATAGCAGCGTGCTGAGCGTGAGAGTCGAGTGATTGGCGCACACGGAGGCGTGGGAGTGTGTGCGAGCGAGCGAGTGACAAGCGGATAAGAGTCACAATGGATCTGTGCGCGTCACAGGGTCGAACGTGGACGAGCCGAGCGCTATCGGGAACGCTCCGCTGCAGCAGCCAAGAAGAGCAATTTCAGCTCTCTTTTTTCTTTTTTTTTCCTTGGGACCGCGTGGAGGGGATGCAGACGCAAAAAAAGAAAGATAGGTTCTCGCAAAGAGCCAGTGAGTCACTGTCGAGCGCAGAGTCGGAGGAGCCGTTGCGATGAGCGCAAAGGCGGATCGAAGGCAAGAGCGAAAGAAGAAGAAGGAGCAAGACGTTCAGGGGATGGCGCCGAGCAAACACGGTCTATATCTAGCCTTGAGCGATGCCCTGGCTCCATGGGCTCCATGGGGACTCCTCGCACACACGAGATACAGCGAGGAGAGGCCGTCCAATCAGAGTTGCTTGGGGGAAGATGCACCCTGTGCGAGGGCTGCTTGGTGGGGATGGCCGTGCGGGGGGTGCCAAAAGAGAGTGTGCAGCAGGAGGGCTGCCAAATGCAGGCCAAGGTTGGAGAAGTCAATTTTTACGGCGATGTCCGAAGCTTCCTAAAAACAAGGTCGCGCTGCGCTGTGGTGCCGCTTTGGCTTGGCTTGGCTTGGCTTGCCCAGTCATGAGCTCTGCTTTTCCGGCTCGTCTAGATACATGGAAGCATCTGGTAGTCACTCGGCTGCCTTAGTCGTACGTCGGACGAACACATCCGTAGCCCATATGCATCTTGCGGCGAGCCAGTGTGACTGTGCTGCTGTCTAAATTAATTGCGGTGCCTGCTGCAAGTGGGTCAATCGACACCTCTGTGCAAACATCGGAGAAGGCCGAGCCGTATCAGCACGTGAGCCTTGTCTTGCCTTCGGCACCTCTCAGATGATGAGATCAAGGGAAGCATCGGCTCCGATACCGATGCTTCCGATCGGCAGCAGGCTCAATCCTTCGCCGGTAGTCAACTGCTCGGCCGTCCAGCTGCTGGTGAGAATGCCAACTGGTGCTCATCCACCTGCGCTCCCGCATGAATCCCGTCGGGCGGCCAGAACGACAATGCACTACGTTGCTCGAAAGTGGATATATTAAGTATGTGTACAAAGGCAGAGAAACAATGGTGCAGATGGCTGATGCTATCGTAGGGTGAACCGGGAGTCCGGTTCTTTTGCGGGTGGGGTGGACTTGGCGTCCTCAGGTGTAGAAGAACGCTCGACTCATGCGCGGGTGGAGAGGGCCTCGGCTTGGGCAGAGGCGGCTGCCTTGTCGCGCGCCTCGTCCTTGCGGGCGAGCTCGGCTTCACGCAGCTTCTTCTCGGCCAAGTTCTTCATCTTGAAGTAGTCCTTGTGCAGACCGCATTCGGTCTTGCCCGCCTTGTCCTTCCACCTGCCTGCGCGCTCGCCCGAGTCGCCGGAGCCTGGCAGCGCAGTCGAGTGCCAGTCGCCGATCGACTTGTAGCCGAGATCGAGCAGCTCGTTGTACGGCACGGCGTTTGCCTTGGCGTACGCATCCACCTGGCCGAAGGACCAGTTCATGAGCGCGTTGACCTTGATGAGGCCCGTCTCGTCCACCTCGACCGCGTTGAGCGAGGCCCGGTCAGCGCCTTGCGAACGACGACGTCCCGTGAAGACGGCGCGCACGCCGAGCTCCTCGTACGCACGACGCGCAGGCTCGACCTTCACGAGATAGTCGTACGTGTCTTCGTCCTTCTCCCACAGTTGTGTGCCCCACTTGTCCTCGAACTCGCGCACGGTGGTGGTGCCTGGTGGGTAGTAGACGTGCATCTCGGCGTTGTAGTGCTTGGCAGCCTTCTGGGCGAGGTCGAGTGTCTGGGGAAAGTGGTAGAGCGTGTCGACAAAGATGAGCGGCACGAGGTGGTGGTCAGGACGGCCCTGCTTGGCGGCGCGCTGCTCGCTGATGCGCGCAATCATGTCGACGGTGATGCAGCCGGTGATGCCGAACGCCGTGGTCTGGTAGAGACCGGGCAGGTTGTCGATGGCCCACTCGATGATCTCGGTCGGGTCGGCCTCGCCGAGCTTGCGGTTGATCGCCTCGAGGTTGGCAATCACGGCGCGGATCTGCGCCTCCTGCTCGGCCTGTTTGGACGATTGTGCGACTTGTGCTGTGGTCATGATGGATGCTGCGTGTTGTTGTGACGAAGGGGCGGGTGCGTTGTGTCGAATGCGGATCGCGAGCTGTCAATGTTTTTGCGTGTCGAAGTGATGGAGAATGGAATGAAAGGTCGACGACGAAGAGTATAGAGCTGAGGATGTGCGAAGGAAGGGGTGATGACGATGTGGTCGAAGGAAGAGGAGGTGGGAAGGGTAGGTTCGAAGGCTAGGTAGTTTTGAGGCCGTGCGGTGCAGAGCGGGTACGGGCAGACTGGGGCCAGTCAGAAGAGCACGGTCAGCACTGGCTACTCTGCTACTCTGCAGGGGAAGGGGAAGGGGAAGCGCTTCGGGGATAGCGAGGAGGAGTGACAGGCAGTGGGCATTGCCAAGCGGATTCATGCCGCGCCGAACGCAAACCGTAGGGGGGTCCGGAAATTTTTTCCCACTGTGGAGCGCTCTCACGACCCAAAGCAACGCATCATGGTGTCGTTCGACCCACCGCCCTGACATCAAGGCGGCGCCGCTTGCGAATTGATCCACGGCATCCCTCAAGGCTCGTTGCTTGTCTTGGACTGGAGTCCAGTATGAGCAATGCTGCGACTCTGGGCAGCTGGGCAGGTGCGCATGCACGACTCCTCTTCGGCACTGCAGAGGCAGTGTGAAGCCGGCTGAGCATCGCCGCGACCGTGCTGAAAGAGCAAGGGCTCCGTGTGTCGATCGAGGCGCCAGGAGCGGTGTTCAAAGTGCGGCGGCGGGGCAGCAGCGGCTGGCTGGTGGGGGAGGTAGAATTTCTGTTGCTGTTCAGACGGCGAACGAAGGCGGCAAGCCGTGGCGGCGGCGCAAATGGACTGCAGGAGGTCACGTCACGTCAAGATGATCAGGATGGCGTGCTCGACAGCTTCCGCTCGCCGACACTTCTTCTCGGCAGAGCCTCCACCTCCGGGCTGAATGATCTCGGACTTTTCGATGGATTTGAAATTGAGCCCGATTCCCCGATACGAAGCGTGGATCTCGGGATCGAATTAGGATCTTTCCATCGGGCGATTTGGCGATTTCAGATTGCCGGGCATCCTGGCGAGGTCCCGTGCTGGCGGGTCGGAGGACGCGCCGGGTCTGGCCTCGCGTCATGGAAATTTTGGGTGAGCGAGGCAGAGCAAGGGTTGGTCTTTCTGCTGAGGCGACTGCGCAATCACAATTTTGAGCTGTTGCTCGCACGGGCTAGAAAAGGCCGTGCTTGCCCTCGCCAACGCATCCATCTACAGCTGTTCGAAAGGTGCCGCCGCAGTCTAGGCTCCCAGAAGCTACAGAAGGTCGTGTGAGCTTGAGCTAAGCGGAACCGGCTGCTTGGATCTGGTGGAGACCCACTGGCTGGTTAGGGGAGACACGCAAGGTGCATTTGTCGGATGTTGCCAGGATGCCACTGTGTAGCAGTGCAGTACCACAGGTGGAGCTGCTGGAATCGCGCTCGGGTCGGCATGCGCATATGCAACTGCACCTCGGAGCAGATGTGCGAGATGGACGGACAGACGAGCTGCCAGTGTGTGAATGGTTCTGCGGTCTCGGAAGGCTGGGCGCAGGCATCCGCCGAATTGACTTTTCTGTGAAATGCAGCGCAGCCATACGGCAGGCATGCGCATATGCATGCGCCTATGCACGCGCACCCACTGTGCAGCTACAACGCGCTGTTTATTTCTGACCGACTTCTGACCAGCCCCTGAGAGCATGTCGTTCCTCCTTGTCGGCTCTTCCGACTGCTCTCTAGCGGCACTCGTCCGCAAAGCAAGAGAGAAGCACAGCAGCAGGTGAAAGACGCAGAAAGTTGGGAACCGCCAGCTTTCGGGAAGAGCGAGTGTAGGATGCGCAGAAGCGGCTCTGACACGAGGCAGCCAGTCTACTGTAAATCGCGAGCTGCTGCAGTGAAATTCAGTGTGTCGGTCGGAGCCTCATTCGTCTCCGAAGCGTCAAAACTTGCTTGGACTGGCTCGACAACCGCCGCACCCTCTCCGTCACTCCCTCGTCTCCTCCTCCACCATCCGATCGTCCTGCACCCTTTGTGTTTGGAGTCCGCCTGCGCTGCTCGTCCAATCGTTGGACGACAGCACAGTTGCGAGTTTGCCGGTGGCTCCCCACGTCATTCGAACAGGGTCCATCGCGAGCCATGTACTCGTCGTCGTCGTCGCTGGGAGCCAGACCTCCCCGCAAACACCACTCCTTTGAGGTCCTCTCCTCGTCTCCGTCTCCATCAGACACCACCGCAAACTCATCTCTCGATCGCGTCTTTAGCGCGCGTAGCGCCAGCAGCTTCAGCCACACCTCCTCTCCAGACACTCTTTGCAGCCAACAGACACCTCCATCATTCAAGCATACTTCCCACACCTCCTCGCCCAACGACAATCCAGCATCGGTCCCACGCCTCCCCACAGACGACGCCAACGACTCTCGCTTCGATAGCCTCCAAGACCTCCTCGAGCGAGCCGGATACAAAGAGACCCGCGTCGTCACTCCCGACCGCCACTCGCTCGCAGGCATGTTGGCCAACAAGCTCGCCACGCCTCCGCGCAAACCCAGGATGGTCGACGACTTCTCCTCCGACTCGCCCTCACTCGCCGCCTCCGAACTCCGTCGAGCCGTCCATCGATCCGCTGCGTCCACAAGCAAGAGCTTGCCCTCGCGCAGGTACAAACTCGCCACAGATACATCTTCGCCACCACCGCTGCCTGCAGCGCACCCTGCTCCTTCCAGCAGCTGGTTTTCCAGCATCTGGTTCTTTGGCGGGCCGGGCACCATCGTCAGTGACTCTGCATCCAATGCTCCGTCGGAATCATCGGCAACCCCTGTGTCCGTCCCGCAAGCCCCGGATCACGCTGCCATCGGCGAGAGCTCTACAACCCATCGCACACAATCCACATCAGCAACAGCATCATCGTCCCGCGCTCCGCCATCCACAGCCGCGAAAAAGACCGCATCGCACAACGCCGTCTGGACCGCCAGTGTCGCCTACCGCGGCTCCAGATCGCACACGGCACCCGTGCGCAAGGGCGCCTCCACCTCCAGCATCCCCAGCACCGTCCTCACTGACGACGCCGCCGCGGAGCGAGAGTGGCAGGCGCTTCAAAATGGAAGCTCTAACGCAGCCAAGCCGAGGCGGCCTGGTCTCGTCGATGCCTTTGCCAGTCCCACCAAGAAGCCACCCGCCAGCAACGCGCCCAAGTCGCAGGGCAGCCCCGGCCAGCAGCGCAAATGGAGACAAGAGCGCGCAGCATGGCGAGAATCGCTCGGCGACCTGCAGGCCATGATGGATCAATCGCGAATGCGGCGTGAGGCTGCTGCTGCCGCGAAAGCTGCAGCAGAGGCGGACGAAGCAGCTCTACCCGAAGCCAACGCTGGCACGAAAGGCAAGGCGTCACCTGTCAGTGCTGCTGCAAGCGCGGACGCGGCGCTGGCCAAGCTGTTGTCGGGGCCCGCACTGCCGTTTCTCTCGACCGATCCGGCGGTTGCGCCGCGCAACGGCTCCTGCACACGCCCCACGCACCTCAGCCTGCGACGCATGAAGAGCGTCGAGGTGCTCGGCAAGATCATGCGCGAGCGCCGCACCGTCTCGAGCGCAACGACACCCAGCGCGCAAGCGAGTGGCTCGGGAGCGGTCGAGGTGGACACGACGGCGGGACAGATCAGTCCGCGCCTAGCGAGGCGCGCCACCCCACCCAAGCTCACCGTCTCTTCGCCGCGCGGCATTTCGTCGCCCAAGGAGCTGGCGCTCGAGGGCGGCGAGTTCGAGCCTGCCTCGTGGTCGCCCGCGCGCGACGGCATCATCATCTCGAATCGGCGGGTGGCCAAGAAGCCGCGCTCGCGCCTGCGCCATGCCGCGTCGGGATCCGACCTGCGCAGCGCAGCCGCTGTCGCAGCGGAGGAGGCGAGTCTCGAGACACCCTCGCGCTCCGCACGCAGGGGACGCAGCAAGAGCCGCGCCGCCGACAGTGCGCGCGCGCCCGTCGCGGCGCTGCTGCGCGACTCGGTCGGCACGCTCTCGCGCGGCGCTACGGTGCAGGCGCTGCGCAAAGACGTGCGTGGACTCGACGAGGTCGATGGCGGGCGCGGCGGCGTCGACGATTCGCCCACCCGCATGCGCATGCGCAACGTAGCGCTGCGCAAGGACATGCCCGCCGCACGCATCACACGCACCAGCAAGATCATGCGTCTCATCGAGGATGCCGAAAACATGCCCATCATCGTCGCCAACACCGCAGAGAAGGCCTCGCTCTCGTCTTCGCTCACCAACAAGAGCCGCGACCGCATGCACGCCATCACGCGTGTGCTCGGACAGCGCCAACCAACCGCTGATGCTCAGCCACAACCACCACTGCAACGCATCTGATCCCCTCTCCATTGACACTTGCTCTTCTGCACACATATTCCTACCTCCCTCTAATCATGCCCAGGCCCTTGTCGTCATTCGTTCGTCCATTCTTTTTCTCGCATGCAAAGCATTCTTGCCTTTTGGGTTCATCACATCATATTCAAGCTTGGCAACGAAAGTGAAAGAGTGTCCATTTGATATATTACCAGTGACCCGAGGAACGACAACATACAAAAACAAGCAGACCCGGTCGAGGCTGGAGCCCGCTCCCACGCCAGTGGCGGCAGTTATTGCGTGCGCGCATCAAGCGCTCAGCACAGCTCCGGGTAGACCTTCTTTGTCCTGCCCACAATCTTCTTGACGTCCTGCGACCTGGCCCTGGTGGTGATCAGCAGAGCATCTGGCGTGTCGACCACCACGACATCGTCGACACCCAAACACGCAATCGGACGGCCCGCGGCAGGAATGATGAGACCTCCCGCCTGCGACTCGGTGACGACCAATCTCGGGTCGCCCAAGATCCTCGGCTCGCCCTCCTCGGCAGGAATGAGGTCGGCGAGCGACGCAAAGTCTCCCACGTCGTCCCAACCAAAAGTGGCAGGGATGACTGCCACCTTGCCCACTTTCGATGCCGGTTCGGCGACGGCGTGGTCAATAGCGATCTTGGGCAGCGTGGGCCAGATTTCGCTCATGACTGTCGAGCGCGCATCCGAGTCCCAGGCAGCAGCAATGCGCGTCAAACCATCGTGGAGGTCGGGGACCGTCTCCTTGAGCAGATCGAGGAGCACCTGGGCCTTGACGACAAACATACCGCCGTTCCAGCGGTAGTCACCCGTGGAGAGGTAGGCCGAGGCGGTGCGCGCATCGGGCTTCTCCTTGAACTCGGTGACGCGGCGGGCGTTGGGCGCCTCGTTGACGGAGAGCTTCTCGCCCAGCTTGATGTAACCGAAGCCGGTGGAAGGGTGCGAAGGGGCGATACCGATGGTGACGAGGTAGCCGGCCTTGGCGGTGGCGACGGCTTCTGTGACGGCCGACTCAAAGGCATCGCGACCCGAGATGATGTGGTCGGCGGCAAACGAGCCGAGGACCGCCTCGGGGTCGCGCTGGAGCAGTACGGCTGCGGCGAGACCGATGGCAGCCATCGACTCCTTGGGCGAAGGCTCTGCGAGCACGTTTGCGGTCTCGAGCTCAGGCAGCTGAGCGGCAACGCCGCTGACGTGAGCCTGGCCCGTGACGATCATCATCTGTGCCTGACCAGCTAAGGGCAGCAAACGGTCCCAGGTGCTCTGGAGCAGCGTTCGGCCCGAGCCGGTGAGGTCGAGGAGGAACTTGGGGTACGACTCGCGCGAGAGGGGCCAGAGGCGCGTTCCGGCACCACCGGCAGGGACGACCGCCCAAAGACCGAGCTTGGGCTCCTCGGCGAGCAGAGGAGCGGGCTGTGCTAGTGAAGAACCGCCCATGGACAGATGAGGAGCGTGGAGGAGGTCAAGCGTGCCGTTCTTCGGAGGCGAGGAGCCGCGGCGGCCGAGACGTGGCAGGAGGCCTGGGCTCTTGAGCGCTGGCGACATGGATCCGGGGGTCATGGAGCTGTAGAACGAGTTTCTCCTTGCGTTGGCCTCGTTCTGGGTCTCCATGTTGTCCATTCGGATGTGCAGACGGGAGAGCTGCGGAAAGGCGGGTCAGAGTGTCTGTGGGTCAGTGAATGCAAGGAGTGGCAGCAATCTAGATGCGAAAAGCAGACACTCACCTCCTTCTGCATGGTGAGAATGCCCGAAAGCACCTGGTCAAGGGCAGACTGTTCCGAGACGTTGCCCATGTTGCTTGAGGATGCGGCTTCGCCGGTGTGGAGGTCTTGAGCCGAGAGGTTGTTGAGGGCGTCCTCGTCTGCGGCGAGTCGAGCGTCGCGCGAGGAGAAAGAGGAGGTGGTGGACGAAGCGCTGGCAGGGTCAGGTCTGATGCGGTAGTCGTCGAGCTTGGAGCCAGAGTGCGGGTCGACGGACGAGTCGAGGAAGCTGCTGCGTGGGATGGCGATGGGAGTCGTCGGAGACTGGCTGGCCGAGAGGGTGGCAGGCGCAGTGGGGATGGCGAGCTGCGAAGGATGCAAGGAGGACGAGGAGGAGGGAGCGGGCGTGGCGCTGGTGGAGACGTGGTCAGCGGACGAGGAGGGGGAGATGGCGGGAGGAGACGGCATATTTAAAGAAGGAGCAGACGGTGAGACGAGCGGAGGTTTGGCCGAAGTGGTAGCGGTGGATCTAGAGGAGGCGATGATAGAGAGAGAGGCAGAGCCGGAGGAAAAAAGAGGGTAGCAAGAGTGAGTGCTTGCAGACGGGTGGCTGCCGGTGTCGATGGTGGTCGCCGTGGGCCGATGGCTGGGCGTTGAGAGCGAGAGGTTTTGGCAGGCAGAGGCTGCTGCACCGAAAGGGTCCCTGTCTCTGTTGATGACGCTGAGGGCGGGCGAGCAGCGGAAGAGCGTGCGTCTGTCCGGTTGCTCTTGAAAGAGCCACGGCAGTCCGAGCGGCAAGCAACAAGGTCGAGGACGAGGACGGAGCATGTGCCTGCCTGCCTGTCTGCCGCCTGCCACGCCGCGGCACTTCGGGTGGACCGACCGGCTGCCGTGACTTAGGACTTAGCGAGGGGCCCAACTCAAGTGTGGCACTTTAGCGCGCCTCACTCGTGCAGTAGCTAGCCTCGCCAGTTCTTCGCTGCGCCGCATGTCTAGTTTTTTTTAAGAAACGTATTTTTTTAATTTAATTCATAATATTTGGTTATTTATTTTTCTTGTCAACGAGCTGGACCGTGGGACAGCACGCGGCGCAGGGTCGCAGAGTCGCGATGCTGCTTCCACGTCGACGGCTTGCATTCGTCTCGCCAGCCTGGCCCGGCACAGCCTGGCCTGTCTGCGGATGGCCGCCGCCGGCAGTGCAATAAGTCGACGTCGTACAGCACTCGCCATGCTGATCGGTCGAAGGATGTTGCTGCTTCTACCGCAGGCACGAGAGCCGTGGAATGCGAGTAGAGCTTTGCTTTTCGGTCGCTGGTGACGTTCGAGATGGCGGAAGCGGCGGACATGGCTCGATGGCCGGGATGCGCCTCGCAAGTCGCCCGAAATGCCGACGCTCGTCGCTCGTCGCTCCTTTCCGCCGAGAGCGAGCGCACGCGGAATCGCGGCGTCGAGAGCATAAACGCTTGATCGGTCCACCCGACCATCGAGCGCCCGTTCCGCCATGACCAGCGCATTCAATCCACTCCAAGTCAAACCAAATCGTGCCGTGCCGTTCAGACGCATCTAGCGGATCAGCTCCGACACACTAACTTGGCCGTTGGAAATTGTCGCCTTAAGCTTGTCATGAGCGCTCGGCTCATTCTACGCTGCCGGTCTGTCGGAGTACACAGCGTCCAGCTGCGCAGGCTACATACGACAGCCACCAACGGCAGAAGCGTGGCAAGGCTAGGCCAAGCCAGGCCAAGCCAGGCCACGGCGCCGATGCAATTCCGAGACTGGTGCAGCTCTTCCAGCGTGGATGTGCCTGTTCCACTCCCCTTTTTAATTTTCCGTAGCCCGTGGCCGGTCGTTCGGCCATGTGCGCCTGCATCTCGGCGTCGGACTCTCGACCGTTGAGCTGGCTTTTTCCCTTTCCTGGCATGCTTTCTTCTTTGCATCTTGTCGCCAACCCATGTGCGCTCCGCAAATGATTGGCATCCAGGACATGGCAGGAACATGCACGCATTGAGCCGCCGCGTGCAGATGCACCATCCCGTGGTGCACCTCGCGGATCCTCGAGGCTGAATTTATGCGCCTCATCCGACCAGGCGGGACTTGCTGCCTCCGAGTCTTGCCGGAGCGCCTGGAGCTTGGAGCCACAAATTGACAGGCGGCGCCGGAAGTGGCGCATCTTGTCGACGGCAAAACGTGCAAAGGCGTGCACGCTTCTTTGTTGCGCTAGGCTATCCATGCTGTCGAACGCCTTGGCACGTCGGTGGCTAGGACGTCGATGCTACCGTTCGATACACACTCTCACGCGCTTGTTCCGGTCCGGCCACCACCAAACATGACGTTTGAGACCCTTATCGTCGTCTAGCGGATTGGGGCTAGTACGCTCTCCAGGCACGCGTGGCTGCAACGCTAACTTAGCGCAAGTCTTGTCGAATTTTGTTTATCGCCACCGGTCCTGACCGGCTCCTGAGACACTGCCGCTATGAAAGTCGGTACCTAGCATCTTCGCCACTCCAAGAGCAACTTGCGCAGATCGAGCGGGTACCAATTCGTCTCAACCGTAGTTAGAGGGACTCCTCGTCAGTCGGCGATTGGTCTTCAGGGCGCTGCGTTGAAAGATCACAGCGATCATCCTAACAGGCCGCGGCGACTTGGCCGGCTTAACGCTTCTCGCTGACCCGCGGCGATTCAGGCAAAGCGGAGTGCAATCGCTGATCCGAATGGGATCGTCATGATCAGCTCCTTGAGACACCAAAGCCCTATTTTTCGCTCTTGAACGAGAATGCTCAAAAAGTCGGATTTGCCAACTCCGCCCTCAGCTATGACAGCATGGTCTCTTCTCCCGATCATGCGCAGAACCCTCCGCTCTTTCTCAGGCTCGCTTAGCATCGGCGGAAAAGGCGAAGAAGAAACAGCACAGCACTCAGTCGAACCGCTTGCTCCGCTACCTCGGTACCAGATGGGCGATCGCGAGGCTCCGATCATTCTGGGGATCCTTGGCTGCTCATGACAAGCTCTATCTGCCAAAGTCCGCCGCTGCTTTGGGCGTTGCAGTCCGCCCTTGACGCCAGAGCTTTAGCCGCCAGCCGCATTGTTTGCACTCGCATCATGCAGCGATGATGTGGCCGCATAGTAAAGCATTTGTTGCGTCGGCATCGATCGCATTACAGATCCATCGTTTGCCAAGCCAGTCGTGGGTTCCTGGTGGGTTCCCCTCTTCGAGCCTGGTGACCCTTCCAGGGTTTCGCCCAGCCGAGCTCGCAACATCAAAGCGCGGACAGCTCGCGGAACTTGGCCCTGAATCGACCTCGCGTGTCGAGTGCTCGAGCGACGGCAGGATGGGCGCTGTTGCTCGCGATCTTGAAGGCACACACGGTCGTTCGCGATCTCATAGCTTCGTCGTCATCGTGCCTGTCTGTTCGCAGATCTCAAGTCGGACCTTGCATGCCGTCTCGCTTTGCATCTCGTCCGTCCATTGCGCCGTCGACGAATCTGGGGTTTGAGCTGCACGGCAAAGTTCGAGGGTCCCTGCTTCGATGCCACGGCAATGTCGTGGGCCCTGCTGTTCCTGCATCGCTGCGTTTTTTTCTGCCTCGATCGTGCCTCGCGCCCTCCACCCGCCAGAACGGTCGTCTGGAATCCGAGGTATCCGTGCCGCACGATCCAGCGGGATCGTCCGTTCCAGTTTCATCGAAACACGGTCAAGCCGATTCGCCCAGGTTTGAAACCACACACAAACGCACAAACACCACACAGTCGGAACAGCCGCCAGCCTTCCCACGCCATCCATGGCAGCCCATCCAATCGCTTGCTTCCGATGATGTCCTTGTGCGGATGCAGCCAGTTCCGCGGCTTCATTTTGGTCCTTTTCGCGTCCCACTTTTTGAACCCCAATTTTTCATTCGCGAAGGAAAGTGCTTGGACACAGTCGAGCTAGCAAGCCAATGGCATGGCGCTGCCCAATGAGAAACATGGCTGGTCAGTCTCAATCAAGACAAAGCAATAACGCTGAAGTGCTGTTGTCAAGAAGGCAGCTCGAGTGTGAAGTTGGAGCATCACAGATGTTCGAAAAATACGACAAGATGTTAGACCACTACCATTATCTGTTTTATCGATGTCATGAAGCGCGGCCTCACACACTGAAGCCAAGCGCACGGCCTGCAGATTCGTCGTGTTGGAGTGGAGGCGAGAGGGGCGTGCCGGCGTGCTGCGAGCGTGGCGCTCTTCAGGGTCTCCGAGTCGGGCAGGGCAACACACGATTCCACAAACACAGCATCCGACCTTTCTTCTCATCGCAAGGGCGACCAACACCCTCCCTCTTCGACTCTTCAGATCGGACTCCAGTGGCTTCTCGCCTCGGTGCACGATGCAGAGCTAGACACAACCCGGGACGACGCGCTACCCGCTGTCCAAAAGCAATACCTCGGCTCACGCACTTTGGTATCTCCGTGACGACCATGTCCGCTGGTACACCCCCACGAACTGCCGGCCCAGCCTTGGGAACAGACGCACCAACGCCCGATGCTGTCATTCATCACGAACAGCGTCGTATAGGCAACATCTGTGCCATCCTCGTTCGCAATCTCTCACTGAGACCAACACGCGACCGTGCGCTCCAGACCCTTGCTTATAAGCGCCCCGGCGGCTCGAGTCGCTACCACACAACTTCAGACGATGCCGATCTCACGCTCAGTCTCGCGCGATCCAACAGCAAAGGCAAAAGCAAGGCACAGACAGACGCCGCGCATCGACGCCGCAGGAGTGCCAGCTGGAGTCGGCTCGACCCAAACTCATCCGACGATCCGTCGGCAGATGAGCTCGACGACGACCTCGCTTCTCCCGTGACTGCGAGCAGGACACTGGCAGCAGGGAAGCGTAGAGATGCACGTGGACGCCCTGCCATCCTTGCCAATCGTCGCCGCACGTCAGACCACGAGCTGACACTGGCCAGCAGTGCGCATTCGGTAGGCTCCGCCGACAGTTTTCACGCAGAGGCGAGCCCACGTCCGATCCTCAAGCGATCCTCCAGCACACGCGATGGCAGAGATGCAAGGATGCAATCCGGATCTCCGGGCAATTCATCTACATCAGGGTTCCTCGACGAGCTTGGCGCCAACACCACCATGCTATCGCGCTCCGACTCGCGCAGCTCCTCACACTCGTCGCGCACCATTCGCAGACCGTCACATCGCGCGAGGACCACCAGCATGACATCCTCCGGCAGCTTTCGTAGCGTTCGCTTTGACGAAAGTCACATGGGCTCATCAGACGATGCGCGGCGCCCGACGCGCGCCTCGGGCCGCATCCATCCCTCCTCGCGCTTCTCGCTCTTTTCGCACAAGAGCCTCGCGCAGATCATGCAGGAGCGCATGCTCGAATGCTACGTCGAGCTCTCCGTAGTCGACGGCGACAATTCGACTGACAAGGGCGCAAATGCAGCAGGGCCCAAGAAAATCTTCTACCGCAGCCCAAACTCCAAACCCGGCCTGCATCATTCGTGGGGCTATCAGGGGGGAGATTCGATCCTGCCGGAGCGCGACTTCAATTTGTCGCCAGGCATGCTATCCCCAGCTGCGCCTCTGGAAGCCTCTAGGGTTCGAATTGCAGTTTGGGCGCGCCCGCCGCCTGCACCTCGGGCAGGTGCCACCTCAGGCAAACCCGCTGGGACACGAGCAGCAGAGGAGTGGAAGCTCGTGTGCCAATCAAGCGTCGATCTGCGCGACCTCGAGCCGCTCTCCGCAAATCATCAAGACGCTACGCTCAGCGTCCCGCCCAACTCGATCGTGCTTGGACTGGCGCTGGGCGCCAACTCGCTCTCAGGCCGTGCAAGTTTGTCGCCTGCAGCACCGAGCTCGAATTCCGCAGTAGCCAAATCGACATCAGAAGAGGGCAAGAAAACGGAGCCCACACTAACGCGCAAAGCCAGCGAGAGAGAAGTAGAGCGGACGCGACGCATCTTAGAGAGCATCGTCTACTATACAGTCCCGCTCGACTCCATCATAAGGACCACGGATACGGGCACCTCCGGTGGCGCCATCCCTTCACCCGCTGTGGGCAAGGGCAAGCCCCGATCACCGGGTCTCCCACGTCGAACTTCTCGAGATGGATATGCCTCGGACCCCGAGAACACGCCGGTGCGGAAAACAACTCCCGACAGCCCGAAAGGCCCACACGCGCAGACAGAGGTGTCTAACACTGGCCTTGCGACTTCTCCTGCCGCGGAACTCGCGCTTCCAGGCGCTGCGGAGACGCGAAGGCGCGAGAGACGCAAAGCATTCGAGGAGGAGCAGCGACGTGCGCTCGAGCTCAGCCTCCGCGAGACCAAGATGATGCCCAGCTACACTCTGGAACAGGCGCGGCATGTGGCTCGAAAGCAGGCCGAGCTTAGAGCAATGATGGCCGAAGTGGATGCCCTGAGGCGGCAGATCGGGAACGTGCTGCGGGAGCCTTCTGGGCAGATACAACTCCGGCTCAAGCGGGAGCAGCAAGCAGCACGATGCGAGGACAGGCGGCGACTGGCCAGAGACGAAGCGCACGAGCTCGAGCGGAGAAAGGCCGAGCTAGAGTCCAAGAAGGCGGCTCTCGAAGCGCGGCGTAATGCGATGCGTGCGTCTGGCGCGCTATTCGAGGCCGCACAGCGTACGACCAAGCAGCTTCGAGAGGAGCTGAGCGCGCTACGCAGCATCCGGGCCGACGTATCGCTGGATGTCCACTCGCAGCAAGCGTCGTTGTTGCGAGACCTCGAGATCATCTTTCCTGTCGAGTTATCCGACGCATCGTCGCTGCTCTTCTCCATCTGTGGCCTGCCGCTGCCCAACGCTGTTGCATCGCTGCCGCCGGCCGAACTTGCGCATGAAGAAAAGCGGTGGAAGGACACCGTAAAACGGCACGTGCCTGCAGCGACACGGCCCATCTTCCATCCGTTCGACGACGATACGATCAGCAGCGCATTTGGCATGGTGGCACAGCTGGTGCTGCTGCTCAGCACGTATCTGGCTACGCCGATCCACTATCCGCTGGCAACGGCGGGCAGTCGAGCCGTGGTGCAGGACGGCATCTCGCTCATGAGCGGTCCGCGCGCCTTCCCGCTGTACGCAAAGAGCATGGAGAGGTATCGGTACGAGTATGCAGCTTTCTTGCTCAACAAGGACATCGAACAGCTCATGAACGTTCACTCGGTCACCGTAATCGATATAAGGCATACGCTGCCCAACATCAAAAACCTCATGGTCACGGTCGCCGCGGCTCCACCCACCAGCCATGCGACGCGCAAAAGCCATATTGGCAAGAATGAGATCGCGCTGCGCTCGGCGGCGGTCTCGCTGCCTCCTGTGAAGGACGATGCCGGGCACGAGACCGGGCTGGTTCAGCAGACGAAGCGCGGAACAGGGCTGGGGATCGGGCTGCCAAAGCTCCCAGGTGCAGCGCAGGCTGGTGAGGCCGAGTCGCCGGCAGACACACTCGTCACGACCCGTGTTCTCGGAGCGCCGTCGAAACCGGCCGCCACCAATGCCACGGCCAGCGGTGCGATTGCATCCGTCTCGCGTGCCTTCAGCTACTTTAGTGGCAGCGGTGGTAGCACGCGCTGAACCGGATTGTCTTCGATCCTCACTTGTCGGCACGGAAGGAACATTCGCAATGCATCGTAGACCAAATGCCACTTTATTTCGCTCAGATGCTGGACGATTCGCACCTCGGCTATGCAGAGCAGCATGTTTCAGAGTATAGATGGGCATCATGCAGACCACGGCTGACGGTCATAGGTGCCCTTTCGAGGCCACATCAAGAAGCGCCAACCTCGGCTGCACAAAGCAATGCTATGCACTTGAGGGACCTAACAATGCTGAAGCTTTGCAGATGGCTGTTAAGTCTCGCGTCTAGGCGCGCCTCCACATTTGGTCCATCTATTTCTGAGCTGCGGTTCTGCTTGGACGACGAGACCGGACAGTCAGCAACCGTGCAGTCGCAGGTGAAGCCGCCTTCTAGTCAGCCGTCTGCTTCTGTCCATGCCGACTGACCATCAGGACACGTGCTCTACCCAGCCATCACCACGACCGTCAGGATCGTTGCATCGACCGCGCTCACACACGCCGACGCCTCGCGATCCTTTGCAACAAGTCCTGTCGCTCGCGCAGGCACGCAACATGGACAGCTCGCAGCACAGCCCGAACGCGGCAGGCAACGGCACGACTCGGCTGCCTGGCCTTGCGGGCACGCAGTCGGAGAAGCAGCTCACCCAACGCGAGCTCGCGGCGCTCAAGACGATCAAGCGCAATGTCGACACCACAAAGTACGGCGGCTGGATGCTCGGCGCTGCCGGAACGTTTGTGCTGCTCGGACGGCGCAAACCGCCGCCGCGTCTTCTTTCAAAGCTCGGGTGGAGTGTGGTGGGCGGGCTTGGAGGCTCGTTCCTCACCATGCCCATCGGCATCATGATGAGCCGTGGTGCGCTTAAAGATGTGGAAGACCCTCAGCATCTGCGTATGGTGCTGGCGGGTGCCATCGAGGAGCAGCGCCAGGGACGCAAGCCCCAGGTGAGCGTTGCCCCGCCCAAGGGCCTGGATGGCGAGACCGATGCTCAGCAAGAGTGGGGCGGCGAACGCGCCGCACAGACAGAGGCAGCCTCCTTCGATAGTACGGGAAACCTCAAGACACAGGGAGGCTCGGATTCGTTCGACTCGTTCTCGTCTTCGCAGCCGTCTTCCAGCACGAGAAATGGACGCGGCAACGCCGGTATGCCGGCTGCCGGCCCTTCGAACGATGGCGAGTCGCCTACGGGCACAGGTGCTGGAACGCGCTGGGCGCAGCTGCGGGGTGAGCGCAGTGTCGAGCCCAGCAAGTGGGAGCGCATCCGCCAGGACAACGCGCGCACTGCGTACTCGCGCTCAGGATCGGCGCAGGCAGAGCCGTCCGACACGCCATCGCAGGGCGCTCAACTCGGCTCTGCCAACAGTGCACCTCCCTCGCGACCACTTCGGCCGGCGCCGCGCTCGCGCGACGAGCCGGTGATGACGCTCTCGGGTGACCAAGACGATCCGCGCTGGTCGTCGCCCGCGAGCTTTTCTCCGCAGTCGAGCGGGTGGGGTGGCGGCGAGTTTCTTGACGATCCGGCGGGTGGCGACAAAGATGCCACGCAACGAAGCCGTGCGAATGGCCGACGTGGCTATGGCATCCTGTCGGTCAACGAGGAGCGTGGCGGGGTTCAAATCGAGTCGGATGCGCCTATCCAGGTCGTCAAAGGCTCGCTGCTCACCGCTCTGGGAGGCGGCCTTTTTGGGTCGGCGTACGGCGTGCTCAAGGGGCGTCAAGGTGCAGGCACGATTCTGGGCACAAGGATGGCGATGAGCACGTTTGCTTTTGCGTTTCCGTTCTTTGCGGTGCGCGAGTACGTAATCTCGCCCGTGCTGAACCGCACGTCGAGTGGACCGGATCCGGCCAACCGAAGCATGCGACTGCGCACGGTGGCACCCAACCGCCACACGCACAATCTGCTCGCCAGTGGGCTGGCGGGTGCGGTGGTCGGTGCGGGCGCTGCCGCCTTCACACGAGGTCCACGAGCGATTCACAAGGGCGTGGCGACTTTCGGCGTGGCGTGCACGGCGCTGCAATTGGCAGGCAACGAAACTCGCATTGTGCGCGATGCACTGCTTCGACCCTCGCCGCGTCCTGTCCCGGTGGCCGCCTCGCCATCCAGCCCCGATGCGGCTGTGTCGGCATCGCAGGCTGTGGCGCCGATGGCTGACGTGCAGCCGACACCGTCCGCAAGCGAGACGCAGGAGACCAAGCCGCAAAAGTCGGCTTCGTGGCTGTCCAAGGTGAAGAATGCCATGCCCATCAGGAGCGTCACGGACGAAGAGTACGAGGAGAAGCTCAACAAGCGCCTCACCAGCGTCAACCAGCGCATGGCCGATGTCGAGACCGAGATCCGCGAGATCGAGGCGCTGCTCCAGCAGAAGGAGGCAGGCTTCCGGCCCACTAGCTAGGCTCAAAATTGTAGTTGCCCGACTTTCTCGACTCCACGCCGAAATGAAGTGCATGCAGCTGATCCGGACGAGTGCCGTTCGAGAGTCTGACCGAAGGTCTGTTGCGTGAAATGAGTCGTGTTTTCTGTGGTGCGTACAAATACAGGGAATGGGCGATGTCGGATGCAGCCGACGTGATTTGATGATGAGACTATCCCTGGCGCTGTAGAGATGGGCAAAGGAGGCATCAGCAACTGTTCGCTGCTGTCTGATCAGATCAGTGTTGGCTGGAAGACCTACCTGCTTGTGCTTGGGGTCCTTGGAGCAGATGACGTAGAGCCTGCCTTTGCGGCGGACGACGGAGCAGCCGTCGCAGAACTTCTTGACGGACGAGCGCACCTTCATTCCACGCTGCTGAGCTGCTGTCGATGCGAGCGCTGCCGACTGCTGGAGGGCTGGTGCTGCGGGACGGGCGGCTGTGGTCATGGCGGCCTTGAGCATGGCGGCCGAGGTGGCAGAGGAGCAGCATCGCACCTGTACCTGTGCGGTCACGGCCGTGCGCAACGGCTTCGACACAACGCGCAGTGCTGCTTGCAACATCTTGTCACGGGTAGAATAGAATCGAGGAGGCCGTGTGTAGGGTGTTGAGAGTTGGTTGCCTGACAAGAACAAAGATGGTGAGATGTAGCAGGTGTCGAGCTTCTGGTCAAAAGCAGCGCGGGCTGCTTTTCGGCCGATAAGAAGATTCGTGATTTTGTGGAAAGAGCGTTCAGGAGCCGCCTAGAAAAAAGGGTCTGCAGAGGACCCGCCGACCTTTTTTTTTGCTCGCTGCTAGGCTGAACATTTTTTTGGCCAGAGAGCCTCCACACATGTTTGACCTTCGCTCGCCAACTCCAAGGCGGATCCTACATTTCACCACCTCCAGCGTCATCACTTCGCTTTGGTAGGCAGTCCTTCAGGCCTTGAATCGGGATGCCATCAGCTGCGCGCCCACAAGACGGCGCTACGGCGGCCGAGCCTGGCACATCGGCATTGGCCGCGGCAAGCATCACCACCTCGGAGCAGCTCGTCAAGACCCTCCGTGTTCCTCAGACACCCGCCAACGGCATCAGCAAGGTCTCGATCGCATCAGAGGCATGGAAATCGCAGGAGTTCTTCGTCCCGAAGAAGGCGGAGCTACTCTCGCAGTGGATCCTCGAGCATCTGTGTTCGGGCCTGCGCGGTGCAGCGTCCGCCAGTAACCATGGGACGCCGACCAAGGGCAAGGGCAAAGGCAAGCAGCAGCAGCAGCAGCAGCAGAAGGGGAAGGCGGCAGAGACCGTCGGCCCAATCGAACTCGATCTTGAGGCATGGACACTGCTCGCCAGCATCATTGCCGCCCAGACTGGGTCAGAGTCGGATCTGACCGAGGCGTCGAAACGCAGCTGGCTCTCGCACCTCGCCAACACGCAACCCACGCTTCAGCTCGCCGGTGCACTCGCCAGGCAACTCGAACAGGCACAAGCCACGTCAGATGCCGATCGTTTTCAGTTGTTGTCCGCCGCCGAGGCGTCGCTGGTGAAGCTCCTTCCGCCCGCCACGTCCCGCACAGCAGCAACCAACGTCGAAACCGCCACCGACGCCATCCATGCGTGGCTCGAGTTCTTCAGTCAACCACGCTCCTCAGCAGAGTCACAAAGCGGGTTTGAGATCCTCAAGTCCATCGTGGTTACGTGGGCCACCGCTCTCCAGTACGGCTCGAACGCCAAACGCAACCACCACCACTTTTGCACACGCACATTGCCTGCTCTCGTCCGAGCACTGCAAGCGGTCAGTCTCCAATCGCTGCAAAACGAAAGCGCAGCCAACAGCGCATCGGCCCTGCTCGAACTCGTCAAGCAGATCGCGGCAGAATCCCTCTTCACCGAAGATGTGCATAGATCCTTGCTGCAGGCTGGTCGCAGTGCCGAGCTCGGCAGCGCAGTCAACTGGAGAGAGCCCAAAGCAGCCTCAACCGAGGTCGTTCAGCAGCTCGTCTCCTTCCTGCACGGACAGGGATCTGACGACAGGATCACATCTACCGCCGCGCTCGGCTCGCTACCCGTACTCAGCGAGCTACTCTATACAAGACTCAGCCGCAGCGAGTCGCTCAACTCGATGGCGAGCTCCAGCACCACATCTGCTGGCTCTGTGCGCGAAACACAGCTCGCCCTCGTTCGCAAGACCATGCTGGCCGAGTGGCTTTTCCCCGTGCTGCCGTTCCTGGTCACGCCTTCTGAGCGTGCTTCGCAACAGAACTCTGCCGACCGGGCTGCGGCGCGCAAGGGTGTGCTGCGCGGCATCGAGCGCGATAGCCTCTACATCATCGGCTGCGACGAGCACGAGGCGTGGCGCTCCTTCTTCAGCACCCTCTTCAACGACATTCGAGATGACCTGAGCCGCATTGCCACCGACGAATCCGAATCTACAAGTGCGCATGTCGAGATCGCCGATCACTTCCGCAGCCTCACTCTGCTTTGGCGACTTGAAAAGTCGGTCGTCGAAGATGACCTGGTCGACATCTTGGCCATGGCCGCCGTACAGCCCGTCGCCAAGCCAACAATCAGGAGCGCAGAGGAGCTTGGAATCTCGACGCGCGCTGGATTCGACTTTATTCGCGAGGTAGCAGCCCTGGATGTTCGATTCCGCACGCTGCCGGCTCTGGTGAACAACATCATGCCCAGCCTCCCGCTCGCTGCCGAGCGCCTGGCGGGGCGTGGCAGGGAGCTTGCCGAGTCGCTATATGTCTCACAGACCTTCCTTGCCGAGCTCGCCAAGCTATGCCACGACAGCGTTACCGCGATGCAGGTGCCGGACCTCGTGAACCGGATCCCGACGATGGTGCAGAATGTCGGTTCCGCTCTAGACGCACTCACGGTCGACACTGGCAAGGCTGCAAAGAGACAGCGCAGGGCCTCGGGCGGCGCGGACAGCAGTGCGGCCCACGCGGACACCGCGGCGCTACTCGTTCAGCTGCGGATCGCGGCCACGGTGGTGCAGAGCGTGAACGTCGCGCCTCAGCTGCGCGCACGCTCGGTTGCAGCAGCGGAGGAGTTGCACAACTCGCTGATATTGCCGTGTCTCGATGCTGTGCTCGGCTCCACTCGTGCTGTACCGGCATCTGGCGTGTGCGGTGTGGCAGCGGCGGCGTTGCAGCTCCGGCATTCGTTGCTCTCGGAAAAGTGGCGCTATGATCCTTCAGAACCGGTCAAACTCGACGGCTCGCTGCCGACAGAAAGCCTGCCGTGCCTCGAGGTGGCGTTGGACGAACGCGCCGACTCGCTCATCGAGATCTTGGCTCTGCGTGATGGACAAGGCGCAGCCGAATCGGCGCTGTGCCAGCTGCAGTTCCAGATTCTCCAGGCGCTGCTGCAACGTGCCGAGAGAGACGCATTCTTGGGACGCCACGAGTCACGCTACTGCCAGTTGATCTCTGCCGATGCGGCGCCGATCGCGCAGCTGCTCGACGAGATCGTCGCCGTGTCGGGCTCAAAGGAGGCGGGGACGATGTGGTCGGGTCGCCCGACGCAGCTTCGTGGGCGTGCAGAGCTGCTGCAAGCCGTGTGGTTGGCGATTGTTACGCGTTGGGCACCGCTGCTCGACCGGCTTGCGGACGAGGCCCTCCTGGCCCGACTCGCTGCTGCCGTCATGGCGGCTTCAGCGGCGGGTGAGGAACAGGATACGGCAAAGGGATGCATGCGCTACATCTCGACGACTGCGCTGCGCAACGCAGCCTTCCTCGAGCTACCCAACGTTCGCCGCCACGTAATCGCATGCATCCAGCAGCGCGTGGATCCCAGCGGCAGGGATGTGGAGAGTCGGCTGGCGGCCACGACGGCGCTGTGGCTCACACCCTCGGAATGGATCGCCAAGCCGGCACGTGGCGCACTCACCGCCAAGCTCCTTGCTCTCGATCGTGACATTGCTTCAGCTGCACACCAGCAGAAGGGCCATGCAGGTACAACGGGCTGGACAGAGCTCCGCAAGCTGCTCGCGCGGCTGCTCGAGGCGGACTTTGCAACCGAAGCCGACATCAGCGACGCGGACTTGTTGAGCTCCCTGCGTACCTTTGTCGCCAGTGACGAGCAAGACCCGGCGTGGCAGCGTGCCTCACTCGCTGTCATCCGCGCCACCGTGAACGTGCTCTTGCAGAGGGGAAGCTTGAACGCGGATATTCGCTCGGCGCTCGTGCAAGGAGCTCTCGAGGCCCGCCGTCAGGCAAGCGGCGACGCCTCGCACGTCACTTTCAGGGAGCGCGCGGCACAGGACATGTTTGCTGCGCTTTGCAGCGGCGGTGTTGCCGAGTCGGAGCTGCTCGGGGCCGATGCGGACAGGGACGTGGCACAGAAGAGCCTCGAGGCGCTCAAGACGCTTGGAGCTGCCGCCGGCCTCGACACCGCCACGGGCGTGATCACGACGCTGGAGCTGGCACTCTACCACTTGCGCGAGATCCGCCTGCGTATGAACGGCACGCGCTCGGATGCCAGCGAGCTCGGTGCCGCTGTGACCAAGGACGTGGTCACCGCGCTCTGCATCCTGCTGGGTCGCGGTAGTCTCGTTAGTGACGCAGATGATGCCCACGCCAAGCTCGTGCGCACTGCAGCAGATGTGGCGCTGGAGCTTTTGCGCTGTCTGCAAGGCGCACCGGCGGCCGGAGCTTGTCTGGCGTACTCGGCGTTGGTGTCGTCGCTGCCAGAGGTGGGCGAACAGCAGCGCGTGCGTGACGGCCTGCAGCGCATCGTCTCGCGCCTCGACACGGAGCAGTACGATGCGACACTGAGCCAGCTACTCGCAGCATTGTCTAGTGCCTCCACGCTGGAGGGTGCGGGTGCGGACGCGGATGTGGGTGCACTGATCGGGACGGTGGGGCTGGTGTTGGGCAGCGCGCCGGAGGGCACGTCCAAGATCGCTCGCGACCATCTGGCGCACTGGCTTTCACTGCTCGTAGGGACCACCGCGGGCCCGGTGCGCGTAGGTGCGATGGTGGCGTCAGTGTCTGCACTCGATCTGCTCTGCAGGCACCATGCAATGCTTCTGCGTACGCAGGATGTTCATGCCATGATGCAGCTCTTTGCTACGCTGGTGGGACCGAGCGCGCGTGACGAGGTATCTGGTACCATCTCGTCACTCCCGGCCTCTCGTCGGGATGCGGTGCGCAGCGCGATCTTCATTGGCATCGTTTCGACGCTGGGTTCGCTCATGCGGCTGCGCCAGGACCTCGTCCTCGGTGGGCTGCCGCAACTGGGTGCGCTGCTCGCGCGGCTGTGTGCGCTGTTCCGCCGGTTGAAACGCACGCCTTCGGGCATGCAGCGTCGTCAGCTGCGGCGCGACCTGCCGGCCTGGTTGGACCCGGTGGAGGTGACTCCGCTGGGCGAGCACGAGGCACGCGCGTTGAGTAGGCTGCTCAGCTCGCTGGTGGCCAAGAACGTGTCGCTCAAGAGCCGGGGCGACGAGGGCAAGGCGCAGAGTCTGGCCAAGCCGTTTTCAAAGCACGCGACGTACGTGCTGGTGGCGTATCTGCGCAGTCTGACCGCGCCGAATGCAGTCGTACCGTTCGAGGTGCGCGCCGAGCTCGAGGTGGGCATGCTGACACTGTGCGGCATCATGGGCCACCACCAGAGAGACGCCGCCATGGTGGGCATGCTCGACGCCGCGGGCAAAGTGCTCATGAAGAGGATCTGGAGCGAGTACGAGAAACAGCGATACAAGGGCCAGTAGCATCCGCTTCGTTGCTCAATATCAAAGCGTGCTACGCTGTTCTGTCGGTTTGGGGCTGAGTGTGTGAAGCGGTGATTGAGGTGCGAGGCTAGGGTTTGGAAGGGGTTGCATCGAGTCGGACGATGGGTTCGGGGCGTTTGTTGAACAAGATCTTGCGTCTGATGACGCTGACCACGTCGTAGTACACTGCAGTCTGTCTTTCGTCCTCCTCGTCGTCGTCTGGGGTTGCCTCGTCGATTCCGTCGAGGGCATTCGCTCGTTCGGACGGTTTCTCCATTGGCGTAGGTCGGGGAGGACTCGAGCTGAAATCCAATGCGTCCTTTGCTCTTCTTGGCGACACAGGTTCTGGTGGTGGTGAGCTTTCTAGCTTTAGTCGTTTCTCCTGTCCGCGCTCTGGATCACCGGCTCTGCGCTTTGCATTGCCCACGTCGACCAGCACGTGCTTCTGGGCCGCATCGGGACGAATCTTCTTCTCCAGCACGGCAAGCGGACGCGCAAGGCTGACGAATTTACCCTCGAGCCGGTGGTGCGAGATCATGAGCACCGGTCGATCCGGCCGTGTCGGCTCAAAGCTCATGGTGCCCAGCAGCTGGTTGCCGTCGGGATGCTGGTGGTCGATTTCCAGCTCGCCCTGCAGCTCGATCAGGACGAGCTCGCCGTTGGGTGTGAGCGCGGTGAGCGGCGCCGGCGCATCGATGCGTCCAGTCCGAGACGGCCCAGCACCTGACGAAGACGGGAGATTAAGGTGAATGCGCATCGTTGAAGTCGAGGAGGGTGAGGAGGAGGAAGAAAGTGTTACTTTGGCACTCAAAGGTGGCGGGGCGCGTCGCGCTGACGAGGCGCGCGTAAAGTGCGTCCAAGGTGGTATCGGCGATTTGGTTGACCGATCACGCCAGTGCGCAGCCAAAATTTGGCCACGCCCCGCGAGTTCAGACAGGTGCAAAGCGACGTGTCATCCGCTGAGTTGCGCTTCCAAGCAGCGCCCCGCGGAGATGGCCACCGACCCACACGAGCGTGTGCGCAGCTTGCATTGCAGCTCGCGGCAAGGCAAGCGTCCCGCCCCTGAGCTGCGGCAGTCGCCTGCAGCCGGCACAGTGCAAGCGTTGACCCAGCACTGGCCACATTGGCTCTACACGACCTTTGAGACTGACGTCGCATGTGCCGATGCAACGGCTCAGCCCTTCTCCTTGCCAAGCCTCCCTGTCATGGCTACGGAGCGAGAGGCGAGGCGAGCGTCGCAAGCGTCGGCTGTTCCGCACACCCATGCGACCCTGAAATCGAGCGCAGAGCCGCAGCGGGTGCAGCGCAGGCGAAACGGGCGGAACCAGTCTCGCTTGCTCTCTCGGCTGCTGTTGATTGTGATTCGGCCGGCCCTAGAAGCCAAAAAAAAAATAATCAAAAATCAATTGATTCTCGTCAAAAAAAATTAAAAATCGGCGCTTGGCTGCCGCACGAATCCTGCTCTGTTGTGGATGGACGCTGTCGTGAGACCTGCGGTTCCAACCCACTTGAGCTCGCTCGCTCGGATGCGCCGTTTTTGGCAAAAAAAGCTCGGAGGGAGGCTAGGTTAGAGTGAGAGGGAGGTGAGAGAGAAAGGGCCCTGGAAAGGCCCTGCCGAAGCGGCTCGAAACCCACTCTCTCACACGCTCTCGCCCGCTCGCAGCTGCACCCGTGAGATTTGGACCGGACGCTCCACCCGCATCGTCGTGGGTGCTGCTCCTCGAAGCCTCGTCGTCCCTCATCCAGCTCGACGCTGTCGGTCTTGCTCGTCAGCTCGATCCATCATCCGCACCACCAGCAACCAGGCAGTCATCTGCTACCGACCACCTCCAACCTCAGCCTGGCTTCAACTGCACCGCTGCGTCTGCCGTGCTCGTCCATCTCCATCGCTGGAATTCGTCCTCCCGCACAATGATGAATTGATCCTCAACTCACCTTCGGCCTTCGCCCTCTGTGGCTGTCCGACAGGACTTCCTCCCACCTCGCATCCCGCATCTCGCATATCGCTGCACGCCTCCAACGGCGCCCGCATCGATCCTCGAAGCCCAGACATTCGACGCGAGAAGATACCCCTCGCCGCTGTACAGCTGCAACGCCCGTGCGCCGGACACCGTGCACCACCCGCTATCCTCAACGCAAAGCGAAGTACACCAATCCATCCTGCCTATTCGTAGCTCGCGGCCATCCCCTTCATCGCCATGTCCGACACCGCCTTCGCGCTCAAGTCGCCCCGCTTCGACATCGAAGAAGAGCCCGGCGACTCGCACTCTTCCTGCGGCCATCAATGGGTTGGCGCCTTCGAGCGGGTCCTGGGCGACCGTCAGAGCATGGCTGCAGAGCGCCCTTCTCGTCCGCCCGCAAAGTCGGTCGCCTCCAACAATACCATCGTCCAAACTCGCGATGCTAGATCCCTCTCGGCGCACCCGCCTTTGCATGACGAGCGCGCAAGCGAATCCTCCAGATCCACCACCGTCTCGCGCGCCGGGAGCTCCCATTCAAGCGGTCCAACCTCCCCCTCCTTGCGCGACCCCGCCTCTTCAGAAGCTCTTTCTCTGCCACCTCCTTCCGCAGATCTGCCTCCCGCCCTCGCCAACCAGCCTACCGGCTCCGAGGCAGAGTACAATGGCGGAGCACTCAGACGTTTCCGCACCAATTCCTCCAGTGGCAGCGTCTCGCTCATCTCGCTACCGCCTTCCTCCGCAGCGTCGACGACCAACGCATCCAACACAAGCTACAGCACCCCCCTCCAACCACGCCTCAAGCCTGCACCCTCTCCCCTGCACGTCGGCGCCCCACAGCTGGCCGACACTGTCGACCTCAGGGTGCTTTCCCAAGGGCCCGACCACGTCTCGGTCAACCTTCAAGACTGCCTGCGCTTCGAACAGACCTACATCAACCATGCTCCCAGCGTCCATCACGTCATGATCACCAACCACAGCACCGACCACAGCGCCATCGTCCGCCTCGAATCCGATCTTCGCCCCGGTCTCACATTCATGCGTCGCAAGCGCTCGGCTCCTCAGAACCAGTTCGAACCCGAAGCTTGGCCATCCAACAGCATTGCCTGGGCGCGCAAGGGCGGCTTCGTCCCCGCCAACCTCAGAGGTTGGAGGCACGTCCTCGCCAATCTCGAGAATGCCGACTCGTTCATCCTCGAGCCCAGCCAGACCACCAAGGTCTACGTCGTCCTTCGTCCCGCAGACTTTGTCGAAGAGGCAGAAGCGATCCAGTACAACACCGGCTGGCCGTACCGCGTGCCGCCGTCGCCCTCCACGCAGGCCACCTCGCGCAAGCCCTCCGAGTACGCCGCCTCTTCGGCCCTCCGTCCATCGCGTGCAGACTTGGTCAACGCCACCTCGCCCGTCTCCACGCCCGCCGCCTTCCGCGAGCAACAGCAAGGTAGCTTCAGTGCCGCCGTCTCGGATCAAGAGAGCACGGGCAGTGCCGCCGAAGAGCTCGGCCTCACTTCGCCGCGCTCCGCTCCAGAGCTGCATGGAAGCGTCGCCGCCTCACGTGCCAACACCTCGCGGCCCTTGTACCCGGCGTTTGGCCTTCGAGGCACCATCACCCTCTCCAGCTGGACAATTCCTCGTCATGACGGTGACGACGAGGCTAGCGTCGACCAAGCCCGTAGTCTTTCGCACAAAGGCGCGCAGGCCTCTTCGTCCGCTTCCAACCCGTCTTCGTCCCGTCCCGTCTCGTCGTACGGCGCACCCGCTGCAGCCTCAGCATCCGTCGCCTCGTCGACCGCCTCAGCTTTGCGCAGCCAGCCGGATGAGCGCGAAGTGCAGAGGATCCGCATTCCCGTCGCCGCGCAATGCTGCAGGCCTTTCATCGATGCTGCCATCGCTTCTGCCACCTTGCCACCGCACGCAAGCACGCAGACGAGCCACTCCGCCGCCATCTACCTCGACTTTGGCGATGTCATCGTCGGTCAGTCGCATGCTCAGATCCTCACGCTCCGCAATCTGGCCGAGATCGACTGCTTCTGCCAGGTCAAGCTCGAAGAGGCCGACAACATGCTGCAGACGCCGCCCGTCCATCTGACCAGCGCTGACAACGACGAGACTGTGCCTTCGGTCTGGGCAGCCGAGCAGGAGAATGCGACCTACGAGCCTCTCGTCCTGCCTCGTCTCGAGTCCAAGCAGATCAAAGTCTCGCTCAAGCCACAGGAACCTTGTCGCGATTATGAGCAGGTGCTCACCATCACCTCGCTACACAATTCGGCCAACAGCATCCGCGTCGTCATCCGGGCCAACATGCTGGGCACCGCCAAGGACGATGCCCTCGCCGTGCTTTCCGGCGACTCCCTCGACTTTGGCGACTGCTATGGCGGCCACTGGACAAAGCAGCTGCTTGTACTCAGGAACAATGCCGACGTGCTCCTCGACGTCTCCTTTGGCGTGCAGAAGGGGTACGAGGTCATGTTTCAGCTCGCCGAGCTCGCGCCACAGGGCGAAGACGAGGCGACAGATCAGGACGAGGTTCCACCGAGCTCCCACGTCAGCGAGATCTCCATCTCTTCTGCCAGCACGGGCGATCGCAGCCGCATCTCGGCAGCCGACAGCAGCAGTGCCGGATTCGGTGCGGATGCTGCGTCCAGTGCTTATGAGCACTCGCGACAGTCGGAGGCCGGCGGCGAGCACCACGCCACCGCGTCCGACTTTGCAAAGACGCCCACCCACTATGCACAAGTGCCGCAGGGCTCAGCCGGCTTGGAGCCGCCCAAGCTCGAGCTCCCAGCAGCGGATGGCGCCGCCGCCTGTGACCTGCTTCGCGGGCGCAGAGGCAGTGCTCAGACGGATGAGGACGGCGTCGATGCCTCTTCCGTCGCCTCTCAAGCGGGGTCGCGGTCCAACTCGCCCGTGCGCCCGTCCACGCAATCATCGGCAAAGCCGCAGCTCAGCGAGTGCCTCGCAACTTCGGCAGCAGAGGTGGCTCGTGCGAGCAAGGGCGAATCGCCGCAGCTCAACCTCATGGATCGCGTCCACTCTGGCCGTCCCGAATCGCTCGCTTCGGCCGCTAGCGACGTCGACCAAGCCAGCGTGTCTACCAATCCGCACAGCAACACCTCGTCCGCCTTTGCGTCTCGACCTGCTACTCGCGGACGTCCTGCCGAGTCGGAGCGCCATGAAGATGCCAACTCGATCCGCTCGGTCCATACTGCTCTTTCCCAAGACAGTCGGGCGGGCTCGTACCCTGCTGGATCATCGCATGCAGGGTCCTCGAGCGCCTCGACCCGCAATCAGCTTCGCCACCCAGTGGGAGCCGCCATTTCTGGGCTGCGCCACGTGGAGCATGCTCAGAGCAACCAGCTCGAGGAGCTCGTGCTTCGACCGGGAGGCGAGTACCGCGTCTTTGTCTCGTACCGCCCCGAGCGTGTCGCCTGGGATGCCGAGTTTTCCGGCGGCCGTCTCGTCGAAAGGACGTTCCGCATCTCGCTCGACTATTCGCGTGCGCGGCTCGCCAACGCCCGAAGCCGCGGCGGTCGCGAGCGAAGGATCGTGGTCTGTCACAGCCGCACGTGCACCTCCTTTATATCGATTGCACCCAAGATGATCGATCTCGGAGAGGTGCAGGTGGGCACGCGCAAGTCGGCCAACATTTCGGTCACCAACCGCTCCGAGCTGACGGCACGTGTCGACCTGCGCTTTGTCTCCAAGGTGCTCAGCATGTACCGAGACGAGGTGGCCATTCCGGCGCTCCAGACCGTCGAGCTCAAGGTCGAGTCGTTCCCGCGCAGAGTCAACGAGACGTATCGCAAGCAGATCACGGTGGCCAACTTACTCAACCGCCAAGGCGATCAGATCTTCGAGGTGCGCTCGCGCAACGTTGACAAGCAGCGCATCAGCTTCCACTCGCTCTTCTACCGCATCCTCACGCCGACCGGCTCCAACTACGTCGACTTTGGCGACGTCAACATCAACTCGATGCGCATGCGCACCTTCACCATCGAGAACATGTCGGACAAGAAGTTGTCGCTCGAGCTGAGCCCTGCGCATCCCGAAGACGTCACGCTGTACATCAAGGCTCCTGTCCCCGATGCCAAGTCCAGCAGCAGCCCAAAGCTGGAGGCCAAGGCGGGCGCATCCAAGTATGGCGACCAACAGTTGGACGGGCAAGGCACAGGAGCCGAGACGACCGAAGCAAATCAGGCATCCAGTGGAGGCGCCGTTGCAGGCAAGGCCAAGTCGAGCAAGCCCGCCATGAAGGGCGCCGATCTCAAGGAGCGCTTCCTCGAGACCATCTCGGTGGACTCGCCCACCACCGTGCGAACAGAGAATGCCTCTTGGAGGCTGGCGCAGAAGCACAGCCACTACCGCAAAAAGGACGACGGCAGTAGCTCTTCCGCGCAGAGAAAGGCACAGTCGTCCGGCAAGCCGAAGCCCAGCATCAACCTTTTTGCAGCACTCAAGAAGGGCGGCAAGGGCAGGATCACCGTCGCCTATGGCAAGACGGCGACGTTCAAGGACCGCACGCTGATCAGCGAGTTTGAGTATCTCGACCTCGCCACCGGCCCCCCGGTCGACGCACGTCGCATCCCTGCCAAGAGCAAGAAGTATGCGCTGCTCGAGAACATCACCACGGGCGGCAAGCCCAAGAGTCTCGGTCAAACCACGAGTCACAAGCACAATCACGACGACGATGGCACGAGCAGCGCCTCCAAGTCCAAATCGAGTGCCAAGGCAAAGGCGGCCGCCAGAGACCGCGATGCTGAATCGCAACCGGATGCTAGCCTGTCACCGAAAGCGAAAGCGTCGCGGGCCGCATCCTCGGTTCCACGGCTGCCGTCGCCGCTGGCCAGGGACATCCTTGATCAAGACAGTGCGGCCCGCACCGCCACCTCGAAGGAGTCGAGCCAGGGTGGCGCGAGTGCAGGAAGCAAGTCGCAGCCCGCTTCGGCCATCCGTCAGCATGGCAAGAGCGGCAAGGAAGGAAAGGCGGGTGAGTCGTCGGCTCGCGTGCACTTTTCGCCTGCACTGACGGGCAAGCGCAAGGCTGCACCGGTGCTGTCGAATCCCGTCGATGTTTCCCGCATGTCGCTCGAGGACCTGCTGGCGGCCGTCGAGGCCCAGCCGAGCCTGATGAGCACGTTCTTCTTAGGCACACCCGAGGCCGAGGAGCAATTCGTGCGCGCCGAGATCAATCTGCGCCGAGAGCTGCAGAGCTCGATCGATGCTGGCAAGCTGCTTCCGCTCGAGGTGCTCGAGGTGGCGCCGCATTCCGAGGGCCAGGTGATTGCCGTCTATCATCCGAGCGGCAGCACACGGCCGCACATCCAGGGCAACGCGCGCAAGCAAGACTCGCGCATCTTTATGCGGCTCATCGAGTTTGACATGGGAGTGGTGCGCGCGTCCGAGGAGTTCTCGGGCATGGCCGAGCTGGATGCCGACGAGCTGCCCGTGCGCGATCTGATGCTGCGAAGCAATACCTGTCGCAGCTTACTCGAGCTGGGGCAGCCGCACATCAACTTTGGCCACATGGAGAAGGGCGACTCCAAGACGCGTAAGATCCTCATCCAGAACCGCAGCGAGTGGGCGCTGCGCTACTGCATTCGCAAGAGCGGAAGCATTGCAAGCGGCGACATCAAGCTCAGCAGCGGGCGGTACGGCGTGGTGCCCGGGTACGGCAAGCGCGAGGTCGAGTTTGTCTTTTCGCCCTCCATGTCCGGCCCGTTCCAGGAGAAGCTGGTGGTGGAGAACGTGGCGGATCGCGACAACGACCAGACGGTTGTGCTCAAGGCCAACGTGCGCAAGACGCCCAACTTTGCCGTGGACCCGGGTGCGATCAACTTTGGCGCGTGCAGTCCCGGCAAGCTCTCGACGCCGGAGAGCTTTGTGCTCACCAACACCACGGCCAAGTCGCGCTCGTTTGTGATCGCGATCGACACGCACGATCTGCTGCACCAGCGCTGCCTCATCGACGTGGGGCTGAGCATCGCCAGCGACGATGACGTGCGCGGCACGCTGTCCAAGGAGGAGGAAGAGGAGATCGAGAATCTGTCTCAGAAGCTCAAGATCGCTAGCAGGAAGGGCAATGCCGAAAAGGTCAAGAAGTACGAGGAGAGGTTGACGGCGTTGGGTGTCAAGCTCCCGAGTCTGACGCCGGCAGCCTCTGCCACGCCATCCGAGACCGCCAGCGCGTCCGAAGATCCAGGCGCCGCGGCTACGGCTGGCGGTGGTTCTGACCAGGCAGAGGCGCAGGTAGGATCGCCGACGGACGCGTCCGAAGTGACGGCGCCTGCGACAGCGGCAGCGAATGCGGACAAGCCGAGGGAACTCAAGCGGATCTCGTCGACGGTGACGTGTTCGCTCGGGCCGAACCAGAGCAAGCGTCTGATTCTGCGCGTGCGGCCGAGCGCGGTGCAGTCGGCCATCCCGTCCAACACGAGCGACCCGGGCGACCGGCGCACACAGCACAAGTCGGGCATGGAGGAAGTGTCGGTGCCCGTGCGCGTGCACGAGGTGAAGAACCAGGACGAGACCAAGATCGTCGTGCTCATGGCCACTGTCGAGTTTGATCTGCCCAAGAGCGGGCCTGGCTGCAGCATCGTCGGCGCCGACTGCGCAGTCAAGCCCGAAGAGTTCCCCGCCGACGCAGTCTTGTTCTCGTCTTCCGAGTAGAGGCGACAACGTAGCACGGTGTCTTTCGAGACAGCAATGAACAATGTATTTGGATTGAACGTCAGTGGCTGGGATGCGTTGCTGATTGTGGCTGTGGGTTGAACTTGAGCGATTGGGAGTGGCGTCTTGTCTCGCTTGGTGGAGCGAGGCTCTTGCTAGCCAGTCGGAGGTACGTCGCACTTGTTTGCGTGCCGTCGCTGGTCTCGATTGCCTTCCCCTAGCCAGACATTGTGGTTATGCAGGCTCGATTGTGCACAAGCAGCCGAATCGCACATTCGCCATGGCTTATGACGCGGAGGATCAGGCGGGGTGCGAGGCAATCTTGCCTTGCGAGGGCAAGCGGCGCTGCTCCTCGCCAAGGTAGAGGCGCTTGAACAGGACAACGCTCGTAGCCACCAGCAGCGGGAATGACACCATAATCGTCTGTGGATGTCGGCAAAGTCGGAGTTGCAGGGGCAAGCTGTCAGTACCGGACACAACACAGTGCGGGAAGGGTCCAACTTACCCTGATACGCCTCTGCTCGGGCGTGAGAGGAATGCGCGCCATCTTGGGCCAGATGAAGCCGCGGTGGTCGCAATGCAGTCGTTGCGGGAAAGCTGGGAGCCAACGAGGATCAAAAGTGCCAAGTCAGAGCCAGGGTCTGAAGATGCCAGCTGCCGAATTCCGAACCGGCAAACCAATCCCGATCGGAATCGTTCATCGGGAAGGGTTCGCGCCAAATTCTGAAACAGGCACCAGGGCGCAGTCAACTTCTAGCCGCCACCAGCGGCGAGCTTGCACGATATGTCACATCGAATAGCGCGAGCCTGGCCCCTCACCGGATGTCCCAGCGCTTTCGGCGGTGACGGTTGCCTTGCGATGTGAGACGCCTTGCGCCTTGGCACGGAGGTCAGGTAGCAGCAGTGGGCAGCTGGCCCTGCGCTCAAAGGCCGTTGAGGCTCGTTCTACCGCCCCGACTGGGCGAATCGCTCCGCTGCGTGCTCCGCTAGCCTTGGCAGTCGTCCACCATCTCGTTTCTTCACCTTCACCTCGCAAGGCATCGTTGATCGATGCACTCGTAGCGTATACCCTTTTCCTTCACCAAGTTGTCTAGCTGGACTAGACACAACGCTTCGCTCTCGTATTCCTGCCAACAACCGACTTGACCTACCTGGTCTCTTCACACAGGATGACCTCTATTATCAGCGCAGGTCGGGACACGGAGGGGCTTGGAATCGGAATCGGGCTCGGTATTCCGATGGATGTGGTCAAGCCAGCATACGGCGAAGGGCTGGGATTGATGGCCGAGTCGGGCATGTGTTGGCCGTACACGGCGCGTCATCACAGCAGCACCCTGTACCGCGGAGGCACGGCGTACGACTCGTCGCCGACGCTCAGCAGCTCGTCGGCCTCTTCAGACTCGACGCAGGACAGGCGGGTGATGCACACATCTGCAACGCACGATGTATTGCTCAGCTACCTTTCGCCGGCACTGTCGAATGCCTCGAGCGACTCGGACGCAGAAGTTGCACCAAAGAAAGTCTACTTGCTCTCGAGCGGGACCAAGAATCCGGTATGGAAGCAGAGAAGGTGCCGCTCGGAAACGTTCAAGTTCCCACTGCCACCCAGTGCGCGAAGTAAGATTGCACCTCTCAAATCGGCGCTGCGTCCCAGCCAGCGATCTTCTATCCAGCAAGTCGGTGCGAGTCCTCCGCTGAGGGTACATTTGGATGCATGGAAGCGCAGGTCCAACCTTTCTCCTGCACTCGAGCAGGCCGAGCCCACGTCGGGCTGGTCGCCGTACTCATCCCACGCACCCACGCCAAGGCCCGTCTCGCAGGATCTCACGCACTCCGTCCTCGCCTCGGACGCGCGTCCGCCATCGTGCAACGCCACCGCCGCTCTTCCAGCGTACTCGCCTCCGGAGCTCACCTCGGCGTCGTCGTGCTCGGACTCGTCGCGCACGCTCGTGAGCGACACGGACGAGTCGGATGCCGAAGCGTTCGGTGCCGACGCAGCCAAGCTGGCCCGGCTGCACGCAAGCCTCTTTCTGCTCGACCGCAACGTGTCGGAGCTGCCGCTGTCGCTTGCCGACAAGCGCGCCGCAGACTTGGGCGGATCGGTCGAGGAGAAGATGGCATACCTGTGCGGGCTCGGATACAGGTACAGACGGACGAGCGGGAGGCATGCGCGCAAGGCGTCGGCTGAGCTGCAGGCTAGCAGGGAGCAAAAGGCCGATGTGGGCGCGTGGTGGAGCGAGGACGACGAGCCGGCCAAGGGAGAGGTGCAGAGCTACGCGCCCGTGCTGGCAAGGGCGGTGCGCGTGGTGTCAAATACGGCAAGTGCCGTGACTTCGAGCTGCTCGAGCCCCATCCTCGCCGGGCCACTAGCCGCCCACACGGAGGAAGTTGAAGGAGATGTGACGACGCGCCCAAGGATAGAAGAAGAAGCGCTGGGAGGCGAGTTCAGCTACCTTGTCCAGGAGTCACCCGTGAAAAAGGCATCGAAAGTCGAGATGGACTTCGTCAGGGACGCCAACATGTCTCCGCCGCTCAGCACGCCCGAGCTGGAGCTGGAGCTGGGCGGATCGCCGCTGCTGCTGGATGGGCTGCCCTCTCCAATCGCTCCCAGCCGCACGCCGTATCGACTCGAGCTGTCTTTCTCTCCACGCACGCACACGGTGGAAGGGATCTCCGGCTGCCGACCACTCGTCTACAAGTCTGCGCTCCCCTCGATGCAGACGTCTGAAGTCTCACTCGCTCCTCCAGCCAAAGCAGCCTCGGTGGACCGGACCTCACCTGCTGCGGCTGGACGGGTTGGCATGTCGACCTCGCAGTCGTGTCCTGCGCTACTGGACGAGGGGCCTGCAACGATCGAGCGAGCCACACGCGCCGTTGTTGGCGGGTCGGTCCTCGCACGTCCACGACCCGTCCGCGGGCAAGCTGGATCGTTCTTCTCGCGCGGTTCGGACACACCCATCGAACCCGCGGTCCCGATCATTGCTCGTGCACGACCCGTTCGCGCGGCTGCGGACCACCACTCGTTCACGAGCCAGACGGCGGTGCGCAAGCGCAAGCCCAGCGCCAAGTTGAGCGTGCAAGCCACGGTGCCTGCGTTGCCCGCGGTGCGCGTGCCGCTGCGCAAGAGCTCGCTCGACCTGCGCACGTCGGTGCATCCCAACACGGTGTGCGACGACCCCCGCGCACAGCGCCTCTACTACTCGTCGGCCACCGCATATCTCAGCCAGCCTGTGGCTGACGCTGCCGACGCCGCACGTGCCCGTCGCAACCGCCCAACGTTGCCCAGCTCCACATCCATGCCTGTCCTCACCCCCGCCGCTGCACGTCCACTCAAGGGCATCCTGCTCAACCACCGTGCCACTGTCAACTCCGCTCTCTGACCCCATGTGCAATGCAATTCATGATTCCCGCTAGATCGTGTCGAAGATGGCATCGAGTTGACCGTCGATCTTGCGCTTGGTGCTCTTTTCCTTCCTCGACGTCGCCACCACGATGGGGCTATGCTTCTCCACCACCGGCTGCTGCGCGTCCTTGGGTGGAGGTGGTTGGGATTGGATGGCTTGTGTCCATTCGCGCATTTTGCCCTTTCGCAAGAGCTGCAGCTGGAGCTTGTTGGTAAAGTACCCCGCATAGGCGCCGCGCAGGATCGTGTCGGACTTGTCCACCACCGTCTTTGCGATTTTTTCCTTCGAGTAGCCGTCGGCTGTGTACCAGAGCTGATCCGCCAGACGGCTGCCGTACTTGTCGCCGCAGAAGTGCGCAAGCTGCGCCACGAGTGCGCCGCCGAGTTTGCGGCGTCGATTCGCCTGTGCGGCATCCAGACCGGTGGTGGCGGGTGTGGTCGGCGGTGTGAGGGCGGCGATGAGCGTGTGTACCGCCGTCGGATTGCGCGCAAACGGCGCAAGCGTCGGCAGCGCAAGCAGCGATTCGAGCACCAGCGCGCTTCCAAACACCTCGACCCGCTCTACCGGTGCGGCAGCAGTAGGCCTGCCAAAGGTGCGCTTGACCGGCGCCCGTGGCGGTGCACTGGGTCCAGGAAGTCGCAGCAGAGACTGCAACAACAAACTGCCCTGAACAGTGGCTTCGGCCGTCGGCACTTCGTACTCGGCATCCATGGTCCATGCCACCTGCTCCTCGTCCGACTCCGCCTGCGCTTCGCGCTTCTTGGCGTACTTGGCTTTCGACTTGGCCTTGGATTTGGACAGCGGCTTTCCATCGCGTCCGCGCTTCTTACCCGCCTGGTCGCCAGCCTCATCGTGCCTGAGATGCGCTGCGAATGTGTGCAGATACGCCTTGCGCGTCTTGAGTGCCAGCACTGCAGGCACCAACAGCTCCATCCCCTCCTCCCCCTCCGCCTTGGCCTTGAGCCTAAACGCACCCAACACCACCCCCGAAACCGCCCTGACCAGCTCCCTCGCCTCGTCTCCCTCCACGCCCGCAGCAGGATCGCACAGCTGCCCTACACGCTCGACCGCAGCTTGCAGGCACCCGATCATCTGCTCCTTGACCATGCCCGTGGCAACCTTGCCCATTTCTGCGATGGCGGGCGCAAGCTCGGCGGCCGAAAGCCGACGCAGCAGCGCCGCCACAATGTGGTTCGCTGCAGGGTGGATGCACAGCTTGGCCATACGGCCGTGGATGTAGACCGCAAAGAAGCGCGCGGCGGTAGCGGCAGGTGCACGCTCGAGTGCCAGCTGCAGCGCGTGCGACGCCACACTGTCGCGCAACGACGTCTCGAGGTACACATCGCGCTCCGCTTCGCCCTCGCCTGCCGTGTGCGGCTTGGAGACGAATCCGCCCAGGAAGAGGTCGACGAGCGAGCCGGACCATTTGTCCTCATCGGCGGCGTCGCCCAGTGCGTCGACCTCGGCGTCGATGAGAAGCTGCAGCAGCGGCGACGCGACGGCATCCGCCGCCCAGCGTCGCACAACGTCCGTGCCTGCTTCGCCGAGGATCTCGCTGCGCAGCGTGGCGGCACGGTTGTACAGCAGGTCGGGAATGACCACGAGCAGGTCCTCTGCGCCACTGCCCGCTACCGAGGTGGGTGCCTTGCGCGTGCGGAACTTTGCGCTCCTGCGCGATCGGAGATCCGCCGCCGCTGCAGCGTGCACCGACGACGATGTGTCCGTCTGGATGTTGCGCCCCATGAGCACGCACAGCAGCGAGCGGAGCACATGCGATCCAAACGCGTCCGAAACGAGCGCCGCCAGCTGAGCCTGATCCGACGCGAGCTCCTCGGCGATATCAAGGATGAGCTGGGTGGCGGAGCGCAGCACGCCGTCCTCGTTGACGATGGTCGCCGTGTCGCTGGCAAACGCCGACGATGCAGCCGCCATGCCATTCGTGGCAGAGCTGTGGCGGTGCTGGTGCTGGAGGAAGTGCTGCTGCGTGGCGTGCTCGAGCGTGACGGCAGGCTGCAAGGTGGCCAGGCATGCCTGAACGACGTGGCTGGCGAATCGGTGTTTGGACAGCACGGCAAAGTTACCTGCGAGGCGGTCGACGAAAACGCGCAGGGGTTTGGCGGGCAGGCGATGCAGGATGGCCTCTACGATGAGCGAGGTGTCGGGGTCGGTCGAAAGGAGCAGCTCCTTGCCGTCCATCTCCTTGAGGGTTGCCTGCAGCAGCAGCGCCAGCTCGTCTTCCTGCTCATCGTCGCCATTGCCAGCCGGATGTGTCGCATCTGAGCCGCCGGACGAGGCGGCAGCGAGCGCAGTCAGAGTCGACTTGGCCGAGTAGCCCTGCGCTTCGAGCTCGGTGGCACGCTCCCAACCCGCACGCAGGTACGCCTTGAGCTCGGCATCGACGTAGCCAAAGGGAGCCTCGTGCTCCGCCTTGCTCGATCGCTCTCCCAGGCGCACCCAGTTGGGCTGGCCATCTTCTTGCTGAGGCTGCTGTGTGCTTGCATCCGCCGCTGTGGTCGTGTTGTCGAGGGCGATGTAGTCGGCTTGCGTCTGGGTTTGATTCGAGGTGGATGCTACAGGTTGTTCGTGCTTGGACTCTGACTCTTCCTCCTGCAGCTTTCGAAGCTTCGAGGGCTTCTTGCCCCTCTGTCTGATCTTGGGCGGCATGGCTGTGAGATGAAGGTGCGATGCCGAATGAGATGGACGAGAAGTAGGATGAATTGAACCCTTACTTGGGCTTCGGCCAGTTGCTCAAAATTCGCGCTGCGCTGTTGCGTCTTCTCGCGAAAAAATCCACTTTCGCGGCCAAAATTTGGCTTATGTAATCGCTTTTTGGAGGTTGGACCCTGACCCGCCAAAACGTCGGCTCTCCGCTCACACTCAACTTCCACAGCCGCCACGCGCTGTACAGCGATTCAGGTCATCGTGTGATTGCTTGCGACGATCGCTTGCCTATCCTACCGAAGTCACGCAGCATCTCGTGCTGACATTCGGCCATCTCGCTATCCTTGAGCACGATTGTAGCGGGTCTAATAGGACATTGCAATGTCGAGACAGTGCACTGCGGTCGTGGCAGAAAGTCGGTCGACACTTGACGATGCGAGTTGGCAAAAGTGGCCAACGGGTCGAGCTTGCTTGCCATAAGGCGATGATCCAATCAGATCGATCAGGGCGCCGCCAACGTAGCGTGCTGCTCATTCGGCCCTGGGCTTGACGTCGGCGGATGCTGCCTGAAGCGCTTTGACAGCGGCGGCGTGTCGCTGGCGCAGCTTGTTGTTGATCCTGGGAAGATTGGAGATGATCGTCGAGAAGAGTCAGAGAGTTGATATCAAACATGTCACGTCATGTTCGTAAAGACGTACTTGCTAGCGTTGCGGTCCGAAAGCTCGGGTGCCTCGAGAAAGCGAGGGATATTGTCGAGAGCACACTGCAGCTCAACGTCGAGCAAGGCTTTCTGTGTTGGTGTCCGAGAGTGTGTGTGTGTGCGTGTGATCATGAGCGTCAGAGGATGCTTTCAAGAAAGACTTCTACAAAAAAGATCGTGATCAACTGACCATCTCTTCATTGGACCAGCCTTTGGGAGGGGCTCGCTGCTGTGCGATGAGAATGTGGTCCAGAGTCAGCACGACGCGAGTCATTGCATACGGGTCGATAGAGAGCGGCGGAAGGACCTACCGTGATCTTTCGCTGCTTTCGGGGCTTCCCGTCTGCGTTTTCGTTGTCGCGACCCGCCTCGAGCTTCGCCTCGATATGCTCCCGCTTTGCTCGGATCGCGTCCGGGCCGTGCTCTGGAACGAGATCAGCCTTAGCCATGACTGGTAGGGGAATGCGCTGAGCCTTAGCTGGAGCCATCTAGGTCAGCAAGTGCTCTTGGGAAGCGGCTTCGTGTGTATTCAATAGATCTTTGCGTCTCCGAGGCCGGCTCGATATGTGTGATATAATAAGAAGAGCGAAATCCTTCGGAAGCGTGACGGATTCGATCCAGTGCTTGGGACCTTCGAGATGTTGAAAGGGAGGATGACGTCGAGTGGATAGCTGGGCATTGGGCGGCTGATCATTCTTATAGATGTTCTCGTGGAGGCCGTCTCGCTGGCGGACATGTTTACCGCACATCCGCACATCCGCACATCGCACCGACAAAAGCCACATCCGCACTCGCGTGATCTACTGACCTGCAGCGAATGCGTCTGGTCATTGCTAGCAGTGCATTCACAGCCTTCCAACTCTAATCCAAAGCTTGCTGCCGACCAGCCGCGGACAACACAATGCGGCAGTCCAGAGCGGGTGTGATAGGAGGAAAAGGCCTTGTTGGCGACAGACCTCCGTCTCATGGCGCGAGTTAAAGTTCAGATTAAGCTCGGATGGCTGCAGCTGCTCATTCGTTTTATCCATCACAGCCGCACTTGGACGCACAACAGGCGAGCTTGCTCCGCACGCTTTTTGGATTTCCGCGTGACGACGCACCACATCAAAAGTCCGGCACCGGACGGCCGTAGTAGATAGGCCATGGGTAAGGCGAGTAGATGTGTCTGTACCAGAGCGTTCCGCAACGAGACGGAAGCAAGCAACCATCCAGACAGCGTCAGTACGAGTCTATCCCAAGAAACTCCGGGCGGCACGGAACTTACTTGTCGTATACATAGGCCTCGGGATCGATCAGCGAGGTCGGATATCGCATCGGCTCTGCATACGTCTCGGCGCTAATCAGGAAAGACCGCAAAATGTCAGCTCGATCGGCATCAAAGTCAGCCTACTGCGCTGGTGTGCACTTACATGACGAAGCGTGTAAACTCGTTGGTGTCCGGGTCGAGCGGCTCCTTGGGCACCACGAGCTTCATGGTCTGCAGCTCGGTGTCCGTCACCGTATACCTCGACACCCTGACGTACGAGATCCTCTCGAGTCCGCGGAAGCCAAGGTATTCGCACCATCTGCCAAAGTCCGTCGGCTCCACATCCTGCATCTTGCCGTCTTCAAACAG